CTAAGAAGAAGCCTTTGACGTCATCTCAAGCCACTATATTTGTCCTTGGATTCGGATTCCAAGGTTACGAGAAAACAGGAAGGAACGCCATCGTCGGGATCAGAATTAAGCGAAAAGGAAAGGAGAGATCGGTGACGAAGATCGGCTTGGCCCGATCCAGTTCCGACCGCCGCCGACTTTCGCTTCCTCTCACTTACGCCATTGCCAATGGCATCCGCATTTTTTCGGCCAGCTTTTTAGTGTGGAAAAAAAGAAGACATCAATGAGCGAAAATGTCTTCTAGGAATTAGGAAAAGCTTTGATGTTTTTTTAAACAACAAAAAAAATTGATCGAACTTTTTGGCGGTGCGAAGTATGAAAAATATCCTCGGGAATTGGTAACGCGAAAACGGACGTGCTCCGGACGTTTCTGGGCGATTCTAGGGATCATTTAAGAGTTCTGAGGCTACTAAAGTGGTCACTAGAAATGCCCCGACACGTCCGATTCGCTTTACCAAGGTCCGAGTCCGCTTGTGATAATTGATCAGTTAGAAAATATAATGCTTCCTGAAAAATTGCTCTAAAGAAAATTTCCGAAAATCTAAAATTTATAAATCCCATTTCTGTAGAGGAAACCTTGCTTAAATCTAAAAAAATATTCGTTTTTTCGAATTTTCAAAATTCTAAAACATTTTTCTTCTCAAATCGCTACGACAATAGCTTACCTTCTTACTTGAAAACGTCAAAAAGTAACTTTTCCACTTTAAAAGTAAAAATTGAAAGTTCCTAGTTCCAATCGGAACCAAACTTCATTCGGAAGTCTCCATAAAATTGCTACACTTCCTTGAGGTCAACTGGAACCGATAAAAAAAGTATATGGTCTCTAAAAGAACGAAAACCGAGAACAGAGATCAAAATACATTTCTAAAATGTTGATTTCGTGATTCCTCCAGGAAAAGATTCCAAGCCCGATTTCAAAAGAGCTCGACAAATTTTGGAATAAAATACGAATTTTATGCTTATATTACTTCACCAAGACGGAACTGTTGACTATCAAAAGTCTTGGATAAACTTTTAATCTTCAAGTAAACCGGATAAAAAAATTTTTTCTAGTACACCGAACCGAAAAATGAAGAATATGGCTCTTATAAAGAAAAAAAAAACTACTTTTTGGGCAGAATATAAAAAAAGGCGCAATTTCCGTTTCTGAATTGAATAAAAAAAGGTTTCTAGGGCTTTTTTTTTAGTGAAACTTTCCTATTTGAACTAATCAGAGCTTTATAATTTCGGTTTTTTTTTCGTTCATAAGCAGCGCCCAATTCTGACATTTTTCGGCCAACTTCGAGTTGGACGCGTTCAAAGAGTTGGAAGTCAACTGAATCACTAAAAACTGGAACATATGGACAGCTTTTTCTAAGGCAGGAAGACCTGACACTTCGTTTAAACAAATAAATTTTTTTTTTCGGTGTTTAATTTTTTTCAAAAAGAGCCAGTATACAAAAAAACGTTTATTTTGTCACTTGCTTTCGTTTGAAAAAAAGTTAGATTTTTTTGTCGTATTTCGGCTACAGTAATCCTCAAAAGGGGCGGAGCTTGACAAAACCTTGTTTAAAAGTTTTGTATACATTTGTAGTTGGTGTGATGAAAAATATGAGCTCAAAAAAAGCAAAATGAATTTTTTTGCAGTTCATAAATTTTTCTCGGAGAACGTGTGTTAAGTGAGCAGCGCTTAATTCAAAAAAAGTACTGATTAATTTTTTTTCTAGAATTATTTTGAGTCTTGGCATACTTCCGGGCCTTTAAAAATCTGAGGAAAAATCGAAAATTCAAAATATTTTAATGGATTTCACTGGAATGAATATTTTTTCCCTACAAAAACTTTCTGAAGAGCTTCTCGATTGAATGTTCATCTTTCCCCACAGGGAAAATCTTGCAAAACCAACATTTTCCCTTCGCGAACCTCTGTTATGTTTGGCGAATCCCATCCCTTCACGTCAATCCCATTACCCGGACTTCTCATCAAATAAGTAACTTTCGCCCAACGAAAAAAGGTTTCGTCCTTGGGGCTAAAAGATAAGCCAAACCAAAACTATATGCGCGAGGGCCGTCCGACGGGCGCCTTTGGCGAAGGATTTCAGGTTTTTCAACGAAACGGTTGACCCAACAAGTCGATGACTATAAGAGATATCATGGGCCTGCGAGGAAAAATGGACAAACAAGCGGGGAAAATAAGAGAGAAGTTGGCAGATTGTTCAGGAAGGGGGCTAGAAAAGAAGTATCTGGACATTATTGTTTTTTTGTTATTTTTAGAACTCTATATCTTGAAAAAAAGTCCAAGTAAATTTTATATCACCAATAAAATCAGAAAAAAATTTATTTATTTTTTTAATTTTTGATAAAAATCAAATATTCAGAACTGTTAGATCTACGAAGCACGTTGAAAAACCCGTAGACGATATTTTTTTCAAATTTGAAAAATTTAGAAAAAAAGTAGTTTTTTTGATATTTTTCTATTCGAAATTTTTTTGATCTAAAAAAAGAAATATTATAAAAAGAAATATTTTTTTAGCTCTAGAAAAAAACTTTCTAAAAAAATTAATGCTACTTATTTTCTATAGAAAAAAACAATCTTATGAAAAAAACAACCATGAATTTTACAATAACCATTTCTAACCAAATGGCCCCAAAATTTCGCACAAAATTATGAAAAATCCATCAAAAAGATGAAAAAGAAAAATACCTGCAGCAAATCTCCTTCAAATCCACAGCTTTCCATGATTTTCCGTCCATCGCTTTCACCTCAATCAAGGCTTAAATCAAGCCAATAAGTTGTGGACACGACGGTCCACTCGAAAGGACGTCGGGGATTTCGTTTTCATTCTTCTGGACGAAAAAAAGATGTTTTATTCAAACACAGACTACACTGTGATCCCGAAAACAGTTTTTATTGTACCGCAAAACGAATAAATTACAAGAAAATCAACACGAATGAGCGAATAAAGAAAAGATTTATGATAAAGTGACAGATTATAAATTTGGAGAAGGTTGGGAATAGTTTACAAGAAGTCATCAAATCTAGAATTGAGAAAATAAATGGAAAATCGTAAAAATTTGAAAAATTCTCCACGTTATATGATAGAAGACAGAAAACTCAAAATGCAATAAAAAATAGTAAGCCGTGTTTTAAGGAATGACCGCAAAATTCAAAAATATCTCTGAACTCTCCAAAATCCAGTTATCTTTTTCACTTTCTGACGGCCATTTTGAATTTCGCAGAATCCCTTGAATCCTTTGAATCCTTTGAAAAAAAAACAGCGCATAAATTTCGAGCTGAACAACAATAAAAAATTTAATTTCATCAGTTAATTTTTTTATTCATGCAAACAAAAATCTTTGGTCAAGCGTTAATTTCATTCTTTCTTCACAAAAAACTCGTTTCATCTTCGTTTAGAAATCCTTCAATTTCTTTAAACTCCATTTCTTTGCTTGTTATTACACTTACAATTATAACAATCTGTTCAAATCGGACAGTGTACCCAGACAGAAAAACCCGTTCGTGTCTGACTATACTACTTACCAACATTCCGACTTGAAGCCTCCCAGATAACAATCTAATACTAACACCGAGGTCGGATCGGATAAAAAAAAAAGAAGAAAAGAGAAAGATTACGACAGCATAGAAAAAAAAGTAGGTAATGTGAAAAGTGTGGATGGTAGGACGAAAAATTTGATCCGCAAAAATACGTCGCGTGAAAATTGCGACCACATAACCTATGGATGGTACGACAAAATCTCAAGTCCGCAAATCTCGAGGACCGTAATCTTGTGTACGCAGATCTAAAGTCCCATAATCTTGGAAACCAAAATCTTGGAGACCAAAATCTTGGAAACCACAATCTTGGAAAGCAAAAATCAACGCTTTTGCGAACAGATTTTTTCAGAAATTGTATTCGGTGATCCAAACAAGAGAATATAAGTAGATAAAGTGCAATAAAGAAGACTAAAAAGGGAAGATTTTTTTGCTTTCCAAGATTGTGGTTTCCAAGATTTTGGTCTCCAAGATTTTGGTTTCAAGATTATGGGACTTTTAGATCTGCGTACACAAGATTACGGTCCTCGAGATTTGCGGACTTGAGATCTTGTCGTACCATCAACCTATGAGCCACGAAAATTTTAAGCCTTCAAAAATTTTTTTCGTAAAATTTTAAAAATTGCTCAGATGATGACTTTTTTTGAATTTCTTTCTTTTCCTTTTTTTCAATTTTTTTTCCCTTTATTCTTGATATTGATTAATTCCAGAGCTAGAGTCACTGTTTTCGGTAGGTTTCTAGAAATTTCAATCATTATCATCAATAAGAAGTCTGTCATTTTTTTTTATAAACATGGAAAACGTATTTAGTTGACAGATTTTGAACTTTAATGATTTATGGCACAAATTAATTATGAAAACAGAAGAAAAAGAGTTAAAACTCGAAATTAGGTTTCAAAACGTTATCAAATCCTGGGATCGCCGGGATAACTCAACGCAGAAATGAGAATCAGTACTAGAGCAGAAGTTTGAAGAAGACCAGAACGAAGAAAAACAGAAAATACAGAAATTGAAAGCCTTATATGCAAGTAATTTCTAATTTAAATGGACAAAATTTTAAAGGCTAAAATTTTCGTGGCTCATAAGTTATGTGGTCGCAATTTTCACGCGACGTATTTTTGCGGATCAAATTTTTCGTCCTACCATCAAAGTGTGTGAGGGACGACGCAAACTTGCACTAAAAGTCCGCAAACACCCTGGAGATACTTTTGACCCTTTTTTGGACAAAATTTGTGAAATTTAAGTCACTGTTTTTGCTTTTTTTGACTTGCACTTGACTTGACTTTTTGACTTGACTTGTGACTTGCTGTAAAATGAAGTTTATGGGAATTAAGTTCCCTTGGCCAAAGTCATTAAAAAAATTTTTCTTATTCAAAATAAAAAAATTCATTCTCACAAATATTTTGTATATGACACGAAAGTTATTAAAGGTTCATTTTTTTTCTGGGGCGACGACTTCTTGGATCCAGTCAATGGGAAATAGTTCTTTAAATCTTTGTGGCCCTGAAAAAGGTTCAAAATCAGTTTTTTTAAAAATTAAATTACCGGCTTGGCTGAATCTCGGCGCGATTTCTTCGATGAGAAAAAGTTCGCAATTTTTTTCCGGGACCTCACCGTCCTGAATTAAAAGTAATAAAGCCATTAAGATATATATTTTCAAGGCTTGAAAGAGGTTGGTTCTGTTCAAAAATCGTTCAAGCAAAAAATGCATTTATTTTTTCAAAATCACCTCTTTCCACCTCGCTCCTTCCAGTAACGTAACCACTAATCGCCCAAATGGATCTGTCTCGTAATTCTAAAATCATCAAAATCAATAAAACAATGCCAGGTAGGTTTCTCACCTTTTCATCAGCTATGAAATCAACAATTTTTAAAAATTTAGGTATAATTTCTGATTCGTCCAGCAAATGACAGGCCAATGGTAACCGACCGTGGACTTTTTCGAACCTAAAAAAATTATTCTCATTTATTTTTCTATTGAAAGGTGTTTCAGACTCACTTATACTTACACATTTCCCCAGCTAAGAGGTCCATTTCAATCATATCGGCTATAACTTGAAGTTCTCTGTATTTCAGTGCGAATCTTCAAAAAAAGGCCTTTTTTTAGAAAAATATTAAAAGAAACATACATTGAAACTATGTTGAGGAATTCCTCTTTAATCGATTGAAAATAATTGTCTGTTCGTTTCGAGTCTCTCCCCTCTCTAACTCTCCTCATTAATCCTTCAGGGTCCATGCCACCCGGTAAGATTGGGGGAAGTCCCTGAAAATATATGGTGATGAGAAAAATGGGACATTTTTTTCTAAAATCAGTGTAGAACTTCTCAAATTTGACTTCAAAACGTGAAAAATAAACATTTCTTGAACTTTCAATCAGACATTTTTTGTGTGTAGAGGGAATACGAAAACGACATGAAATATAATGAATTTTAAATTTTTGTAACCATTTTATGACTTATACATTTCTCTCTCATAATTCATCACTTTTAAGAAAATCAAGCAATGAGATCAGTGTAAACAAAAATAAATTCAATCAAAAGAGGCTCTTATTAAAGGCGCATGTATGGCCGCCACGATCTACCCTCGCCGCGCAAGTTAAACCGCCCGTTCTCTGTCCCAAGCCAGCCGTGAACGGGCTCTATTACTCGTCTGGGCCTTCTTTTCCCTCTCATGCTTGTATTGCCCCTTATACGCCAGTTTATCCTTATTTTTCCGCTTAAAAAAATAGACAAAAATTCACCGAATTTCGCTTCAAGACACTTATTTTTTACGGTCTTCTTTGCAGCTTTTTAGAGCAAAAATGCAAAAAAAAAAAACTGATTTTGCAGTAGTTGTTTCCGATGTGCCTTTTAAAACGTGATCAGAGCCGTGACAAAAGAAATGCCCTACCTCAAGATGCCTCGTCGCCTCGAACATCATCCTCGGCTTTGTCATTTTCACCCAGGTTATCCAGCTACATGGTTTCACTTCAAACCGATCAAAATACGCTTTCTCAATGCCTTTCTGAAATCCTCATGATTAAATCAATAAATCGGACACGTATTTATAAAATTTAAAAAAAATCCTGAAACGGGAAGTGCAGGTATTGGAATTTCATAAGACTTGGTTTATAGGCACTTTCGAACACCCTGAATTCAAGGAAGTTGAGAAAAAGTGCGCTTTTTTCGTTCTATCCGAGTTCTGGCGCCTCAAAGTTTTCACGCAGAAAACGCATTGGATGGAAGGAGGGAATGTAGTGCGGGGCTAACTCTATCTGCTAGGAGGCGGCATGGTGTAGTTGTTAGCGGTCTAGCGCTATGGAAACTATGATGCGGGTTCGAATACTTTTGGAGGCAATCTATTTTTGCCAATTTTTTTTTTGGAAGAAATGATGAAGTTAAAGAAGATAATGAAAAAAAAAACGCTCAAAATGTTGAAGCTCACCATTTTATGTTATTTTGAGCAAGATTTTCAAAAAAATATTTTTTTTCCAGACTCTTTCTTGAAAAAATTTTAATGAACAAAAGTTCAAAACTCTTGCGTGCAAACTTTAACTCGATTAAAAACCAAAAAGGGGCACCTTTTTTTAACTTCTTTGGTTTCAGGGAGTTCGAAAGTATCTATAAACCAAGTTTCATCAAATTCCAATACATTAAAAAGTTAAAAATCTCCAAAAAGAAAAGCCTCAAAAAGTTTCCCACCTTTTCAATATCCAAAATAAGGCTTTTCAAATCGATCTGTTCGTTTTCTGGGACAGGTTCCGGAGAAACGGAAGGCTCTGGCGACGGAATTAATTCCTCGAAAGGTTCATCAACTCCGTCTCGATTGAATGGTTCCTCGACCTGGAAGATTTTCACTCAATTAATTTTTTTCATCGTTTAAGCCTCTCATTTTCAAGGAAAATCTCGCTAGCAAGAGCTTAGAAAGGCCAGAGTGGTCACTATAGGGGTTATCATTCCTTTTCTGAGATTTTCTGAAAAACTTGCCTCTCCCGAAATATTTCCTTCATTTTTCTCAATCTCCATCAACGCTTCGATATAGATGTCCCCTTCTTTCAGTTCCTCATCAACGTCATCTTTTTCAGTTTCCATAAAATTTTCTAAAAAAAAAGAAATCATTGAAATGAGAAGATATTTTGCCAGCGAGAAGGATCCAGAAAAAAAAATTCGGCAAGGTCAGAGTAGTGGATAAGGTCCGCTAAAAGGCTGCAAAAAGGCTGCAGAAAGGCAGCAGAAAGGTAGAAAAGAGGTAGCAAAAAGGCCGCAGAAAGGCTGCAAAAAGGCTGGAAAAAGGCAGCAAAAAGGTTCCAAAAGGCAGCAAAAAGAGTCCCTTTATCAAGCTTTTCATTTTTTCTGGGATTTTGAAGGCTCAAGGAATGAAGGAAAAAGGGAGATGCGGCAAAAATGGTGCATAAGGGCTGAGAAAATGGCGCAAAAAGGTAGCAAAAAAGGAGCTTTTCTATGGAGCCTTTGAACCATCACCAAAATTACTGCTTTTTCAAGGAATTGGAATCGATTTCATATCGGATTAACGAAAAGGAAGTTCATAATTGCAATAAAAGTTCCATTTATTAACCAACAAAAAGTGCGAAAAAGCCCATAACAGAACAAGGTTAGCAACAGCAACAAAAAACACGGGAAATCAACAAAAAGAGGTTCAGGAAAAGTCCTGTTTGGCGAGGAATTCCTTGGCGTAGCCCGACTCGGGAACCTCACAACTTTGCGAACAAGTGTAGATGAAAACCGAGGCCCAATCGATCGATTGTCCTGAAAGATCCAAAATTAAACTTTCAGCTCGAATTTAAGTCAAAAAACCGCTTATTTTTTCGAATCTCCTCCGAAAAAACTATAATTTCATCTTCAAAACTCTCAATAAAACTTCAAAATGTATCCTACTAAAAATCGTCTAAGAACAAGGAAAAATGAGACTATTTTGCTCAAAAAAATGAGACTATTTTGCTTCTTTTTTTAAAAATTTCCTCCGAACAAACAAGTTTAAAAAAAGGGCAAAAAGGGCAAAAATTTAATCACCGGTTTCACTAATGAGAATAGTTGGAAAATACTCGAAAATTCCTTTGCTATTTTTCGGAAACGGTAATCAGCAATATGGTCCACTTTTTCATTTTCATTAGAAGAATAAAGATCCTAATATCCTAATTTTCATCCAAAACTTTTATAAGGAACCGTTTTTACAAGGTTTCCACTGATTTTTTCAGGGAAAAACGCGAAATTTTACAAAATTCCGGTTCAAAAAATCATCCGGATTCACTAATTTCTCTCAATATTTACATCAGTTTCAGTTGAAAAAATTCTGATTTCGAAAAAATGAATAAATTTGGGTTTTCACAAGGTGTTCAGCCCTTTTTCACTGTATTTTATAGCAAAAAAACTCAAATTTTGCCAGCTTTCAGCTCGAAAAAAATTTCTTGAATTACTCATTTTTTTCTCGAAACCTTCATCAGATCCGCTTGAAAAGGTTGTGATTTTAAAAAAAGCGAATAAAATTTTGATTTCACAAGGTTTTCGGTATATTTTTTTACTGTTAAAAAAAGCAATTTTTAAAGCTTTCAGTTCAAAAAAAAACATCAGGGAATTGCTCATTTTTTTCTCAAATTTTTTTCAACAGTTTCGCTTGAAAAGGTTCTAAAAACTTGAGAAAAGCGAATAAAATTTCGTTTTCGCGAGATTTTCAGGCAGTTTTCACCGTATTTTCTAGCAAAAAGGGGTGGTATGAAAAACACCAGCAAAAAAATTGAAACGGCGACTTTTCCGATTTTTTCATATCGCTAGGGAACTTTCCGACGGCCACCTTTCCGACGGATCCCTTTCCGACTTTTTTTCTCGATAAAATCTTCGTTTTAAATCTTCCTATATAAAGTAGGTAGTTTATTCATGATTAAAACACAAAGACATAGGAAAAAAAGTAAATAGATGTCTTATAAACCGAAAAACATAAGGGAAAAAAAGTCGGAAAGAGATTCGTCGGAAAGGCGGCCGTCGGAAAGTTCCCTAGCGATATGAAAAAATCGGAAAAGTCGCCGTTTCAATTTTCGCTGGTGTTCTTTTCATACCCCCCAAAAAGGCAAATTTCACAAGCTTTCAGTCCAAAAAATCCGCATGCTTCACTAATTTCTCTCAAATATTTCACCGATTTCTCTTGAAAAATCGAAAAAAAGAAAATTACCGATGGCATCGACTTCAATGATCGACAACAAATGCGGCATCAGCTGCATTTCGAAACGTCTCGGACCGCTGCAATTTTCGCAGGGAGGAACGCTTTCCGGATCCGGCAAGGGACTTTGACAGGTAGCCGGTAATGGTTCCCCTGGAAATATCGACTTTTCGCAAAAAACTTATAGAAGCTCACAGGTATCATCTATCGAAAAAAAGGTACAAAAACTTATCATAAATTTATCGAGAAATTCGAAAAAAAAGGTCACTTTCTGCTCTCATAAACCCTTGAAAAAAATTATTCCTGATTTTTCGAAAAAAATTTTACTTATAGGTTTCTCAAGCTCAAAAAAATATCTCTGACTCTCCAAAAATTCGGTTATATTTTTTTCTTTCTCTGACGGCTGATTTGAATTTCGGACAATATATCAAGTTCTCCTAGCTCGGAAAAAAAGTTCCAAAGATTAATTTAAAACCAAAAATCATTTTTTTTTGCTGATAAAATCTTCAAATTCATTGAAACCTTCTTTTTCATAAGTTTTCATAATTTTCTTGATTTTTAGCAGATTTCAACGAATTTAAAATCATTTTTCAAGCTAAACTTCATCTTTTTTGCCCCAATAAAATTTTCTCTAAGCCATGAGAACCATTTGGGGAATAAAATGACGATAATTTATGAATTTCTTCATCATCATCAATATTTATTGGTTGTTTTAGTCAGGTGGAATCGACTAGGCGGTGAAAATAGATTTCAAAAACTTTTTTTTCCTGTAAAAACCAACCAAAACGCTTATAACGAATGATTTGCTCTGGGTTGAGGCTGACCAGCCGGTTAAACTTTTCGAATTCGCCATCTCTTTTCTGTTCCTCCGTCGCCGCCTCCAAGTCCTCCTTCGTCATGTTGGCGTTGCTCTAGAGATCCAAAATCACATTGAAAAATGAGAAAAAGACAGGAAACCTCATTCTGTTTGGCAAATTTCTTGAATTCATCCATTCGGCGCTTCCGATCTTCATCCGTCTCGTCATCCTAGGAAAAAAGGTTTTCATTAAATTAATAAATTTATTTCTGTGAACAACTTAAGTGGCCACTTGAGAAGTTACTCGAGTAAATTACCTCTATAGAGGCCCCTTCCGCTTTGAAAAAAAAACCCCTAAAGTCGCAACTAAAACCACCTCTATAGAGGCCACTTCAGCTTTTGAAAAGAACACTATAGTGGCCACTAAAACCACCTCTTTGAAGGTCATTACTCTGTCTCTGAATATCCACTACAGCAGTTTTCTTTTAAATGGCCACTAAAGTGTCAATACCCTAAAGGGACCACTAATAATCAACTACAAGACAATTATATGAAGTTCAATAGAATGCAAAAAACAATTTTTGGAAAAAAAAAACTTAAGAAGTTATAGCACATCCCGGCTAGCTTTGGATGAAAAGGGGCGTGGCCTGTCTGCGCTCACCCCAACCAGACACTGTCTCAATTTTCTAATCGTGTCAGGACACATTTTTTGAAGCCAATCGTGTATCATTTCTTTTTGCAAAAAAATCAGATGGGATTTTCTCAAAATTCACCACACAATCCTCATCCTCGTCGTCCTCGTCGTCGCTCAACTCCTCGAACATGTCGCTGTTGAGGTACTCCTGGTCGAGTTCGATGCCGAACTCCTTGAAGACGAAAGGATTGGCCGGGTTACTCGGCTCCGGCTGCTCGGCCGACTCGTCAGGAAAGACGCCGCAGCAAGTTTTGTGGGAGGCCCAGTCGACGACTTGATGGTCCCTCGAGCAGTACCTACATCGTTCCATTTTTCGGGAAATTGATGGGTTTTTGATTAAAGAGTGGACTACGACTTTTTTCAGGTTTCAGGTTGAATTTTTAAAGTATTATTTAGAGCCCAATCAACGACTTGATAGTCCCTAGAGCAGTACCTAACGTTATTCCATTTTTCGGAAAATTGAAGGGTTCGAAAGGGAAATTTGAAGCTTAAAATGAATAAATGGATTGAAAAAATGGTCGTCTTTCATGTGAACCTCTTAAAACTTGTTTCAGGGGTCAATCAACGATTAAAAAACATAAATTGAATTTCGAAAAGCTGGGAAATTCGAATTTTGAAGCAACCATAAATTTTATTTTTTAAAAACTCAGATGAAAAACGCCCTCTCAGAAAAATGGGCTAAAAAAATCTGCTTTTTCGCTTATTCTTGGTCTTCATACGATTGAAAAACGAAAAAACTTAAAAAAGTTTGAAAAAATGGATTTCAAGTTTTCTGTTATCGTAGCAAGCGCGCGTCAATCAACAAGGGCAACGGAAGACAAATTTGAAATTTGTCAAAAACTGTAAAATGGTCGAAAAATCTACTTTCCGCCCAATCCCAGCCATCAAACGAACCACGTATTCTGACACTTGGCGCATTTTTTGGTAGCAGAACAGCCGCACAAGGAGCACAGCTTGGGGCCGTCAGGCGGGAGACGAGGATCCGGGACGTCGCCGTCCAAATCCGGATCCATTGGCCCGTCGAAAGAGTAGAATTCGTTCTTTCTTGGTAAGGAACAGCGGAAGACGGCCATGTTGGAGGCGTCGTTCGGCTTAAAATTGTTTTGGATTCACTAGACGTCTTCGAAAAGAGGTAATATTTGTACTAATCTGCTCTTTGAAAAAATTTCATCTGTCGCAACTCATCAACGCAGTTTTAAAGCATTAAATAACCTTTTTCGTCTTTATTCGTAAGTTTTAGGCCTCTAGTGATTTAAAGAACTTTCCAAATGTAGACCACTGTTTTTTGTTCTACCAATAATAGTTAGCGCAGCAATGCGATGAGTTTTTACTTTAAAGGCATAGGAGCAGTAAAAAACGGTGTTTCAGTTCAAAGCTTTTCATTGCGAATGGAACCTTGAACTTGGAAACGTACAGAAGTTCCTAGTTTTGGAGAAAAAATAATTCAAAGTCGGAGAGAGGAATGCTTGAGTTCCCGCAAAAAGGGCGCTTTGCTGTAAAGTTGCTCTATGGACAACAGGCTTCGCCATCTTTCGGATTTTCGCTTTTTTCTTCGTTTTTTTTCAATTTTCAATTTTTTCTGTTGTTACCAAAGTTCTTTTTGTCACGAAAACTTTCTATTCGTGTATAGTTTGCAAGCTTTAATCGCAAAAATGCTTTTCTAGTAAAAATGATGATTTAACACAGGTTTCGATTGGGATTGCGACACTTTGTGTTTCCCTTATTATCAATGTGTGTTTTTTTGATTTCTTAATTCATTTTCAGAAAAGAAACCATTCATTTGAAACAGATATCCGGTTATTTCACACAAAATGCGAGTCTAATGAGACGTCCGCAACATCGCGTGCACGGTGTAAACAGTTGTCTGCATACCGATTCAAAGCTTTTTTCAAAAACAAAGGCGGGAAAGTAAAATCGCGTTTTTCTTCTAAAGTTGTCACATCTGTAATTTTTTTGAGTACACCATTCGATTCGCAAAGAAAAACTATATAAGATACTGCTTTCACCTGAAACCCCATTTTTTACTGCCCCTATGCCTTTAAGGAATGTTCGAAACAATTTTTGAAAAAAGAATAGAAGCAGTAAACCGACAATGAAGTTGTGAACTCCGGGCATTTTTCTAATTCAAATCTCTATTTGCGCCTAAAACGCAACGCGGACATTAGAAAAAAAAAAACTCTACGATCACTATCAGATGAACTTTCAGAAAAATCGTCACAAAAAGCAGTTTCCATCCATTTCCTACTTGAAAACCAGCCAATTACCCACTAGAACCCTTAGTGTTTATCCTGATCTTTATCTTGTGTTCTGCAACTTCAAAAATTGCACCATACAACTTATACGATCCAGCTCCAAAACACCAATTTTCAAACATTTTTCTTATAAAAAACCAGCCGAAACTTCTGAATTGTTTTTTTAGAAAAAACATTCATTTTCTGAATGAGTTTCGGGTAGAACCAAACGTTTTCCAAGGTTTTTTTTTGCTCAAAAACCAGCTGAATACCTAGAAGAACGTATCCCAGATCTTTCAAACTTCTTGCACAGCTAAAAAATACCAAGAAAAACCAGTTTACAAGCTTTTTCCAGTCAAAACCCACATTTTACTTCAGAAAGCACTTTGAATGACCAGTTTTCGAGCTATGTTCTAATCAAAAACCGCATATAGCTTTAAACCCTCCAGAAAAGTCAAATTTTCAAGCTTTGTTCAAAAATAAAACCAACAAAATTTCTACTAGAACAAAACGCAGCAATTTAAAAAGTTCTTTGGGTTTTACTCTTTGAAAAAGCAATTTATAGAATGCTTCACATTCAACTTCAAAAATCACGAGAATTATCAGTTTCCAAGTGTTTTCCTACTCGAAAACTAGCTAAATCTTCCAAAATGACAATAAAAACCAGTTTTCAAGCTTTTTCTTACTCAAAAAGCTACAAGAAAAACCATTTTTTCGACTTTTCCTAATAGAAACCATCCAAACATCTAGAAAAACCCCAGGCGGCACTCCCAAAACGGATACCTTGGAGCACTTGGGGTTGCGGCAAACGAAGACGAACAAAGAGCGATGGAACGAGTGTTCGGGCTCATTCGGCCCACTCGCATACACTTGAATTAGAAAGCACATGGGTTTTTCGCAGACCTTAAACAAAACATTTATTAGCCAACGGTTCGGGAGACAAAACGGCACAACCTTACAAATCAAAGTGTTACTGTGAGGGAGAGCTTTTGGGTTGAGCCACGACGGTTTGCCGCCGACTTTGCCCAGCGGCAGAAATTGAGAGCGTAAGCGAAATAGTTCGTTGGGAGGCAATGAAACGGGAAAACCCAAATGTACAGGTTCATCTGAAAAAAATATTCATAAATAAGTAAAAATGCAGTTTCAAATAATCTCTTTCTACCGTGTCAAAAACTAAAAAAATTTTCGATTTTGTTAGGTTGTCGAGAAACAGATTTCGTTTCACAAAGGTTAACTTCAAACAGTCATAACACGTTTCAGGAAGCAATTTTTTGACTGATCTAAAATTTATGAATAACTTTGAACCTTTGACTATGATAAAAAAATTAAGATATCAAGATAAAAAGACTGACGTTCCAAAAATTCATCAATGCATTTTTGACATCGAGTTGAATTTAGAGACATTTCTCAAAATCGCAACTTTTTAAGTCCAAATCCACCCATTTTATTTTAAATGAAAATCCATCACGTACAGTTTGAGAAACGGACATCTAGCTTCATGATGATATATAACAATCAATTATCAAAAAGGAGTCCTAAACTACTTGTCAAAGTTGAAGCATCGAAAAACGAAATCTCTTTTTTGAAAACCTAATAAAAATCTAACACAAAGTCAAAAATATTAATAACTTATGAACAAGCATTTGGCCAGTAAAAATAAAGAGATTTAAAATAATAATTTCGTCTTTTTCTAGTGTGCAAAACCAGTTGAAAACTTCGGGAAAGGTTCAATTTTTTTAAATATTTAGTAAAAAGCGGGAAAATCAGGTACAACTCAATCAAACGCCATAAAAAAGTTGTAAACAATAATTTCAATGTTTCCAGCTTTCCATTGAATGTAAAACGGTCTACTTGAAATTTTTCGAAAAGTTCAATTCTTTGAAAAAATTGCAAATTTCGGCAAAACAGATTTCTGGACGAAAATGCGCATTTTTCCTTTTTTTTCCGCATTTCTTCCCTTGCTTCTATAGAAAATCTATCATAATGAAAGCTTCCTATTAGGGAAAAATATGCAATTTTAAGCACATATTTGCCCCCGAAAACTCCAAAAAATGGCATAAATGTCTCAAAATTATTTTTTTTATGGCTCTATTTCTTCGAACTGACCATGAGGATCTTGCTGCATGACTCAGTCTTGTTTGTTCTGAGCCGCTTTCTTTTCTTCTTTCTTGGTCGCCGTCAGGATCCAGGCGATCAGGACGACGTGCACCAGAACAACTGCGCAGACGGCCGAGTAGGTCAACGAGTCGTTCGGCGTGTGGCCCAGGAACGCTGCAAAAAATGTTTCTCTTTATTTTTTTCAAAAACGAAAAAAATACTACAAAAACGCTCAAACTTCTCCGTTTTCTGACGCTTTTTTTTTCAGATTCCTGAACATTTTTTTGAGTAATTTTTTTCAGAAAAATTCGCCCAAATAAAAAAACGCTTTTAATGCTCCAAAACTCGATTAAAAATTCGAAATTAGCAAAAATATTCTCTCAGCAATCTAAAAATCAAGAAAGATCAACATACATTTTGACAATTTTTTTGTTCGAATTTGAGCAAAAAACCGATTTAAAAAATTTGTGGGATTGATTTTTTTTTTTTCATTTTCCTCGGCTTGAAACAGCTGCGGCATTTTTGGCGCCAGGTCAAAAATAACCAAGTTTCCTATAGAGTTAATCAATAATTTACACCAAACACTCAAAGGTAGTCCTCTAATATCCATGAACGCGTTCTAAAGCGTTAAGTTTTCAATTTGGCGCCAAACCGCATCGCAACCGCTTCGCTTACAAACCGCGCCGTTTCAAGCCGAGAAAAATTGGATTACACTTCCTACAGCTATTTTCACTAGAAACACGAGCTAAAAATTAATATAAACCTTCGAAAAAGTACTGTTTGAGAAGGAACATGGAGGACAAGGGCACAATCAAGATGACGAGGCTGTACGCGAGAAGGTTCTTCACGGCGCCCTGCACGCGCTCGTCACGCAAGTTCGGGATTAACTCCTCCATCTCTGCAACCACCGTAATCCATTTTTTCTCGGCTTGAAACGAATGCGCGCGAGACTGTGACTTTTTAAAGCACCGCAGAATTTAAGGTGCCGTAATTGTAGGTAGCTCTGCGACAGCTTATGCTAATTTTTATTTTTCTCCAAACTACCGAATCTTTCCCTTCGATGCGCGCGTCCTTTCTCTGTGCATGCGCCTTTAATATAACCGAACTTCAAGGCGCATACACAAAGACAGGCCGCGCGCATTGAAGGGAAGAATTTAGTCGTTATGTTAAAGGCGCATACACAGAGACATATCGCGCGCATTGAATGGAAGGTTCTTGGAGGGGTTCTGTAGCACAGAAGACAATAAAAATCGTGAAAAGCTCCCCGGGATAGGCTATTAACGTTTTTTGCGCATTTCTTCTACAAAACTGCGAAAAGACACCGAAAAACAAGGGTCTTGAAGCGAAGTTTGGTCGATTTTTAAAGGGTTTTTTTGGAGGTAAACTGGACAAGCTGACGCGGAATGAGCTTTACAGTGTGCGATTTGGTGCAATTCAAGAATTTACGCTCATTCAAGGCGGACAATCGTATTAGGCTAGTTCAGAAAGTTATATGATAATAAGAAAGAAATCAAGGTACTAAAAATACAGACGCTACTTTTAATCGGTTAGATAGTTCCCTAAAAAAACGCAAAATAAAAATAGGAAAACTATTTTTCGAAATTTATCTTCATTCATTCGAAAATAGAAAATTACGTTTTTCTGTACTTTTGACATGAATCGATCATTTTTGTTAGAGTAACCTCAAAAAAAGGATAATCCGAATCGACGCCAAAATCGCCTGACTCATATAATTTTCGACACCAAAGTTTTGGTCCAATTTTTTTTCGAAGAAAATCCGATGATAGGAACAAATTTTGGTTCCCCGAATATTCGGGAGCGTTAATTGTGCATACACCAATCTTGGATGCTCGAATCTTTGAAAATTTGAATCTTTGAAAACGAATCTTGGGAATGTTCACCTCTTTTTTGAATTTCCATCTTTTCTTTCCTTCATTTTTTTTTCCTTTGTCGTTCTATTGTGAGGATGTCGTGTTTCGACCACAAATGAACTGTGTGTTTGTTTTCAACTAACTTTTTTATCAAATAATGCGTCTTTCTCGCATACAAGTAGTCAAATATTCGCTACAGAACGGCTACCACATTTTCATTCACTCTGTATACATTCTCCATCGATTTCCGTTTTCAAAAAAATTGGAAAAACTATAAAAATCAGAAAAGAAGGGAATATTCCTAAGAATCGTTTTCAAAGATTCAAATTTTCAAAGATTCGAGCATCCAAGATTGGTGTATGCACAATTAACGCTCACAAATATTCGTGGACCCAAAATTCCTTCCTACCATCGAAAATCCTTGAAATCTTCAAATTTTCGTTTCAAGCCGAAAAAAATTGGTTATACAAATTAAACACGTACAGGGCGCTCAGAACGAATTTTGCATAATCGCGTGGAGTTTCCAAAAAGAAAAACAACAACAAGTAATCACAGCGATATGACACGCACGATAAAACAAAAAAAAATATTATGATTTATAATGAAGGCTTTATTAACCGTGTGAAGCATGAGGATTCATTCCAAGTGAAGTCGTCCGTAGGAACAGGAAAAAAGGTACAAATATTGGGGAAGCTAACAAGAATAAGCTCTAAAATTCGCTCTAATTTCAATTTTTCGGAGCAGCTTTCGCTGTTCCGAACTATTTATGATACAATGTACATGATGGAATGTGGTATATATATTTCTTTTTCGAAAGAATCCGTGTTCAAGTCGCTTTCTTCCTGGAAAGGACCAATTTCTCGGCGTCTTTCTCTTCTTTGTACGCCGTGTAGACGAACAAGGCAGCAATGAGAATAACGACGGCGGCGCCGCTCAGACCGGCGTAAAGCATCGCTTCCGATGGAGGCAAATGGCAGATGTCTGTAAAGAGAATGAGCTCATAAAACTGAACTTTTTATGGAAAATGATCAGTCCTACACGATTTATAAATGTTTGAAATACTTTACAATACAAGCATATTTAGAGAAAATTACGATTTTTGATATCATGAAATACGCAAAATCAAAATATCGAGAACAGTTAGAAAAATTGGGCCCTACAACGATATCTCAAGAATAGGCTTTTAGGCGCCAATTTAAAAATGCCTAATTTTTTTTTTTTTGTTTTTGAGTTCCCCGCATAAGAGTCGTTATCTCGCCTTGCAACCAAATTTTTCTAAAGGCTCCCGAAATTCTGATTTCGCGTATTTTTCGAATAAGTTATACAAAAAACCCGTCAATTTCAAAATCACCGAAATTACTTTGAACACATCGCATTGGCCTGTGAGAATCTTGAAAGTAAAGGTTTGAAAATGAAAATTCTCGATTATACACTTTCTGCTAAATTCCTTAAACGCATTAGAAATCAAGTATTTCTTTTAATAAAAAATTCTGAAAATGTCATACCAAATTTCATTTCAAAATTCACAAGTTGATTCATGATTCATAGAAAAATCTTCTCTGAACAAAAATTGATGTATTTTTTTTTTCATCTATCTTTTTTCCCACCTTCATGCTTTCCGCGCAAGACGGTCCCTTTTTAAAAACAGGAAGTAAAAGGCTACCGTAAATACAAACTTCTGTTCTACAAAACTGCTGAAAAGACAGCAATAATGGTCTTAAAGCGAAGATGATCAACTTTGATTTAATTTGGTACACGGTATTTTTGACGGAACGAAAAAAAAATGACAAGCTGCCGCGAATCGACTCTAACTAGTACGCAAAAATCGATGCAAAAAGTAAAATTTTGAAAATCAACCCGCTTGTAATCAACTCCTAAACGTTATGATTCTGACTTTCCCTTTTTAAAATTTTGCTTAGAAAAGCGGAAAAGATCAAAAACTTTATTGATCTTTCCTTTTCCTACTCTTCGAGCATGTGTTACGCAAAAAATCGATACATAAAACTTCACCCTAAATTTTTGAAAGTATCATCTTTTTCTTACCGTTAAATTTCTTACGCCTACTCTTTATAGTATTTCCTAGACGGAAAAGCTCAAAAACGAACCAATAAAAACGTAGTGATACATTGAGAACATGGTCAAAAGCGGCAAGACGAACATCATGGCCGAGTAAAAAATGAGGTTAGAAATCGCGCGGCGAGTGTCATCCGCCGTGTAGAACTGCTCCTAAAACTTATAAAATTCATTTCGAAGCGACTTTTTTTTTTCAAAACCTGATCGGGTCTAATCGGGGCGTTCAACATGTCCTCGACGATATCTTCAGCCGTTTTCTCCTCCACAACTTCTTCGTTGTCGGCATCCCGTTCGAGCGATGGGAAAGTTGCGACCTCGTTGAGATTCTTCTCGGTCTGTTCTTTCTCCTCTTTCTCAACTAGCTTTTCCTTATTTTGCTCGACTTCTGGATCCGCTTCAGAAGACGTTGAGATCTTCCGTTCTGAAATTAATAAGTTAAATGTTGAAAATGGATCATTTTATGAAAATAAGAAAGAATATTACGAAATCTAAAAGGATTTTGAGCATCAAGTGTTGTTCTATTCTGAAATTTTGCTATTTTACTCCAATTCTCTGTAAAATCAGTTTATAATAAAACTTGGTTTATAGTCCTCAAAAACCCATGGAATCTTTTTGAGATATTTAATCCAGCTTTTTTTGAGATATTTAGTCCAGCTTTTTGAGATATTTAAATGTTCGTGGACCAAATTTATGCCGCGTTCAAAGTAATTTCCGCGAAATTCAAAATACCCGTTAGAGAAAGGAATATATCACTAAATTTTGGAGAGTCAGAGATCATTTTGCATTTCGCGGAAATTACTTTGAACACGGCATTAGGAAATTTTGAGTCGAATGAGTGTGATATTGAATTTTGAAACTTTTCCCAGGAAGTTTGAAGGCGCAGAAGCCTTGTAATACCTCTAAAAACACGAAAAAAGGCTCATCGCTTCAAAATTCAGAAATTCGCGTTTTTGATACAAAGAGAAAAATAATATAAGATAATAAAAAGATGATAAGAGAGCTTAAATTTGACTTTGGCAGTTAAAAAAAAAATTTCTAGCTGTTTTAAACGGACTATAAAACAATATTGCGAAATATAACAGTCCCAAAAGCAATTTTACATTTTTCGTAAGTTCCACGTGATTACCTGAGCGCTTATGAGTGAAAAACATGAAATTTTCCAAAAAAAAAAGAGAAATATAACATTCAATTCCATATAATAATAATATCCACTCGCGAATTCTAGGATCAATTCAAAAATTACCATTGACAGGGCTTGGCGTATCCCTGCGCTTCTCAACGAGATTCTCAAAGTCCGACGTCGACGACTGGGAGGACGATTTTCTGTCGCCATTCACAATTTCAAAATCGCTTTCGTCAACACCCGACATCTTTTCTATTGAACAATACACATATTTATGAACAAAGAAAAGCACGAGAACGCGGAAAAAAGTTGAAAAAGACCCGTAAGAATTTCAACATGCGCTCATCGCTCACCTTTCTGCAGTGTGCAGGCAGACGGCCGCGCGATCGTATACACATCGAAAATACATACAGTAGGAAGGTGAATTCAAAATTTCAGAGTTAGGAGGTGATTAATATTTAGAAAAGGGTTATAGCAAATTGGCATGCACACTGGGATGATACAAAACGGTGACGGACGTCGATTTCTTGTCATTGTTCGCCTTCACCAGGCCCATGTGTTCCAGGTGGCTGATTGCGGCGAAAAACGCACCATGTGCGTTTTGGCCCGCTCCGAACTGAAAAAGTTTTTTTTTCCTTCATAGGCAATTATTTGGAGAATTTTTTTTAGGTCCATCATTGATTTGAAAACGCTAGGGCCTCAAAATGCTCTAACTTTCGGATTTATTCGGGTACATTTTACCCTGAATTCGTGCGTAAAAGTCGCCATTTCGCAGTAAGACCCGATTTTTTTTTCATGAAATGTCAATTTTGCGTAATTCGCGCAATCATTTCCAACAAAAAAAACGTGAATTTCGGACTAAATTTTTTTTTTTCTTGAACTTTGTCAGCCCCATGACTTTTATAGTCTGTTCAGATTCAGTTTCAGATAGTCAATTCGTCGCTCAAGCTCCGCCCCTATAGGCACGAGAAACCAATGAGAGAGCGAGCCATCTATAGAGCGTTTGCAAATGACGTCATTCTACTTGACATTCAAAATCTGAACAGACTATATAGTCGATTTACGGCTAGCTTAAGACACTAAGGGGCGTGGCCTGTCTGCGCTCTCCACCAACCAGGCACTCTCTCTTACTTCTTCGTGTCAGGGCCCTTTTTTTCGTTGGCTCAAGCCAGCCGTGAATCAGCTCTATAACTAACTCCTCGAACACCAACATCTTCAACAAACGCCTTGGCCCAGTCGCCCAGCGACACGCTTTTCCACTTGTTCTGCTCCAACAAGGATCGCCACGCAATGGATGTTGGATCCCGGGAAAACTTCTTGTCGGCGAGCAAGGTTTGCTCCAGGTCGACCTCACAAGCCGAATCGAGCTTGGAAAAGTCGCAATCGATGACATTGGGCCAATCGGAAGGCCAGGGGGTGAGGATTCTTTTGAAGAAGCTCTGAAACGAAATAAATTCATAATAAAATACACATTTTTTGGGAAAATTTTTAGTGGCCACTATAGTAGTCAAATTAGTGACCGCTTGAGAGGTTAAAAATTAGTGGCCACTATAGAGGTCTAAGTGCTACTTTTAAACCATTAAAAACTTTAGTGGCCACTTTAGGGGTCAATGGATCAACATAACTGGTCCAATCTGTTTGTTTTAAAGTTATCAGAGTTACTGGAAGGAATATTGGATGAAAAACTACTGAAGTGGCTACTAAATAGAGACCTATATAGGGGTCTTTAGAACGGAAAATAGTGGGCACTTAAGATGTGGGTTTAGTGGCCACTTTAGTGTCCTTGGCGAGCCTCTATAGAAGCCACTAAAAATTTTCCCAGTTAGGCCAAAAACACAGCTTTACATCGAAAACCAACCATAACGTGCTCGAAAATGTCATTTTTCACGGCTTTTTGTGGATTCTCCATCTTGGCCTTCATCATATTCCGCTGCATCTGCAGGAAACTGTTCATGCCCATCTTTTTCGGCGCAGATCCGGGCGTCGATGGCTCCGCTTTCTCGGGAGATGTCTAGAGATTCGTATTTATTCAGCAAATTTAGTGGGAAGAGTACATCTTTCTGGGGTGATTCATTTCGGAAACGATCGTAGAAATAGTCCAAACCAGCGCACCATTCCTCGTCGATTTCCGCCAGTTCAGATTTCAAAAATTCGACTAGAGAATGTAGGGATAGATCTTCTTTGCTTTCGAATGTTGCTCTTTTCCAATCCCTGAAAAAGGGATCATTGAAAATTCTTTTCTCACAGGAAAAATTCCAAGCGAAATTAAAAATTGCAAAAATTTGCCCTTGCGAGTACCGAAAAAGAGACGAAAGTTTTCTCAAATCTCAATTTTCCTTAAATTTCGCAAAGTTCAGGAAACCTTCCAAGTTTCTTAAAAGGATGAAAAAAATTCAGAGTTTCCTTAAATTTCTTATATCACACTTTTTCGTAAAGTTCGGAAAAATCTTTAAAAATACCTTAAAAAGGATGAAAAAAATCTCTCAAGCTCCAAAAAAAGTGCCAAAATTTTCAACTAGTCTCAATTTTCTCCACCTTTTCGCAAAGTTTTGAAAGCCTCTAAACTATCTTAAAAAGAGAGAAAAATCTTTTTCAAGTAACAAAAAAATCTCCGAAATCTTCTCCAAAGCTCTTTTTCTTTAAAAAAATTTTTGAAAAAAATTACCTCTTAAAAAATTTTTTTTTCCATTTGAAGAAACCATAATCTCCATATTTTTTAGCAACTTTATAGCTTCTTGAAAAGGATTATCCAAGGATTTTAAGAAGAAAAATCTTGGAAGCTCTTTTTTAGGCTATTTTTTTTTGAATGCATTAAGGTGCGCAAGCTTATGGCCAAGATTTCACAATCAAAACGGCGCTTAGTTCCAAAAATCTTTTTGAAAGTTCTCCATGCACCTTCAAAGACTCAAGCTAACATTTTCAAAAAAATCACCCTGCCTAAAATATTTTTCATGCACCTTTTCAGATCTTTAAAGATGACATTGCAAAGATTTTTTACAGAAATTTTTTGGAAATTTCATTTTTTTGTAATTGGTAAGGGCGCAGAAGCTTACGACCTAAAATTTACAATCAAAATGGCACGTCGCTTCAAAAATATTATTTGAAACGTCTCAATGCTCCTTTAAATTCCCCATTTTCCTATACAGTACCGCTCAAAAAGTCTATTAAGTTTTGGTTTTTTTGAGGATATCTCAGCGAGTACTCATCCGATTTATATATAACTTTCAGGGATTATGTAAAAATATACTTTGAAACATATACGGTATACAAAGACATGTCCGCAATCACTGTGACGCGTTTTAGGCATTTTTTATTGAATTCAATTTTTTTGTTTTTTTATGCTTTTATTTTTATTTATTTCTATTAAATTTTTTAAAAGTAATAATGTTGCCATATGTTTTTTTTCATGTTCTCAGACATGGGAAGAACCTCTGGAAAAAAGGATTTGACTGATAACGACAAAAGAGCCATCGTTGTGGGTCGTCAAAATGGACTGACCATGATGACGTTGGCAGGAATGTTCGGCGTGACAGAGGCAACCGATCCAAGACTCAGCGTCCCTGCGATCAGACGGGAAGTTTGCTTGAATTCGCCATCTCCGCCATCCGTCTCGACCGTGAAACAACGTCTGAATGCTGCTGGAATCATGGGAAGACGTCCAGTGAAGAAACCGCTGATTTCTGAAAAGAATCGAGTCGCCAGGGTGAAGTGGGCGAAGGAGCATCTCAACTGGACCCGTCAAGACTGGAACAAGATTCTGTCGTCCGACGAAACGGTCCTCCACCATGTTTCACAAAGGGTAATTGGTATTTCGGATGATATCTGGACCCAATTGGTCTACGAACTCATTGAATTCCGTCACTTCCGAAGAGGAGGAACTTGATTTCGTCGGACGACAGAATCTTGTTCCAGTCTTGACGGGTCCAGTTGAGATGCTCCTTCGCCCACTTCACCCTGGCGACTCGATTCTTTTCAGAAATCAGCGGTTTCTTCACTGGACGTCTTCCCATGATTCCAGCAGCATTCAGACGTCGTTTCACGGTCGAGACGGATGGCGGAGATGGCGAATTCAAGAAAACTTCCCGTCTGATCGCAGGGGCGGTGAGTCTTGGATTGGTTCTAGACGTCTTCAAAATGTTCCTATCGTCATTACGATCAGTGACACGTGGTCTTCCAGTGCGTTGGCTGTTAGTAGAGCCATCTTGAGCTTTCTGACGCTTCAGGAACTGAGAAATGCCCGCCTCTGTCACGCCGAACATTCCTGCCAACGTCATCATGGTCAGTCCATTTTGACGACCCACAACGATGGCTCTTTTGTCGTTATCAGTCAAATTCTTATTTCCAAAGGTTCTTCCCATGTCTGAAAAACATGAAAAAAATCATATGGCAACATTATTAATTTTAAAAAAATTTAATAAAAAAATAAATAAAAAAATAAAAAGCATAAAAAAACAAAAATGGAATTCAATAAAAAAATGCCTAAAAACGCGTCACAGTCATTGCGGACATGTCTTTGTATACCGTATATGTTTCAAAGTATATTTTTACATTATCCCTGAAAGTTATATATAAATCGGATAAGTACTCGCTGAGATATCCTCAAAAAACCAAAACTTAATAGACTTTTGAGCGGTACTGTAAATCCACCTGAAATATTGCTCATCCGTCGCTTTATCCCAAAACTCCTTATCCGTCTGGATTTCGTAGTGGAACTGAAAATAATTGATTTATTCTCTCTGCATTTTCTTTCTAATGAAACCTGAATCACAAGTTTCGTCCTTTTCATCATCTTTGCGTAAATTTTGATAACCTTGCTGTATTGTTCAATCCTCTCATTATTTTCAGCAGATTTCTGAAAAAAACTGTTTTTTGAATAAATATAGAGTGATTTAACCTGTTTCCAAAGCGGATCATCAATATATTTTGATAAAAACGCGTAATGAACAGCTCTTGACAAGGCGGCTACTGAATAATCACACGTGAAGAAGCGGTTTCTTGAAAAGAGACCATTAAAAGTCAATTATTTTTACAGCTAGTTATAAATCCTTGATCTTATGTTTAAAGGCGCGAAAATCTTGCATTGAAACTGAAATAATTTTCCTCTGAGCTAAAATTTTAAAGGTATCGAAGAGAAAAGCGGATCTCACATTGTTATTTACCATGTAAATTGGATGGTGAAAGAATTTACGGCTTGAAGCATCGCAGCAAGGATTTCCACGCAGTCTTGTCACTATTTTTTAATTCCTTCGAGTTACAGAACCCTCACTTTCAATGTGTGCGGTCAGTTGCGGTCCATGCGCCTTTAATATAAGATCGATTTTGAGGATAAATTAAAGGCACATGCACAACTGAGCTACATAATCCTTCAGGAAACATGAGTGATTTTGAGGAAAACTGAAAAGCGCATGAACAGAGACAGGCCTCGATCTACCAAGAAAAGAGTTTTTTTCAGTTCTTATTGACTTTTAGCTTTTATAGAACGATATCTACGAAAAAAACCGGATCGAGAATTCGCATTCCCAGAATTTTTCAATCAAAGGTTTGCAAAAAAAAGTTCTAACCATAAAAACATCTAAAAAACGAATTTTCATGGATAAAAAGTCGGATTTTTTTAACTTTGGAGGTCCTGCGCTATGACGGGAAGCTTCCCATCGATTTACGCGAACTACTTCTGGGGATGCACCTTTAGTATAACGTTGATTTCAAGCTAAAAAGAGAAAAATAAGCCATCGAAGGGAAAGGTTCTGTAGCTTAGAGCGCCACGAAAATCGTAACAATCCGGCGCGAACTGAGCTACATACACAACGAATTCCAAACCTCAAATATTTGAGAAAATTGCCGGAAAACACGGCCGGGAGAATATTGATATTCATGACTTGGTCGAAAATCTGCTTGGGGTCGGTGAATGTGAACTGTTTCAACGTCAAGCTGTTGAGAGTTTCGTTGGCACAGGAAGATTTCAGGAAAATGACGCTGGTACAAATGCATACGACCAATCGGAGAGAGGATATCCTTTTTCGGAGAGAAGATTTCGAGAAAATCAACGCCGTCAAATGGTCCAGAGTACTTGGATTCAGGGCTTCAAATTGTTGGATCACCAAGACGCAGAGGCCTTTCTGAAGAAAAAAAAATGATTTAACTCTAAAGAACTGCTGATAAAAAAAATGTTATGTTAAAAAAAATTCTGCGAGGTTCAAAATATTCGTTAGAGAGTGAAAATAGACAACTAAATTTCGGAGAGTCAGAGACAATTTTGAGTTTCGCGGATATTTCATCGAACACCTTCCATTTTTTCGTATCGCTAAGTAGCTTTTGCCGTGTTCTAAATATTTTCAGCATTTCCGAAATTAACCTTATACAGTATTATTATAACGGAAACGCAAAAAAAAAGAAATAGATGAATAACAAAAAAAAACTTTAAAAAAATCTGAAAGTTCCGCATTATCAAAAAACTAATTAATATCGAATAACAGCGAAAAAAAACTTAAAATCTCACACTTTCACTGATCCTGTCAATAATCAGGTGAAGTTCATCAAGTTCAGTTATTTTAATAACTGTTGCGCCTCGAACTTCGACCAACAAATCTTCTTTCACATCGCCGATGACTTTTGAGACATCGGAGAAGTTGCACTGCACCACGGCGGTTTTCAACAAACCAGAGGAACCTTAATAATCAACCAAATACACTAAAACATTCTAAAAACCAACTCGTGTCAAAAATATTGTTCAGTTTTTCTTCTTCCTCATCAATTAAATAATCGACAATGGGCCGAATGGATTCCTTGTAGCTTTCCGCTGTTCTCGCAGTGATTTTGTCCCCAAAAATTCGTCACATCGTCGATAAAATTGCTCAAAAAAACTGGAAAAAAACAAAAAAATTACGTATTTTTTTTCAAAAAAACCTCGCGTGACTTTTCTTTTTTTCGCTAGCATCTCTTCGTCTTCCTCCGTGAAATTGACGGCTTTTTCGATGACATCCAGATTGAGTTCGACTTTTTTGTGACCATTGTGAAAGACAATACCGCTGGCCATATTTGAAAATTTAATTTTTTAAAACGAAAAAATGAAATTTCTCTCTTCGATTTGAATTTCGCGCGCACAAAATCGATACGTTGGAGCGATTTTCCTCCTTATGTGCAGTGGAAAATTTCAACCTTTTCAGAGTTTCGAAAAAAGTTCGACTGACAAAGGTCATAAAAAATAACTTCTCTATGGAAGGAAGGAAGGGTGTGGCTATGCATCGAAAAGCGAAAAACCATAACTTTAATAGCTTCTCCGATAAAGATTTTGTGATAAAAGAACTTCCCGCACTGGAATAATTTCTCCCATATGCTGTTATTCTTGTTGATCACCTCAGCAGCAGGTTCTTGTTTGTTTTAAAAAAATATTAAAGAGTTTAGCCCTGCCAACATGTCCCTTGGCGGACCAAAACTGGCTGAGATGTGGTTCTCGGTCAGTTTTCCAGATTGATACCAGTACTTCGATGATAAATCCTGCGAATGTGGAGAAGGTTTGGTGAAATCTTCTCAAAAATACAGGCTCGAGCGATCAAGTGGTCCCTACAGGGGTCTTTCAATTTTTGTTCAATTTACAATTTATTCAGTCTTCAGAGTAAGATGTAGAAGAAATCTCTGCTGAATCATGGTATAATCGAAGAGTTAGTCGTCGGCGCGGGTTAAGGTCCACAATCGTTGTTCAATAAAGCCCGGCGTGACAGCTGGAGTTGGGAAATAATGTGGTCCCGTTGGTAGTACCAGCGAATGAACTGCTTCACCATGTTGGAACAGTACGGCCTAGGAAAGACTAGAAAAAATTTAGGGGGTCCCTATAGGGATTTGGCCATTTCAGGGCCCCCATAGGGGCCTCAGAGCTTCGCTTGAACCCTCTAAACTTTTATTAGGAGCAAAATAATCCAGAAGAAAAAACCTCCCAAACTAATCAGAAGAAATTTAGCAATTCAACTTCATTTCTTCGTCGATCCTGCCAACACTAGACTACAACACGCCTCAATTGGTATGAAAAACGACAATTTCAAAAAAAAATATCGAAGAAAGACGGCTTTCACGAGTTTCGGCAGCGGCGCCCCGGCCAACGGCTTCACCTCGACTTTGCAAGAAGCCTGTATCCAATTGAACACCCTCAACTCGAACTCGAACCTTGCTGGCCTCCAGCCGACGTCTTTGACCGAGTGAGGAAGGATCAAACCTTATCTTTTGACTTTTATTGCGAGTTTCAGTTTTTTTAAATCAGGGGTTACGGTCATCATGCAGTTGTTAACAGATTACGGTATTAGAAATAAGAAGAGACATCGAAATTGATTCAAAATTCTTCAAACTAAAAATCTTCAAAGAGGGATTTTTTAACGACATCAAAACCTACTGATCGCGAAACATGTTGCGGTTCAATTTAGGGATTCAAATTTTGCTTCGAGAAAAGGTCCGCGAAAGTCGCTTTGGGTCGGGTGCAACAACCGTTACCGGCTCAGCCATTCCAGTCACTTGTTAAAAGTTCAAAAAAGGGCGTGACCAGCCAATCAGAAAAATATTTAGTTATAGTGCACTTTTAAGACTAACTTTTTACGAAATAAAAAAACTTTTATTCTTTGCAACCTCACCTTTTTTATGGAAGTTAGTTTTGAAACTCGAAATGTTCACTGTGACTTTTTTTGATATTATTTACTGTAGCGGCTATTTTTTCCAACACTGTTCTGTAGCGACCTCAAAAAGTTCCCTTTAGTTATCTTTTTCCCAACACTTCAGTTTATTGTAGCGTCTATGTTCAACACTATGCAGACTACTATAGCAACTTCTTTTCTTAAAAATATTCACTTTACTGTAGCTACCATTTTCTCAATAAAAATCAGTTGCCTGTATCGACTTCATCATACAGTTTACTTTAGGGATCATTTTTCCCCAACATTGTCAAGTTTACTGTAGCTACCATTTTTCAATGATATTTAGGTTAGTGTAGCTATTATTTTTCCAATAAAACTTAGTTGCCTGTAGCGACCTCATACAGTGTACTGTAGGTATCATTTTTCCCAACATTATCAAGTTTACTGTAGTAACCATTTTTTCCAATACTATTTAGTTTACTTTAGCTATAATTTTTTAAAAATGAAATTCAGTTCTCTGTAGCAATCTCATATTGTTTACTGTAGCTACCATTCTTTCCAACACTATCCAGTTTACCGTAACTGCCATTTTTTCAATATGCTCAGTTGTCTGTAGCGATAACGACCTCATACAGTTTACTGCAAAAATAATTTTTTCCAACGCTACTCAGTTTACTGTAGCGTCCTTTTTTCTCAATCCACCTTTCAGCCTTCAATTTCAGTGCTCTGTCCTCATTCCGTTCAGCCTACGTGGCCTACCTAAAATCAATCTCATTGATCCTGTTCACTGGGAGCTCGTGAGTGACCTTTCAATCAATATTTGAAAGAAAATCTACAGAAATCAGTCCGAAATTGACTCGGCTGGAAACTACGCCAAAAACTACCTGATTTCCACTAAAATCGTCATTGTCTCCACGTCAAGCTCTGAAGCTTCCTTTTCAAGCTTTCCCTCTTCGACAATAACTTATCGCCTTCCAAATGGAAACTATGGAAATTATCCTGGCCTGGGCCAGTGTCTTCAGCAAGCTTCATGCGGAAAGAGGAACTTTTGTGAGTTTCTATCTGATATGAGGAGTATGAGAAAATAGCCGCGGAAAAAGTTATCAGTGGAGCGCAAAAGTTGTAGATGCCACAACATTCAAAAAAAGGGGCGTGTCCAACCAAAGAGAGACTTAGTTCTTCACAGAACACTTTCCGAAAAAAAAAACGAAAGCGAGAGTTCAACATCGCTAGAGATCGAGAATTTCTGTGTTTCTCTGGCGTCTCTTCAGACAGAGACTGATCTCTAGCTTCGTCTTCTGGTTTATTTTGGACAGGGTGGGACAAAAATCGAGCACCTCCTTACGCAAAACCGAAAGACCGTGACTCTCTGAAGAGACTCCAGAGAAACGAGAGAACTCTTACTTCTCTGGTGTCTCTTAAGATGAACACTTGCCTCTAGCTTCTTCTTATAGTTCTATTTGGACAGGAAGGAATGAAAATAGAGCTTCTTCTCACGCGGAACCGAAAGACCGTGGCTCTCTGAACAGACTCCAGAGAAACAGAATGACTCTCGCTTCTCTGGCGTCTCTCCAGATCACCTCTGTTCTCTCGCTTCCGATTATTATTGAAATTGAAGACATATTCCCAAAAATTCATACTTGATCATCTCCATTTTCCCAGGCGACATCACCAAAGTTCCTTCTCCACCTCCACCGACGTCACCCCTTCCAACCCTGGCCCCGCCCATTCCCGACCCTACCTGTGGCTGCGAACCCTCAAGCGCCTACTTGGATGTCGTCTACCTGGTCGAATCGACAGCTCTAACGACGCCAGATGGCTTGAACTTTGTATTTCAAGAAAAAAAATCCAGGAAAAATCTGAAAATTCAGATGCTCGACTACATTAAGAGTTCGTTGAGAAACTTCACAGTGGCCCGGACAACTGATGGAATAGATGTGAGTACTGTAGATAGTAGATACTGTAGATACTGTAGATGTATCATATGATTTTTAGCACTTTAATATATATTTCTATTCCTCAGACATGACTACGAGTGCTCCCTGTTTGAAATTAAACGTGTAAAAATGTCTTTTCTCTTTTTTTTTTTGCCAAACCGCGTCATAATTATCGACTCATTCCGATTTTTGACGATTTTTCGTGAAAAAAATCCTTCTGGGAGTCCAGATACATAAATTTCTACAGAACTGCCATATTTTTCACTTTATTATAATTTGCTATTCCTCAGGCCACACTACGAGTGCTCCCTGTTTGTTATAAAAGTATAAAAATGTCCTTTCTTTTCTGCCAAACTGCGTCATAATTATTGACACGTTCCGATTTTCGCCTATTTTGCGTGAAAAAAACCTCCTCAAAAATGTTAGAATTGTTCAAAATACTTAAGTTTTTGAAAAGCTGTCCTTTTTTTCTGCTCTATTATGATTTTTTTCTCTTGGACCTTCTTTACGAGTTCTTCCTTTCTAAAGTTGAAAATAGGAAAATTGAAACTGCGTCATAATTATTGACTCATTGCGGTTTTCGACGATTTTTGTGTAAAAATCCTTCTCAAAAAGTGTCGCAATGCTACAAAATATTCGAATTTCTGTAAAACTAATACATTTTCCACTTCTCAGGCTTCTCTACGAGTTGGAATCATCCAATACGGCGACACGGTCAGGGTCTATGCGGGTCTTGGGACGATTTCGGGCGCTGATATTGAAAATATCGCCCAGCTTCTGCCTGGCACCGGCCTAACTCCGCAATTTCAGAGGTCTTTTCTCCACAAAGAAAGGGACTAAAATGGGCTTTCAGCGGGTTCAAGAAGGCCTACTCCCAGTTCAACTCAACTTCCAGGGATTTCTTCGTTCAGAGAGTCATCGTCGTGATGGCTTCATCATTGACGTGAGATTGAACATTCAAAAATCCATTAAAATACTGAGAATATGATTACTTTCAAGTTTCCTGAAAAAACCTTTTTGGAAATGCAAACTTGAGTGCTTCTTAAGAACGCTAGAGCGGTCCCTATAGGGATTTAAAGGGGGACGAAAAGTGCTCCCTATAGGGATTAAATTTAAGTGGTCACTATGTGACTCCTATGCTCCTAAAGATTAAGTGCCCCCTATAGGGGTATTCAAATTTCCTTTTAATATTTGAAAAATTGAAAAATACGTATTCAATAAAAACATGATCGATTAATTCTCTGTTGCCCCTATAGGGAACACTTTGGATTTCCTCAAAAAAAGGGGGCGTGGCCAGCCAATCACAATTATTGTTCGTTAAAGCACAATTGAAGCCATTGAGAAGCAATATTAAAAATAATCTCAATTTCACCATCAAAAATATTTTCTTTATGGAAAAAATCTCGCTCAAAAAATTTTTTTCAGACCCCAAGATCAAAACGCTCAAATCGTCCAACAATTCCTCGAAAGTGGAGGCGTTTTAATGACTTTTAGTGGGTAGAAAAAAATTAAAATGAATAAAAAATCATGAAATTCAGATTATATCGCCCCAGGGGGTCTTCCTTCCCCTCAACTACAACAAATGGGATCGATTGGTTATAAATTTTCGTCGAATGATCCTCCGTCAACGCTTCAGGATGCTTTTTGTGACGGTAACTTAGGAATATAAAGCTTGAAAAATATTTTAGAATTAAAAAAACTTAATTACCATTATTCTTAGAAAAAAAGGGTTGAAAAGTGCTTTTTTTATTTAATAAATCACTTTTTTTTTATCACCAAGTGCGCTCTATCGCGAATCGCTCTCTTTTTGCAGAAGACCTTGGAATTTGAAAAAAATATAAAAAAATAATTTTTTTTCACTATTCTATCCAAAATTACAAAAAAATCCCTTTTTGTAAAAAATGTCTCATTATTCGAAATTCTAAAAAAATCTGTTATTTTTTTCCGAAATTTTTGTTGCTAAAGCTCAAAAATACATTGAAGAAATCGATGTAATATTATTTTTAAAAAAATCGAGTATTACTTTTTTTGTATCCTTTTTGAAACGGGAAACTACTGCTTAACAACTTTTATCGTTGAAGCGCACTTGGAAATGAGAAAAAAATACCAGTTTATGAATTTTTTTCAAAATTTCTTTTTCAATGTTCTAAGAAGAAGGTACAGTCATGTGTTAAGAAAAAAACTATTCTTAAACTTTTAAAAAAATCTGCAAACAAATTTTTTTTTAAAAATTAATGTACAGTTCAAAAAAAGAAAAAAATAAAAAAACCTTCAATTATTTTTCCAGCCAATTGCTATTGTGACGCCAACTTTGCCATCTACACTGAGGACAAAACTCGACCAAATGTCCCTAGAAACGGTAAAGTAACAAAAAAAACTTTAAAAAAATGTTGATTTGAAGGCTGCTACAAAGAATCCACAACGCAGGGCTCCGGAAACGTGGTACGATGCAATAACCTTCTGGAAAATAAGGCTGGACAATTGGCCAAAATTTCTTCGGAACCAAAAGCCGAGTTTTTGTCTCAATGTGGGGTTATCTGAACTTTCAAAAAAAAAGTCAAATAATTGGATGAAAATGCGCTCCACGGAGAAAAGTGGTCAAATTAGACGCTGGTTACAAAAAAGATCTTTATGGAATAATTTGGATGCTTCCGAGTTCTTAAGTGATCACTATATGGCCCAGAAACTTTGCGTAAGCATTCAAAGTGCTTGGGTGGCTTTAAAATTTTGCAAAAAACGATTTTTTTGCGGTTTTTCTAACTTTTTCCGGGCTCAAATTTTCAATTTAGAATTTTCAAGCTCAACTTTTCTTCCCTAAACTTAAAAAGCCCTTCAAAATAAAAAATAAAATTAATTTTTCAGTATTCCACGAAGGAGATGAAATCCTCTTCGGGGCCAGATATTACGCATTCGCGAGGCAATTCGGTTATGCGGATGGAACTCAGGTTTTTCCTGTCTAAATTATTATTTTTACAGGATTTACTTAAGGTTTCTCCCAACTACAGACCTTGGGACGTCGATCAACCGGATCCGGAACCTGACCGAGAATGTGTTGTTTTTGAACGGACGACTCTGAAATGGTCCTCAACTTCGTGCCGAGATTCTCACTAGTCGGTTTAAAAAAATAGAAAACTTGATTTTCATAAATAGATTCAATTTTCCTTTCCAGAAACGTATTTATGGATTTTTTTAAGGTGGGAAAAAAATTATAACCCTTTTTTTAAAAAAACTATTTCAGGCGTGAGTCAAGACTTCATAAGAAATTTAATGATTCTATGCATTTTTCAGAAAATGAAGTTCAAAAAAATCTTATACTGAACTTACTATTTTCTTTTTTTCTATTTAATAATTCAAAGAAAAAAATTGCCAATATACTAAATTCCCAAATCCTATGATCCTTTAACGGAAAGAAATCTTCTAGAAAAAAATACGCTTAAAAAAATGAGAAAAATTAACTTTATAACAGTTTAGATTTTTCAACATGGGGATTAAAAAAATGTTCAATAGATAAATAATTTTTTTGCAATTTTTGATGCCTTCGAAAGACAAATCGGTATGGACCATATATTGAATGTTTGTGTACTTATAGTTCTTTTTGAACAAAGACAGAAACAGTAATTATAAAAAAAGGAACTTTTTAGAAATCCTACAAGAGCGATTTTTTTCAACCTCAATTTAATTCTGAAAAAAATTGAATGAAATCTAAGATATTCCTGGTCTAAAAAAATACGTTTTGAGCTATTCCCCGTGCGATCAGAGCCTTTTAGGTCCAGAAAAAAATGAATTGAGGCTCAGAAAAAAATTTCCAATTTAAGAAAAATGAAAGGAAAAAAACGAAACAAATTGGAGTTTTGGAAAATCATTTCTGGTTTCAAATTACGCTTTTTGCGACTGGATCGAGAAAAAAATGAAGTACAATTCAAGGAACGAAAATATTTTTTTCATTTACAAAAAGTTGAAAAAAATGAAAAAAAGTTTATTTTTTTCCAAAAAGAGATCCACGGCTTTGAAAGAGGAGCTAATATTTTTTTATTTAAAAAAAGAGAAAAAAAGGAAAAAAATTGTTTTTTTAAAAGAGGACTCCGGCCTCAAAAACCCTTGTTTCAATTCAAGAATTATGACCAAAAAAATAGGAAACGATTAAAAAAAGAATTTTTTTCAGCTACGTCTGCGAGTTCGCCCCATGCGACTCGACCAGCGTGTGTCGACAAATTTCGAGTGCCGCCTTCACTTTGCCCGAAAAAACCCAACAGGAATCCGAATAATTTATTATCAAAGTAACAACAATGAACAAGATTTGACAGAAAATACTGTGTATTTTTTCAAAAACCAAACTAACGCTTGGGGGTGTAACGGTGGCAGAGACGAGTCCCAATCGGATCTGAATAATTGATTTTTGTTACAAAAAATGAATCTGAAAAAATAGAAAAAAAAGGAAAGGAACAGATAAAAATCGATATTTTAAATACAACTAACTAGCAAAGTCCTGACTGGGGGAAATCTGTGTCGAGGGCCAAAAAACGACGACCCTAAGAGTCTTGTCAATTTTTCTTTCATTTTTATCGATTGAGTTATCACGGTTCGGTTTTTGAGGTCTAGAGAAAGAAGGCTTTTTTGAAAGTCTTCGGGGTACAAAATACTGAAAATCGGTAAAATGACGCTACTGGGGAGCATGGATTTTTGAAAAAAAAGTTATTTTTTCAAGTTTTTCAAGCTTACTTCCTATTCAGTCTAGTTCTCGTGAACAGAAAATGAAGAAAAACCGTAACAAAAATAGAAATTTAAAAAATCAGCCTTGGAGCACATATTCACTTTTATATTACGGCTAAAACGTTCCACACTTCAAACGCTAATTTCAAGGTAAAACTTGGAAAGAGGAAAATTAGCCGTGGGGCACATAAGCTTTATTTTGCAAGGCTCATCTCACTGCGCATAAATATGCATCTTTTTGGCGCTAATTTGAAGAAAATTTGAAAAAAAAAATGATAACAAAATAGCCGTGGAGCACATATGCTTTATTATTCACGGCTCAATTTACTGCGCAACTCAATTTACTGCGCTACTTCAGAAAGTAATATAAAGGTGGAAGAAAAAATTAGCAGTGAAGCACATGTTCACTTTCAACCAGCGGCTCTTTTTTTTTGGGTGAGGGGTTATTTTTCTATCAATTTATTTTTCTTCTATTTGACGCCAATCCGCAGACTTATTCCCTACAGTACCCTCAAAAACTTTTCAAAAAATCAATCTCGTCCAAGATCTCAAAATTTAGGTAAACTGACCAAGGAATTCACGCGACACAAGAAACAATCGAAAATGGGAACCCACCTCGACGGGACTAACCTCGAAAAAGTCGATAAATTAGTAAATGAAGGCGACTAGTGCTGAAAAAAAATCAATGAATATCAATTGATGAGAGATTTTTCAAACTCGGCGATCGCGGTCGCGTCGATTGCGGTCACGGTCGCGATCGTTGTGGCGATCGCGGTTGCGACCACTGTCGCGATTCCTGTCACGGTCGCCGTCGCGTCGCCGGTCTCTGTCCCTGTCGCTGCGATCGTCGCCGCCGCCGCCGCGACGCGAACGATCCTTGTCGCGGCTTCTCGATCGGTCGCTTCTTGAGTGATTTTGTGAAGAAAAAAGATTGCTTGAGAATTAAAAGTGCACCAGACTATAAAGCGACTTTCTTCCACTGCTATCAGAATATTCAGAGTGAAGTTAAACATCGAAAAATTCACTTTTTTGCCATTGTTCCGTCTAGAACTTCTAAACGATTGGGTCAGATTTTTGATAGTTTTTTTTGGCTTCACAAAGAAAAGTGCACCCGACTATAAAGCGACTTCCGCGCTCTGCTATTAGAATACTCAGGGTAAAGTTGAAACATCGAAAAGTTCTCTTTTCGCGATGGTTTCATCCAGAGCTTCTGAACTAATTGGGTCAGAATTTTGATTTCTTTTCATTCTCACAAAGAAAGTGCACCCGACTATCAAGCGACTTTCGCGCACTACTATTAGAATATTCAGGGTAAAGTTAAAACATCGAAAACTTCACTTTTTGCGATCATTTGGTGCAGAAATTCTAAAGTATTGGGACAGATGTTTGATCTGTTATTTTCACGGAGAACGAAAAATGCACCCGACCAAGATGCGACTTACGCGCTGTGATATAATAACATATAAGATGATTTTTAAACAATATATAGCTTGAATTACTGGTCCAGCAGCCATTCTATACGTCGCGAATGAAGGAAAATTCACTTTTTTTGATCGTTCCGTCCAGAACTTCTAAACTAATTGGTTCAGGTTTTTAATTTGTTGGTCTCACAGAGAATGAAAGTTGCACCCGACTAAGAAGCGACTTTCGCGCTTTTCTATAATATTATTCAGTTATATCTTGAATTTTTCGCGACTACCTATTCTACATACGAATGAAAGATTCAAAATCGCCGCGAATGAAGGAAAAACTCACTTTTTGCGGTCGTCGCGTTCGCGGTCGCGTTTTCTGTCGCGATCGCGGTCCGAAGATCGTTTTGCGTCGTTTGCACGCGACGCCCTTCTCTCCTCGAAGCCCTAAAAAACTTTCTTATTTTTTTTCTTCTTTTACAATTTTTTTTTCAACCTTCTCCATGATCGCCATATGATCCTGTATAGTTTGATAGGCGATATGAAGTTTTCCACTTAAGTGATCATCGATTCGCTGTTGGGCATCGTTCTGCAGCATGAAACAGCCGCAAACCTTGAAAAAAGGGCTGATAAATGATTTTGAAAATGTTGTATTTGTACGATTTTTTTAATGTTAAAATCACAGAAAATGACCCTTATCACTGAAAAAATCAATTAGTCATTAATTAGTCTTTTTTTTTTTGATATTCTGTCCACTTTAATTCAAAATTAAAGTTAAAAGAAAATCTTCTCCCAGGAACGTCAAAGTGGTCACTTGAGAGGTTAGGAAAAAAACCGGTATAGTCAACAAAGAAGTGCTCCCTAGAGGGCTAAAAGTTGGATGGTCTCTTTAGGAGCTTAGGATCTCTCTAAGTGGTCCCTATAGGGACCTTTAAACATCATTTTTTTAATGATTTGAAAGTCAAAAATACATAATGAATAGGCGTTTGAGGGCCGCTGACATGTTCCTCGCAATTCTCAAGCTTTAGTGCCCACAATAGGGGTAAAAATGTGACCCCTTTAAGATTTTCATCCATGCCCCAGAAGCTTTAGTGTCCCCTATAGGGAAATGTAAAGTGTTCCCTAAAGGAAAACCTTCAAGAGCCCCTCTAGTGACCACTCTGGCGTTCTTATTTTCGAACTACGTCATTCTTAAAATTCACGAAATTCGGAAACGAACCTGGCAAACTTGCATCTGCCGATTCCCGGCCGTCACGTTTTCCTCCATGACCACGGCTCGTTTTTTCTCGGATTCCAGCCGTTCTTCTTCGTCGTTCAATTCGTCGATTTCCGCCTGAAAAGGATAACTGGACCGTGAAAAATACATAAATTTTACTTAACATGATCGATTTCTCATTTTAAAAATAGTGGTCCTATATAATATACGCTCTCGATACTATCAATATCATCAATCATCAATATTTATTGGTTGTTTTAGTCAAATGGAATCGACTAGGCGGTGAAAAAATTGCTCTTTTGAGCGGCACTAACACCGCCTTTGACGAAAAAGAAGTCAAAACGTGTAGTCGATTGAATTGAAAGCATGGTTTTACGGTCCTTCGCCTCGTTCTTCCACAAGTAGATCCCTCAGTTTCGCGGGTACGGGCACGGCGGTGATGGTGGGGCTTGGGCACGGACTCCGTGTACACTCTAGGGTAGCCTCGGCCGATTGAGAGAGCTACCACTTCGAGTGAAGAAAATACACGGAATGAACTATGAGAGACGCGATGTCGCTCGCAGCGATATCGCAAAAGTCTTGCGCTATATCGCTCGTCGGAAAAACTGTCGCAAAAAGTTCTGGCTATAGCTGATACACGGCTGGCTTGAGCCATTAAAAAGGGTCCTGACACGATAATGCACGAGATAGCGCCTGGCTCGTAGAGAGCGCAGATAGGACACGCCCCCTTAGCGTCCCAAGTTAGCCGTGAATCAGCTATATATTTTCGGCGGCGCGGTGCGATATAGTCAGATATGTTCGGTGTAGCTTTTTTATCACGGAAGATGTGACGGCGCGAATTTTAAAACAACCATCAGAGAAAGAAAAAGATAACTAATTTTTGGAGAATCAGAGACAATTTTGAATTTCGCAGAAATCATGGGCATGAGGAGGACTAAGGACGTCAATACAAAGGGAATCTTCAGAAAGGGGAACCTTAAACTTGTCGGCCTTGTCGACGGCGGTCTGAGCGGCGGCGACGTTTCCCCGACCTCCTTCGACTTGGGCCTCATGGACCAGCATCTCGACCCTTTTCGCCAGATTCTCCTTCTTTTCTCGCAACTCGTCGCGCTTCTTCTCGAACGTCTCTTCGGCGACCTTGGTTTCACCTACAAACGCGTCATTTTCAGGTTTAAATTCACATAAAGATCATCGAAAAGAACTGGAAAGCCCGAGGAATACAGGCCGGACCTTGGGTCATCTGCAGACGGGCCTCGTTTTTCTCGATTTTCCTCCGGACTTCGTTGTGCAATCGTCGGATTCTGTCCAAAAATCGTTCCTCAAATCCCATCCGCCACTTTTTCGAGCTTTCTGCATAACGGTGACGCATGTTGTCGTCGTGGATCATCTTAAATGTATAAAAATTATTTTTTGAAACAAAAAACGTTGGAGAAAGTGATTTTCACAGTGCTTTAAGCTGATTTCGCCAATTTTTAAACTCACATTTTTTTTCTCGCTTAAAATGAATTATTTCTCGAAATACGCAGAATAGGCATTTCGCGACAAAAACTGGGTACAAAGTGAAGGCGGTTTTACGCGCGAATTCAAGAATTCAAAAGTTTTTTTTTTTGGAAAATGCCTCAATAGCTATCATTTCACGCTTAAAAGCCGCCATTTAATTGTATTTTTTTGTCCCGAAATGCTAATTTTGAATATTTGGCAAAAATATTTTTTTAATCAAAATATTAATTTCGAAACCGACTAAAATTACTTAGAACTCCAAAAATCAAAAATATGATTGAAATTTCGTATCTTACAAATATTTTTCATGATTATGAACCCGGCTCAGACTGGTGTAAAAAAATTTGAATTTTCAAAAAAATCTCATATTTTTTTAAACATGCTTTTTTTCATTCTTTTCTGTCGGATTAAGCTTTTTAAAAAAATAATAAATCCAAGAAAAATCGGTTCTTATTTTTAAAAAAATGTTACTGAAACCAAGGAAAAGTTTGAAAAAAACGGGAATCTTGATTTTTTTCATTAAAAATTTTTGGGTTAACTTAGCAGAACGCTTTTTTTTAAAATATTACAAATAACTCAAGTATAACAGTAAAGTAAGTTAAGTAAATGAAAGTACGGATTTCGCGAAAATTAGGGTTTTGAAACTCCAATTTGTATATAATACTGACATATTCACAAGGTCCCAAGTCATTTTTCGTGTTTTTAAACGCGTCGTGGGTACAAAATCCAACGAGGAAGTCGGTGCAGACGTCGGGATGGTCGAAACTGAGCTCTTTCGCCTGGAAACTTCAAATATCTTCAGGTTTTCTCTTTTTTTTGTACCTCTCCGGGCAATGAATCTCTTTGTGAGCCCATGAGCTCATTGAGCATCTGGGCCATGTAATCCGTCATTTTGACGGGCTGAAAAAAATGAATTAAAGAAGAGAAAAATAATAAAATGGAGCCGATGATTAAAAAATAATGAAAAATTAGCAAAGATGTCTGAGAAAAACTGATTTTCTCTCTATCCAAAAAATTAACCAAGCATATTTTTAATATTTTTTTAAAAATTCAATTGAAACCAACGAGAATTAACTTGTCACAAATCAAAAAGTTTAAAAAAATATTTCAATATTTAAAAAAATTTTTAAAAAAATTTCCATCGTCTCGAAATAAACCAAAAAAAGCGCCGAAATCGAAAAAAATACTTTTTAAACAATAAAAAAACTATTGAAAATGAATATTCCAACAGTAAAGATAGATAGAAATGCGAAAAAAATCGCAATTTCTTAAAGATTTTCCTTTCGAACATTCAAAGCGGTAAAAAAATCGTAAAAAAATTATCAAAATTTCGGAAATCATTTATCTTTTTTTCATTAAATTCTGAGAATCCAAAAACATTATTTCGCAAATTTGAAAAATAACCAAAAATATAAAAAAACTTCTATAAAAATGAAAAAAATAATATATTGACGAACCAAAAAAGCGGAGCTTTACCCAGGGTGCGATGGTCCAAAGATTCCCCTTTAATTGGCTCTCTAATTTCAAGGAGAGCTCCAGAGAATTCTAAAAATCGAGCAGAACCTTATTTTTCAACGAATTTTCAATTAACTACATAGACTAAATAATTCAACGATTTTATGCAAAAATAGAACAAAAATCTTAAGCGTGATTTCGCAAAAATTCGGAAAAGTCCAATAATAATTTTTTTTGCGAACTTAAAAGTTCAAATGGCCATTTAGGAGAAGATTCAGAGATAATTTTGAATTTCGCGGAAAACGGTATTAACAAGCAACTTTTCCAAGTTTCTGATGCTTTAAATCCAAGTATTTCTCAAGGGATACAACCACGTGAACGAATTTAATAGATAAATGAACAAAACGTTTATTTTCATAGGTTAATTTCGTAATTAATTATTGTACACGTGAAAGAAAGGTGAGTATCATTTTTCGGCAGTGTTCACGTCTTTCATCGTCCGGGCGATCGAACCCAACTCCTTCTTAATCCGCGGCACCAAGTCTTGGAGACCCTGAAAATAAAAATTCAGGATCATCAAAGGTTCTTTCAAAAATGATTTTCTAAGGGCCTCATCACATCTTTTCTCATTTCCCATTGGCATCTTCTTCACACGTATTTAAAAAAGAAGCTGGAAAGGAACTAAAATGATTTCATGAAGTTCAAAAAGGATCTTCAAAAAAAGTTCGAACGTTTCTGATCGTTTCGAATGACCACTTTAGCGGCGTCAGAACTCTTAAGGGAACCCTAGAAATGCTCAGAAACGTCCGGTTTGCGAGGGTCAAGAATAAGACTTAAGCAGAAAAAGTGTGCGGTAGAGCGCACAAACTACAATCGGGTGTAGATTTACGAATATTGACACCAAATTGATGTGTCTGAAATAACGCGGAATTAGCAAAATTTGCATTCCGGCTGAAAAATTAGGCCCTAAAAGAGTTGGCTTCTATTACGCACGTAAATTAAAATTTGAAATGATAGAAGCCTTTTAAAATTGAAAATTCGAATTTGGTGCGTTATCATATGATTTTTTTACTCTCACCGTCGAACTCACATATTTCTTGCGAATTTCCCGCGCCTCCCTTTCCTTCGCCTTGACTTCATCTTCAAGTAACTTGATCTGAAATTTATTCCCAATATTAAATTTTAAAAAATATTTATGAATCTTTTTTGGAAATTTTTTCTTTTAAGAACGCCAGAGCAGTCACTAGAGGAGCTATCTTAAGGGCTTATGAAGGTCCCCCTCAAGTGATCACCTTTACCTCCGCACATAGGGACACTAAAGCTTGAAAAAGTGACAACTGTAGGGGAACGTGGTAGCGACTCCTAATCAGAACTAAAAACTTGAAGGCCCCTGTAGGAACTACTTCAGCTCAATGGTCTTAGGGGACAGACCCTGAATCACTAAAGGAACCTCTTAAAATTGCACTGAACCTTGAAAGGGTGGCCACACACAAGGGGAGCATGCTAGTGGTTCCCGTCTTTTTAATATTCAAATCAGAACAGAAACATTAAAAGACCCCTATAGGGACCACTTGAGCTTTTGAGGCTTAGGGGTTAGGCCCTAAACTCCTGAAGCAACCACTTGAATTTTAGTCCTCTTGTGAGCATTATTCTTTCCACTACAGGACCTTTTTTCCCTAACCCCTCCAGTGACCTCTCTGGCCTTTATAAGTTCTTTTCGGAACTCACTCTTTGAATCAACTGCTCATTGGTCTCGGCCAGCATACTCTCGTTGGCCTCAACTTTGCAGAGGATGAATTTATCGTGCAAATAGGCGCGAAGGCCTCGCGTCGTCATCAAAATCTCAGCGACGAGACCCTGAAAAGATATTTTTAACTTTTTGCATGAAAATCTTTTCAACAATCCAAGGTCGCATGAGGAACAGTTCAACGAGAAATTATTAATCTTAAAATGCGCTGAGTCGAAATTCAATCAGAACCAAGAACAACCGCAGAAGGAAAAGCTAATAAACACTGAAGATATCAGTCTAGTCCGGCGCGAGAAAAAAAAAGCGATATCGCAAAAAAAACCGGTTTCTCGCCGCGCCTAGCCCGCATGACCTCGCGATCTCTAGCGGTACCTTCACGATATCGCAAACTTCTCGCGCTGTCTCGCATTTTCCTTTACGCGATATCGCATTTCTCTCGCCGTGATTTCGCGAAGTGGTTCAATCGCGACATCGCTTTCATCTCTAAGCACTGAGTGTTCACTAAAAACAACTACCAAGATGAGCGCGATATCGATGGCTATACATTAATGATCTCATAGACGTGCTGCGTTGTCACCGCACCGCTCCTTGACGCGATATCGCGTTTGAAAGACTTACATATTTTCTCTTGAGTGCGTCAGAAAAGCGAGAGATCTTCGAGGTCGTGCCAAGAGAAATGCGAGTTCAGCGCGGCTTATTTGCGATATCGCTTTCATCTATAGGCGTTGAGTGTTCACTAAGATCAACTACCAAGATGAGCGCGATGTCGCTGGCGATACATTAATGGTCTCAAAGACGTGATGCGCTGTAACCGCGCCGCTCCTTGACGCGATATCGCGTTTGTGAAATTTCCAAAATTTTTTTTGAGTGGGTCAGAAAGCGAGAGATCTTCGAGGTCGCGTGAAATGCGAGTTCAGCGCGATATCGCTTTTATCTCGCGCCGGACTAGGCGGTTATCTAATCTGCAGCATGACAGCATCCCCATGCGATTATGAAATTTATACTTTTTTTTTCGCGTTATCGCTCAGTTTCCATTGTTTCAGATCACAGATTTCGGTGTCAGTAATTTTTAAACAAAATCTTAAGAATTACAACACTATCCTAGACCTAAAAAGCCACTGAAAACCGCAAAGCCATACGAAAACTATGAAAATGAAGCGCTAAGAGTCCCGAAATTCGAATCTTGACGGAATATTCTTACTTTGACTTGATCGTAAGTTTTCAAGTCGTTGGCGCATTTCAGGCCTTGGACGATTTCATCCGACATTCTGACTGCTTCGAACAGAAGCTGTCGCATCGGGTTCGAGTAGGCTGAAAATGAATTTTGATAACTCTGACTTGAACTCAGCGTATTCCCACAACTACGAAAACTTTTCTAGTGACCACTTTAGGGTTTTGACGAATTAATGGCCACTATGGTAGTCGCGTAAGTAGCCACGAAAAGTAGAACTACTGTAGTGGCCACTGTGAGGCAAAATAGTGGCTCCTATAGTGGTTTTAGTGGAATCTTATTCATGTATTCTTTGAGAAGCCTGTTAAGGGGCCACTAAAGTTTTTCCCAGTAATATTACACTTCTTCTCGAACAGGAATCTCGCTTTGAAATTTTTTTGAAAACCCTTCAAGATTGATCGAAATGGCTTTAATCAATAAGAATCTATGATTTATCAATAGAGCAAATTTTCATCCGCCTGGCGCGGCTATTTCTTCCTAGCCTCATGATAGTCCAAAATACACCCAAAATTGATGAAAAAAACGAACAAATTGAAAAAAAAACACAGTTATAAGCTTAAAAACTACAGAACTTTCTCTGATTTTCCTTAAAAGATCCCAAAATGTATCTAATTTCTCTGCCCTCTCCGCAAAACTCACGCTCTCTCTCCTTGATATTGCTGGTGGCCGATTTCAACGGCGGACGTCGGTCATTACCAGCCGGAGCCACATTTTCTTGTCTAGAAAACGTGAAAATCAATCGATTTTCCTCAAATTTTCGCAAACTCATGAGAAAGTGCACTGTGAGCCTTCAGTTTCTCATTGGCGGCGCGCAAATCGGCCGTCAGCTTTTTGTGAAGGTCGATTTCCTTGGAAATGGTCATGCAGACCTCCTCACAGGCCTTCTTGGCAGAGTCCCCGTCGCTAGAAAAAATCTAATTTCATAAATATTCTTTTATCATTTTGCACTTGGAGGAAATCGTTGAAACCAGAAAAAAAGCCGATAATTCTAGAAATTCGAAATTTTTTCAAAGGAGAGTTGATATAAAGATAGGAAAAAATACAAAAGTTGAAATTGAGAAACGCCCGTATTTTATCAATCTGAAATAGAGCGCTAAAAATGGTCGTTTTTTATAGGCGGTCGTAAGCCCTTCATAGTACTGGGAAAAGTGGCCAGTTTAGGGTTTTGTGGCCACTTGAGTGGATAAAAATTAGTGGCTTAATTGGCGGTCTAGGAGCTTGAGCGTTCAAAAATACTATAGTGGTCACTAAGTCGCGAAAAAGTGGCTTCTATAGAGGTGGTTCTAGGGGCCACTTTAGTGTCCTGTCCAAGTAGTTCTTGAGGAATCTCTTAAGTGACCACTAGATTTTTTTCAAGCATGCCATTTTTTTTTGCTGAGACGCTTCCTTTTGAACTACTATTCTGGTGGATGAAATAAAAAACATGCTTATTGTAAATTATTGATTTTTTGTCGAAACTACATGTACGAACCCATAGATAAGCCGAGTTTTGACGGGCTGATTGGTCAAAGCAGCAATGTGGGCTTGGATCTCCTTCAAGCCTTCGAAAACGACCGACAAAGTCTTCTGGGCTTCTTCGACCCGCAAATCCTCTTTTTGGGGGCGTTGTTCAGGGGGTGAGGATCGCATCGGCATTTCCTCAAAATTTCCATTTTGTTCACAGAGGATTTTTTTTTAGCATCCGGTTGAACTTCTTGATAAGAGTTTGCAAAGATACACTTCTGTTACAAATTCGAGTGTAAATTAATTTCTTTCTCGATTCTTTTCTAATTTTTCCTTTTCCGCCTGAACTTGAAAACTATTCTGCACACAGAAAAACTACATTTTTTGGAAATTTTTAACAAACCATCAGCAAAAATTACTTCGGAAAGAGTGGAGTGGTCCCTATAGGGGTTTGATTTTTCGAACGTTCGAAATGTCACTTCGAAGTTGGTCGGTCAATTTTGACCGTTCGAAATGCCTATTCGAAAATTTTCTGTTACGCAGGAAGTGAGGGCTCGTGCGCGAGACACATTCCTTCTTGCTGCGTTCCAGTCTTTCACGTGCAAACTTTGAACCGTCATCACTTGACTACGAGGCAAAAGTCGAGATATTTTATTTTTTATTTGGAATCAGCATGGTCAATTTTTGAACGTTCGAAATGTCACTCTGAAAATGGTCGGTTTCGTAAATTTCAGAAATTGGTCGGTCAAACGAAAAAAACGTTCCCTAGTAAGTAGGAACCCTTCAGAGTACATTCTTTCCAAAGTCTCATCGAAAGTTCAATCAAAAGCTGTGAAAAGATCTCCGATCAGAGCTTCTTCTAACTTCGACACGTTGTGGCGACGTGACAGACGGTTTTCTCTGCCGGAGGGCGACTTCTTGGGACTCCCAGTCGCGGAGGCGTTGCAGGTCCTGTCCCATCTCGTAGACCTGCGTGCCGAGCTCGTCGGCGTTCTCGTTGCTCCTCACGACCGCCGCTTCGGCTCGTTTCCAGGCGTGCCGCAGCTCGTGGCACTGATCTTGGAGGCTTTCGTTCTCGTTTCGCGCCTGCTTGATCTCTTTCTGAAACGCCATGAAACTGATTCGAAGCTTTTGGATCTTATGAAACAGAAATCTTTCAAAAACACTGTTAAAGTCGGAAATGCGGAAAACGGGTTCAAAATGGCCGCTAAAAGGGTTCCGTTTTGCGGCCTTTATTGAGCCTTTCTTTCTTGGTGGGCAAAAAGCCTCAAAACAGGGTGAAAAAGGGTGCTTTAAATATCAGCCATTGATTATTGCCGATTTTATTACTATAGCACACTTTGGTTCATACACAGTCATTTGTAGAGATTATTTTCAATTAAAAAAGAATTTGTGTTTTTCAAAAAAGCAAAAAAAGTGGATGACCAGGGACAAATACGCCGAGAGCTTTTTCGAACTTTTGCTCTTCAAAACTGCAAAAAGAAGGATCTTGAAGCGAAATTTGGTCAAAATTAGCATACGGTCTTTATGGATGACAAAAGAGGCGGAATGGACTATAAAACATTTTCTTTAAGTTAGGAAGTCTAAGGAAAGCGTATAGAGCTTCTAAACAATAACTAGCTTTCTTTCAAATTTTCTGTTCCTCTAACCGAACCGGATTTTACATGAGAACTTCTATCAGTGTGTTGAAATTACTGATAAGAACAATTAAAAAAAGTTTCAAACAAAAAAAGGCGCGATCAAAAAAAGTGCTCTTTTTTTCTTGGCGCAATCGCAGATCAAATTCATCTACCGAAATTATTCTATTTTATAATAATATTTAAAAAGAGGAAAAAAATAACCCGTAATATATAAAAATCAGGTGTGCAAGAATCAGTGTGCTGAACTAAAAAAAATTCAAAAATCAAAATGCCCAAAAAAAAAAAATGAAAAGGTACTCCAAACGTTTTTTGGAATCTCTCAAACCATCATAAAACCGTTTCAACCAACTTTTAAGTCGGAATTTTCTGTTCTACTCGGTTCGAATATCCACCTGCAGCTGAAAAATTCGTCTTTAAAGATTTCGCGAAAAAAGAAATCGATGGATCGAAGAGCGCAAATTTCTTCTTTAAAAAACTTCGTGAGGCTTTTGAAAATTGCTTGGCCATTTTTTTCAACATTTTGAAGTTATTTTTTTCATCTTTCTGACTTAAAAAAATCCTCAAAAATTTGAATCTTGTGAGAAATCCTCAAAAAAAATTTTTTTTTCTCTATTATCTAATTTTTTTAAAAAAATCTTTCTGACCAAAAAAATTCCTGAAACCTTTAAAAAACCGTTCCATAAAAAAACGATGAAACAGAATCAAAGCTCAAAAATAAACATATTTGAATACTTGAAGCCCCCCTAAAAAACACCACCATCATTGACATGAAAAAAATGAAAATTCCCCTTATTTCCTCAACTTTTCAAAAAAATCACCTCCGCCTGGTGCAAATCCTGTCTGGCCCGGTCCACCTCCGCGTTCATTTCCTCGATTCTGGCCTTGAATTTCCTTTCCGACTGGTTAATCTCCAAAAAATTATTGGAAAATCCCGACTTTTCCCCTAGTAACCTCATTGGTAAGTTCATTAATCTCGCCGACTTTATTGTCGACTTCTTTTTCGGCCTTTCGTCGCTTCGAAATCTCGTCTTCGACCGTTTTCTGGAGCGCCTTCAGTTCATTGGCAAGGTCCCTGGCGCGCGCTTCGACTTCGTCTTTTTCGAAAAGAAGGTCCTAAAATTGTCTATCTCCTTTCAAAATCAGCCATTGGCGCTAAGACAAGAGCGATTTTACGAATTCCAAAAAGTACTGTATGCAAAAACCCGCATTCTTAAGCTTTCTGTGTTTGCACTTTTGTTGCGTGACGTTTCCGAGTAGTCAATACAAAAAATGACTACCGATACTGACACGAGAGAAATGCGATATCGTTGGCGGTACATTGACGATATCGCAAATATATCGATCTGTCTTCGCGCAAGCCTCGAATTTTCATAAGCGCGAAACAGAATTTTTATCGACGCGACATCGCATTTTTATAAGCGCGACATCGCGTTTTAAAGGCGCGACATCGCATCTTTTTTTAACGCGACATTGCGTTTTAAAGGCGCGACATGGCATTTTTATAAGCGAGACATCGCACTTTTAAAGTCGCGAAATCGCAATTTACAGGCGCGATATCGCAATTCTCTCGCATTTCTCGCAATATCGCAATTCTCTCGCATTTCTCGCGACATCGCATTTTTCGCAAAAATCGCTATTGTCGTAGCCTTTATTCTGGTCGTTTAGAAACCTCAAACTTGACACTGTAGTCGGCGTTTTTGTCTTTAAGCGTCGAAATTTGGGTTTGAAGGCTTTCCAACTGAAACTAGGGTTTTATTAACGAGAGAAATATTCATGTAAAATCCATTCTAACCGTGGTAATTGCCAAATATTTTAATGCATTCTGTTTGTTGGAAAAAATTCCGCGAAATTCTAACTGAAGAGGATTCACGGCAAGCTTGGGATAAAAAGGGGCGTGGCTTGGCATTATCTCTTTTTTTATCGTGTCAAGACCGATTTTTCGATGTCAGCTGTGAATCGGCTATAACCGTCGATGAATCAGCAACAATTTTAGGTTTAGGGAAAATCCCCTGCATGCTGGAAAAGTCTGCCGGTTCAGTCGCTTTTTTTTAAACCACTTTTTTTTTAATTTTGCACAATTTGAAAAGTTTTTATAGGCTTTATGAGGGTGTTAACGGTTTAAAAGTACGTATTCCTTAGTATAGTGATCCGTTTCAAAGCCAATTTTCAAAAAAATTCTCTTCATTAAATTTTTTTAAATCTCAATATTTGATTTATCGAAACTTGAAAAACTGACCAAAAATCGAGAATTCGACACATTTTGGAAACTCAAAAACTTAAGAATCAAAAAAAAACTTCAAAATTTCCCCAAAATGGTCCCTCAAAAAACGATCGACTTTTCCAGCATGGCCTAAATTCGAACGAAATCGCGGTAATCTTGTTTTTTTCAAAATATATCTGTGCCTTGAAACAGCGAAACCGAGTTAGAACCCTATTTTTTTGGCGAATTTTCCATGCCCCTCAAAACTGTACCTCGACATTCTGCACGTTATATTTGAGCTCCAAATCGACGAGTTCTTTTTTCAACGAATCCATTGCCGAGTTGGCCAGCTAAAAATGGGAAAATTTACATATTCCTCTGATTTTTCTAAACCTCTTCTTTGGCATAATCGCCGCGGCGGCGGTAATCTTGGAACGATTGGGATAAAAAGGCTTGAAAATGAGTTTTTTTGAAGGATATTTTGGGAAATTTCAAGGCTACCCGAAGTATTGGCCATTGAATATCGTTGGGAGGCGTCGAGGATAAAAGACGGGTTGAAAGATTTTTCGAGGAGCGTCAAATTGTTGACGATTCCGTTCAGGTCACGGTCCGTCGCTAAAAAAATCACATACTTCTTTTCGAAATTTCAAAAAAAACGATAAAATTTCGAATTTTCTATGGGAAATCAATTTTGAGACGCTTGAAATTTCAAATCACTTATATTTAGGATTGACGAGAATTTAAATCAGATGAAAAAAAAGTTGAAAAAAATATGCAAATTCAGCTTTTTACTCTATTTTTTTACGGGCTTTTTCATGAATATTAATTCAATTTGAATAAAAAAATATTAAATCTCTAAAGGAAAAATTAAATTCAAAAATTCTTGAAATTTTAAATAATTTAAGTCGAAATCTCAGCCCAGACAATACTACAAAAAATAAATAAAATCTGATGATTTTGAACTTTCAAGTCACTCTGTTGGATTAATTAAATCGAGACATTTTGAACAAGATGATTAAAATGTTGGGAACAAAAATCCAAATCAAGCTGGGATTTTTTTCAAAGTTACAAAAAATTACTAGAACTTTTTTTAATTGAGTATAAATATATGAAAAATATTTTGGATAACTTTTCTAGTTTTTTTTTTTTTTTTGTTTGAAATCCTAGTGGAAAAAAATGAAAAAAACTTGGAGGATTTTGAAAAAAATTATTCTATAATTACGTTAAAATCTTTATTGCGCTTGGGGAAAAAAATTTTTCCACGTTTTATTCTTATTTTTTTTATTTACAAATGATTTTATAGCGGCTAAAAAAATGTAAAAAAATACATTTATATATTCGAAAGATACCGTATGAAGTTTCAAGCAACACAAATTTTCATATTGGGTTAGAATCAGGGAGCTTTAAACTATCTTTGCATTGATTGAAAAAAGCGGAAGGTTTGAATTTTTGAACCCTGCAGGGTCATTAAAAAATAAGCTTTATGAAGAATCATTTTTGCGATTCCTCAAGTTCTCAAAAATTCTCAAAAGCTCAAAAAAATTGCTCAATCTCAAAAAAATTCTGAATTTTCCAAACTTCTCATCAAAAAAATTCGGTATTTTTTTCATATTTATAAACTTGGATGTTTTTTTGAAAAAAACTATATTAATTCCTCTGAATCGTCTCTTTTTTTCCCCCAAAACCTTCGATGATCCGGCTGAGATCCGCCTGTTCCCGGACGTCTTGTTCGAAAGTCAGCTTCATATTTTGGATGTACGGCGCCAATTCGCTTTCCGATCCAATCTTAATGATTTCCAGGTAAAATATATTTTTTTACAATGGAAACTTTCTCCAAAATCTCCTCAAACAGTGCGGCAGAAGACTTGAGCCGTTCGAAAAAGCCTTTCGACGGCCGTTTTGACATTGGAAAAGTTCTCCTGCAATCAAATAATATGATAAAAATCGCTAATTAACTAAAATCCTATAAATTTTTTTATGAAATGTCTATAAAATCTCCACGAAATTCGGCTCTAATCTTACAAAAAAATCCTTCAAAAAAACCTACAAAAAAATCTCACAAAAAAATCCTACAAAAAAATCTTACAAAAAAATCCTACAAAAAAATCCTTCAAAAAATTCTGAAAAAAATTTCCACAAAAAAATCCTGTAAAAACCCTTCAAAAAAATCCTACAAAAATCCTGTAAAAATCTTACAAAAAAATCCTACAAAACTCCGACAAAAAAATACTTTTAAAAAAATCCTAAAAAAATCCTACAAAAAAATCCTTCAAAAAAATTCTGAAAAAAATTTCCACAAAAAAATCCTACAAAAAAATCCTGTAAAAAAATCTTACAAAAAAATCCTACAAAAACTCCTTCAAAAAAATCTTACGAAAATCCTACTAAAAATCCTCAAAAAAATCCAAAAAAATCCTTCAAAAAAATCTTAGCAAATCTCAGAAAAATCCTAGAAAAATCCTACGGAAATTCTATAAAAAAATCCTACAAAAAAATTCTACAAAAAAATCCTATAAAAAAATCCTACAATAATCCTACAATAATTTACAATAATTTCAAAAATATTTTTTTACAAGAAAGTAACAAAAAAACAATCGAAAAAAATGAACCTGGAACTGCTGAACCTCGTGGACGCTCATACTGGCGTGCAAAACTGAACTATTGAGAGCCTGAAAAAAATGGGTGAAAAATCGAAAAATCCAACGAAAAAAATATTCATAAAAAAATTTAATACGGAAAAAAAGGAAAAAAATGAAAAAAAGAGTACCTGAACAATTTCTTCAATATCTCCGGAAACGGGTTTCATCGGTGATTTTTCCGGAGAAATTTCCGGCTCCGGAGCTTCATCGCCACTTTTTTCGGCCGTCAAGTCACTGTCTGAGAATTTTGAGCTTTGAAGAATGAACAAAAATGAAGAAAAAATTAAAAAATTCTGAAATTTTAACGTTTTCTGGGTCTATTCTTGAGGCATAGGTAAGGGCGGGCCAGCCCGGGCAGGTAATTATCGCGGCTTAGAGAACGAAAGACTGGCCAGCCCCTTCTTGCTTTAGCCCTCGTCAAGGTTTAACCGCGTCGCGTAGGGCTGACGGGCCGGCCCTCACTCGAAACTTTGGGTCAGCCCGTTTTTGCTCAATGACTCTCTAGGACCAGGCCGGGTCGAGCTCAGAAAATTATCGGGCTGGCCCTCGCACAAGCCTGTTACGGGCCTTTTTTTTCGAGACTTTGCCTAGGGCGGGTCCGGACTGGCTTTTAAAAAAAACCGGGCTGGCCCTCGCAACGAAATTGTCAAGGCTTAGAAAACCATCGAGCCGGCCGTTTTTATTAAAGGTTTCGCTAAGACCGGGCCGTGGTAGGGCTAACCTTCGCCCAAGTCTGCCACAATTTAAAAAAACAAACCGGGCCAGCGCTTCTCTGCGTGAGGCCTCGCTAAGACCGGGCCAGCCCTCGCATAAAATTGTAGCGGCTTAGAAAATTACCGGGCAGGCCCTCGCATAAATCTGCTACGGCTTCGCAAAGACCGGGCGGGCCCTCGCTGAAGCTTGACACAGCTTAGAGAATAACAGCGCTTTTTATCGAGGCCGCGCGGGCCGTGGTAGGGCTAATCATCGCCCAAGCCTGCCACGACTTAAAAACTAACCGGGCCAGCCCGTTTCTGCTAGAATGGCGGGCTAACCCTCGCCCAAGCCTCCTACAAACCCACCATTATCCGAGTCCATTCCCTGAGCTCGCATGATCTGTTTGAACTGTTCCTTGAGGCTTTTGTACTTCTGCAGGGCTTTGTTCTCCCTTTCCTAGGTCCATAAGTGTTCTTTTTTTCTTTCGAATCTCTCAAACTTCAAGGTTCTTCTCCTCGGAGTCCAAGCTGAAGCTGACTTTGGCCAGGGGCGACTGGGGGATCGGTTTCCGAGTGCCGGGAGTTCTGAGGGCTCCGGGACTTGCGAAGGAGTTGCTCGCGTTTCTGAGGACATTTTATTGGTTTTTCAAGTTAGGGGCTTGAAAAAGTACCCGTCGCCGCCACGAAGAGCATCACAGCGGGAACGGAGTTCGTGATTTTCCGATCTCAGATCGACGAGTTCCGACCGGATCCGTTCAATCTTAAAAAAGGAAAAATTATTGCCGCACTGGTAACGGCTCGAGCATTTTTTTAGCAGTTTTTTTATTAATTATTTGAATCTCAAAAGTTGATTGAACGATTTTTTGTAAACTTATTACCGCACTGGAAATGGCTTGAGCAATTTTTTTGCCGTTTTTAATGAATTCTTTGAATCTTAAAAGTTGAATGAACGATTTTTTTGATCATTCATCGCCGCACTGGGAATGGCTCAAAGGATTTTTTGTCCAATTTTTGCGCCCGACCGTAAATCAACTTGCGCGCAACTTTTTCAAAGAGTCATTTTGCAAAAAACTAATTTTCAAACGCAGATTAAATTTCATTGAGAAAACATCTAGTTATAAAAAGTTTTATTCAAAACGTTCTTATCAAACTTTTGAAAACATAAAAATTAATATTAACTCCTTGAAATTTCCCAATGAAACGTTTAAACTATGCTAAAGTTCAAATTCTCGAAATTTATTCTCAAAAAAATTGAGATTTTCATTCGAAATTCAATCTCAAACAACTCTCTCTAGGAAAAACCCCTATTTGAGCAGCAAATTCTTGAATTTTTGAACTTAATCTATACCGGACAGGAATTTTTTTTAGAAAATCCAAATTTATCGCCACCGCACTGGGAATGGCTCAATGCGCCATGCGAAGCGTATTTTCTTTTTCTTTCAAAAAAATGCGTTAAAAAGTACGAATTTCACGCAAAAAAATATTTTTTTAAATGTCGAAACACTGTTGAGTAAGTTTCTAACAAATTTTTGAAAAAACCTCATTTTTTCTGCTGAGTTTGTTAATCGTAGAGATTGAGTCAGAGCTGAAAACTCCGATTTTAAAAATCCCACTCGAACCGCAACGCTTTAAGCCATTCCAAATGCGACCAGAAAAAAATTTTTCCATGAAAAATTCATCAAATTCTACCGTTTTGAATAGAAAAAAGGTACTTAACTTGAAAAAAATTTTTTTTTTCGAAATTGCAAATCCCAATAGGATACCCTTACATTTTAGCATCAGTATCAAGTAATTTTTTTCTATTTTTAACAATTTTTTTTAAACAATTAATCCATTTAACACCAACATTTTCTCTACAAACATGGCAAAATTCCAACTTTTTTTTTCTCCAATTTTTGACTAAATCTAATTTTTTCCTCCACCTCGGCCATGAGTTCCTCAGCAGTTGTTCCTTGCAGGCCGGAAATTTCAAAGCCGGATTTCGCGACTTTCAGTTCCATTTCGAGTTTGCTGGTCCGGTTCATGTATTCCTAAAAACACTTAAGAGTTCACTTTTCCGTTTCGGAATGGGAATACCACGAGAGCCTTCTGACAAGTAACGTATTTCTCCTTCTCCTTGGCCAGTTCGGATTCCAATTGGTCGTTGTACCGAAGAACCCGGTCATTGTCCAGGGTGCTCGATGGTCCGTAGGTGAAAGTCTTGGAAAATTGGCTAATTAATTGAAAAATTGATAAATGGTGCCGCTCGGGCAAAGTCGGAGTGGTCGTTAAAGGGGAGAGGCTCGGAAAAGGTCGCAGAAAGGCAGCAAAAAGGCAGCAAAAAAGCTCCAAAAAGGCAGCAAAAAGTAGCCTTTTTCACCCTAAAAAAACATTTCTATGGAGCCTTTTTCGACCCTTTCCGACTTTAAATATTTTTGTTTGAACACTGCAAATTTTTAACATTCTAATATAGTTTATCCTTCCGCGACTTAAAAGACAAAATGGGTAGACTGTCGAGAGTGACGCATTGCGTGCGCGACGCGGCTTCTTGGCGGGGAGCTCGAAATCAAACGCGAGACACCATTTTGTGATTTTTATTATAATTTTCAATTTTTTACGGTTCCGGAAAAAATCAATTGAACGAAAAAAAGTATGAAAATAATAAAAAACTTGATTCATTCTACATTTTTCCATGTATGCGTTTTTTTGTTCGAAAATTTTCGCTTTTATGGGAAAAAAAAATCTCATGAAAAGTGCCAAAAACCTTTATTTTCACAATCATTTTATGTATATAATAATTTCTTCAACGAGAACCCTGAGCCAAATTTGAAATAAAAAGTCGATAATTTTGGACAAAAAAAGGGCGAGAAAAACTTTCAGGGAAAAAATTAGTGAAGATCATAGAAAAAATGTTTAAAATGCTTTGGAGGCTGAACATATTCGAAAAGAAAAATATTTATACCGCTATTTGACCTTTTTTCATTCCAGAATACTCTAGAACATTAGAAATATCTGAAACTTGTTCATAAAGGGCCAAAACCCTTTTAAAAACTTTTCTAAGGTTAAAAAAGCCTTTTCGTATCCTTTTTTCAATGAAAGTACGTATAGAAACCTCCCAAATTTTCAAATTTTCAGAATTTTTCCCGTAAAATACTCCGTTTTCTCTATCACCTTGCTGTCATTCGGCTCAATCGGCGTCAATTTCTCATCAATTTGAGCATTGAGCTGTCGGATTTGCTCCTCGAGCTTGGAGACTTTGACTTTCTCGTCGAAAAGGTCGTTCTCGAGCTTGTTGATCTTTCTGGAAATGACATCATTTTTCGATTTATTCCATTTTGAATGAACTAACACATCATTCTCATCAAACAATGTCCAATCCGGATTTCCAGCCCTCAAATCGTCAATACAACGGATTGGATTGGTTTCATCGCTTGGTGTCGGGGGAACCGAATTTTCAAGCTGAATCATTTTTTGAATAGATTTTCCAGGAACTAAACCGCTTTGTACTGGGAAAATTTTTAGTGGTCACTTTAGGGTTTTGACGTTTCAGTGGCCACTATAGTAGTCAAATTTGTGGCCACTTAAGGGGTTAAAAATTAGTGGCCACTATAGAGATCTAAGTGCTACTACTAGACCACTATAAACTTGAGTGGTCACTTTAGGGGTCAGTGGATCAACATAACTGGTCCGATCTGTTTTTCTTTTAAGTTGTCAGAGTTACTGGAAGGAATGCTGGATGAAAAACTACTGAAGTGGCCACTAAAACAGAAAATAGTGGCCACTATAGAGGTGGGTTTAGTGGCCACTTTAGTGTCCTTTCCAAGTAGTCCTTGGCAAGCCTCTATAGTGGCCACTAAAAATTTTCCCAGTACATAGACTGGTGAAAAATGTTCTTAGAAACACCGAAGTGGTCCCTATAAGGTCAACAAAAGCTCCTATGGAAGACCAAAAAATTGGTGTAAAATTAAGTGGCTTCTGAAGGAGTTTACCATCGGATCTATAAGCCTCTAAAGCTCCAGTGCTCCCTAGTGGGAAAGGTAAAGAGTCCCCTATAGGGTATCCTACAAGAGCTCCTAAGGTTGCCCCTTTAGGGACCACTCTGACATTTCTAAGTTTCGAAAAATCACTGAATAAGAACAGTTTAATGCTGAAAAAGTTGTAGAAAAAAACTACTAATAAAAAAATAATTTTTTTGAAGAAATAAATCTAGCAATTAACCGTTTTGTATATAGAACCCCTTCAAGTACCACCTCTACGCGGTGATGAGGAGACAACGCCATTTATGGCGGCTAACGGTACACCGGTCACGCAGTTCGGCTTGCTTCTGCTAACAGAATGGGCGGTCTTTTTTAGCCCTGGCAAGGCAAAAAGGATAATCAGACCAAAATTATGCTATAACACGTTCAACACCACGGATGGAACTTTTTCGCAAGAATACCAGTCAACCAGGACAACACTGGATGACCGATTGCATAAGACCTCCTGGAAAACGTGTGGTCCACGCTTCGATCAATAAAAGGCAATAAAAGATCGAAAGCGAAGATGGACCATCTAAGTATCTAAGTAAGTAAGTATGTAGAAAACTGAGAAAGGTCTCGAAAAATATCGAATTTTTCGAAACAGAATCGTAAAAACAATCATTTTAAAGGTATAATAACTTGTCGAAAAATTTATTTCAGCTTTAAAAAAATCTACAAATTTTCATAACCATCCAAAAAAATTCAACTTTAAGAGCTTGTTACCTGGGAAGAAAAAGCTGAAAAAAATCGGAAAAATCAACTACTTTTTTTATACATAAACCTTAAACTTTCTGAAAAAAATGTCATTGTTCTTTATATATTTTAAGAAATTTGCGGTTCAAAAAAATGTCAAAAATAACTTCTTTTTTTAAATTTTTTTCCACATAATGAGCGTCAAAAGTACAAGTTCTCTATACTATTTAACCTCTAAAAAAATAATTTTTTTAATCTTTAAAAACATATTTTTTTTCGTTGAAGATATCACTAAAAATGATATATTTTATTTTTTGGTCATAAATTTTCCACGTCAAACCTCCTGGATCCGAGCCAGGAGCTCTTCTTTCTCACGAATCCATTCTTTTTCGCTTTCCCTCAATTTTTCGAGGTTATATTTGGCTTCATCCAGATATTCCTGGTTCTCCAGAAGTTCCTAGAAAAGTAAAACTAAAATTAAAATATTCCAAAAGGAAAAAAAAACCTGCTTAATTTTGCTGATCGAGGCGCGCTCACTTTCCACATCCTCTTTTCGGAATTTTAATTCAATGTACTGGAAAATTGTTCTTTAGGATGTTTTTCTGAGAAAAATTTAACCTCGTCGAGAATTTCTCGGACACTTTGATGCAAGGCTTCTTTGGCTTCGTTGTACTGATGAGTTAGGTACCGGATTTCTTGCTAAAAAAATAAAAATATAAAAAAATCATGTGACGTAAAAAAATTGAAAAAAATCTTACTAGAGGATTTTTTTCAGTCTTTCTTGTTTTTTTAGGACCTTCTTATTCCAAAAAAGAAACATTTTCTCAAAATTTTTCTCAAAAAGACGCTATAAAGCTTGAAATAGCGAATTTTTGTCATAATTTGCGTATTTTTTTTTCTTTTCGTGGAATCAAAAGCTTTTTTAAAAATTTTTTATGAATCCCCTGCCGATTTTTTTCTTTTCCACTTGCATCTTTTTCACATAATTTCATAAAAAGATGCTAGAAAGCACTTAAAAATATTCCAGGAGCACCAAAAATTGTCCTCCGAGGCAGAGATGGGCAAAAAAGCGCGGAAGATAGAGATTTTGAAATTTAAATAGAAAAAAATAAGTAACTGTAAAAATATGCGCATGTGGAAGATGATAAACTCAAAAAAAGTTTTTGTAAGCTCAGAAAAATCTTTGAAACTAAAACCGCAACGATTTCTCACACTTTTCTAAGCTGCTTTTTAATTTTTCTGAATACGATAACCACTAGAAAAACTTTTTTTAGATCCTCACTAGGTATAGTTTCACAGTTAGCACCTTTTTTTTGGTTCAAATGATTCCTCTTTCAAAAGTTCTCTGTTTTCGGAACTGCTCTGAGGCAATAAAAAACCTTCTCAAAAAATATTTTTTCCCATAATTTTTAGGAGCTCTTAGCGGGACCTTTTTAGCTCCTTCTGAGAGTCCTTAAAAAGATTTCCCGTTTTTCCGATTTCGGTACATTTTCATCCTTACAATACAGCCATTTCTCATCATCCTCCTTCACCTTGTTAGTGTGAGCCAACAATCTGAGCTCGTGGTTCTCCTCCAGCGTCTTGATAATCGGAATATCGGTCCGCATGGTGCTGGCAATGTTCACGGAAGCGGTCCTGGCCGACGGGAGCACCGGTTGGGACAAGGAATGTCTTTGGAAGACGGGAGCACTCGGCTCCGCGTCGGCCGCTTCTTCCGGAACCTCTTCGTCGCAGGTGAACTCTGTCGTGTCGTAAATGTCCGACATTCTGGAATTCAGAAGGAAAATATGAGAACTTCCTCAAGTTATACACGAAAATTTCAATACAAATTTGCGAACAGGGAAAATTACAAAATCGGATTTCTTCAAAAAATTTTTCTTCATTCTTTTCTATTAAAGGTGGTGAAAAAATAGAGCCTTTGATGCACTTTTTAACAAGAATGTGAGATTTTTAGCGCCGTTCCTGAGAGAACAAATATTTCAAAAGATCAAAAATATAGCGATTTCGAGAAAATATAGCTTCAAAGACATATAAAAAAGGTCAAATGGCTAGAAAACGTTTTTGTAGCACTTTATTTGAATTAATGATTCAGAAAGTTACCCTTCAGAGGCTTCAAAAGTAAGAAAAAAAAAGTACAACATTAATACTGTACAAAATTAATAGAATAATCAAATTCAACTTAAAATTAAAGGGCTTTGGCAAAATAGCTTTATAAAATCGCAAAAAACCGATGTTACCATGACAACACATTCCTTTCGAAACCTTTGACCTTTTAGAACATCTTCAAAAAAAAACTAACGCGAATCGACGGGAAACAAGCTGCAAAATGAACATTTCCAAAGTCATTACGTGATATTCGATTAAAATAAAAATAAAAAAGAAAAAGTTCAATGATAAAAATGGTATCATTTCCCGTTGAAAGGAAAAAAACTTCAAATTTCGATTTAATATTGGTAAAAGCCTTAAGAAAGATTCCCAGTCGAGAATTTGAGGTAAAATGAACTGAAAAACAATTTTAACGCGTTTTTCTGAGAAGTTATGGTGAGAAAAATCTATTTCTACATTATGTAGATTTTTAATTACAAAGTTATCAAATTTTTGGAGGCGTTAAATATCAAATCTACTTTCAACAGGAAAAATGACTGAAAATGAAAGGAAATTGTAACACGAAAACGAAATGAAAATGTTGTCCTGGAATTTCGAGTTTAAAAATTTCCACTTCGCGCCAGATCATTTTTGCCCCGGGGCAGCTTTACTGCAAACCGGCTGGTACGATTTACGGCGCCTTCTTTTTGCCGTTTCAACTTTTGATGTTTAATTAATTTCTTCTCCATCGTTATTTTATTTTCAAATTTGTAGAGCCGATGCGCTCTCGGAGCGGTTCTGGGGTGCGGCTTGACCGGATTCTGTTTCTTGTCGAGCAAACGATTTGCGAGCACCAAAATGCGATAACAGCTTTATTCGCCAATCAAAAGGAATTTCCAGGTTTTTGAACTGTTTTATTTTAACTTTATTAAAAGCGATTCAAGGACATGCATGGGTCAGGGATAACGTATACATTGCACAAGCTTTATGGGCCTTGTATCGTGCTTACATGAAATGCGCCGATTTTGACGAAGACTTGTCGAAGGCCAAGGAGCTCGGATTCACATGGTAGAAACGAACGGGAATATTTATTTAAATCAAAATTTTAGCGTAAAAATGATGCAGTCGATTCTGGAGTGCATGATGTTGCAGGCCGACAAGGTCGAGCTGTTCAAAAACTTCCAACGGTTTAACTTTTTATGAAGTTTTGCGAATTGAAAGATGGGATTTAGGCCATTGGACGCGTTGCATTCAAAGTATTCGGTGAATACGAAAAGCACAGTTTGCGGGGATTCCGAATGGGGACACATGCAAATGGACGCCACCTCCTTGTTCCTGCTCACTTTGGCCCAAATTACAGCTTCTGGTTGGTTATTTAAACGTTTATTCGAACAAATCAACTAATAGTATGGTCAAAATTCAATTCCCTGTTCAAAAATAATTTTTTTGGAAAGCAAAACTTTAAAAATTCGTACATTTCTTCAACAAGGAAAGTTAAAAAAATTTGATAGAAAAATAACTTTTTTTCGTAGTTTTTCAGGCAGAATTTCATTTGAAGAATTACTTTTTTTCGATCTAAAATTGAATTTTTTTCATGTACTCTAAGGTTTTTTTGATCAGATTATGAATAATTTTTCGTTGAAAAATAAAAAAATAAAAAGTGCTTTTTTTCATGCCGTGTAACTTGTCAAAATCGCACAAATAAAAAAATGTATTTCCAGATTTTTCTGTTTCATGGCCGAATTTCAATATCAGCTAGGAATTTGTGATCTTCATTAAATTCTGTAAAAAAAGAATTTTATTTGTAAAATTAAAAAAATGGCTGAACCATTGGAAATCGTGAATTTTTTTAGTTCTTTACATTTAAAAAAATTAATTCAAATAAGAAAAAAACCGTTGGAAATTTGACCTTATTTCGACTTTTTTTAAGGTTCTTTTTCAAAGCTTTTTGAAGAATTTCAGGATTTCAAAAGCTCAGTTTTCGTTTGAATTCATTTCATTTTGATTTGATAGTTCATTTTTATGTGAATTTTACGAAAAACCAACTTTTACGAGAAAAGTTGTCGAAAAATGGCACAAGTTGGGATTTCTAACGTACCTTTAAGGATTTTAGGACTTCAAAAGCCCAATTAACATTTTTAAATAATGTTATTCTTGATTTTAAAAGTTACTTTTTGCGTAAATTTCATGAAAAAAATAACTTCCATAAGAAAAAAACTTCATAAAGTTGACAAAAGTTTAGCTTTCTGAATTTATTTTTCAAACTTATTTTTCAAGTTCAATGGTTCTAGAAGCTCAATTTTTTTCTTTCAATTGACGTTAATCTTGACTTTAAAAATTCACTTTCCATGTAAATTTTATGAAAAAAAGTAGCTTTCACAGGAAAAAAACCGTTAAAAAAAGTCGACAAAAGTTTGGCTTTGTAAAGTTATTTTCATTGTTTTTTTAAGGATTTTTAGGGTTCTAAAAGCTCAATTTCCCTTACAAATGATGTTTTTTTGTTTTTAAAAACCATTTTTCAAGCTTATTTTATAAAAAACCAACTGTACCAGGTCTCCAAGTGGTCCGGAACTTTGACGAGGTCGCCTTCGTTCAGAACCTTGTCTATTATATTGAGACGGGCTACCGGACTCCGGTGAGCTTTTTTCTCTCATTTAAAAGCATTTATTATTATTTAAGGACTTTGGGATCTGGGAACGAGGCGATAAAACCAACCAAGGGATCAGGGAACTCAATGCCACTTCCATCGGGATGGTCAAAGCGGCGTTGCAAGTGAATTTCAAGAAAAATATTAAAATATCATTTTTAACAAGAAAGCTGCAAATTTTAATTAAATAAGGAAATTTTAAATTTCTTCTGAACGAGAAGAGGTAAAATTTCTTGAAAAATAAGGAAGCTGCAAATTTCTTTCAAACAGGGAGGCTCCAAAAAGGTGAAAAAATATTTAAAAAATTCTGAATTTTTTTTAAAAGGCTCCCTGGAGCACGAAAAAAATCACGTTTTATAAATTTTTTTGAAACACAAAAAAACTCCATTTTTCTCCTCCGGCACGGAATTTGAAGCGGTATAATTCGATTTGAAAGAAAAAAAGCGTTTTTTTAAATTTTAATTTTTTTGAATCTCTTAAATCTCCTTTTTCCAGGGGCTCTAAAGAAAAATCTCAGAAAAAGTTTCATTAAATTGAAAAAAATTATCGCTTTTCGAAACTCCCTTGTAAGGATTTTTTTTTTACGTGCGAGTCTCCGGAAGCTAGAGAGCACTTGAAAACGAGAGAGCGTTTAGAGAAAAATAGTACACTCTCTCATTTTCGAACGCTCTCTAACTTTCGAAAATTCATATGTAGAACCGACCAAATGTTGCACTGATAAACGAGAGAGCGCCCAGAGAAAAAAATTATGCCCTCTCATTTTCGAACACTCTCTCACTCTCGAAGATTCATATGTAGAATTGATCAAATGAGGTACTGGTCAACGAGAGAGCGTTCAGAGAAAAAAAGAACACTCTCTCATTTTTAACGCTCTCTAACCCTCTCTCTCTTGGCTCCTCGTGAATTTTTTTCATTTTTCCTCATTTTCAAGGCTCTAAACGATGTCGGGGACCTATTTGTGGACGGATCAAGAGGATCTGTAATCCACGTTCTTCCCGATGAGATCGAACAGTGTTCGGCCGTTCTTTCCAGCATGCTACCCAGGGAATCTTTCAGTAAAGTTGGTTTCTTCCAATTTTTGAAATTATAGCAATTTTCTTCATTAAATTCCGTTCAATAGTTCTTCAAAATTAAGAAAAAGTGGAAAAAATGCACATTTTCAGCACTTTTGAACACTTAATCAATGAAAGCTTTGATTTTAAGACATCTAATTTAAAAAAATAAATAAAAACCTAGGATGCACTTTACTGTTTCTTGAATAAATCGAACAAGAAAATCTTTATTTTTTTCCGTTTTCTATGTGAAAATTTGGAGTTAATATTGCATTTTTGATGTTTAATGATGCTTCAAAATCAAGAAAAACTGTTCGAAATGAAGGAATATACATTTTTGAGTCTTTCTGAATCTTTCTGAACAACAAAAAACGTTTTTTTTTTGTTACCCAACCAAAAATTTGGAGGAAACCGACGCGGCGCTCCTCACGATCATCAGTTACCCGGCGTTTTGTGTGGAGGACCCCGATTTGGTGTGCAAAACCCGAGATACCATCACTTCGCGGCTTCTCGGGAAATACGGGTGCCGAAGGTTTCTCCGCGACGGCTATCATACGGCTCTCGAGGTTAGTTTATGTCATTTTTTCAACCTGGAAGTTAAGAAAAACTCAAAAAAGTTGTATTTATATCAATATTGAAAATCTACATTGTGATGCTGCCTCTTTACGTTGTCAAAAAGAAAAAAGATTCCCTAGAGTGATCACTTGAAAAAACCGATGTTTGCTAACCGAGCAAAATCTTCCACTCGAGCGACCACTACGGCCTCTTTAGTGATCACTTGAAAAGGACAGATTCCTTATAAATTTTTTTTTTTCTGCGAATCAATGGCATGTTTCCCTAGAGTGGTCACTAACTGAACTGCTAAGGTGGCCACGACCCTAAGCTTGCGAAAGTGGTCCCTATACGTCTTTTTATGTTAAAAATCAGAACAAGTATTTATAGACCTCTATAGGGACCACTTTAGGGACTAGAGATTAAACTTTATACCCCTATAGGGACCTCTTTGCCTTCTAGTGAGCACTCTGTCGTCCCCTATAAGGGCTGTTTTTATTTCCTAACCCCTCTAGGGAGCACTCTGGGATTTCTGAGAGAACCTTTAGGAACTCCAGAGTGGTCCCTATAGGGGCTCTTGGAGGATCCCCTCTAGGGATCACTTTACCAACCCCTATGGGCGTCACTAAAGCTTGCAAAAGTGGTCCCTATAGGGGACATGCTAGTCGATAATTTTAATGAGCTCTTTGCGAAGAAGCATTTCCATTCAAAAAACTGAATAAATAAGCGTTTTCTAAATGTAGTTGAAAGACCCCTATAGGGACTACTCAAGCTTTAGGGGCTAAGAGGTCAGACCCTAAACCCCTATGGAGACCACTTTTCCGCCCTCTATAGCTGTCTTCTCCCAAACCCCTATAGGGATCACTCTGAAACTCATAAGTAAGTTTCCAGGACCGCTCTCGTCTCTACTACAACAAGTCCGAACTGCAGCAGTTCGAAGACATCGAAAGCGAATGGCCGCTATTCCTTTGCTATTTGATCCTCGACGCCATGTATTCCAAGGACGACGACGCCGTGGAAGACTACTGGCGCCAGTTGGAAAGTGTTCGTTTAAGTGGTCTTCTGGAAAATTCGATGTTTGAATAAATTCTTGGGGTTTCCTTTTGAGAGGGCCTTAATAAATAAAGAAAGAAGAAAACTGACATAAAGGTTCCAGGAAAAGGTGCCATTAAAAATCAAAAAATGATCTTGGAAGAAGCTTTTTGAGTCTTTATTTTCGATTAAATTCCGTGAAATGAAAAAAAATTGGAAGGTTCCAGAAGTATAATCAAGAAAACAAGGAATTTTTCAATATAAGAAGAAAAAAGAGCTTGGAATCAGCTTTCCTGGAAAATCAGGGATCTTGGAATTTCCCCAAAAAACGTCTAAACCTCCTCTTTTCGCACACTCTCTCGCGAAAATTTTCCTAATCAAGCGGTGAATGAACTATAACCACATGAAGACTGCGCGAAACAAGAAATGAAAACATTTTTCTACAAAAAATTAATGAATTCTTCACGTTTTCTCGAAAAATGATCTTATCTCTACGTGAATAGGGTATATAAGCTGAAGGTTTCCCACTTTGGACACTTCATCTGGTTCTCTCTTCTTCCTCTCTCTCTCTCCCTCTCTCCAACTCTCTGAAAGCTCTTGGATCTCTCTACCTTTGCGGGTAACTTTGCGGTTTTCGCTTCTACATAGTCAATGGACCATGTAGTAGCGAAAAGCGAGAAATTTTCAAAAAATCTCCTCGTAACGACAAAAATTGGAGCCTTTTTACGCTTTGAGGAAAACTTTCGATTAAATTTCATCAGTTTTGATAGATTCCTACCGAGGAAAAAATAGCAAAAGCAAACTTCGTTGAAAGGATTCGAACCCTGGCCTTGGTCTCCGCAGCCTAGCACGCAAGCCACTACACTAAGCGGCCAACTGTTAGTCATTGCGCGTGGGCGAGACACATTCCTCCTTGCTGCGTTCCACTCTTCTCACGTGCAAACTTTGAGCCGTCATAACTCGACTACGAGGCAAAAATCAAGGAATTTCATTTTTGATTTGGAATCAGCATGTCTTAAAGTACATGAAAGTACGCGAAGTTTCTCGAAATCCTTTGAAAAATGGCATTTTTTCGAACTTAATTGTATTCAAACTATTGGAATCACAAATGTTGTATAATCCTTAAAATTTTCTAAATCTTCAAAAAATATTGATTTCCACTAAACAAAACCACGTAAAAGAATATGGCAAAAAGTAGGAATTTTATCTGAATTTCTTTGGGAATTTTTTTCATTTCTAAAATTCCTTCTTTAAACTTTCATGCTGGTAAATCTTGTACCGACAATCCCAATTTGTACAACTTTACAGGTACTCGTTTTGAGCCCCGAAGGTTTCCGACTGGTTCCAGAACTCTACGCGGTTTCCAAAGAAAATGTGGCGGCTGAAAAATCGTCACGAGGCTCTCAACTCCGACAACCAGCCGGGGCTACGTGGGTTCATAAGGAAGAGTATAGGACAAAAGCGCCGATTCCAAGAGCGCCGTTCAAATTTAGCGCCAGTCCGCAATGCGCCGTCGCGTGTATGCGCCGTGTATGCAGACGCCGCTTTCTTTTGCGCCGAGTCCATTTGCGCCGAATCGTTTTGCGCCGTTATTTCAAAATTTTATTTATTCGCTCTTTTTCTATCATTGTTTATTGATTGTGTAGTACACATTCATATACGACTCGAATAATTTTCGCGCCATCTGTTAATATGGACCTTTCTGCCGCATTTTCGAAAAAACTCGAACTATTGTTTCAAGAAAAGTTCAACGTTACGAAAAACGATTTTCTGCTGTTTCACGTCTGCTAGAATTAAAACTTTGCCTTACCTAACGCAGAAAATTTGCAATCACAAAAAAAAATCACTCAATATGTCATTTAAAGCAATAATTTTTTTTATCCATTCTCTTTTTCCTTACGTTTTCTGTATTTTTTTCGAAAGCAGAAAAAGCATTTTTTTGCTTTTTATTTTTTTACTTTGAAAAAGAAAAAAAGGAGAAAAAAATATTTTTACCTGGACCAAAGTGGACCTAAAACTCATCATTAACGGATGGCGCGAAAATTATTCGAGCCGTATATGAATGTGTAGTAAACAATTATTAAAAAAATAATATAAAAAAAGAGCGAATAAATAAAAGTTTGAAATAACGGCGCAAAAACGATTCGGCGCAAACGGACTCGGCGCAAAAGAAAGCGGCGTCTGCATACACGGCGCATACACGCGACGGCGCATTGCGGACTGGCGCTAAATTTGAACGGCGCTCTTGGAATCGGCGCTTTTGTCCTATACTCATAAGGAACCTTTTTTATGATTTAAAATAGTTTTTGAGTGGTCCGTTTTTGGCTACTTGAAAATTACTGCCATAATAAAGATTTCCTTCAAACTTCTCATTAGCGAAACAGGGAAAATCGCTATTTCGAATCATTTTTCAGACCTTTCCTCTGGGCACAGTCACTCTATGTCATCTGCTGCCTACTGTATGAAGGATTCCTGAGCCCGGCTGAGTTGGATCCGTTGAGCCGACGCCTGTCGGTCTATGAAAAGAGACCTCCGTGCGAAGTTCAAGGTAAAAATCGTTGAGGGGATTCGGAAATATTGCAACAAAAAACCTTGTGATTGTTTTTCCTTGAAAATTTCTATAGCACTTTTTATAGTCAGTCCTTCCCGATTTTAAAGCCGAGGCTGGGCTGAAAGGGGCAAAAAACGGTTTCGAGCTGATGCTCATGCTGGCTAGTTGTCTCAGCGGGCGTACCCGTGTTTTTTGGGGCTATTTGTGTCTCCGTCGGGGTAAAACGGGCAAAAAACGGGTTCGAGCTGAGGCTCATGTCAAAAAACGGGTGCAAGCCCGTACTCATGCGGGTCAGATGTCTTCGCGGGCTTACCCGTATTTAACCCTAGTTTTTAAAGCTTTTTGAGTCGTTGGGCAAAAACGGGCGAAAAACGGGTGCAAGCTGATACTCACGCTGGCAAGGCGTCTCACCGGGTTTACCCGTATTATACCCGTACGCGTAAACCTTGTTTTTTGAGGCTCTCTGAGACTACTCTTGATGAGCAGATGTCTCAGCGGGCGTACCCGTATTTAACCCTTTTTTTTAAAACTTTTTGAATTTCAGTTGGGCTAAAACGGGCGAGAAACGGGCTTAGGAAGAGATAGGAGACTCAGCTTTGTTTTTCGAAAATCTGAGTCCCAACGGTGCCTCAGCTGTGATAAAAAAAAACCAAGAGTTCTACCAGCTGGGCTTTACGGAATCGATACGGGCACACCCGCTTAGAGCCCGTGTAAGCCCTCAACAACATGAGAGTATAATCAACAAGGACCTTTAATAAAATTCACCGCAAAATTCCTCAAGAAACCGATAAAACTCACAGATTTCCTTGGTTGCAGTGGCGATCCTCGCCGAATCGGCCTGTGTCCAAAAAGAGCTTCGCCTCAACAATATCGTCGTCCAGCGGGTTGACGAAATCGACCCCGTTTTCCAGATTCTGCCCGCCTCAGTCCTTTCCCAACTTTTGGCCAAGTGATTTTCGACCATTTTCTGAAAATCAGGGATTGAATTTAGGATCGGAGAGTCCGAAAAATTGAAATTATCGGGCCGACCTTTGGACCGACAAGTCGGATTGCTCAGCACCAGTAGACTGTATCAAATTGGCAGCAAATTCGTCATTTTTACGCCTCAGGTATAGTTAATGGACTGGCTATATATCCAGCTGGGGATTCGGGATTTTCCACTACTAATATAATTTAAACCGTCGCGATGGGGATCGAACCTGTGACCCTTTGGACCGTAGACGGGAACACAACGTACTGGGAAAATTTCTAGTGGCCACTGTAGGGTTTTGACGTTTTAGTGGCCACTGTAGTGGTCAAAATAGTGGCCACTATAGAGGTCTAAGTGCTAATACTAGACCACTAAAAATTTTAGTGGTCACTTTAGGGGTTAGTGGATCAACATAACTGGTCCAACCTGTTTATTTTAGAATTATCAGAGTTACTAGAAGGAATACTGGATGAAAAACTACTGAAATGGCCACTAAAACGGAAAATAGTGGCCACTATAGAAGTTGGTATAGTGGCCACTTAAGTTTCCTCTCCAAGTAGTCCTTGGCGATAGTGGCCACTAAAAATTTTCCCAGTACGGCCCCAGATTCTAGGCTTAATTTTCACGGACTCTTGCACAAAATCTGTGGATTCAGTTCATGGAATGCCGTCGATCGCATCTGATGTACGACATCCGGATTCTGACGGATGAATGGAGCAGCGAATTACAGTACATTTACGCGTCCTGGAACAGCGTCAGCATCAGTGGCCGGCCCCTTGTCGTCCTTGTCGTCACTCAGTCGATGCTTTCTACGGTTTTTGCTTCCAAAAAATGACCAATTTTCCCTCTTAGGAAGGCCTGTCCCACTTCTCCAACATCCCCCTCAATCGGCATATGAAATCGACCGTCATTGGTGCTATCAAAAAGATCAGTACCGGATATTTGAGTGGGGCCAGGTGATCTTTTTTTCTTCTCATTATAAAAAGCTTCCGGGTGATGAAAAACTTGTCGGAGAGAAATTATCGATAAAATGAAGTCTCTACGACCTTTTCAAGCCATTTTCGAACGTTACTTTTTACTTTTTGAACCTGTCTAGTTGAAAATTTTACTCCTGAAGGCTGTTTTGGATTTTCGGATCTTGCCTGTTTCAAATTCTAAATTCGGGTTAAATTTATAGTTATATGAATGTTATTACATACAAAAAGCTTCCAAAGGGGTGATAAAAAACCTGTCGGACAAAAATTCCTGACAAAATGAATCAATGACCTTTTTTTGGGGGCGTTTTTTTCAAGCCATGGAGGCTTTTAAAAACCGCTTTTTGAACCTATTCAGAAATATCTAGTCTCTTTTAATCATTTTATTTTCCCTTATCTAAATTTTTTTCCCCCTTTCTACTTGAAATTTTGGACCTTGCCTGTTTCAAATTTCAAATTTAGGTTAATATTATGTTTATTTGAATGTTTTCACATACAAAACACTTCCAGAGGTGATGAAAAAGTTCGGACAAAGATTTTTGACAAAAATAAATGGTTACGACTTTTTAAAGGCATTTTTCAAGCTTTAGAGGTTCCTAAAATCCGCATTTTACGTTTTGAACCCACATATCAAGTTTTCTCCGAAACCCCTTTATTTTCATTTTCAATTTGAATCAAAATTCTAGTTTTATGAGTTTTTTTTTTTTTCACGTACAACAAGCTTCCAGAGTGGTGATGAAGAACTTTTCGACAAAAATTATGGACAAAATTAAATATCTATGACTTTTATTGGGAACTTTTGAACGTGAGGAGCCTTAGTTATTTTTTCCGTGGTTTGAAAGCTATATTTCAATTTTAATTTTCGGATCTTTACAGCTTCAAATTGAACATTCAAGTTATAGTCTGTGTGCCATGACTTGAAATTTCACAGAACGACATTCCGCTGTTCCGCTGCGTGCGTTCGCGAAGCGTCTTTCGAATCTAGGTCACGCTTTCAATTGATTGTTATTGCTGTGTGAGCACATGAAAGTAGAGCCTTAAGAAAAGAAAAAAATGATTAAAAGCGCGACCAAGGTTCGCAAAGGCGCGCAGCGGCACAGCGGAAGTCGTTCCGTGAAATTACAAGTCGTGGTACACATTATGGTTATATGAATGTTTTATATACAAAAAGCTTCCAGAGTGGTGATGAAGAACTTGTCGGACTTTTTCCGCACGACGGCCGTCAGCAAAATGGAATTTCGCGGCGGGGGCGTCGAGGAGATCCTCGGGGCGGTTAGCGAGGAAAAAGTCACGTTCAATCTTCACACTGGGGATAATAAGGACAGTAGAGGTTGGGCGAAGAAGTGACAACTAAGGAGGATGACGATTTTAGTCGGGATCTCCGTGGCATCGCCTCGGGTTACTCTGAAACGAGGCGATTCCGTGAAGGATCGAAGCGCCTACTCGATGATCCACAAGGCGTCGATGCGACATCGCTCCATCGCTTTGGATAGCAATGACAGCGGTGAGTTTGAGACTTTGAGATTTTCCTGCGAGAGACTCACAAAAATGGCTATTTGAATGAAAAAATGTAAAAAGAGAAGATCGAGTTTTATCAAATAAAGTGCCGCTTTCCGCGTGTCTGCGTCTCTCTGTTCCCTCACCGGGGAGGTCCGAGAAACGTGAAAATAGCACGTAAACATGAGAGTGACGTAGAGAGATAAGGAGGGCGCAGAGAAGTCGCGAAAATCCAAATCATAGAAAATCCATAAGGTCACTAGAGGGACCACTTAAGCTTGAGGGGTCTGACCCCTCTAAGGACCACTTAATTCCTACCCCTACAGGGACCACTTTTTTGTGTTCTATACTGGCTGTCCTCTAACCCCTATAGGGACCACTCTCCCGCGAGAAGTCCCGCTCTTTCTAACACGGACTATACGTCTTTTCAATTTCCAAATCATAAAAAATTGCATAAGGTCACTAGAGGGACCACTTAAGCTTCACGGGTCAGACCTTAAACCCCTGAATTCTACCCCTACAGGGACCACTTTTATTTTCTATACTGGCTGTCCTCTTACCCCTATAGGGACCCCTCTGGCGAACCTAAGTGATCGCAATTTGATGCTATTACTACCTCCTGGAACCCTCTAATTTTTATTTTTGTCAAATTTTGTCAAACCTAGAGTTGAATCTTATGGAAAACTAGAAAACCCGAGGTTCCAGACCTGGTCCAGCTCCGACTGGCCTACAAGAACCGAGGAAGAGAGTTGGAATCGCCGCTGGCGACGGTTTCCAACAGAACCACTCCGCCAAGACAACTGGGTCTGGTGCGGGAAGAGCCCAGCCAATTGAGGACCCTTCTGAACACGGTCCGGAAGGAATCGTCCAGCGAGTCCGTTTCCGTTGTTCCTGTATTCTCCGCGAAGGTATTATTGAAAAAAAAGAGAACAGGGAAGCAAGAAGGAGTAGAGAAACAGGTAAATGAGAAAGAGAGAGTAGAAAAACAGGTCAATCAAGAGGGAGGTTAAAGAAATAAAAAAAACGCCAGCCCTCTTGTTTTTGAGCACTGTCTAGCTCTAGAAACTTTCTCTTTAATAGGTTATTTCTACCGTTATCGATTGGAATACTGGTGAAAAAACTAGTTTATTTCGTAAACTTCTCATGTCAAAAAAAAATTCAGCTTACAGTATTTTTATAATAATAACAGCTCAAAAGCAAAAAAATAAAATATTTGACAAAAATATGTTTTTTTCAACGACTAGCATCTTTTTACAGATGAACGAGATGAAAGCCGATGATTTGATCGATCTCCTACTTGACACGACCGTCTTGGAGGAACAAACTTCGATTATTCACTGCTTGTGGATGAACTTGTGGGTTTTTTTTTGTTGTCTCAAAAAACTTCTTTGAGTATATTTCAGTGGTCCCAACTACGATACCCAACTTGCGGAGCAAAGCGTCACAGTTCGGATGCTCATGGAGGAGGTTTATGCAAAGGTAAGCTAGAAAAAAAAAGAAAATTGAAAAGGTAAGAAGAATAAAAGAAGCAGCTTTTCCCATTTCTTTTCACGTCAAGTTCTCCGTACCGAAATGTCGTTTTTTACGCTCCGTATACAGTACTGGCCATAAAAGGTATTTCAAAGTGGTTATTCGAGCATAACTTCTCTGAAAATGGCTCAAATGACTTGAAACTTTGCAAAAAAATTTCAAATAGCTACGCAGTAACTCTTTCACAAAAAGAAAAAAACTCATTTGCTCAACTCAGACCGGATTTGGGAGCAAAAACCAAAAAAATCGTGAAAAATCAAGATTTTTTTCTCTTGAGATTCGAAAAAAATCATATCTTCAAAGAAACTTCGTTTTCGAACCAGAAACTTTTTCCCCAGTAAAAACAAATCTTTGGCTTTCCAAAAACCTTATCAGCCCCTCACCAACCCGATAGTAAGAGCGTAGTGACTTTTTCTTCGGAAGGTCCTTGCGTTTTGAAGCCTCGTCATTCGAATGGACTATACGAGGTCATTTTTGTTTGAGAACACCCTGTGTCATGTTGAAAAACTTTGAAACACCCTCAAAAAATAGTTGTACACTGATTTCTTCAGCTTTCTCACTTTATCTGCTCTCCAGAACTCACTAACTTCACTAGGACCGATTTTGAAACCTCTGATTTGAAGCGGTTATGCTCCTTTTTCAAAATCAGAACATTCTCGATTTCTCATTTCAGATTTCAGAGCTTCTTCAGAACCTTTATGAATGAAAATGAAAAAAGACTCACTGTGTTTCGTTTACTTATTCAAAAGATATAGTGATTCATAATGAGTTTCTTAAAGTTCCAAAACTTCGGTTCAGCAAGTGTTGCTTAGAGGGCTCCAAATCTTGTAGAAGATGATAAAAAAACCCTTTTTTTCATATTTTTTTAAATGTTTTTAGATCATGAGATAAATTTGTAACTCCTCTTTGTAGCTCTCAAATCAAAAGATAGGCACTGTAAAAAGTTTCTTTAAATTTTATGTGAAAAATAAGTTTTTTTGATCTTGTGAAACTAATGCTTTAGCAAAAAAATTAGCGGTCTTCAGGAACTAAGAGGCTGCAATTTAGCCAATATTTATTTTTTTAAATTCACGAATGAAAAAGCGATTGATCAGATAAAAAAACTACTTTGAACGCCCGAAAGTCCAGAAAAACTGTTCAAATCAGAGGTTTCAAAATCGGTCCTAGTGAAGTTAGTGAGTTCTGGAGAGCAGATAAAGTGAGAAAGCTGAAGAAATCAGTGTACAACTATTTTTGAGGGTGTTTCAAAGTTTTTCAACATGACACAGGGTGTTCTCAAACAAAAATGACCTCGTATAGTCCATTCGAATGACGAGGCTTCAAAACGCAAGGACCTTCCGAAGAAAAAGTCACTACGCTCTTACTATCGGGTTGGTGAGGGGCTGATAAGGTTTTTTGGAAAGCCAAAGATTTGTTTTACTGAGGAAAAAAGTTTCTGGTTCGAAAACGAAGTTTCTTTGAAGATATGATTTTTCGAATCTCAAGAGAAAAATCTTGATTTTCACGATTTTTGGTTTTTTGCTCCCAAATCCGGTCTGAGTTGAGCAAATGAGTTTTTCTTTTGTGAAAGAGTTACTGCGTAGCTATTTGAAATTTTTGCAAAGTTTCAAGTCATTTGAGCCACTTTCAGAGAAGTTATGCTCGAATAACCACTTTGAAATACCTTTATGGCCAGTACTGTAACTGCTATTTGATCATCTACAGCTCTTCCTGGGCTAAAATCTCGATTAGCAGGGCTTTATATCATCCTTTACGTTTCGTTATCTCGTCTAGTTGATCATCTACAGCCCTTCTTGGAAGAAAATCGCCGGAAAAGGTCGTATCACTGATATTTGGCTATTTTTTTTTAGGAAAACTTTTCTTAGCAATGCTTAATATCACCTTTTACGCTCCGTATCACTTCAACTTGATCATCTACAGCCTTTCTTGGAAGAAAATCGCCGAAAATAGTGATTTCCTTGAAAAGTTGGTCACCGAGTTTTTTGAGCTTCATATTTCCGAGCTGAAGGTTTGATGAGTAGGCTTATTCTGTTCTCGCAGACCTTAATATCGTCTTTCACGATCCCAATCATTTTCATTTGATCATCTACAGTCCTCCTTGGGATAAAATCTATCCTAGAACCTTCCACATTTTTTATTACTCCTAGTTGATCATCTACAGTTATTCTCGGGGGAAAATAGCTCTTAACAGTTCTTCACGTCGTTTTTCGCCTTTCTTATCACTTTTAGTTGATCATCTACACTCCTCTTGGAAGAAAGATTCTCTTAGCAATTGCTACCACTTTCAGTTAATCATCTACAGTTCCTCTCGGAAGAAAATCTCTCATAGCGGTTGATATCATTTCCATTTGAACATCTACAGTCATTCTTGGAAGAAAATCTTTCTTAAAAGTTGATATCATTTTCATTTGATCATCTACAGTCATTCTTGGAAGAAAATCTTTCTTAAAAGTTGATATCATTTCCATTTGATCATCTACAGTTTTCTTGGAAAAAATGTCATTTAGCAGTTGCTATCACTTATTTGATCATCTACAGTCTTGGTAGAAGATCCCTCTTAGCAGTGCTTAACATCGCTCTCACTTCCATTTGATCATCTACAGTCATTCCTGGGTGTAAACTGCAAAAAATGGCCCTTCCTAGGCTTGCGAATGTCGCGAATGGGCGCTGGTCCGTCTGACGTCGGGCCTTCTCGAAAAGCAACTTGAGGAACTCGGGAAAGCCGTCACGCATTTGCTCGTTCGCCAGAAGCAAATCACGGTTTCTCGCTTGGAGAAAATAATCTTCAAGAAGTTGTTCTAGATGGGATTACCGTCGAAGAAGGAGGAAGTGATAACGTGTCCCAAGACGAACGAAGAGCTGGAGGAGATTATGAGGAGAGTCTATGGAAATGACCCCAATGCGTTCACCTTGAGCCAGGTAACAAGATTTGAAAAGAAAATAGGGGGAAAATTGGCTTTTTTCTACTAATGTCTAACCTGTCTGCGCCCTCTTTTCTCTCGCCGAAAAAGTCCTTAAGGCGCAAAAAAGAGTGAATGAAAGTTGAGGGAAAAGAGAGCGCAGAGAAATCAGAGAAGTCAAAGAAAAAGTCCAAAATAAAAATCGAGTAAAAAGGTAGAATTCAAGGCATTTTCTCAATGGAGCGCGTTTGGATATGAAAAATTAGCTTTTGAAAAAAGAAATTTCCAACTTTTATAGAAAATTGAAGCAATAGCCGTTGGCTTCTTGGAAAATTAAAGAAAGCTCAGAAACTCTAGAGTGGTCCCTATAGGGGTTAGGGACAAAAAGCTGTTCTAGGGACAAAAAAGAGCGTTACCTAAGGGGTATCGTCTCCATGGCGTTCAGGGTCTGACCCCTAAGTCGCTTAAGTGGCCCCCTAGTGGTTTTCGAAATTTTTTTCTGATTTATAGTGAAATTTGATCGATGAGGGGCTGCAAGCTACAGCGGTCTGTATAGGCGAAGGTGAAGTGGTCCCTAGAGGGGAATCTTCCAAGGGCCCGAAGAATTTTCCAAAAAAATAAAGTTTTTTTCAGTTCAAATGAGAGATAGCAATGAAAATAAATGGAAAAAAAATATTTCAATATTACTTGAAACGGGGGTCTGAGAAAAATTTCGAATAACTGGCTTTTTTTTCAAATCTAAAAAGTATTGATCGTTCAGAAATAGAAAAGGACATTATATGAATATGGATATGTTTTTCTTAAATTGTTTTTGTAGCGGGAGTCATGTTTAGGAGATCGTCATCTCCTTGGGCTCCTTGGTTCGAACAGAACCGAAGCTTTTCGTCGAGATGTTCCGGCTACGAATTGGGCTCATTATTCAGGTTTTTTTCTGGGTTCTCCAAGAACTCAGCCCAGGCTTTGAGCAGTTCATCCTAATGATTCTTCAGGTCCTCGCCTCGGAGCTGGCCCGACTTCGGAACCTTTCCGGCGCCGACGCAGCCGACAAACTGTTAACAATCAGTCCCTTCGAACTCAAGTCCATGCTCTTCTCGCTGCTCAGCGGTCGGTTGCTGGAGGAATACAGTGACGACGGACACGTCGATGCGGCCAAAGACACTCGGACCGGCATCGGATCCTTCAGACGACAGATCGAAGAGAGAAAAGTTGGATTGAACTTCTTGAAGTTTCAAAATCGACTCCTTTAGTCTCTCCGGAAGTCGACCCGGAGTATGGCCGGGAACGTCGGCCTGACTCGGGATCAGGAGGAAGAAGAGGAATCTGAAGTCGAGGAGGACGACTTCCAGTTCGGCATCTGGCTGAGGCATCGTCGGATCGACGGCGCCTTGAATCGAGTCCCCAACAATTTCTATGCGGTTTGTCTTTTTTCCTTGACCTAAATCTTCCTTGTAAGTGGTCACTTGAGAGGAGAGGGGTTCAAATTAAGCTTCAGTTGAAGTGGCCTCTCAAGGGAGTTTCTTAGCTTCCAAGAGGTCACTTGAGGCGAAACTGTCGATAAGTTGATGTGCCATGAATTCAAAGTGGTCCCTCAAGAAATTTTCTGAGCGTGTAAGTGGTCACTCGAGGGATTTTTTTTGAACGTCGTGGCCACTTGAGAGTAGATGCCATCCGGTCAAGCATTTAGTGAAGGTATCAAGTTATCAAGCTTCGAAGTGTCCAAGTGGTCCCTCAAAGGATTTTCTGAGCGTCCAAATGGTCACTCAAGGGAGTTTCTGAGCGTCCAAGTTGTCACTCAAGGGATTTTCTAAGCGTCAAAGTGGTCACTTGAGAGGAAATGTCATCCAGTCAAGCATTTAGTCAAGGTATCAAGTTATCAAGCTTCGAAGTGTCCAAGTGGTCCCTCAAAGGATTTTCTGAGCGTCCAAATGGTCACTCAAGGGAGTTTCTGAGCGTCCAAGTTGTCACTCAAGGGATTTTCTAAGCGTCAAAGTGGTCACTTGAGAGGAAATGTCATCCAGTCAAGCATTTAGTCAAGGTATCAAGTTATCAAGCTTCGAAGTGTCCAAGTGGTCTCTCAATGGATTTTTTGAGCGTCCAAGTGGCCATTTAAGAGAGTTCCTGAGCGTCCAAGTGTTCACTCAAGGGATTTTCTGAGCGTCCGATTTATGAGTGACTTGAGAAGGAACTGGCAAAAAAATCTTCCGCATACCATTCTTTCAAAAATTTTCAAAAATTCAATTTTTGGCCTATATCAACATGAGCTTAACAGTTCTTAAGTGATTACTTGAGGGATCGGACAAGCGTCTCTCAATGAGAATTCCTTTAGGAGGTGGTTCAAAAATTCGGAACCTGAACCATCTCTAGAGTGACCACTTGAAGTTTATCAAAAATGCCTCTTTTCTCATCATTTTGAGATCAATTCTCATGGCATTTTGCTCGAAATCGGCTCAAAATCAAGCTCCAAAACTCAAAGAAGAGTCATTTCAGTCGCTCTGGGATACGGTACACAAAATGCCGCATGGCCTCCGAATCAATGATACGATTTTGCATTGGGGTCTGACCCAGGAGATGACCAGGAAGGAGATCAAGTTCGCCTTGGAGGTTGAGGAAGCCTTGAATCAGATCTCCGAGCCGGAATATCGTGAATTGGTGGGATTTTTCGAAAAAATCCTTGAAAGATGATCGGATTCAGGTGGTGGAAGCCCTGTGGCTCCTGGGACGGCTCGAGAAGATCATGCTGATGGACGAGCCGAAAATCCCGAGGGACCGACCTCTGAACGTCGACGCCATACTCCAGTCGGCTAATACGATCTTCGTCGAGCATAATGTTGGTTTGGGAAATATTCTGGCGAACTTTCACAAAATTATCAAAATTCTTTCTTCGTTAGGAGCATAATTTCAAAAATCTACAGTTTTCAGGTGTCCAGCTTAAGTTAGGGCGTCCTGGGCCGACCCGAACCGCAAAGAAGTGAAAAAAAAAACTTTTTTGACAGCGTGCTCGGCCTGGGATGCGTTTCGGTAGCTCCAGGTCTCATTCATGTTGGCTACCTACGAGATTTAACCCGTTTACCGCCCGCCGATCGCCCGAGACGGGATTTTAGACCGGACATAGGCCCATTCCAACGTATCAGTGACAACCCTAGAACACCCGTTTTGCGAAATTATGACTTCTTAGCCCAAAAGCTACTGGGTAGAAGTGAAATAGAGTAAAAGTCCAGCAAAAAATCCAGTTTTCTCCATTTTTTCTCTCCATCAAACCCATTTCTATGTCAGTATTGTTGAAAACCTAACTTCGCCTATTATGCGCCTATTTTTTAGAGTAGGATAACACCGAGAAAAAAAATCTACAAAAATCTTCATATACTGCTTTTGCAATTCATAGATTAAATTCGCTAACATGAGCAATATTGCTTAAAATCAGGAACTTATTTTTTAAAAAGAAAAATCATTTACGTCTTGTGTCCAAACTTGAAGTGATGAGGTCCAAAAATCAGGTAATCCATTTTGAAACAAATTACCGTGATTTTCAAATTACTGTAGCTCGAAATTCGGTGTGCCTATTTCGAGTCATATGATTATTATATTGAAAAAAGTTTGAGCGAATTTTATCAATTTAAAATACCTAACCTGTATAAAATTCCCACAAAGAGGAATTGGGCTTCAGAAGCAACTGGGCACGGTGGTCCTGGACTGCTGTGGCGGTGGGAAGAAGTGCGATGGGGCGCGAGGCATCTGCAAGCATCTCTACGATTCGGCGCCCGCGGGCGAGTACGGCACCAGCCACTACATCATCCGCGCCATGATGCTCGCTTTCACCTGAAATTTTCCAATTTCCCATTCACAATTTATTGATATTTTTTCTTTTTGGAACTCTTATTAAAGGAGCAATGCGCAATGCGCCTTTAATAAGGGTTTTTCCTTCTAATAGGTCTTTTTATTAAGAAAAACAGTCTTTTTTTGTATCTAAGGATCTAAATTTTTGTGACCTTAAAAAAAAGTTTTCTAAGGACAGTGTGCCTTTAATAGAAGCTCTTATATATATATTTTTATAGGAGCAGCGCGCCTTTAATAAGGTTTTTCGAATGTTTTTCTTTTTAATAGGTTTTCTTCTTCAAAAAATAAATATATGTTTTCTTCTTCAAAAAATATTTATTTTTTTGGAGCAGTGCGCCTTTAATAGAATCTCTTCCATATTTTTTTTAAAGGAGCAGTGCGCCTTTAAAGGCCATTTTGTAGGTCTTTCTTTGCTTTTCTAGACACTTTGCTCAAGATCGGTAATGTTGCGGGAAATTTTCTATCATTGTTCATTTAACTCATAATTTTCCAAATGTAGCCTCATTTTATACATTTTCCAACCCCGTTTCTTGTCCCGATTGTTCAAGCATAACTACAGATTCTCTTGCCATTTTTGTTGTACTACTAGTCGGATCATCTTGTGCCATTTTTTCCCCCAATTTGATAGTATTATCTCACGTTGTCGATAATAAGCAGGAAGCTATAAATTTTGTATAGTTTGCATTTTTTTTTTTCTCTTCAAAGCGTCGCAAAGTCAGTTCTAGCCTTTTTTCAAAATTTTTTTGGGGGCGTCTCAGTTTTTTTGCTTCTTTAGAAGCCCTTGTAGGGCCCCTCTAGGGACCACTTTACCAACCCCTATAGGGTCCACTAAAGCTTGCAAAAGTGGTCCCTATAGGGGAGACGCTAGTCGATAATTTTTATGAGCTGCGTGCGAAGAAGCATTTTCATGCGAAAAAAAACCTTTTTTGAAAAAATTTGGATAACTCCTTTAGGGACCACTTAAGCTAAAGAGTCTAGACCCCTATAGGGGCCACTTTTTCGGTCCCAATAGGGGCTTTTTACGCTCCAGCGGCTTTATATTCAATAGGAACGTGGGAAAATCATTTCGAAACACTAAAAAATCCACAAAAAACCTTTTTCTTCTAGTTTATCTAAATTTAGGGAGTTGGTTTTAGTGACCTGTTAAGTGTCTTCTACAAGCAGCCCTTAAGGGACCTCTCAAGTGATCACTAAAGTGTTTTCCAGAATGTCAACGGTTTCTGGTCGCTCACGGCAACCCGAAGAGAAAATCTTTGGAGGCTGGTTTAGTGGCCACTTTAGCGTCCTCTCCAAATAGTCTTTGAGGAACCTCTCAAGTGATCCCTCAAGTGTTTTCCAGTCTATCAACTGTTTCCGGTCGCTCAAGCCAATCAAAACAATCTGCTCATCAAGATAAGACTCCCACTTCCCTTACGACGTGAAAACGAAACCGGAAACCTGGTTATCTCAATAAACACGGCGGGGGCCGTCAGCCGCAATTTAATACGATACATACATTGAGGCGCGGCTCATTAGTCGCCGCGGCGAAGATTGGAGAGGGGAGGCGAGAGAGTGTGGGCGGCGAGGAGAGGCCAGAGACGACAGCTGACAGACAGCCGCGTATCGATCGTCTCTCGGCGAACGTGTGGCACCAAAGCGGTTACCGTAATCCGGCTACAAAACTGCCATGACATCTTAGGAACCCCAGAGTGGTCCCTATAGGGGTTAGAGAACGAATAGCCTCAATAAAGGCCGAAAAAGTGGTCCCTATAGGGGTTTAGGGTCCGTTAGCCCCAAAAGCTCAAGTGGTCTCTATAGGGGCCATTCAACTCCATTTAAAAAACGGTTAATTATTTAGTTTTTTCGCATAGAGTTTATTACAATTATCGACCCTATAGGGATCGATGAATTGGTCCCTAGAGGGGTCCCTCCAAGGGCACCTAAGGTTACCCCTAATGGGACCACTCTATAGTTCTTAAGATTAGTGAGAAGACAGAGTATAATAGTCGTTTAAAACTGAAAATAAATCCCAAGTCGTCCCTTAAGGTGTCACTCGAAAAATTTGGTGCAAACTCGCCTTTTCCCCTAAAATTCCTATTTCGAAACCAAAACAAGCTGTAGTGGCCTCTTAAGGCGCAATCCCAAATTATCAAAGTGGTCATTTAAGGGTGACATTTTTGAACGTAAAATATGAATTCCAATTCAAAATCAAGACAAGCTACAGTGGCCGGAATGAAGGTGCGCTACAGTGACCATTTAAGGGTAGATTCTCCAAGTGGTCACTTGAGGGTTATCAGCAAAACTAGCTTGCCAACCATTACAAAATCAAGAAAAGCGAAGTTTTATTTCAAATGCTTCAAGAGGTCACTTGAGGGACTTTAACAGAAAATACTTTTAATTCAAAACGAAGATGGCCTCCTAAAATCTCATTCCCGATTCTTCGAGTGCTTATTTTAGAATGGTTTTAAAATCAGTTGGTCATAATAAATTTGCTCCAAACATAGAGAAGTAACCGTAAGTGGCCTCTTAAGGAGTCATTGTAAACTTTCCAAGTGGCTGCTTGAGTGACTGCTTTTGACCGCAGCGTTACTTCGACTTCAAGACCAAGACAAGCCAAAGCGGCCTCTTAAAATCTGTTTTCCAATTCTTCAAGTGGTCATTTTAGGGTGACTGCAAAATCAGTTGATCATAGAGAAATTCATACCAAAGTGGTAATTTAAGGGGTCCTTCCAGATGCTCCAAGTGGTCACTTGAGAAGCTTTTTTTAACCTCAAAAATGCTTACAATTCAAAACCAAGACAAGCTTAAGTGGTCTCTTTAGGCTTTATTCCAAATTACCCGTATGGCCACTTGAGGGACTTCAAAACAAGCTTTTCTACCTCAAAAGTGTTTTATTTAAATACCAAGACAAGCTCAAGTGGTCTCTTAAGTTGTTATTCGAAATTCTTCAAGTGGTCACTTGAGGTTTACAGCAAAAAGTCTGTAAAAAAAGCTCTAAAAAGTTCAATTTTTTTCAAAAAAATTTTTCATTTGCTTTGATTTGTCGATTTTCAAAAATTTCATTTTTACTTTCTAATAATTACAAAGCTCCAGTGCCACGAGTACAAAAAAATCTAAAATTTCATTTTTTTTATAATTTTTTTTCTCTGAAAGTTGGTTAGTAAAAATCACCTTCGGAATTTACGAAAATCCTTGGAAATTCTTCCCAAAATCATTCCTCGTAGACTCCTTGCCTGAAAAAAGTCCATTCAACCAAAAAAAAAAAGATTGGTTGACGTAAAAAGACGACAAAAAGGTCGATTTTTTCTTCTTCTCAATACGATTTCCGCATGAAATATTGCACTTCTCAAATTTTATGCCGAACAACACAAGATAGGTTTCGAAATAGCAGTGGGAAAGAAATGTACAAGAAAATAGTTCTCTGTTTTGCAAAATATGACTAACAAATGTACAGGAAAGGTGACGAAAAATGCCCATTTTTCGGGGTGAAGCTTGAAATAATAAAAAAATAGAAAATAGAAAATAGACACAGGCAAAGTGACAACATAGGGACAACCTAATCTAACAATAATCCTTTTTTTTTCGAAAATGCGAGAGGCAGTGGAAAATACTCAATTAAAAAGAGGCGGGAAATGATTAAATTTCGACAAATTGGACAGTTTTTCCCTTGTAGGTCACGTCGTGAACTCTCAGGTTGCTGTGATAGTGAAACTGACGAGTTTCGGGCTGAGGTTCGTCTTGGGTCCAGGAGATCTGAAATCCCATTTTTCCTTATCAATATCTTGTCAATTTCCCTTTTTTCGAGTAAAAAAAAAATCGAAAATCAGAAAATTGTCCATGGAGCGCAACTGTCAGCTTCAAAATGGCCCTCTTTTTGTTCTTATTTCTTTATTTTCTTTTTTTCGAGCTTTTTCAACGGCAATTGTTCTCTAGAAAATTAGTACCAACTTGTTTATTTTTTTGAGTGAAAAAAAAAACTAAGAATGAGAAAATTGTTCATGGAGCGCAATTGTCAGCTTCAAAATGGCCTCCTTTTTTCATTTCTTTTTTTTTGAGCTTTTCAAACGGCGATCATGATCTAGAGCATTAATATTAACTTGATTGAGTTGTGAAAATTTTTTTTTTGATTGAAAGGAAATTAAAAGTTTCCCGTTATTGTTCATGCGCTCCATGGACAATTACTTAAAAAACCTGATTTTTGATTTTTTATACTCAAAAAGAAAGCCTGCAAAAGTCATTTTTTTCGAAAAAAACCTCCCAAAAATGACTTTTTCTCCATGGAGCGCACATGTGCTCCCAAACTTGGCGGTTTTTTTTCTTTGTTTTTTTTCTCATCTTTTTTATTTCTGGTCATAGCTCCTCAGATCTACTTTTCTTTGAAGATTCACAATATTTTCAAAAATTCATTTTTTGAGAATTATCCTCAGAGCGCACAATCCGCCCATCAAAGCGGCCATTTTCTCACCGTTTCACTGCGAATCTCGCGCTTGATCTCCTCGATCCGCTCGTACTTTTCCAACTCGCTGCTGGAGACGGGTCTGAAGTGGAGCTCCTGGTCGCCCTCCATCACAGGGCCGCCGTTCAGGATGATCGTCTTCTTCTCCGGCGGGATCACGATGCCTTCGGCTGCCTCTTCTGGAGGAACTCGGACTGTCGTGAGTCGGCCTGCAAGGGAGCGACTTTGAAAATTATCCATAGAGCGCCGTTTTCCACCTTCTCATGGCCATTTTGTCTAAAAAGCTTTTTATACTTTTTGGATAACTAAACGAGTCAAAAATTTGTGAAATTAGTAAATTTCTCGATAATTGTCCTTAGAGCGCACAATCGCCTTATGGAAGCGGCAATTTTTTCTCAACCTTTTTTCAAGCACCTCTTTGAATGAAATATTCTATTTTTTGTGAAAATTGTCGATTTTATCTATGGAGCGCACAAAATCCTCCAACTATTCTGGGAAAAAGCTCTAGTGGCCACTCAAGAGGTTCCTTAAGGACCATTTGGAGATGACACTAAAGTGGCCACTAAAACCATCTCTTTAGAATCCACAATGTTAGTGGCCACTAGTGATTTTTAATGATCTTAGTATCATTTGGAATTTTTAAGAGGTCGCTTAATTTAAGCCGCTGAAGTGACCACTAATTAGACTACTATAGTGGCCACTAAAACCACCTCTATAGAAGCCACTATTTTGAGTCTTAGTGGTCACTAAAGTGATTTTTGTGGTTTCGGAAAACCCCATAGACTTCTAAAGAGGTCACTGAAGTTTAACCACTCAAGTGACCACAATTCGACTACTATAGGGACCACTAGAAGTTTTCCAAGTCAAACTCACCGACAAGGACCTCCTCCAAGCTTTCGTCAGAGTCGTACTCTTCCTCATCCTCGTCCTCGTCGTCCGAATCGTCTCCGGTCTCCTCTTCGGCGCCGTATTCGACGCCTTCTTGCATCTCCTCGTCTTCGAACTCTTCTTCGTCCTCGTCTTCGAGTTCTCCTTCCTCGTCGTCGTCGACGCGTCGCTCCATCTGGTCGTCGCCGTTCTCACACCCTGACGACTCCAGTTCGTCCTGCAATATGGAAAGTGAGTATGGAGACTTTTTTGGATGGAATCGGAGGGTACAGTGTCCAGATTGAAGTTTAATTTTTAAATAGAATCAAGGTTCTATCAAGTTTAAACGTCCTAAAATCATTCTGAGTGATAGAAAAACCGTCTAGAGTCTCTGTAGAACATCCTAGAAGCTTACAAGGAAGTTTATTTCATTTTGAGTCTTGGAATTCCCTAAAAACTGGTCTCAGGACTTTTGATGTACCAGATTAACACTATGAGAGTCTCAATCTGCTAGGGATCCCAATTTTCTAGAAAAAAAGACTCAAAGTCCGACAATAACTATAAAAAGAAGCCATTTACCAACTTAGGGTCATTATTTCTCAGGTAATATCAAATTTTGCACGTTTCAGGAGCCCTTTTAAAAAACCAAAAAGAGCCTAAAAGTCTAGAAATTGTCCGACTTCCTGGTTTTTCAAAAACAAAGGCTCAAGGTCCAAAAAAACCATCAAAAATCGTAGAAAAAAAGCCATTTTCTGAATTCGAGCCTTTCTTTCCCAGAAAATATCTAATTTTGCAGTTTGAGATTTTCAGGAGCACTTCTTCATTCAACAGATAATGATCATAAAAATCTTAAAAACGAAAAATTCCTCAAAGTTGAAGAAAATCATCAAAAATCGTAAAAAAGGGGCCCTTTTTCGATTTCGACTTTTTTCCCAGGAAAAATTAAATTGTGAATTTTTTTCGGGAATGTTCTTTTTTAAACAAACGAGATCCTGGAAAACTGAAAAAAAAAATGCGTAGTCCAATTCCAAAATGGTCGAATTTTACAGTAAAAATGGCTTTTTTTTGATTTTTCCAGTGACCTTTCTCCAAGGCCAGGAAACTTTTAGGCCAAAAATTTGATATATCGAAAAATTTTCATGAAATTCCTAATTAAAGGGGTTTTCATATTGAAAGGGATGAGGAAAGCTTTCAGGTGCATTATAATAAGAGTAAAGTCGCTCTAACGACAACCTCATTCTCACGTGAGGAGGTTCATTAAGGTGTGTAGGTCAGATGCGGATTTACCTGGGGCTAATGAGAAGGAGCTCATTAACATTATTGGCAATGCAAAAAAATTTTTAATTAAGTTCATAAAAAAGGAGCTTTCCGATGTAATGAGTAAAGTTCATTCAGACCAGTTTGAGATAAATTTGACAAATTCAGCGAAATAGTGAGCGGAAAGAAGAGGTTCAGAGATTTTCGTTTCAAATTAAATTGAGTAAACCGAAAAATAGGCTAAATTTTGGTCGATATATATTTTTTTTAAGCGGTCTTCATTCAAAAATCAATAAAAATAACAAAAAATGAATCAAGTGGTCACTAGAGGGATCTAAAAAGATTCTGATGAAACCGTCTTTTTCACAGTACGTATTGAATAAACTCCTCATGCGATAGAGTGAAAAACGCTCCGTTAAAAACCTTAAGTGATCACTCAGCTCGATAAACCTCGCGCACTCGTAAATGAAATTAAAAATGAGTCACCCTTCAAGAACCAGCAAAAAATAGCTCTTCGTTTCAAAACTCTCCTAAATTAGTTTCGATGCTCCTTGAAAAATCTCAGTAAATGATGGATTTTTTTTAAAAAGGTCAAAATGTGCAAGATTTACAGAAATTTTTCCAGGACTAACTTTTTTTCTTACTCAAATTGAAAGAGGTTAGGAAAATTAATTAAAACCTTGACGTGAGATTTCTTTTTAGGACCACGCCTTTTTCGAAAAATCCAAAAACGAGCTAAATATGGTACTTATCAACAAAATCACGATGGACCTTAGTAACGGACGCGCCCCGGGTTTCTGAGCTTTCCTAGTGATCACTGAAGCGGTTTCAGAAACCTTAAGTGACTACTAGAAATGCTCAGAAACGTCTGTGGCGCGTCCGGTTTGCGTTATTGAAGGCGAGCCAAGTGCCAAAATGACAAAATTTGAATAGCGAGACCAAAAAACTTTGAAAAATGTCAGAAAAACAGATCAGAACTATCTCCCCCTACTGGTTAAGGCCACGCCCTTCAAAAATCTTAAAAATCCGATCAAATTGGTTGACAATTCCAAGTGTCAAAACGACACGAAATATGAATAGCGAGACCAAAAAACTTTGAAAAATGTCAGAAAACTTATCTAAACTCTCTTATCCACCTGTCTGAGGCCAAGCCCTTCAAAAAACACAAAAATCCGATCAAAATTGAAACGATTCCAAGTGTCAAAACGACCCGAAATTTGAATAGCGAGACAAGAAAACTGCGGCGAAAGCCATGGAGGAAGAGTACGTGGCAGACACGAAAAGCGAGCCGCTTCTTTCTTTTTTTTTCCCACATTGTCCGTCTATTGTGGTGCCGTTTGACTGGCCGTTCTTTTCGAAAGTTGGAAACGCTCGAAAGTTTGTGTCCTACGCAGGTTCGCTTTCGGACTTTGGTCCGAAGTCTTATTTTTCTTTATCCAGTCCTAAAATTTGAAATCTCCGTCTTTTTCCTATGCAAGTCTACTTTCGAATTTTGGATCATTTCGAAACACTTTATCTTCTTTTTTCCTCGTAATTATTCCTAAAAATTGAACTCCAAAAAAAAATTTCGTCTTCTTTTTTTCTTGTATTTAATCCTACAACTTGAAGCTTTCTTTAAAAATCTGAGGCCTGTCTTAAGAAAAAAATTTAAAAAAACTCTTCAACCAGTCATTTTCTGAAATAATCATCAAGATATTGATTCAACTACCACTTGTCTTTTTTTGTCATCATTTTTTTAAATCTAGTCCTAAATTTAAAATTTCCTCGAACCGTTTGTCATATGCAAATCCACTTTCGAACTCTTATTCATTTCGAAACATTTTATCTTCTGTTTTTGTAAAGTTTGAATATTCCTCCGAGATCTGTTGGCTGTTTTGAGAAAAAAATTTAAAAAAACCTTGAACCACTTTTTTTAAAAAATAATATTCTGAGAATTTGTCAATTTGAAGCCTTTTTGTCTTTTTTTGTCATCATATCTTTTTAATCTAGTCTTAAAATTCTAATTTTTCTTCAAAAATTTTTGCCCTAGTCAAGTCTACTTTTCAAACTTTTTTTTCGGTATCACTACCTTGTTCTTATTTTCTTTTTCTAGTCGTTCAATTTGAATTTCAATTTGAATTTTCTCCTAGTTGAACCTTAAATTTAAAAAAACACTTCAGCCCATAATTTTTTTGAAACAATCTTTAAAAATTGGTTCAATTTGAAGCCTTTTTTGTCTTTTTTTCTTTGGTAGCCAGTCCCAAAATTTGAAATCTCCTACAAAAAGTCTTTTGTCCTTTTTCAATTTATTCACGAAATTCGAATTTTTTTCCTGAAGCTGAATCCTAAAATATGGAAGTTGTAATGGAAAAAAACTAGCCAGTATTTTTGTTTGTTAAATTTCCAGGACTTTGGTTCAAATCGAAAAAAACGGATAGGTATAGAAAAATGGTTTTTTTTTGCACCTAGCCCAAAAATTCAGCTTCCTCTTCATTAACTGAAAAGTTTAATAGTAAATTTTCGACGAAAACTTTAAAAACCTATAGTTGCATCTTCAGAAATTCGACTCAAATCGGAAAGCCTTTCGTTTTATTTTTCGACAGTCCTAAAATTTGAATGTTTCTTCAAAAAGGGGGCCGTAGAATAGGAAATGAGCGACGAATGAGGCAACAACATATACAGGGTTTGAAAGGGCGGCTGAATTTTACGATTGCGCCCCGTTTCGAGTCCTAAACATTTGTTTTTTTCTTCGCAACCCCGTCGTCGCACGTGTTCAATGGCCAGGAGTGGCCCCTTGAGGGATTTTTCGCTTGAATTCAGGGTTCGCGCACTGGTTTGATAATATTTTTCCTCTCCTTTTTGGGACTTTTTTCGATTTTTAAAACCCCAGAGTGGTCTTTATAGGGGTTATGGGAAAAATAGCTTCAATAGTCGTTAAGGTTGTCCCTCTAGGGAACACTCTGGAGATCCTAATTTTCTTCCGTCTGTGTCCAATGTCCAGGAGTGGCCCCTTGAGTGAAATCTCACGAAATTTGAGAACAGCTCTCATAATTTTCATAGGCTCTTGGGGTTATTAGAAAAAGCTCCAACTTTTGAGTTTCTTTATAGCCAAGATGAAGTGAACACTTAAGTGTTTTCTCAAAAATGAAAACGCGCCTCTAGGAGAATCTCGCTTCTCTTTTTTTTTTGCTTTCTTGAATTTCTCGGGTGACTTTCTCAGCTTATTCAATGGAGCCTTCAAAAAAAAAAAAATCATTTTCAAGTTTCTGAGTTTTCTTTCGTAAAATAGATGATCTTACAAGGTTCAAAAACTCCTCAATTGATCACTTTACCTAAATTTATTACTTCAAAAAGTTCCTAAAATTTTTTTAAATCTGTCCGTTTCTCAAAGCTACTTCTTCTAGAAAATGAACTTTAGTGACTCCTTTAGTGATCACTTAACCAAAATATTGCAAATTTGCGAGACCTCCTCCAAGCATCTGGTGTTCTACATGTTTCTCGGAAGTCTCTGATTCATTTAGTGATCCCTTGAGTGAACTTAGTCTTCGCTTGAAGACCTTCTAACAAGCACCACTAACTAGGAGCTTCCTGAGTAATTCTAGGGATCACTTAAGAGTGCTGACGCTACTTAAGTGGTCACTAGAAGAAACTAGAGCGCGCATTCCTTCTGTAAACCCTCACCATGGTGGGTCCCGAAGAGACGCTCTCCGGCTCATCCTCGTCCTCCAGCCCATCTCCGAGCTCCAGTTGCTGCTCCCGTCCGTTTTCCTCACCGCCGGAGCTCAACTCCTCGCTTCTGGAGACGTCCGTCTGCTGTTCGTCTTCATGTCGCTGCTGCTCCGTCTTCTCTTCTTCTTCCTCATTCTTCTCTTCTTCCTTTTCTTCGCCTTCTCCTTCTTCCTGCTCCTTGGACTCATTGCCGTCTTCAGAGACTGTGGGAACTTCGGTGCCTTCCGTCGATTCACTCATCATCGACGTGTTCTTTTTCTTTGATGACGTCGAGGGGCCTTCGTCTTCTGAAAATGATGAGCTTTAGAAGGAAAGCTGAAAAACTGCATGAAATGGAAAATTTTTGGATTAATCCGTTAAAAAACCCTTTTCGGTGTCTTTGTATGTCCTAAAATAACATCAAAGACGGCTCTTCTCTTCAAGACCTTTTATAAACCATGTCTATGTTCCTTTAATTACCGAATTTGGACTTTTTTTCAAGTCAAACCATTTTTAACTTTTACAGTGTTTAAAGGCGCAGGTAGCCCTTAAATTAAACCAAAAACGGCTCTTCGCTTTGAGACCCTTGGAAAGCATGTCGATGCTCTTTTAATTTCTTAATTAGGGCTTCATTAAGGGGAAGGAAGCCCTATAATAACACTAAAAAAGGCTCTCCTCTTCAAGACCCATTTCAACAGTTCCTATGCTCCTTTAATTACCTACTCTAAAAATTTTTAGTAGCCCCAATAGGGTTTTGACGTTTTAGTGGTCACTATAGTAGTAAAATTAGTGGCCAGTTAAGGGGTTAGAAATTAGTGGTCACTACAGAGGTCTAAGTGCTACTACTACACCACTAAAATTTTTAGTGACCACTTTAGGGGTCAATGGATCAACATAACTGGTCCAATTTGTTTGTTTAAAAATTATCAGAGTTACTGAAAAGAATGAAAAACTACTGAAGTGGCCACTAAATAGAGAACCTCTGAAGAGGCCACTTCTTCTTCTTCTTCTTCGTCTTCATCAACTTTGGCCTTTTTTGAAAGCTTTTTATAGCTAGATCTTCTGTATGAAAGCGACCCAAATTGTATCTGCAGAATTTCGGAAAGTACTAAATCTATTTTTACATTTGCAATGCGGCTCTCTGGGGAACGTATCTTTCGTTTTCGATACGATCAAAAAAAAAAAAAATGATTGAAGACAAGAATTTTCACACGAACAATTTGGACGGTGGGAAAACAAATATCTATTACGGTTTCGTTTTTTTTTTGCCAACATTACGATTTTGATGAGAGACAGTTTCGAAATCGTTACGGGGGTTTTTGAGAAGATTTTTTGGAAAGATTAAAATTTTTCAAAGAACCACCCTTTAGTCACCCAATCTTGTGTCTTTTTTGAAAAAATGGACCTTTTGGACCAAAAAATGGACCATTTATTTCTTTTTCAAATTTTATCTAGTAACACTAAAAAAATCTTGTAATTTCTGCATTAAACCCCATATTTTCATCATAAAATCTACTTTTTGATTAAAAATACTTTTTAATAAAAACTTTAATTTCAACCATCCTTTGAACAGCCACTGATTAGATTTATCAAAAATCAAAAAGTCCCAACTTTGAAGGCCCAATTTCCCGTTCCCAAGGTGCCAATAAATGTCCCCCTCCAGATTTCTAATTAAAATCAGCAAATCACGTCGGATTATCGTTAAGCTCGTCGGACACAAATGTCTTCGTAACGAGGACTGGCGGAGAGGCTATTTTGTCGCGATTATGTATGCTCCACGGGGCTAATGACAGCATTTTCGCACGTCCGCCACACACAATGGGGTCCTCAGCAACGACGGGGTGCGGACGAAAATCGTCCCCTTTCTCTCCCACAGCTACCGTAACCCTGCCTACTCTCGGTTGGGCAGCCTTGTCCTGCGTCATTTTGAAAAAAAATATTTATTAATTTTCCTCAACTTCTGGCCATATTTTGGTACCATTTTGGTAACACCTGTCTCCCTTGGGAACAAGGTGAATTTCATAAAATCCGACCAGTTTTTCAGATTTCCTAGGTTCTCAAATGATTACTTAGCTGATAAAGTCCCAAGCGTGATTCTAATCAAGTCCACCTTTTTTCCATCCAAAAAAAGCCATTATAAACAAAATTATCGTGCAAAAATCTCCTTCGGTGTATTCACCACTCTCAACCTCCAGTAAGATTAATCGGAACGATGCAAAGAGTGCCTGGCAATTTGTGCAATTGCGCGCACACTCGAAAAACCTCTCCCACTCTTCTTTTGGGCCCCGACGACAGACGTGCAATTGACATACGCCTTTTGGTGGCCCTCAGCCGCAAAAAGACGACGCCGCCGAGTTATACGGTCCTTTTTTTGTGTTCGACTGAGTGGATTATTCGACTTTTATGGCTCATAATGTGATGTAAACTGAACCTATTTATAGGCATAACAGTTAGATTCAAACAAAGTCCATGAATGCATGAAAATCGACGTTTTAGTGGCCACTATAGAGCTTTAAGTGCTACTACTAGACCACTAAAAATTTGAGTGGCCACTTTAGGGGTCAATGGATCAACATAACTGGTCCAATCTCTTTGTTTAAAAATTATCAGAGTTACTGGAAGGAATACTGGGTGAAAAACTACTGAAGTGGCCACTAAAACGGAAAATAGCGGCCTCTATAGGGGTGGGTTTAGTGGCCACTTTAGTGTCCTTTCCAAGTAGTCCTTGGCAAGCACTACTGACCACTAAAAATTTTCCCAGATCAGAAAAAGTGCTCCTCTTGAGGTCCTCCAAAGCTTTTTTTAAAAGCAAGAAAAGCCTATTACTCTTGGAAAACATCTTCTTTTGGCCACAAAACTCTTCTCAATCAGTAAAAAGTGCAATTGACTGGTCTCTTTTTGTGGTCGCCAAGTCATACAGTCCTTTTTTGTGTTCGGCTGAGTATTCGAATTTATGGCTCAAAATGTGATGAAAACTGAGCCAATTTACTAGACAGTTTTCGTCAGAAAACGATCATATCTGTTTGAGAATTCGCTTTCCCTCCAGTTTCATACGATTTTTTTTTTGAATTAAAGGCCTTAAACTGAATTTCACGGGAAAAAACCCAAACGTCCTTGAAAAGAAGAGCCGAAAGCTTCTTTATGAAGTGTCAAAAGTTTCACGGGAACTCATTTTTTCACCTTTTTTTCGCCAAAAGATCGAATGTAAACTCCAAAGGTTCTTTTTAGGTTCTTTTAGACTTTTGCCCGTGTTTGTGTAGATAAGAGATCTTTTTACTACCAGTTTTGATACAGCTTCCAAAGTGAACAGAGAATAATTGAAGATTGAAAAAGCGTTACCATGATCGCTGCTCTCGCTACTCTCGTCCCTGACGGGGCCTCCAGCGAGTCTGCGCGGCCGTGATCGTTTCGGCGGAGTCTGTAATCTCGCTAATTCGTATTTAGAGTCCATTGAGTGGGCAATCATTCCGAGGACCGGAAAACAAGGCTGTTCTTTTGGATCCCTGTCCAGTCAATGAGGTATAAGGGGATGAAAATACACATAATTTGCAGAGATAGCTCAAAGATTTCTTCGCAGTTTCATAATATTTAAGGGAATTTGAAAAGTACTTTCCCTTTGAAAACTATTATACACTTCTAAGTTGAATTCTACAGACTCTGGATCCCATAAATCACCTTTATTTGGCCTTAAAAATCACCGTTTTTTTTCTATCGATAGCCGTGAAAGGACGCTTTTTTGAGGTCAAACATCAAATTTCTCGAGATTAGTTTTCATTATTCCCATCTGTATGTAGTTAGATCATCAAGCGGCAATTTTTCGACTCTTTTTGACAGCGTCCCTGGAGTAAAGCTTAAATGACTCGGACTCCCGAAAATCTCCTATTATTCTCCCTCAAAATCACCGTCTTGCAATCGATAGCCGTAAAGCAGAAGTTTTTTATGTCCAAATTCTCAAAACTAGTGTTCATCTGTATGTAGTTTGATCATGTTTCGGGCTTCAAACTTGGAATTTTTTTTTGAAAACTCTTACAAAAACCGCCCCTATAGAAAGCTTGAACGACTGAAAGTCCCGAAAATCTCCCTTCAATGCCCTAAAAGCTCCCGTTTTGCAGTTTTTCAGCCCTCTATCAGGGCGTAGTTACAGCCAATTACATTGGGCTAGTAATCAATTATTGAAATCTGGAGAAAGTCTTCTTTTTGATTCCGTTTCCCTCTACTGGAAATAAATCTCAAAAATCTCCCTTCAATGCCCTAAAAGCTACCGTTTCGCAATTGTCAGCCCTATATGAGGGCGTAGTTTTAGCCCATTACATCGGGTTAGTAATCAAATATTAAAATCTACAGAAAAATCTTCTTTTTGATACCTTTATGCACCTTTAAATTTATCTCTACTGAAACTAAATCCCGAAAAAGGAAAAAAAAACTTTTTTTGACACCTTTGGCACCTATAAGTCGCACAGACTCCCGAAAATCTCCCTATATTCTCCCTAAAGATTACCGTTTTGCAATTAGCGCCCGTGGAGGACCGCTTCCGACCCTTTTGCTGCTGTTTCTGGCGCTGGAGCTCCTCCTGCTCCTTCTCGAAGTCTTCGACGAGTCGCTCGTCGAAGATATTCTCCCTCGGTTCCCATGTGTTGTGTCTGCAAAATCGCAATCCTAGCTGCACATAATTTGTTTAAACAACATTCTAAATGGCCGCCCATTAATTCCAATCCGACTGGCTGTCGGGAAGGAGCAAATAATGGAGGGCACAGAGATCGATCAGTATGAGAATTTTTGAGAAAAAAAAATCTAAATTTTTGGATCAAAAATTCCCACTTTCTGTGGTTTCTTTTACGCCGTAAACCCTTAAGAAAAAAATCCAGATTCTTCAAAAAAATACACAGGAATTTTTTTATCCCAAGTTTTTTTCGGACTTGTTTCTATTGCAAAAAAATGTCCCACTTTTTCCGATTACATTTTTTTAAAAAAAGTATATTTTTATTTTTTTATACCTTAAATTGGGCCGAAATCCCAATTTTTTTCCCTAATTCTCTTCTCAAACTCCTTCGTTTGAAAAAAAGCTCAAAAAAATTTTTTTTTCCAAGCGTTTTTTTGTCGATTTTTCATATAGAGAAAAAGCATACATTTTTTTCCAAATTTCAACCTCAAAATTTCGTCTTTTTTTCAAAACTTTCAAGATTGTAAAGCCTCCAATATCACACAAAAAGGAAAAAAATCCTAAATTTCTATATACATAAAAAAATCGTAAATTTTTATATACATAAAATAAAAATTTTTTTAAAAGCTTCTGTAAATTTATATCGTTTTTAGGCCCAAAAAAGGTTCCCTCCCTTTTTTTCTCCACGGACTTTATTCAAATGGAGCGGCCATTATTTTCAAACGGCTGGCGAGAACAAACAGAGAAAGAGACAGAGAGACGGAGAGTGAGAGAGGGAGGGACAGACGAGCAGACAGCGGTCAGCGTGGGAAAATGGGCGGGGCTAAGAGACGGGGGGCCAGAGACGCAGAGTCTGGGAGGCAAAAGAACAGTCGGCTGCAACATCGTCGCCTCGACGGCCATTTATCTTGTCCCTAGCTCGTTTCGTTTCGAGAATCATGTTTAATAGTGCACTACAGTAGGATTCGGATAATCAATCAAGCCTAGTTTTTACACAAATTCTTTTTTTTCCAATGAAAGCTTGCCAGCAGTTTAACGACACTTTTATCATTACTGATAATGGTCAAGGAATGATAATCCAGTGGTACAGTAACCCATTTTGTTCGTCCGAAATTCCACAAATTCATTATTGGCGGTTCGAAAAAAAAAACTTTTTTTCGGCTTTCCTCGAGTTTTTAAACAAGTTACTCCATTAGAATATAATTACAAAGAAAAAAAAGGCAAAAAATTTCGATTTAAAGTTATTCCAAGAAATTTTCGATTCAAAATCCTGTACTAAAAAGGAAAACCTTCTACAAAACTTGTTAACTAGTCGTAATTTCGCGAAGTTCTCCTTACCTGTAATTATTTGACTCAATGTCCAAGATACATACTTTTTTCAAGTTTTCTCATCGAACTTTTCGGAAAAATCTTGTTAAAATGTCTACTTTTACGGTACCACGATTTTATTTCGGGACAAAAATCAATGGGTTTGACTTTTCAAACGTCAAAAAAAAAACGTTTGAAATTTCTCAACAGAAATCTGCTTTTCCCCCTTCTCCAAGTGTCTTGGTCTCGTTGGAACTTCCTTTTTTACGAATTCATGCTTATTTTTATCAATAAATACCTAATTTTTTCAAATTTCCTTATCAAACTTCCTTAACTAAATTCTTCTGTGAAGCCCATTCGGGCGGAAAATCAATAGGTTCGGCTTTGGAAGATCTCTTCTTTAGCCCCAAACTGTGAAACTTATAAGGGGTCCCTATAGGGGGTTTTATATACTCCCCCTATAGGGATCCCTAAAACAACAAACCGCTATAGGGGCCCCTCAGAAAAGAACCGAATTTTCAACAAGAAATTGTTCAAAAATGGATTTCTGTAGCGTCTCCAAGTGTTTGGGAACAATTTGGAATTTTTTTCCGAATCATTTTTTTTTTCTAGTTTAATAATATTTTCAAAGTTTCGCATCAAGATCTCAACAAACTTCTGCAAAAATCAGAAAATAGAGGGATCCTTATAGGATGTTTTAAAGTGGCCCTGAAGGAACCCCCACGCTTCCCCTATAGGGGTCCCTAAAACAAACCCTATAGGAGTCCTTCACAGAAACTTCTCAAAAAAAATTTCTGCAGATATGTCCCTCTAGAAATTCGGACCAAAAATCAATGGTTTTGGAATCTTTTCGCCTTTTCCTCTCGCCCCCAACACGATTGATGGCGCAATTCGCCGGCGCGTGACGTAACTGATAGGCGTCGTGGCGGCCCGACATTCATTATCATTTTTATCAGCGACCGGCTGTCTGTCCCCCCGCCGCCGTCTGTTTTCCGAACAAGGGCCTCCTGATCGTTACCGTAAGACCTTATCGGCAAAAGATAAGCGATTTCATCGAAAGACTTTTTGGCGGTTGCAGAAGGAAGATTGGAAAATGGGCAGTCTGGCATGACTGGTCACAGTAGGAAATATGGTTCTAGACCAGATAAATTAGGTTAATTAATGAACAGGTAGACGACCAGGTATCCTTAAATGGGCTTTTCGAGTTAGAAAAATCGTCGAAAATTCAGAAATGAGGCTTTTTTCGCGCCTTTAGTGTGTTTCTAGCGTTGTATACATACATTTTTCCGAGATTTCGAAATTTTTTCTCGAAAAAATTCCAAAATAAGGCAGTTTTTCAGCGCCTCAAGTAATTTTCTCTACATAGTTTTCCATTTTTTTCTGAAAAAAATGCAAAATAATTTTTCAAAAAAAGTTCAAAAAAATCAGGCTAAAACGGCAAAAAAATATTTATTCCTACCCATTTTTCAAACTTAAAAGCGATTTTTAAGGTTGAAATTTCGATTTCAAAACGTTTTTTTCACAGAAAAAAATTTCAAGCTAAAAACACCTTTTTTCCCACAGTTCCATCGAAACAAAAGCCACCCGAAAAATATTTTCCCTTGTCCAAAACAAACAAAAAATGGAAAACAGTCAAAATATACAGTGAAGGAGGTGAAAAAAAGGGCCAGGAAAAATCAAACAAATACAATAGAGAGATAAAAAGTTCGAATAAACTCACTTGTTGCCCCAGCCTTTCCACTTGACGAGGTACTGTACTTTTGCCCTGAAAAAAATTCATAAGATTTGGAAATGAAAAAAACGTATTTTTTTCGAGCCCAATTTCTCAAAAATAATTCAGAAAAATTGAGGGTATTTTTTTCAAAAATTTTACGAAAAAAAGCTTTTTTTAGTTATTTTAAACAGACATAAACTTTTTAAGAACAATGAATTAACATTAAAATTCAACAAAAATTAACAATTTTTTTGACCAAAAAAATGTCCTGCGGCTCAAAAATCTTACTCCAACATTTTGACGAATTTTTTTCTAATAGAAATTTTTTTCAAACCGAAATGTGCTTCTTCTAACAAAAAAATGCCCTGAAATTAAAAAGTCGAAGCTTTTTTTACTGTTTTTTTCTACTGAATTTATTCATTTTTTTCTATTCTACAGAAATTTAATTATAAAATTAGACGTCGAAATTCAGATTTTTTTGATTTTTTTCAGGGAAAAAAACAGTTTCCAAAAAAAGTTCAATTTCCCTTTTTTTACGCCTTCAAAAATTTTCAAAACTCCATTTTTTTCTCACTCCAATCAATTTCATGATTAAAATTTTCACATCAAAGCATTTTTTCTCTTTTCCAGACCAAAAAAAGGCTTCCAAGCTATTTTAATCCCACAAAATTCGTCATTCCTTCATCAGAATCTTATCCCGGGGCCAAAAATCTCATCAAAGAAAAAAAAAGCGACTACAAAATCCATTAGGAAAATGTGTTTACTCGGAAATTGTCTCAGCGCCAGGCGATCGATGGTCTCCGCGGAACTTTTGCGGGTGTCCCGCGCGCATCGATTTTTTTTTTCCTGGCCTTGTGGCGCTGCTCCGTGAGACATTTATATCCATTTTTTATATTCGTTAAAAAAAATGGAATGAAAAACGGATGGTAGCCATGGAACTGAGCGTCATTTTTGCTTTAGTTTTTTTGGCTATTAAATTTGACCTACGGCTTGAAATAAAGAGCGAAAGCTTCTCGAACGGAAAAAAGTAAAAAATCCCACTTTTAGAAAGTTTTTCCTTTTAAAAAATTTTCTAGGTGGTTTTTAAAAACTTCAAATCGTGTTTTAATACTAAAAAAATTGAATGTTCCATTCGAGAAAAAAATCCATTTTTGAAAGGAAAAACTTGAAATTGTCAAGGTTTCAAAAAAATTTACCAAGCCTTTTCCGTTCAAAAATGTAACCTTACTTGAATTTTTTTCTTATAAATTCACTTATCCCGTTTTTTTCCATTGTAAACAGTAATTCCTGGACAATTTTGAACAAAAAAATAATCCAAAAAAATTCCTTTTTTTCGGAAAAATAAATTTTTTTATGGAATCGATAGGACGCCAAAAAAATTCTACTGGAAAAAGCTCTGAAAAAAATCGTAAAATCAGTCTAAAAAAATTTTTCATTTTTCTAGAAAAAAATAATCATGAAACGGATTGAAAGCCGAAAAATTCTACTGGAAAAGCTCTGAAAATTCGAAAAATCAGTCTAAAAATTTTTTTTTAACCAACTGTTTCAAAATTCTTGTTCTAGAAATTTTTTTTTGAATTTCCCAATAGAATGACAAATAAACACAATAGAAAAACAATATAAAAAAAGTACAAGAATAACCTTGACTTTACGCGTCTTCAGCAACGCCTCCACAGCAAAGACGTCTTCATCAAGGGCCGACATGACGGGGGAAAAAAAAATTCACGGGTTCAACCGCCCAAAGTCTGGCGAGAAAAAAAACCCCCTGAAAATCGTTGGGTAAATATTTGAAACGAACGACACTGCGACGAAATTTTGAAGGAGAAAAGGTATACAAATGAATGATGGAGGGGGGAGAAGCCGACCTTGAGTGGACTATGAACCAAATTGAAGTGATAAGAACAGAGTGCAATGGGGCGTATTTGCACGCAAAAGTTGTTGGCAGGTTTGATTGAACGGGAGAAAAATGCGCGTGTGACCTATTCGGACCTCGGAAACGCTAATCGGACGTTTCTGAGCAGTTCTAGGGATCACTTAAGAGCTTTGACGCCCCTAAAGTTATCACTAGACACCTCTAGACCTCAGTAAAGCAAACCGGACGCGCCTCGGGCACTCTTGACAGTTCTAGGGATCACTTAAGGGTGCTGAAGCTGCTAAAGCAGTCCCTAGGAAGCTTTCTACCTCGGAAATGCTAACCGGACGTTTCAGAGCAAGCCTAGAGATCACTTAAGTGTGTTGAAGCCCCTAAAATCCCTAAAAAAGTTCCGAAACGCTTGTTCGCGTTACCGAGGACGCAGACGTTTCTTAGCGATTCCAGGGATCACTTTAGGGTTCTGAAGCCATTAAACTGGTTCCTAGGAAGCTTTCTGACCTCGGTATATGGAACCGGACGTTTCTGAGCGATTCCAGGGATCACTTAAGAGTTTTGACTCGACTAAAGTGGTCCCTAGAAATGTTCCAAAACGTCCTGCTCGCTTTACCGAGGCCCGAGGAACTAAAATTTAGAAAAATACGGTATATTTTTTTAATGAAAAAGGCCTAAATTAGTCATTTTACTGGGGAAAAGTTGTGAAAAAAAATGACACCACTAAAGTTATCATTTAACCCTCTGATCAGAATTATTAAAGGAGCATGAACAATAAAATGTTTAAGGTCTCGAGTGGAAAAGCTATTTTCTAGCGTTTTACAGCAATTTTGCCGCTTTTCTGTGTCATTAAAATCCATGTGAACGAATTTTGAACATAAAAAAGCCTAAAAAACCATTAAAACGATCCCAAACGATTCAAAACGTGATAAACGGAACATAAATCAATAAAAATCAACCAAAAACAATGTAGAAAGGGAAAAATGGATGAAAAATCGGATTTGCCACTTTTTCGCGCAAAGATCTTTGTAGGTCAAAACGAAAAATTCGCGGCCAGACCTGCCAATTTCGAGTTATTATACTTATTATCACACAATATCTATAAAATCATTCAAAAAAGGTGAAATAGGACCGTGAAATTCATTTTTCAAGCTTTCGATACCTAGGCAGGTCCAAAAAAAGACTTTTTTTTTAATTCGCCGTTTTTTTCGTATTTTTTTAAATTTCAAAAAAAGTTCCTGATTAATTTTTCCGAAGACTTTCTTTCTTAAAAATCTAGAAATTAAAAAAATTTCTGAAGTTCAACTTCCTTTGAACAGGTTGTTGACTGATTTTATGATGAAAAATTGTAGAAAAAAAGCTAATTTTCCGACAAAAAAACATGGAAAAAAATTCCTAAAAATATGTGATTTGAACGGTATTGTATTTAATTTACTACAAAAAAAGCATGATAATATGTTTGAATTATTGATTTTTTTGCGCTTCTGGAAAAGTTTTTTTCGACTCGTAATTGGTTCAAAAAAACTTATTTTTGAATAGAAACGAGGAAAAATATCAGAAAAAAATCGACTAATAAAATTTAAAGCTTCGTTTTGTACCAATTTCGCCAAAATAAAATTAATAAGGTTCCAAAAAGGTCCGTAAAAATATCGACATGCAAAATCAGACCTGAAAATTCGTTTCAAAGCCAGAAAAAAGCGAATTTTAGGAGAAAAAAATTCGAAGATACAGAAAGCTCTTCGTTTAGATACAGAGAAAGCGAAAAAAATTTTTATTCTTTGTCTCTGGTGAAAGAGAAGACATTGCTGGGTTAATTACCTGCATAAAATCGATAAAAGGTCACCAAAAGACGGGAAAAAAAAAAATAAATCAAGACATGGAAGACAGGTTTAATAAATTCGGGAAAGGAGGCTCGGCGCGAAATTGAGTTCCTCGCGTCTCGGTCCAGTCAATCGGGAAGGAGGAGCAGAGAGTCGGGGAGACGCAGACGACGAGTCGAAAACCCGAAGAGAGAGAGATGAGAGACCAGAGTATAGATATGTTGGCTTGGCGGTCGTGTGTCGGAAGGGTCTCTGCGTCTCTTCATCTTCAGCACTTGTGGTCGGGTCTCTAGGCCCGTCCATCGATACATTCTCGCTCCGTTGAGAAGTGGGCAGAGTGGGAGTCAAGCTGCCAGTCGCTTACAACCGTGTCTGCGGCGGCACGACAGTCGAGGGGCCATCCCGTCCAGAAATCGAAAATCGGCTTTTCCATGGTGTTTAGTTCTATTTAAAATGAATTTTGGGGGTATTTCTGAAACTGAAACTTTTCCAGACTTTGTAAACTAGGGAAACTACTTTTTGTTTATCGTATAAAGAGGTTTTTTAGCTACGTTCAATGATGTTTGTAGCGTAATTTGTGCGTAGAATAATTTTAAAATGTATTTTTGAATATTCAAATGTTTTTTTAGGCGCTATATCGTAGGCTCATACTGCATTTTTCATTGCTTTAAGCGGTTTTTAGGCTGTTTTTGTATCTTAATTGGTACGTAAGAAAAATTTTTAATGTAATTTTCATGTCTCAAACTTTTTAGGATTCCTATTGTAGGCCTAAACTGCTCGTTTTTATCATTTTAAGCTGTTTTTTGGCTGTTTTTAAAGCTCAATCAATATGTAAAATAACTTTGAAATGCAATTTTTGAGGCCCAAACAATTTTTAGATTCTTATTTTAAGTTTAAACTGTATTTTTTTAGCTCACACGATTATTTTTCGGGTGTCTTTAAACGTGTTTAAAGCTTAATTTTTTTCCATATTTAACCTAACTATCCCGTTGAACAGAAATTAAAGGTAACTATTAAAGGAAAAAAAGCTCCAAAAAATAAGCATTCAGGACTTGAAATTCAGATTTCAAACTTTTTTTTAAAAATCAAACAGTAGCTTTTTTCGAAAACTTGTAAGCTTCAAATCAAGCTTCAAACTACTGATGGCTCAAAAAAATTAGATTTTAGTTTTTTTCAGATTCTTACTGAGCCGATCATAGTTCAAACCCCCCGCCCCCCTCGTCTTGATGCGAAGAGTCATTCAAGTGTTCCCTTCCCTTGTCAAATAATTTAAAAATTGACCTGCTTCAAAATCGTCGGAATAAAATTTTCAGCCCTCAACGAAAAACAGCTGAAACTCATCTTCAAACTTGAAAACCCCCCGAAAAGTCTTCAAACTGAACAATTTCCCTAATGACCCACGGTCTACTTGCTCCAAGCTGAATCTTCGGAAAAATCCGGACTACACGAAAAATAGAAAAATTACCTTTCCCTCAACTAGTCTTATTGAAATTCCTTCGAGTCCCGATTACTAAAAAACAGAATTTTTGAAAAAATCGAGTCTCTGATGATCGCCGCAAGGAATCCTTTGAAAATTGCCGGCTGGATGGACGAATGACCAGCGGGCGTCAGAAAAAGGGCGAAAAAAGAGTTTCGGCGCTGCTTTTTGAGCTGATATTCACATGAATCGGTCGGGAGTTTACAGTCAGGAATCGACGCCTTTGAAGTTGATCTTCAGACTTTTAAGAAGTCAGAAACGGGTCAAAGAACAAGTTTTGAAAAAAATTATTAAATTTCTGGATTTTTTTCCAATAATAAATACTTTTCAAGGTCAGTTAGAACGTCAGGAAGTTACTTATGAAATTCCAAAGATTGCAAAAAAGTCGAAGAATGAAAAAAATTGACAAAAAAAGTCAAAAATTTCCTCTGAGACCATTTTCCATAGCCTTATCAAGCGGAATTCCTTTTCTAAACCCCAAAAAAAAAAAATTAAATTTCATGTCTCGTATGATTTTTATGCAGTGATGTGATCAGAAGGCTCTAAAAGTTCAAGAAAAATTTTCCCGTAAACAATTTTTCTGACAAAAATCGGAATTCTTAAGAGTTTCCCTTTAAAAAGATTATTTAAACTCGTACGAAGTTATTTTCAGCCCTTTAATAGATCTCTGGCGTTCAAAAAAGTATAAAAGGTACCTTTTTCCAGCCCCTTTTCCCTCTAAACCACAAAATCCAGTCCAAAACTTGCAAATCAAAGCCTTCAAAGCCCCTCTCCAAGTTCTATTCATTCAGGCCAAAAAAGCTGCAAAAAGGGGCCAGATTCGTCTTTGCCTGACCCCTGACACCTGGGCCGAAACCATTCCAAAGGCCCCATTCACACCATCCGTCGCAAAAACGACGAAGAACCCCAAAAACTTCGTTTCACACCGCCGCCTCAAACCCTTGTGTCCGTTGGAGCGCAGAACGCGAAAAAAAAGAAAAGAGATGGGCGTGGCCGACTCTCACGCAATCCAACACTGTCTAGCCGCCCCGTCGTTATCTCTGTTCCGCAATGCCTAAATACCGTCTCTACGGCCGTTTTATACACAAAACGGCTGGCGGCACACCGACACACAAAATGTTTACAAAACCGTGCAGCGGGCGCTCTTTTTTTCGAAAGGAAGCATTTCGCCTTGGAGCTAATTTGCTCTGGAACTCTGGAACTTGCTGATAAAAAGTCGTGAAAAACTGATAACGGAGTATGTAGCAGTTGTTAATGAGCAATTTACTTATTGGTTGTTTTAGTCAGATGGAATCGACTATGAGTCTTGTTTTTTGGAAATTTTTTTAATTTTTAAGATCTTCTTGGAAAAGTACACTGACAGAGTTTACAAGAAAAACTTTTTTTTTTTTTTTGCCCTGGAGCTAATTTGCTCAGCTACTTGAACGTTTGAAGAGGTCATTAAAGTGGAAAAGCTCATCGAACTTTTGAAGTAGCCATTATAGTGATTTTTTTCAAGATTTTTCGAGGAAAAAATGGTAAAAGAGTCCAAATGGATCTCACTCTAAATTATTTGAAAAAGATTCAATTTCTCTATTTTTTCTCAAAACTATGCTTGTAAAGCTCACTGAAAAGTTTCTCCATGGAGCTAACTTTCCCAATTTCGGCTTTTTGAAAGTTTAAAGAGGTCACGTGATTTTTTGTAGGAAAAGATACTGAAACCCTAAAAGGGCCACTTAAGTGATCAATGAGGTCATTTTTTCATTTTCTTTCGAATTCAGTTCTTGGAAGGTTATCCTCATGAGAAACAAGGAACTGACTTTAAGGAAATACGAAGGTTTTTCGCAGTGGAGCTAATTTGCTCCAGTCGCGGCGAAGCTGTGAATGGGTCATTACCGTAATTGGAAACGGCTGAAGAAATTCGACCAAACTAATCGATAAACTAGGTAAAATAAGTCTATTCACTACTCCTTTGAGGAGACTTTCAGAAAAAGGCTTGAGACGAAATAATGTGCAAAAATTGGAGGTTCAGACGCATATTCACTGTTTTTCAAACTCGCTATTGCTACAGTGATTTGGAAATAAAAATTAAGTTTTCGCTAATATTTCTTGTAATGAAGTCTGTTGAGGGTCTTAGGAACTTAGATTTTCGAGAAATTCAGAAAAACTTATTCCTTTTTCTCAAATTTCCATTTAGAGTGGACTATTACCGGGAAATTTCAAAATTAATATTTTTTTAAATCTTAGTTTATCTTGAAAGTACAAGAAAAAGGGGTATCTTACGGCTTCAAGGCTGTGAAAACCTAATTTAATAAAAAAATTTATCTTTGCCAGGTAAGCTTTTTGAGACCTTAGGTACGGTATTTAATCTCATTTTTGCAATTTAACGATCTCAAATCTTAAAACAGGGATCAGAAGCTCAAAAAACGTCTACAAAAGAATGTTCAGAATGTTCCAGCTTGACTTACTCTTCCACAGTTTCTTAACGAAAAATCAGTAAATCCTCCTTCAAATGTCACGATTTCTGAACCCCTCTCTCCAAAAATCGTAATCCTCCAGAGAAAAACGACTTGTGCCCAATTAATCCCGATAATCATTGCGCTTTATCACCAGAAAGGCACCTTGCAATCAGCGCCGTTATCAAGGCAATTAACAACTGTTAATTGATGATAAGGTCAATAAAACTGCAGGGAAAAAGGCGACTTGTCTTGCCCAACGACAAGCTTCCCACACGTACGACATTTGAATGGGTATGGCCTCTGAGAACGGCTTTTTATGCATTTCTCGGCGAGTTTTGCAGATTTTCTAGATGTTTCTGAGCTTTCTTATGTAAGAGTTGTTTTTAATAACCTTTCGAGGTTTTATTTAAGCTCAATATTTCTTTTAGAACCAACTTTTCAAAGAAATATTGAGCTTAAATAAAGAACCAACTTTTCAAAAAACCAATACTGCTTGATATGAGGTTCTAAGAGCTTGAAAATATTTGAAAAAGAGACCTCACATTTGCCTGTCCACAAAACTCCCATGAATCAAACTTTTGAAAGCTTCAATGTGTTTCCAAAGAGCTCAATAACATCGAGAAAAAAGCTGGTTTCCCTCATTTTCCCACAAGTTTTCACGAAATTACATTTCTCAGAGACCGTTTATAACTCAATTTTTGAGAGGAAATCGCCAAGAACCAGGAAAATGCAATCATTCCTAGAGCAAAAAGCCGACAAACCCTTCATTTTTCGTATTCGCACCTTTTTTCTCCCATCTCGAAACACGCAATACTACAATTCCCACGAATCCAATTCCCCAAACAAAGGCGCCCAAAAAACATACCGTCTTTTTTTTTGCTCGTCCTTGACCTAGACAAATACCCATTTTTTGATGCAGTATACGGTATGCGCAGAGTATCGTTGAAAAAAAGAGGTCTCGAGATGAGTCTGGTGTCTCTTATCTCTCGCAACCGTCTCGTCGTCTGGAGAGGTAGAGAGAGAGGGAGAAGAGAGAGAGAGTGGCGCCGCGATTCTCATCAGTCATTTCCCAAACAACGGCGGCGAGCGCGGCGAATGTTTCGGGCCAGGCCGTTTCTCATTCCGCAAGCGCGCTCTATCGAACAACACTCACACTCACACAAACACACTTCAAAGAGATTACTGTAGCCAGATAGGTCCCCCGTCGTTTCCTGTCGTCGTTGTGTGCTGCGATTAAGCTAGAGTGTGGCCGTTTGAGCGTAAGAAGACGCTCAGAAGGGGGACAAAAACCCTCACAAAAATGTCATCTTTCTCTTTACGACACACGCACACGCACACACACATGCGCTGGCGCGTTTTTCGATTACTGTAGTAGGAGGGCTTTAGCGCACACATTCGCCTTGTCTATAATTAATAAGTCCGTTCTTCACATGCAGCCACCTGGTCGCTATTGCGAGAAGCAGATGATTTGCAAAAAGCAATGAAGCTGTCGGATTTGAGTTTCGCTCAAAATTCTCAAATTTCCCTTGAAATCTTGAAATTTTTGAAAAAAAAAATGTCATTTTCCTGATCAAAGTTTTAGCTATTTTTCGCTCCAAAAACGTGAAATTTTCCAAATTCTTGGCATTTGACTGATATCTACTCAGAACTTTCGGGGAAAAAAAAATTTTTTTTTCTCGTTTCAATGTGTTTATCGATCGAGGTTACTGTAATTAGGTCTTCAGAAACTAGATATTTATTTATTTTAGAGCCAAAAATCGCCAATTTGAACTTATGTGGGCTCAAAAATCCTCCTCTGTTCTTCAAATATCGTTTTAGAGTCCATTAAATTTTGAGTTTTTCCCGACAGAAAAACTGAAAATAAGGCCTTTTGAGCCCAAAACGTCATATTCGCTCCAGCAAAAATTGGCGTATTTTCCAAATTTCCCCAGGTGGAAATCTCGGCCACCGGGTCCGAAAACGGTCATTATCTCGTTCTTTGATCTTGACGAAAGTCAACAAAAAGTTGACTTTTCCGATCTTCCAACTGATCCACAGGGAAACAAGACGATAAATTGTCACCCGGAAATTCACGTGACCGCCGCACTTTACAGCATGGGCCCAACTTGTCAAGGAGCGTTAATTTCAAGGTTTTGTATATACTGATGGGATTATTTTTGCGTGTGGCTTTCGGCATCAAATCTTGATTGATTGGCATTTGGATGGCCCAGGGGGATTGGCGTTGGTCGTTTGGGCTGGTGTTGGTGGTGGTGGGGGCCTATGAATTGGAAAAGAGATGGAGAAAAGGAGGAGGAAGGCGACGGCACACTCACACACGCACTCTAACGCTCACACGGTCCCTCGGTCGCATATAACGCATTGGACGAGAGAGCGTGTAGGTGTGGGAGACCATTACCGTAACCTTCACAACGAAAGGCCGTGGCGCCAGGAGGTGGAGCCACCGATTTGATTGGGTGGTTGGCTAGAGTAGGGGGAGAGAGTGTGCTGGGCGGGGATGGCGTCAGAGTCATATTTGGCGTCAGACACGGAGGCGGTCCCAGAGCGCCGTCAGAGTAGCGGCCGCTCCAACTACTGTGGCACACCGACGTGTCGTCCGGTCCGGCTCTTTTCTCCTTTTCCAACTTGCTTATTTCTCAGCGAAACCTCTCAGAATCTCTTGTACACCTTTCTTATACTTATTATCAGCCTCAACACCAAGTCTTGCCTTGATTTTTGTATTTTTTTTTTCGCTCAATTTTTTTCGTTTATTTCGTCTTTTTCACCCCATACTCAATTCTTCATCGCTCCTTATTACCCTTAGTCTTAAAATCGCTCAAAAAATCAAGTTTTTAGGCTGGTTACTCAAAAAAAAAATTGTTTACTTTCACTGAAACCTCTTATTTCTAGCAGAATTTTTGATATTCTTTATACCTACCTTGATCTCTTCATTTTTGAACCAGGTTTAAGGTATAAATTCCCGATATATCCACTACCGAATATTGCAATTTTTTTTGTTCAATTTTCTTTTTTCTTTGTCACCTTTCCGTCCGTCACAAAAAATCTCCCTAGCCAAAAAATTTTATCCCATCCTCTAATCTTATCAATCACGTTTTGAAACCATCTCGCACCAAAAACGAGTTCTTCTTTGTCTCTCGGGCGCGGAGTGCGCGAGGGATGCAAAGAGGGGCGAGAGAGTTGGAGGGTCAGACGGTGGGAGTAAAAATGACAGCCGCGCAGCACGATCGCATTATCGTGTGGCGGTCGCGCGCAAAAGACGGATGGACGGACGGAAAGGTCGTATAGAGAGAGAAAGAGAGTGTATACTTGCGAGTGTGTAATGAAGCATCGACCGTAAACATTTTTGTGTTGTTAGCCGGAAAGCCCAAGCCCCAACTTATCCAACTTTTTTCAGGTCTTTCGACCAGTATCGATCGGTTAATTCTACTTGGGACTGATGGTTAAAGGTTGGTTCCGGACCTTTTTTAAATGTTTTTTTTCAAATATTGAGGTCATAAGTAATCCTGGAAATAAGTACGAGCGAATACGAACGAATAAAAAATTGCCAAAAATATTTCTGTAAAAAAGAAAATTTTATCCATGGGGCCTTCAATGGAAAAAAAAACATTTCCCGAAATTTTGCTTTTTTTCTGTTTCGAAACATTTTTTTGTGTTCAAACTTTTTTTCCATGAAAAAAAGCACTGAAAAAAAGATCGATTTTTTTGAAAAATTGTTTTCACTTCAAAAAAATTTTTGAAGCTTTTTCTCTTGATCATTGCAAGTATTTAAAAAAGATCGGAGCCAAAAAAACTTTAAAAAAACCATTTCCATGACGCAGTCAACGGGAAAAACAGAACATGCATCATTCATTTTTTTCCTATTTTGAAACAATTTTTTTGTGTTCAAAAAAACATGTTCACCGTTCCCATGGATGGTTCGAGAAAAAAATTTCAAAAAAATTATTAAACAATGTTTTCATTTTTTTAAAAAAATTTACCATCGAATGATTATTGAATGAAAGTCTCTATCTTCATTTTTTCAGTTTTCTAAATCGACTCGAAAGATTTTCATGTCGTAAAAAGTAATCGAAATAAAAAATCATTCCACTTTTCTTTGCACTTCATGAGCTCATCTTAATTTAATCCTAAAAACTCTACGAGAAAATCCTTTCATGACGTTTTTGTTCCAAAATCCGTAGTATTTCGCTTAATACATGCCTTTCAAGCTAAATTGTACTCCTGGTCTTCCTCGTAAATTAACGTTTTTGCACTTATAAGTCAAAAATCTATTGAGATTCCAAAGTTAAAAATAGAAAATACATTTAAAAAAAGAAAAGAAAAAAGAACTTCAGAAAGCGACGAAAAATGAGCTTCCCGTTCCGACTCGTTTGCAACTCATGCGAAATCAAAGTCGAAGAAGATGCTTATACCTGCTGCAACGTTTATTGTGAGTGCTTTTGAAATTTTTATACTTTTAACTTTCTTTTATTCAAAAAGTCGGCTAAAAACGAAATAGCTCCTCAAAAATCTTCTTTCAAAAAGGACCTTCCAATGGTCCCCAACAGATGTTTTTGATATCACTTTTGCATTTTTTTACAAAAAAATAGTTTTTTTGCCATCATTTTTTTCAAGCCTTTCAGCTTCTTCAAAGGCCCACGAAAGAAGCTTTTCCGTTTTGCCTATCAAAAATGCCGGGTACAAAGTAATTTCGGCGATCTCAAAGTTGTCGCGTTTAGAGATTACGTGAAATCTGAAAAATTTTCATTTTGAGAAAAAAAAAACTTGGATCCTACAACGAGTTGGCGACTTTTATGCCGTGTTCAATTTGATTCCGCGAAATGCAAAATGATCTCTGACTCTCCAAAAATTTAGTGATCTTTCCCTTTCTTTAACGGGTATTTTGCATTTCGCGGAATCAAATTGAACACGGCATTAAGCGTGACATATCAAACTTTGGATTTATATTCAAATTTTTTTAATTTTTTTGTTAGTTTTTTTCGGGGTTGAAATGCACGCGTAAAAAGTCCTCATCTCTTTGCAGGGTCCTAATTTTCCGTCGAAATGCTAATTTCACATATTTCGCAAAATCATTTTGAACTAAATTTGGAAAAATACTTCATACTACAAAAAAAAAATGAAAAAAATTTACATGCGCGAGTTACAAAAAGTACACGTGCACTTTACGAGAAAGTGCATGCGGAGTTTTGAAAAAAAAAACTTTCAATTTAATGATAATGCCGTGTTCAAAGTAATTTCCGCGAGACGCCGCTATTTAGTAACCAGGGACATTGCCTCAACTACAGTATACCTGTTCGGTTGAGCACTTTTGCCTCATATTCCATATTTTTTACAGACCATTGTTTTTAATCGTTTTTTTTTCCTTTTCCATATATTTGAACGGTTCACTGATGGCGTTTGCAATAATCGCCATTTTCAGTAAAAGTCAGAAAAAAGAAGCTGTTCTCGGATATCTTCCGGCAAACTTATATTCACACTTCAATCACGTTCAAAAAAGTTTTATTATTAGTTGGTAATGGTTATGGTTGAATTTGAGTGGGTTCATATAGTCTTTTCAGATTTGGAGTGTAAAGTCATCGCTTAAACTCCACACCTTATGCGTATATCAAACCAATCAGAGAGAGAAAGAGAGAGTCATCCATAGAGAGCTTTTAGGGACGGAGTTTGTTACTTTACTTTGGAAATCTAAACAGACTATAGGATGCAAATAATGGGCTTTTACTAATCAAATTTGGATTTGAAGTTTAGCTCTAAATTTCTCGATAAATCTTACAATATTGCATAAAAAAAACATAAATACTATGACCATGGTGAGATAAACTTTTAGGTTCAGGAATTTTTTCGAAATAAAACATTGAAACAAATAGCGCAGTGCGAGATCGCCGAATTTTTTTCACAAAAAAAGGTTTCTTCGCGTGTTTCGGAGCTCTTCGACGGATTACTTCCGACCTTTGTGAAAAAAATTTTTTTATATTGGATTTTTTTAAATTTTTTTACCTTGAGCAGATCAATCGGAAGGTCTCGTGGAGCGCTACCACCACGAATAAGTAGTTTTTTTCTCGACGAACAAGTATTTCTTGGAAATCAGTTGAAGGCGGGAGAGAAACAGAAGAAAGAAAAACGTTGTTTCGTGTCAACCAACTCCGAATGTAGTGTTGCGAGAGTTTTTTTGTGATGTTCGGCTCTTCTCTCTTCGCAACTCTCATTATGATGTTTCTGAATTAGCGTAAGGATGCCTCATTGAACTTTCCTAACCTGTCTTACAAGATTCAATTTTTGACTTGTCTTTCATTTTTATAGCCTCCAGCTTTTGTACATTATGTGCTGATACAAGATGCCGCACAAAGTTATCTTCTCTTTGCTCTTTTTGGCATTGCTCGACAGGACACCGCAATTTTACACGCATTCTTCTGGAGTAAAGTCGTTGTTTAAGCGATGACTTGACACTCCAAATCTGAACAGACTATATGAACCCACTCAAATTCAACCATTACTAACTAATAATAAAACTGTTTTGAACGTGGTTGAAGGGTGAATATAAGTTTGCCGGAAGATATCCGAGAACAGCTTCTTTTTTTCTGACTTTTTACTGAAAAATGGCGATTATTGCAAACGCCATCAGTGAACCGTTCAAATATATGGGAAAGGAAAAACGATTAAAAAAACAATGGTCTGTAAAAAATATGGAATATGAGGCAAAAGTGCTCAACCGAACAGGTATACTGTAGTTGAGGCAATGTCCCTGGTTACTAAATAGCGGCGTCTATTTCCGCGAAATGCAAAATACCCGTTAGAGAAAGGAAAAGATCACTAAATTTTGGAGAGTCAGAGATCATTTTGCATTTCGCGGAAATTACTTTGAACACGACATAAGATCTCAAGAGCTCTCTTAAGAGATTATCTTTTTTTAGATTGCGATGAGTGTTGCGCACAGTTCCAAGTATGTTTCGAGTGCAATACATCGTTCCGCTTTGTTAGTTCTTTTTTGAACACAATTTGCAAATTTTCACGGTTTCAGAAATACACGCCACGAAAGGAAATTCCAATTCCAGCCGTACTCGATTCAATTTTTATTTCAAAACATACCAGAAAGTAAGTTGAAGTATAAGTTATACAATTTTTCTTTTGGAATTCCAGTCTTCACTTTGAGCGAATGATGAAGGACGCGTTACCGTCGGAGAAAGTTTACATTTGTCTCGATTATTTCGACGCAAGCATCGGGATCGAGGTGATTATTCGTTGATTTTACGTTTTTCATGCTTCTTTTTCAGGAGGATCCAAGAAGGTTGAGGATTAATGCTCAGCCCGATTTGTCTGACGAAGAAGAGATGGGAGAAGAAAAAGTGGAGGAAAAGAAGAATGGAAGGAGGAAGTACGAGAGGAAGAAGGATCAGAAAAAGGTCGAAAGTCCCGTGGAATCTCCAGCAGCCTTGGGCCAGCCTTCGACTTCGACGAAAGGAGTGGAAGTAGTAGAAAGAGAGAAGAAAAAAGGAAAAGAAGATGATGATGAGGACGATGAGGATGAAGAAGAGGAGGAGGAAGAACCGGTAAGCGACATTTTTTTTTTTGATAAGTTAAAATAATTCAAATTTTAGCCAAACTTCTGCCGCGTGTACAGATGCCCAGCGAGGATGCCAATCAAAACTTTGCGACGACTTTTTGGTCGTCAAATTTTTTTGCTCGACAAGTCGAGCCACCTCAATTTCTACTTTAGAGGCCGAGTTGGTTTTTATTTTCATTATTTTATTGTTTATTGTTTGTTAAATAGTTCAAAATTCAAAAAATCTTTTTTTTTGTTTCTCCTCAACTGTTCCTTTTTAGAAAAAAAGCTCTAGAAAAATTTAAATCTTGCGTGGAATGTTTTGAATCGATTTTCTACTTTAAAAAAATAAATTTTGCGCTTAAAAAAAGGTCTAATATACTTTTTAAAAAGTCCATAGAGAGTTTATATACATATAATTTGGTTGTTCGCAATTTTTTAGCTTGAAATTAACATTTTCATAACTTAGAACTGTGGCACTGTTTTAGCGATGTGATTTTTTTTTTGAACGTTTGATTTAAATTAATCGGTTTTTAAAAAACCTTTAGTTTCAATGCCATTTTCAGAAAGTTCTTATCCCTTCTTTTTGATCTCTAAACTTTAGAAAAGTACCCAAAAACGTAATTTTTTGACCTAGCGGTTTTTTGTAAATATTTGATTTTCTGTTCCCTTCCAAAATAATCTAATTCTCATGCCCCATGCTCTAAATCGCCCCTCAATAAAAATCCGAATCATTCCAGGAGCTCACCGACGAAACCACAGTCAGGACGCTTCTCTCGAAGTTGAAAGATCCGAAGCGGGAAGAGCTGCGGATCGACTTCACCCTGGTCCCAGCCAGCCCGGACCGCGTCGAAACCCCGAAACCCGACGAAGAAGAGGTCGACGAAGCGATGCCGTGTCTTCACGCCGAGGCTCCCGTCGAAGAGGTGCGCATTTTTTCTACTTCCGAATTTTTGCTCCTTCCTTTAAAACTGAAGTTAGGACGGATTTTTCTCACGTTCATTTCCCCCTGCTCCTCTTCCGGTTGCTCCATCGATTTAATTTCATTTTTATCGAAAGTTATGACGAATTTTTTTCCCAAGATTTTTGCTTTCGACTTTTTGCTCCTTTTTGGCGGTAGATTTCTTCCTTTAAATCAAAAATTTGGCCGGTTTTTTTCCCAATGTTTTTTTTATATTTCATTTCTATGTCGGTGTTGTGATCTCTTTGATTTATTTTTTTTTCCGAATTTTTTTCCAAGATTCTTTTTTTCGACTGTTCACTACTTTTTTTGGCGATAGATTCCTTCCTTTAAATCCAAAATTAGGCCGGATTTTTTCCCAAAATCTTTTTAATATTTTTTTTCTGTTGCCGGTGGTTTTTCTCTGATTTCTTCTTTTTTCGAATTTTTGCTCTTTTTGGTGATAGATTTCTTCCTTTTATCGAAAATTAGGCCGGATTTTCCTCACGTCCATTTTCTCCAATCTTTGCTCCTCTTCCGGCTGTTCCATCGATTTGATTTCTTTTATTTAAATCCGAAATTATGACAGATTTTTCTTTTCCCATTTTTAGTTCACCTCTGGCCGTATTTTACCTCGAACTCCTTCTTTTCAATCAAAAATTCTGCTCCCCTGTCGGTAGTTTCATCGCTTTGATTTCTTTTTATTCACGGAAAAAGGGAATTTTCTTCCACGGTCATTTTATTTTTTGAAATTTTCGTCTTCTTCGGCGATACTATCACTCCATTTCACTCTTTCGATCAAAAATTAGGAGCGGATTTTTCTCAAAATCATTTTCTTTCAATTTTCATTCTCCTTTGGCGGTACAATCGCTTGGATTTCTTCCCCTTCACTGAAAATAAGACTCGGATTTTTCTCACGCCCATTTTCTTCCAATTTTCATTCTCCTTTGGCGGCAAAATCGCCTTGATTTTCCATTTCATTGGAGGTAACCGAAAAATGAAGGCGTGAGAGTATTTGATCATGAGAGAATTATATTTCTGTTGTTCAGGCCAGTATTTTTTCAACAAGTATGAAAAATTTCGTTTTTTTGGAAGTTTTTGAGAGACGAATTCAATCTGTGAAAAGACAGCGAGATTTTCGAACATATTCGATTTTCGAAAAATGTCTTCTAAAACCGCTGGAAACAGAAATAAGAAAAAATCTCTTTGCCACGAAAAACTTCGAATATTAACTTTCTCCAATTTTCAGGCGCCGCAACCGATCCCCGACGACGAGCCCTGCAGCAGCACTTCTCTGGATTCTCCGATATTCATGCAGGAATCCCCGATCCAAATACTGAAGCCGCAGCCGAATATTCTTCGCAAGCGCCGAAACTACACCAGAGCGAAAATTGAGCCAGCGAAAATGCCGACTCCGCCGATGCCTGTTCAACTTCAACTTCAAGTTCAAGGTCAAGCTCAAGGACAAGTTCAAGTTCAAGCTCAAAGACCTGCTCCTCTTCCTTTCGCCAACGTCCATCCTGGCTTCATGATGCCCGGACAGCACCTCCATCCGTCTATGACCATACAGCAGCCGGGCCCGCAGGTCGTCCAGATGCCCATGATACAAGGCGCGCAAATGATCGTGCAGAACGTCCCACCAGATCAGAATCCGCCCCAACCGCAGAACATCCAAGGCACCGTCAGCACTCAGCAGCTGATGAACTTGGTCGCCGCCATGCAGCAGCACCAGAAGCAGGCCAACTCCCAGCCTCATTTTACCCCGCAGCAGATGGTCCATCAGATCGAGACCCACCAAGGCCAGCAGTTCCGCGTGACGACCATGCCCAACGCGGTTCAGTTGATGAACGGCGTCCCCGTCAACAATCCCAACGGCATGAACGTCAAGCAGATGATCCAGATGAGCCCGCAGATGATGCAAATGCATCAGCAGCAGCAGCTGATGAAGCAGTTTATGCATCAACAGCAACAACAACATCATTTCCAGCAACAACAGAACCAACAGTTCCCTCTTCATCAGAAGTATCAGCAACAGATTCTGGCTCAAAGAGCTCGACAAGCGGTCAGAGCTCAGGATCAAGTGGAGAAGGATGCCGAAATAAGGCTGAGGACAGCATACATCGTTCAGCGTACTCCACAGCCGTCGCCTTTACAGCTTCAGGCTCAGCTCCAACTTCAGGCTCAACTTCAGCTTCAGTCTCAGTCTCAGACGCAGCCTCAAGAACAGAACAAAAACTCTCCGGGTCCAGCTCCATCGCCAGTCTCTCGAGACGGACCGACTCCGCCGAAGCAGGCACGTCTCCAGGCCTGTATTCCGCCGCCCATGCCACCGCCGTTGAGCCAACTGCAGCAGCAGCTTCAAAATGGACAATTCCGCTCCACGATGTTCATGCAAGGCGTCATCAACACGCCGTCGCCAATCACCCAGCCGCTCGATAAGCTGCCGTCAGAGCCGCCTCTAGTCGAAAACAGGAAGTCGAACTCGCCGGAAACCACGCCGAAAATCAAGAAGAGCGAGGTCTCGGCCTTCGTCTCCTCGGTCCCGCTTCTGAAGCCACCACCGTTGAACCAGCATGAAAAACCATCAACAAGTCGGTCCAATGGAGGAACGAAGGCGTCGAAGCCGCAAAACAGCAAGAACCCTTCGAGGAAGTCAATCGCTCCTTCTCCGCGAGCGAATTTCCAAGCACAAACTCCAGAATCAAACAAACAGGGGACGACGCCTCCGATCCGAACTCCAGACTCGGTTACACAGCAAGCGCCGTCTTCAACCCCAACTCTAGAATCAGCTAAGCAGCGTTCGACGTCTCCACCTCAATCTCCAGAATCAGCTGAGCAGCGAGCGACGTCTCCATCTCAATCTCCAAAATCAGCTGAGCAGCGGTCGACGTCTCCAGAATCAGCTGAACAGCGTTCGATGTATTCAAATCAAACTCCACAACCAGCTGAACAGCGAACGACGTCTCCAGCTCAAGTTCTAGAACAAGCTAAACAGCGAACGACGTCTCCAGCTCATGCTCCAGAATCAGCTGAGCCACGAGAGAAATCTCCAACCCAAGCTCCAGAATCAACTAAGCAGCGGTCGACGTCTCCAAATGAAGCTCCAGAATCAACTGAAAAGCGAGCTACGTCTCCAGTCCCAGCTTCAGAGCCAGTCAAACAGCAAGCGACGGCTCCAACCCAAACTGCAGGACGTACAGAGAAAACCAAAGCCGCCCAAATTCAAAAGGTGAGAAACAAGTTGAAAGTGGGCCATGTACAACTAGTTAGTTGATGTTCTTGTGATAGGCTTTATGAGGACATTTTTAAGTGATTATTTTTGCTAACTAATTTTTTTAAACAATAGAAAAAATCACCTCGAAAACAGTCATGAAAACTTGTAGGCGTCCAAGATTCAGACAGATGAGCTTTCAAAGTCTAAATTAGGGAACCTTTCAAATTGAGACTTCCAGAAAAAGTTCATTAATACATCAAAGAGGATTTCGGCCATATAAAAGCTCACGATTTCCTATCAAACTCCTGGGAAAATTTTTAATGGCCACTATAGGGTTTTGACGTTTTAGTGGCCACAATAGTAGTCAAATTAGTGACCACTTAAGGGGTTAAAAATTAGTGGCCACTATAGAGGTCTAAGTGCTACTACTAGACCACTTAAAATTTTAGTGGCCACTTTAGGGGTCGATGCATCAACATAAATGGTCCGATTTGTTTGTTTTAAAGTTACCAGAGTTACTGGAAGGAATACTGGATGAAAAACTACTGAAGTGGCCACTAAATAGAGAACCTCTGTAGCCAATATAGAGGTGGGTTTAGTGGCCATTTTAGTGTCCTCTCCAAGTAGTCTTTGGCGAGCCTCTATAGTGGCCACTAAACATTTTCCCAGTCTACTCCTTATTTCTCGACGTTCTCTCAAAGGTCAACCCAATCTTCATTTCCAGGAACAAGTCGACGAAACGGTCGACGTTCTGACCCTGTCACGCTCGCAAAGCAGGTCGCTTGGCAAGACATTGGCCGAATCGCTCAAAAAGCCGAAAGGTGGCAGCCAAACCGTGGCCAAATTCCCCTCCAATGGATCGGTGTCGATGTCGCCGCCGTTTGCTTCGAGGCCGTCGACCGACGAAAAGTCGGAAACTTTGAATGTTAGTTTTTCTCGAGGGAGGGTATCGCTAGTCTGGAGTATGATAGGGACCTAGAAAAACCGAAAAACTTAAAATTTGTTCTGACTTCTCTCCGGGGAGGTTATGGCGTTGAATTTCAATTTTTCATAAATCTCATCATTTTCTCTGGGCTTTTTCGGCTTGTTGTTGAGGAAATGAAGGTTTACGGAGCGTAAATGGGTTGTAAATAGGTGAATTTGAAGTTTACACGGGTAGGGTATAAGTTTTATAAAGGTAGAAATATGAAGGTTTTTTTTTGGAGTTTATTTGCTCGAGATTTACGCTCCGTAACAATAATTCTGATATCAGTCCTATTTTTGACCAGATAGACCAAATCCCAAAAGCTCCGGTAAATCAAATCAAATGGCGACAGGATCGAAATCCGAGACGATAACCTCCTAAAACCGTTCCGTGTTTGGAGATGACTTTCTGTGGACACAAAAGGCGTCCCGCCCGTAGAATGAATGAACAGATTGATCAAGATAAGATATCGGCCCCGTCGGGTGTTACAGTCTCTCCCTTCCTTGAACCGGGTGTCCATAAAAATCTACCGTAATGGGGGTCATTTGCACTTGAAAAATTGATGACAGCAAATCAGGTGACTTTCGGGCGATGATTCCCAAGATAACGTTGACTTTTTCAAGTTTCGAAATGGGGATGTTGGTTGGTAGAAGAAGGAGAAACTTTGAGATTTTCAATTTTGCTCAAAAATTACCTGTCTATGGAGTCATGTGGAAGAAGGTCGATGAAAATTTTTGAAAAGAGTCAAGAATTTCGCTTTGAAATATATGTAAAATGAACTAAACAAGGATATTTAGAGCTAAAAAGTTCATAATTTGGACAAGAAATTCAAAAAAACACTTTTTTCGCTAGAATCGCCATCACATGAAAAAGAGCTTTTCTTTGTCCGAAAATCAAAAATTTTTCAAGATTTTTCTCGTCAGAAAGCTCCTTGAAAAAATCCCTTTTCTTCTTTGGGAACGCCAAAGTGGTCCCTATAGGGACGAATTCATCGAGTTTTTCGCATGGAAACGCTTCTTATTCAACAATACTAGGATAACCCCTATAGGGGCCACTTTTTTTTCGACTAGGATAACCCCTAGAGAGGCCACTTTTGCAAGCTTTAGTGATCCCTATAGGGGTGCCTTCAAGGGCCTCAAAGGCTACCCATATAGAGACCACTCTGGAGTTACTCAAACTTTCAAAAAAAAAAATTCCCTTGGCTTAATTTCAAAACTTTAATTCCTTCTGTCACTGATATCTGTCACCAGGACAGGTAAATAACTGATAACCGGTTTTTTATCTCGTTCTCTGTCCCTAATCGCCTAATGCTCGCCTGCAAAAAGAATACACGATGCCGATCGAATTCAGACGCGCCATAATAATACGGTCGTCGCATTTCGCCCACCACACGTTTGATTAGCACAAAAGATAAGATAAGCCCCACTATTAGCGTCATTTTCTTTCTCTCCCCGTCTAAATTTCTTTCGTCTCGAAGATTTTTTCGTTTCTGGGCGTGACGTTTGGCAATTCATCAAGTGTAGTGCGGCCGTGACGAAGATGGTGCGAATTGATAATGAATTGAAGAAAAAAAAACGTGTGAAAATTGGAGACTTTCAACAGATACAGTATCGGATTAACCCTGATAAGTTCCTTTTCCAAAAGTGTCCTTCCAGTTTCGGATTTTAAGGGAATTCAGTCTGTCCATGGGAAGAAAGATCGAGAAATTCGCCACATTCAAAAATTAAAAAAAGGAAATTTAGCAGTGGAGCAGATATGGCGTCTTTTTCGCGGCGATTTTAAGAAAAATAATTTTTCACTAGTTTGGACCAAATCCAAACATTGAGTCCTTAAACAAAAAATATACTGAAAAAAAATCTCAGAAATCTCTAAAATTAAAAAAATTTAGCCGTGGGGCGCAAATGACGTCTTTTCGCGGCGATTTTAAGAAAAATAACTTTCCACTAGTATGGACCGAAAATCGAGTCCTTAAGCATAAAATATATTGTGAAAGTTCGTGAAATCTCTAAAATAACGTAAATTTAGCCGTAGGGCAGAAATGACGTCTTTTTCGCGGCAAAAAAATACCGTATAACAGTTCAAGCTTCACTATTTATCAAATCTAAAAATTTCTCAATCAAAAAAACACCATAAAAATCCAGTTTTTCTTTTCTAGAAACTTTCTAATCATTCTTATTTTTTCAGGCCGATCAGGAGAAGTTCCGCAACATGCAAGAGGCGTCATCCATCAAGATTTGATGCAAGATTTCGATAATAAAGATGTGATTTCCTAGCGATACCAGTGTTAAATATTCGCATTGTTTTAGTTTCTCGCCGAGTTATTATTATATCCTTTTTTAGCCCTATTCTTGTCCTTCTACACAATTTTTCGCATCTCTATTTTCTCCCGTTCTCTCGTTTTCTGTCGGGTTTCTCTCCTCTCTCTCTAATTTATGTTATCTTTTCTTTCTACCGCCGGTTCTTCCCAGCTGGTCTTTCGTTTTTTTTTCTATCTTCTCTGACGCAAAGAACAGCTTTTCTTGGTGTTTTATACAAACATTGCTGGGTATTTAAATTCATGTACGATAGATCTATTGTTTTATCCATTTTTGCAATAATTTGATAACAGAAATGAACCCGTTAATTTCTCTGTTTGAATTCGAATTTTTCTTCTCACACACACACAAACGCAAACAAACCGAAACGAAACAAAGAACTGTTGACGCAGCCGTTTTTGTTTGAACAGTGCTTACACGTCGACGCCTTTGGCCGTTCTTTCCCACGTACCGTAATCCGCTACGCTGCGGGACCGTGGGAGCTTTTCCAAGGAGAATTCAAGGACAGAATATGTAATGATGGGAGAATAGTGGGCTAAGTATCCCGGGGATTCGCTGCGCATCAACTTGAAGGTTTTGTGTCTGAAATTTGTCAATAATTCCAACAACAAAAAAAGTCAAAACTTCATCGACTTTCCGAGTGAAAAGGTCAAAAGACGTCTGGCTCCGTATACCAGATAAATGGCTGCGCATCGACTTCAACTTTTTACAGGAGTATTCAAAAAGCCACTGTGGTTCCTTACAAGCTATCCTAATGGCTCTAAAACCACTTGAGTGGCCACTAAAAGGTTCAAACTACAGCTTCTTCGCGATCAACATTTCACTGAGTATCTTGTTTTGGCTGCGCATCAACTCGAAATTCTCAAAAAATGGGCTTTACATGAAATTTCAGCTTCAAAATTTCTTTGAAAAAAAAGCTAGGGGTTGTGTTATGTACATGGCGTTTTCAAACGGGATGAAAAAAAAATTTTGGCGCGAAAGTTCAAATCTAAAGTGCGCAGCCAAAGACAATAGAACAAACAAGTTATTAACGTTGAATACTCAGTGCAAGTTTTGATGTAGAATGACGTAATTTTATCCGGAGCGCGCACTTTTTTGTAAATTCAGAAACTTTGATCGCCCCTCACCCCATTAAGAATGCCGTGATGTAATCAGCAACATTCGCTGCGCATCAACTCGATTTTCACTTGAAGTATGCTCATTGGGTCCTGCCAACTGATTAAGAAAAGTGAGAATTTTCAGCTTTTCTTCAAAAATTGAGCTTCAAAGTCTACTCAACATCAACTTCGTGAAAATTCCGAAGGCGCCTGGTTTGAAGCCCAAAGGAAATTGAGTTCAAAAACGGCCAGGTGTAGGTCTTTGTACCAGGAACTGCCGCGAAATGTGTATTCCGCACGAGGTTGGCACACTTTTACACTGTTCCGTATCATTAGCCTAGGCGTTCGGCGTCTGATTTGACTGATGAGGCGAACTCTCTCAACAGCCGCAGGCTCTCGAAGATAAGAGCCAACGAGAGTGTATACTGTATCATGGCGTGTTTCAGGAATCGTTAAATTGCGAGAAATGAAATCAGGGGATCCTAGAGAACGACTGCGCATCAACTCATTATTAAGTCTTTACATACTTGATAAATGAACTCTAAAGCTTCCGAAGGAGTAAATAATCAATTGTAAAATGCCAATCTTGATATGTACTTATCAACAAAACTTCAAGCTTTCCGCTGCGCATCAACTCAATCTAAAGTCCTTTCCTTCGTTCCAAACTTGACGACTGGACTCTCAAACATCCAAAAATTAAAACTGGCCACTAAGCTGCGTATCAAGTGAACTCAAGGCTTTTCGCTGCACATCAACTGATCCTCAAGCCCTTTACTGCGTTCCTAAATTGGTACTCTCGAAAATCCAAGAGACTAAAATTTTTAACTAGCTGCGTATCAGAGCTTTTCACTGCACATCAACAAATCCTCAAGTCATTTCCACGCTCCAAACTTGATACTCTCCGACATCCGATAGAAGACGTTGTCAAACTAACTACGTATCAACCAAAATTTAAGACTTTCGCTGCGCATCAACTCAATCTTAAGTCCATTCCAGACGCGATAATTGCCCTCTCAAACATCCAACAGATGACTTGGCGACTGTTCTATTGAACCCCGTAAATCTACACCATTTTAAATTGCCGCGCATTATTAAGATGTGCAGGTCAGCTTCACAGTTTCATTTCTGCGCAATAGCGTTAGTTTTTGTTCTTTTTTTTTACTTTGGTTATGAAGTAAACCTTTTTTTGTAAGTTAAAGTTGTATATTTCACTATACAACCGCGACCTATCAAGTTCCCGGAACGCCGTCCTACCGTAACCCAAGGCTGTTACAACACGACCAAGTCAGGCCGGGAAAAGCGTCGGAGGCGATCAATCAGCCTCGCTTCTGCCTGGCTGGCTGGCTGCTGCTCGAACGGCCCCCATCGATCGTTATCTGTTTATTGCGGGCCGACCGCGGGAGAGCCAGAGAAGCCAGAGAAAACCGACCGACCGACACACGTTTTGTATATATTACTCACCCGCCACAGCATCCGCTCTTTTGCTCTATTCCAATTTGCACAGACCTACATTTACTCAGAGAGAGAGAGAGAGAGAGAGAGAGAGAACCTGAAGGGTTTTTCTGGTCGAGGCAGCCAGGAAATTAGCCAATTAGCCGTTATCCCGCGCGCCGTGGGGTGACCGATTTTTGAAGGATTGAGTGGTTGCCGGACGGCCTTGGAGACAACTTTTTTTTGTTTTGACTATTGGAATGGTTAATAAAGATCTTTCTGCACATGTAGTTGGATAAGTGCCGATTTTGTCAAAATATTGAAATTAGCGAAATAGTGTGCGAAAACGAGAGAGCACCGAATAATAGGTAGATTTTATCAAAATTCACTTTTTCATTATTTCTACCCCTCTAAAGTAAGTTCAGAAATTTTGAAATGACCATTTTTTGCTTCAAATAAACGGAAAACCCCAAAAGAAGCTAGAGCTTGATTTGAAGCAAGAAAAGCTGAATTTCGGCATTCTCAAGCTTCAAAAACTCTTCTTCTTTTTTCGAAAAAGAAAAATTCCTACAGTTTTCCCAGACGTCAATTAGCCGACGTTCGCCATCAAACAAACATAAAGGCTTTTTAGATGGTAAATTCGATAAGGACTTTCTTTTTCTCACACAGACATTTGTTGAGGAATGCATCAAAGCCTTGGATCTTGGGAAAACTGAACAATTTCTTTGATTTAGAGGGGTTTATAACGAGGAATTTTACTGCGTAAATTCGTTCAAAAAATGAAAAAGGTCTTCGTAAAGCGAAACTTCAGATCATCAATTGTGTTACTTGACGACCAAAAAATTCTCCAAAACTACTCATTTTTCTGTTTTGGAACAAGTTTCATTTGCTCCGAAGCTAAAATCCGATTAAACATGTTTTTTTTAAATCTTACATACGTCCATTGAACCTTCTAGGAAACTGTAACACTTCAAAATTCTTCAAAAGCCAAAAAAGGCAAGGAAAGGTCGCTCTAAAGCTAGATCTGCCTCTTCCAGAAAAAAAAATGTCGCTCCACAAGTAGACTCAGAACCATCCTCACACCTTGGTAATGCAAACCGGGATTTTAAGAGACCCCTTAAGCGCTCTTAAGTGTTCAATAAAACGTCCGGATCCTGTAACCGAGTTCCTAGATATTACTTTTTCAAATCGTAATTACGCCCATTACATCTTCCAATTAACATCGACTCTTTAAAACTGCTCAATAACCAAAAAAGGCAAGGAAAAGGCGAAACCCGAGCCTCATCAATCTCGCAGCCTATGTGTGTGTGTGTGTGTGTGTGTGTGTGTGTTGGGTGTGCCGGTTTTTGTGTTGAGAGGCGGAGGATTACGGTAGGCAGGGCAAACAGTGTGTGGTCCGCGGAGAGGGGCGTCTGGCGCCCACAGCCCCGTCCGTCCGTCCGTCCGTCGGTTCTCTTCGTTTCGCCGCGGCGCGTAATTGCACACCACTCGAGGATGCAAATGGCCGCGCCTTCCCCCTACTCCCACACTTGTTGTGACGTCACGGTTGACTGGCCAGACGCCCATTTGGTACGGCTTACTAGCCTTCGCCCGCAATTTTCGTTGGGGATCGACGGATTACTGTAGGAAATTAGAATGTGATAGAAATCTTTACAGATATTAAAGTGTCGAAAAGTTCTCTCGGAATATCACGGTTAAATGAAATTTGGTACAGCTTAACCTTTGGAATTTTGATCGGGGATCGACGGATTACTGTAGGAAAATTAGGAAAACCCAAAAATGTTCAAAACTTGATGAAAATTGACGAAATTTGAATGGAAAAGATTGAAAATCATATTTACCCGAAGAAAAAGCACATTTGGTACATCTCAATCTTTTGAAATTCCATCACGGATCGACGGATTACTGTAGGAAATTACACGAAACACACGGGAAATTATAAATCTACTAAAGATTGCTGAAATTTCCATAAAAAGGGTTGAAAAAGTCTTCAGAAAGTAGCATTTTTCCGACGAAAGCCCATTTGGTACAACTTAACCTTTCAAAATTTCATCACGGATCGACTGATTACTGTAGGAAAAAGAAATCATTTTACAAAAGGAATTGAAAATCTACCAAAGATTGGATAAAATTCCATAAAAGGAGTTGAAAAAGTGTCTCAAAAGTCCTATTTACCTGACAAGACGTCCATTTGGTACATCTTAACCTTTCAAATTTTCTTTGTAAATCGACGGATTACTGTAGAAGATAAGACATCCACAAGGAGCTCAGATATCCACGAAAAATGCTGAAATTTCCATAAAAAGAGTTGAAAAAGTCTCTCGGAAAGTCACGGCTGACTGGCCAGACGCGCATTTGGTACGGCTATCTCGTCATCTCAATTTTAGTTAGGGATCAAAAGATTACTGTAGGGAATTAGGAAAGTTTAAAAAATTTCTAAACACACTGAAGGGTCGAAAAGTTCTCGAATGATCTCAAAACTCAGGAATCCGTTGAAGATTATTGAAATTTCCATTGAAAGTTCTCTCAGGAAGGAATAAGTTTAAAAATTCAAATCCATCGGCCAGACACAAGATCCATGAAAGGATCACTACAGAAACTGAGAAAATTCAGATGGCTACTGTAATAGGGATTACTGTAGCAAATTGGAAACCTTGTCTGTGAAATCTGATGCTCCAAGCAGCTCTTATGGGTCACAAGGATTAGGGTGCCTTTTTAATATCTCATTTTTTACTTGCGATTTTTCTGACATTAAAGTTTGCCAAACCATCTTTTGATGTACTAGGAAAACTTTGAAAGCCTAAACTTGGATTTTCCAACAAAAAACGCCTCAAAGCCGAAGTTGCCTCACACTGTAATATAGATGGATCAACTTCGAAAAACTGGGAATTTATGCAGAATAAGACTTTTCGAATCATCACCTGTTTGTTAAGGAATTATTGATCAGAAGGTTCTAGAATTATCTTGAAACCAGGTGATCAGACTTATCTCATTTGGCTGGCTGCCAATTTTTATCTAAAATCTTTCAGAATCATTGAGAAGAACCCGAGAAGCTCCGAAAAGTCAATCTCCTAGAAAGTTCGGTACTTTGTTTTCGAGACCAAAAAGTTACTGTAGAAGATAAAAATTCACTGAATTAACTTCAAAAAGCTATAGAAAGTTGTTATAGTCTGTTTGCCACGACTTGAAATTTCCCCGAACGACATTCCGCTGTTCCGCTGCGTGTGTTTGCGAAGCGTCTTTCGAATCTAGGTCACACTTCCATTTGATTGTTACTGCTGTGGGAGCACATGAAATCAGAGTACCTTGATATAAGAAAAAAAAAACTTAAAAGCGCGACCAAGGTTCGAAAAAGAGCGCAGCGGCACAGCGGAATGTCGTTTGGTGAAATTCAAAGTCGTGGTACACAGGCTATACATCAGGAAGTTATTCGGAATCCTTTAGGGACCTCTCCAGCTTCCCGATTCCACTAGAGACACCGGCTCTCTGGCCAATAATAAGCCAGGGAAATGTTAATTAGATGATGCGCAGCTAATTGGATACTCATAACGTGGCTCGTCTGGGAGAATATGCTGATCAGGTTTCCTAGGGTAGCTGATATTATAAAAACTACAAAAAAGTCTCAAATTTGCTATTCCAGGTCATCAACATTAGTTTTCAGAGCCGCACATAATTACGTCATCGACAACTTTCAACGATGGCGTCATGATTCACGAAAAGATTGATAGGTCGAAAACGATGAGTTGTAGGTGATTCATCGCGAGATTGTCGTATAAAGAAGTTTGCGGGAGACTGTAGGGACCACTTTTCTTTTAAGAGAAAAACTGAAGGTCATCCGAATTCGTACAAAAAAGCCCTCTGAAATTTGGGGCAAATTTTTTTTTACCGGTCCCGAAACTCCCAAGCTTCAGAAATTCCTATTTTTGGATAAAGTAAGCCTCAAGGAGATCGCTCAATGAATGAATGTTTATTTCGCTCACAGACAGATCTGTGGCGTGGAGGAAGAGAACCAAGGGCTCAAGGGCTAAAATTTTGGATTTTTCTTCTTGAAAACGAGATTCAGCCTTACAGGAACCATGTCTAGTTCACAAAAGTGAATTTCGAAAATTTTTAAAGAAATTCTAAAACGGAATGTTCACAGTTTTTATATTCAAATTCGGCATAATTATTTTAAAAATCGAAACTGCTCATTTCAACGTTTATATGACCTTATTTTCGTTCAGCTAGATCTCCTGAAGCCGAAAAGTCGAGAAAAAAAAATTCTTTGATTTTTTGAACCATGTTTTAGAAGCCTTCAGTGACATTGTTAAATAATGATAACGCAGAATATTTTTTTAAAAAAATCTTGTCGAAAAATCGCTGTTTTTAGTTGAACGTATTCAACTGGCAATGTGAAAAATGATCTAGATTTTCAATTTTATCAGTTATCAGAATCTTCCAATCTAGTTTTATGCTTATATTGCGGCTTTTCGAAACAAGCTTTTGAAAATATTTTCAGTGTAAAAATCTATAATTTTATTTCCAAGTGATTTTTGCTCTCAAGACCTTCCTAGAAAAAGTTCAGACGAATTCCATTCTCTTCCACCTGCTCCTTTGCAACCGAAGAAAAAACAGAAGAAGGAAAAAGTTGCGCAACTTTCCATCTGCGCGGCATTTTTTGCCCCTCGAGGCGGTCAGAAAGGGAAGAAATAGTATGACTAACCGAGAGACACGCGAGCCAATCACCCTCGGGGAACAGCTGGTCCAACAATGAGAACGAGGGACCTCAAAAGATTTTGAAAAGAAAAGACATCTGGGCAAAGTATTCATTTCAGAATTGGGAATAGTCTGAAATTAAGGAAAAAAAAGTACGTTGGAAAAAATGTTTATGTTTATCCGCCCAAGAACAAGAATATTACACGCTTCGGGTTCAAATAAATATCGACTGGAAATTTAAAGAAAAAATTCGAAATCATTGATTTATTGTTGGTTGGAAGCCACTCGGGACCTGAAAATGAAGACTTTTGATTTTTCAGATATTTCTACGACTATTGAGGACAGATTTCGGCCTTTTTTTCCTTTTTCTGAATTTTTGACCTTTTTCTATAGAAAACCATGAAGTTGGGTGAAAAATAAAGTTCTAATTCTTATAAAAATTCCACCAATTAAAAAAATCTGACTACAACTTACACGTCTTTTTAATCAAATTGATCTCATTAAAAGCCCTTAATTATTCATTCAATGCCAAAAAAATGAATAATCACCCAATTAGAAGTGGTGTCATGCCCTTAGAGAAAACTCAGAAGAAAAAATCAACTGAGAAAGTTTTTTATGCCTTTTCCTATAAACAAAGGTCACAAATTTGCTTGAAATCTAAGAGTTTTTTCAAACTCACAATTAGAAAATTGAACTTCTCCTCAGAAAAGCGAACGCTGAACGGCGTCGGGAATCTCGCCCTTGTGATCTTGCATCTGAGCCCGAGCTTCGTAAGTCGCAATGGCAACCTGCAGAAACTCTACCTTTCAAGTGGCTTTTTCAAATTTCAAATTTTTTTTTTTTTAATATCTTTTAGAGCAGACTAACTTCCCCTACTGGTTATTCTATCACATTTTTTTTCCGTGTACATACATGGGGAGACCATTTTTATAGTCCGACAACTTCTTCTATCGAGTTTTCATAAGTACAAGTCAGCAAAACCTACTGAAATTGGAACTTGCTGCGAAAAATTTTAGTGGCCACTATAGAGGCTCGCCAAGGACTACTTGGAGAGGACACTAAAGTGGCCACTCCCAACTATATAGTGGCCACAATTTTCCGTTTTATTGGCCACTATAGAGGTTCTCTATTTAGTGGCCACTTTAGTAGTTTTTCATCCAGTATTCCTTCCACTCTGATCATTTTAAAACAAACAGATTGGACCAGTTATGTTGACCCATTGACCCCTAAAGTGGCCACTGAAATGTTTAATAGTCTAGTAGCAGCTCTAAGACTTCTATAGTGGCCACTAATTATCAACCCCTTAAGTGACCACTATATTGAATACTATAGTGGCCACTAAAACATCAAAATCTTATAGTGGCCACTCAAATTTTCCTCAGTATAATTGTTCAAAAATCGAAGAAATCACTAAAAGTCCAGGAAATTTCAGTTTACAGCCAAAACTTGGCGAAGCTCGATCGTTTTTCAATCGGGGCGCCGCCAGTTGTTGCATCGCATAGATTAACGCCACCCCGATTCATCAGGGATCAACTATACAGCCGGCCACTTTGATCAACATTTTAGCTTATCGTAGGTCAAAAATGAAAGGGAGGGTGAAGCTTGGAATTTTATTAAAAGCTTGTTAAAGGGCCTGGACGATGAATCGGTAAAATCGAGCTTCTTATCACAGAAAAGAAAAAAGGGGAGAAATTTCTCACGGTTCCTTGAATTTCGGTCAATGTACTCTCTTTCATGTGCCAGAGGAAGTTTTTTAGCATGCTTATAAGCCTATTTTTCGTAATATAAAGAGACGAAGTCTAAAAAAACATCAAAAAGCGTAAAAATAGGGAATTTTCCGACTCTGAGCTTTCCTCTGTCGGACTTTCCGACTTTAAGCTTTCTCGAAAAAAGAGACTTTCACATCTTGAGGCTTTCAGAATCTTTTTAATACATACTTTGTTTGTAGATCATAAATTTTGGTATATTCTGTCCTATTTTCGAGAAATTCCGAACCGAGAGGTAAAATGAGCTCACTCAGCTTCAAGAAGTCATATTTTCAACCTCATCATCTCAAATCACCGACTTTCTATCGAAAAGACTTTTTCTTCTTTTCAATATTTTACAACTGAAAAGATCATAAAATGGGTAGCGAAAAACGTCGTTCGCTCGTAATATCCCGTGTCGGCGCAGTTCAAAAGCGCGGAAAGACGTCCGATTTCGCGGTGAAAAACGACTGCCTTTTCAGAAATGGATATGTTGTGCGACAAGCCGTGGGGCAACATGCAATTTTCATTTCCAGCCGAGGAGCGTATCGTGACCGTTGACGTTATATGGGTTGGCTTATAAGAGATTTTGGATTAGGAAAGGGGTCGAAAAAGCAGTAAAGAATTATAATAAAGGTGAGAATTCTTTAAGTCTAACAACTAAGTCAAAGAACTTCACAAAGCCAAAAAAAAACTTTTTTATTTTTTTTTTGTTTCTTGCCTTCATCAGTCAAAAAAAGGTTTTTATATAATATTATTTATTTACAGGCAGAACAAAATAACATGTACAGAAAAAGAGAAAAAAATTTGGCATTAAGCCTGAAATAAATAAATAAAAGGCACTTGAGGCCCTCACGAGCCTCTGAGCCAGTAATGAAAGAATAAGAGGTGAGGATTGCGCAAAGGTAAAAAATAAGTGAATGGTAAAAGAAAGCATTATAAGTTATGACACAGTGTAGCACAGGTGAATGGGGAATTTAATTGTTTGTAATGATATAGACGCGCATAAGATGGATTAGAGTAGGGCTAAAGCACGGGTACCTGGTTCAACGGAGTCTGCTGGGAATAGATCCAAAAAGGAAATTGTTATCGAGGGATAGTAACAAAGACCTGAAACGATCTGGAGAAACATTGAGGTTTCCCAATGTAGCCAGTTTATTCCAAAGAGGGATGAACGTCTCAAAGAAATTTTCGAAACGAATCCCTACTCTGATAAGACGTGATGGAGCACGTACCGAATTTGATCTCCTGAAAAACACTGTGAGAAACTGGCAAATGACTCTCCTTAATATAGATTTTATGTAGTGTTCTTAGACAAAAATTCGACTCGTCTTCTAAAAAAAGAGTTTGTGTTAATCTGAGCTAACCTGTCTTCATAACTAGAAAAACCTAATGTTTGATCTCATGAATGTTTGGCGAGTAAATTGACGGAAGATGTTTTTCGAGGGTGTAAGATAGTTCTGAAGCTAGGGGGGACTGAACAACTCACAACAGTAGTCCATATAGGGAGCAACGTAAAAGGTTCTGAAAAAAACTTGAACCAGAGTAAAAAAAAAAAAAAGAGGGAATCGTGAGCTATTTCAAGGAAAGTCCTTAATTTCTCAAATGTCAAATTTTTTTCTAATGACATATCGGTTATTAGAGAATATATTATCTCAAAAACCGGACTCAAGTTCAATTTCTTTCTCTCTCTCTCTTACAGTTCAAACCCAAACTTGACCCTAAAAATTTATAAAAAATGAGTCGAGAAAAATTTTTTTTGAAAAAAAGGTTAGAACGGCGTCAAAACAAGCCAAAAAGCGTAATTTTTAATATGTTTCAGGAAAAACCCGTTTTTGCCAAATTTCAGAATTTTTTTCTAATGTTATGCCGGTTGTTAAAGACTATACTAGCTCAAAAAGAAAAGTCCAGTTTATTTCTTTCTTTTTGCACCATTTCAAATTCAAAATTGACGCAAAAAATGATATCAATCGCAAAAAGTTCACAAAATTAAGCTCAAAAAGTTTTTTTTTTACCTCCAAAAAGACGTGGTAACCGGCAAAAGAGGAATTTTTTTTTTAATATTTCAATAAAACCATATTTTTCCCAATTTTTATAACATTTTTCTCTAATGCCATGTTGTTAATTAGACTCAAAACACGACTATTCTTCCTTTTTAATTTCTTTCTTTCTCTTCACTACGGTTCAAATTCAAACTTGGCGCTGGAAATTTGAGACTTTTGCGAAAAAAGTCAAAGCGATGCCGAATTCAATGGGACAAAGGTTGGGGCAAAAGATCCTCTCCGGGCATTCAAAGAAGTTGGAAAGGCGACGCTCCAAAGTTTGACCAGAGTCTCTCTTTTTTGAATTTGTTTCAAGTTTTTCCTTTTTTAGAAAAGAGGGATCCTAAGCTATCAAAGGAACTTTTTACAGAGCTTCTAAATGCGATTTCAAAATGATTCCGCGAAATTTAGAAGAGCAGTAAGAGGGTGAAGAAGATAACAGAATTTTGGAACTTTTATTAATTATTTTCTTTTTAAATCGTCATTTTCAGAAAGTTCTACACCAATGCCAAGAAGCCAGGCAGCTCCGCCACACCGCCCACCATCCTTTGGTTCGCTGACAGGTTGGTGTTGATCATTTTTTGCACTTGATCTTTAGCGTTTCAGTTCCGAGTAAAATTATCAGTACGGTGAACGTCAAACGACAAGTTTGTGAAGCGATGATGCAGAGTAAGTTCAAAAAAAAGTCTTATTTTGAAAAAAAAAATTTGGTCGTCCAGCAGAGCCAAAAAGTTGACTACAGGAGTAGACCACGCTGAATATTCAAATGAAACGCTTCTTTATGTTCCATTAGAGACTATATTAGCTCAAAAAGACAAGTTCAATTTCTTTCTTTCCTTTTGTACCCAGTCAAAATTGACGCTAATAATAAACTCAATCGTAAAAAGTTCACAAATTTGAGGTCAGAAAGTTTTTTTATCTCAAAAAGACGTGATAAAAAAACCGAAAAGGGTATTTTTTTCATACATTTCAAGAAAAAGATTTTGTTTCTAAATGTATAAACTTTTTTATGTCAATCTGGTAATTAGAGACTATACTCGCTCAAAAAGCCGAATCAATTCAAATTCCTTTCATTCTCTTCGCTACAGTTCAAATTCAAACTTGGCGCTGGGAATTTGAGAATTTCGCGAAAAAGTCAAAGCAATGCCGATTTCAATGGGACAAGGGTTGATGCACAAAATCCTCTTCGGACATACAAAGAAGTTGGAAAGACTCCAAAGTTTGAAAAATGTCTTACTCTTATTTCATGATAGCTCTTCCCGGATAATTTTTACAGTTCTTCTTCTTCTTCTTCTTACGACTTTGTACCGCTTGAGCGGCGTCGGCGCCCCAAGTCGATTAGCCGAGGTCCTATCCTGATTATCAGTGAACTGGCTCTAGTGACATATCCGGGATTTTGAAGTCGTGGTTTCCCACTACCAACATTTCTTAAACCCCTTGGTTGGGTCGGGGATCGAACTTGTGACCCTGTGGACCGTAGAAAGGAACACAACCTGTTGCGCTACGGCGCGCCCATAATTTTTCCAGTTATTCCCTCAAAATAAAGCTACGAACCCTCTGGCGGAATTCGTGCTGAAACTCTCCCCGCAGGCCGATGTAGTAGACGCGCGTGACGTCGTCGCCGAAATTCTTCTCAACCCAGATGCTCAAATGAGTCACATTGCTGAATTTTGACGCCTTCAATGGATAATCGACCACTCCTGAACATAGAATCATAACGAAAAACGAAAAATTGATCAGGATCCTTTCTAAACGCGAAGAAAAACTTTATTTCAGATTATTTTTCAAACCACACGGACAAATTCCAAAAGGACCTAAAAAGAACTTTCTTTTTGTCGATCTTTCTCAGAAAAGGACCTTTTCAGAAGAAAATAAGGAGATCTCGAGAAAAAATTTGACACCTTTTTAGGAACTCAGAACGGAGCTCTAGGCTCTTCTTTTTGAGGAACTTTGGACTTTTTCCGTAAAAAAAGGATTATTTTTTTATGAAAATTGACCGAAAAAAATCGAAAAATTTTAAGATGGAAATTTCGGATAATTTTGTAAATTTATTTTTGAAAAAAAGAGCCTCAAACTTCTCTGAATGATTTGTACTTTTCAATCAAATTCTAGATCCTAAAAAGGGCCAAAAATTGCATTTGTGTGTATTTTCGTTGAAATGAAGTTTGAATTTAGATCCTAGAAATGGGCGACCCGGATTTCACTTTTTCAAAGTTCTTACGCACAAAATTTCTATGGGTTTTCGAAATTTCTTCGAATTCGGAACATATTTCAGCGCAAGGATCTTCGCTAGGATCTAGACGTATATCAATTGTTGAAAAAATATAAAATCAAAAAGTGCCTTAATGAACTTCACACGAGAAAACAATCAATCAACAAAAAACCATTGAAAATCCGTTAACTCTTGAATCTGATTGTTCACCGTCAAAGAAATGTTCAAACTTCAGATTTATTGTCAAAATACAGGAAGAACAACACGAATTGCCATCAACCAATAATAATCAAGGATACAAATAAGTTTACAAAGTACAGAAATAAATGACAAGGGAAATAATTTCACGGATGAGAATTTCCTGAAAATTGGTCAGATTGCTCCATAAGGTACCAGATGAAGGCTTCAAAAGTCTCAGGCTTTGTAAATTTTGAACTTTCGAGTTATGTGGACTCACAGATTCCAAATAGCTCATTTCGACGGATTTTGTTGGTTTTTTATGACTGGGAGACACTTTTTCAAGAGGATAGAAAATTTCTCAAGTTGAGACTTTTAGAGCCTTTATCTAGTGAATCGAGGAGCATTCTGGCCACTTTTCAGCAGAGCTGTGTTCTGGGTCATAGCGTTGCAAAGCGGTCGACAATTTGCCACTTTTCCAATATTTTCATTTCGAAATTTTCACAGAGCGTGTGATCGAAAAAGTACTATTTACAAAAAGTTATGTGATGTTAAATTTAAAAAAAGATAAAAAAATTCCCGTGGACCGATTCGGCCATCAGCCTCAGCTCTGGTTTTCAAGCAATTTCCAGCTTAATCTAGAGTAATCGTTTCAGTATGTTTCAGTTTATTTTCCGTATAAAACGCCTGTCGACGAGTCGGCCAATCGGGAAGTGATTGTCCAGCGTACATACGCCGATGTTCGTTGACTGGATCGGAGTCCGGGTAGATGAGAGAAACGCAGGCGAGGAGCTGATCATAGCGAGTCCATTCCTTGAAGGAGGAAACGACTCGAATTTTTTGAGCCGCTGCGGGTCCCGTGTGGATAGGTTTGGGCGAGTCTTCGCCTTCAACGAGCAGAGCCCAGAAGGGCGTGCCTTGAGCCGCCATCGAGATACTTTCCGTTGGGATATCATGCCGATGGGTGATCAGGTCAATGAATTGGTTGAAACGGTGGCGGATTTTATAAGCTACGGGCGTGTAGCCTTCTTCAGTTTGGTGCGGCGCGTGCTGGGCGACCGGAATCAATCGGACGGCTCCGTCGCAAACCTTGCACACGCCGATGTTGTTGATGACTCTGGCTAGTGGACGGATCAGACGAATTCTCGGGAATCTGTTCTCGGTGATGGGTTTTTCGCTTGCCATTGCTACCGAGATTATTTGCAGCCTCGAGCGTAAAATGTGCCTTAAAGTCGAACTTTGAGTCATAAGGCTTTGATTAAAAATCGTGGGTCGAAAACAGTGAGACAAAGTTATTTGCATGTCAGCACAATAAATTCGAAATTTTCAAGAAGGAAAGTATTTTTATGGTCGGATGAAACTTTGATGAGACTTGCTTCTAGTGTACTTCAACACTTTCCAGGAAAGAGCATTTTTAATCCAAAATTCTTTTTTTTTTTCAAAGATTACCTCCCAAAAGCTTGTAAAACGGTACTTTTTTCGAAATGTGTTCAGTTTACGAACACATTAAAGCCTAAACTAGAAAAAAAAAAAAATTAATCATTCGTTTTAAATACCACTACTAAAACGAATTCCAGTGGTATCTTGAAAATTATGCGCTTGTGAAAAGTCTCACTGATTTGGACCCACAAACGGAAAAAAAATGTTCAGATTTGCCGATTCGAAGGGCATCCTCAGTCAAAAAGTAAGCTTCTAAGAACTAATTCAAAGAAATTTGTTTTTCTTTTGAAAAAGGAAACTTTAAAGTTCTTGATACTTTCAAGTTTCCTCTCTAGTAAATCAAAACTTATTCTGGCGGATTTTCAGAAAAGATCCAAGCCGCAAATCAAACTTATACCGTGTAAAAAGTGATTCCGCAAAATTAAAAATAGACGTCAGAGAGTGGAAAAGAGAACAAAATTTTGAATTTTTCGAAAATCACTGTTAATACGGAATCAACTTCCTTCTCGACATAAAATGAAACAAAACCGGCAAATTTGAAACGTTTCAAATGAAAATCTGGAACGAACGTGATGAACCAGCAAAAGTCCCTCTGGTTGATCGCCTTGTAATCGATGATGTCACACAAACTGGCATACAGGTCGTTGGAAAAGCCGTTAATCCGTTCATCCGGTATAGTTATTCGAATATCCGTCGTCCATGGAACCAGGGTAGGTTGATGGAAATCTTCGATGATAGGCTCATACGGGTCTAGAATTCAGAACAGTTTACAAAATGTTGTAGCTAGGAAATTTTCTGATAGTGTAGAAGAAAAATATTTAAACGCAAAACTTCAATAAAAAGATTCACAAAAACTAAGAAGAAATAATTGAATGAAAAGTTTCATTTCCGAAAGTTCTCTGCGAACGTGTTTGAAATGAAAATTCAGAAAAGGCTCTTTTTTTTCAAAGGCAAAGTCTGAATGGTCAAAAAAGGCTTCATAGAAATTTTTTTTAAGTTTACAAAGGCAACTTTTTGCAGTACTTTTGCGCCATGTTGCATGCACCATTTTTAAGTCATTTTAGAAAGAATAAAAGTCTCGATAAAAGGGCTTGTTTTGCTGCCCTTTTTTTTAAAATCTTTCTTTTAACGGCCATTATCGAACATTCCGACTTCGCCCGAATTCGCTGCGGTAGTTGCCCAATTTTTAGCGCACTTTTTCGAGTCGTAATAATTTTTCTTTACCAGTAAAAGTTTCGTATCGAGAAAAAAAATTTTCTAATTCATTTTTTTATTGTCGGAGCATAGAAAGAAAAAAGCCAACAGCGAAAAAAATACATTTATTTAACAAGAATCAATAATAAAAAAATAATTACAAAGTTTTGAGTGATAAATAAGTACAATTAGAAGATATGAGTTAGACAATAGAGAAGCCACGATCAAGCTTCGGTATAAAAGCGAGCTCTTCGGGTGGGCCAATCGTTATAGAAATAACCATAGAACAAACTTCGTGAGTTGTTAACAAAATCTATGTCGGGTCCAAGGAGAGTGACACAAGCGAGAAGCTGATCCATGGGCAATACTTCACGGAAACTCATCCGAACTCGAAGAGTGTGACACTCGCGAGTGGGAATTAAATAATCTCCTCTCTCTACTACCAACGCCCAATAGGTATTGCCTCGAGGATCTGGAGAAACAGGAATCAACGGCATTCCATGGACTCTCAGAAGCAAATAGGAGAGCTCTTCGAAACTGGACAAGACACGAAAGAGGCTTGAATCAAACGATGGGTCTTGTTCGATGGGACCTTGCTGGGCACAAGGAATCAAATTGACGGCCCCTTCGCACACTGTGCACATGCCGATGTTGTTGATGACTGTGGCGAGTGGACGAGGCATGCATATCGGTGAGTACGCAATATAGTCAGCTGCTGCAGGGGCCGGGACAGGAGCTCGGGACATGACTACGTACAGCCTCATCCGTAGTAGGTATCTGTGAAAAGAGGGCTTTCATTTTCGTTTTTTTTTGGTCTGCATATTTCATTCACGAAAACTGGAAAGAGTCTGATCTGCCTGCGTCTCTTTTCTCTTAACCGGTGTGGCCACAGAAACATGAAAAACGAGCGTTGCTGATGCCGTGTTCAGAGTAACTTCCGCAAAATTGAAAAGGAGAGCGCAGAAAAACCAGGCCGTTCCAAGTCATGGCGAATGAACCTCAAGTATTTAATATTAATCAGTAAGTTCCAAATTTATGATAAATACTGTTTTTGTGAGACTACTGGTAAAAAACAACAAAGTTTTGAACGAACTTCATAAGCCAGGTGAGGTCAACTAGGGAAATGGGGATTCCTGAACCGTGGCCTAACTGCTCCAGAGAGTAACCGATAAAGTCATAAAAGTCGGCGGCAACTCCAACGATCTTCTCATCAGTTATCGTTATTACAGCGTTTGACTCTTGAACAATTGGGGAGCCAAGTTGTGTCATTAGACGCGTGCACGGGTCTAGAAACTGGGATCTATTACATTCTGACGAAATTTTGAAAAATTATATCAAGCAAAAATAATTCTTAACAAAAAAATTTAGGGATAATAAAGAAAAAAATAAAATGTTTTGAAAAACAAAAAAATAACGAAAAAAATGGTTCGAAGGTCGCTACAGCGTTTTGCGCAGACAACCGAGCTTACGAAAAAAAAAATTCTGGGTGTGGTATCACGCAACTTCCCGAACAAAAAAAGAAAAATTGCGCTGACCGACAGAAGTTGATCCTCACGGAAATTTTTAAACTAATTTTTCTAATTTTTCCATTTCAACTTCCTATTTGAAATCCGTTCACCCATTCGCTAGATATATTCGATCAGTTGAACTTTATGTATTTTTAAAATATATTATTCAAAACAAACCATTTGCATCCATTTTCAAGTCGATCTCCTGGTCAGCCTCAACTCGGCAATCATCAAAAGACAACTGAAATTACCATCTTATAGGAAATTTCATCGTAATTTCCAATGAAATTCCTACTAACCGCTTCGCGATCTTTGAAAAGGCGCACTCTAGCCGGATGCGACTCGTTTTCGTCACCGGAGATGACGATTCCGTTGATGCGAACGTGGCCCGTGAACGGGATGTTGAACAACAACTCCTCGTCGCAGTCGCTCTCGACGAACGTCGATCTGTTGAACCGTTTTTGTGAAAATTGATTTTTCACGATAAATAATTTTGAGCAGAAGGGGAATAAAAAAAATTCTCATGCATTAAAAAAATGGATATAAATAGCCGATTCCGCGCCAGCTTGTCACGTTTTTCTTTCCGCCAAAAAAACCGTATACCAAAATAGATCAAATTCGACCAACTTCGCTTCACGAAAATTTGCTTTTGTTTTTGTTTCTTTTTTTCAGCTAGCGCGGAATGGCCTATGAAAAATCACTGCGAGAGCTATTCAAATTGAACTTCCTCGTTGATTAAAAATAAGAAGAAAATTGTATGTTTTCAATTGCCATTTTGTTGGTGTCTAATTTTTAAGCCGTTAGAAATCTATACATGAGCTTTCGCGTAATATTTAATAATTGTCCTGAACTCATCAATAACAGAAATAAACAATGAATAAAATGAAAAGAAGAATGAAAAAAAAAACAAAATTTTGGGGCGCGCCAAAAATCAAAAATTGGGAGCCGATTGCGGTGGAGCGCACTTACCTCTGGAGGATTTACTGATAAAAATTTCAGGATCAATTTTTTTTTTCGTTGTGATTGTTTTTCAACTGAAGCTCCACGAGAATTCAACAAACAAAGAAAATTTTAATATTCGTGAAATTGTTTTCCAATTTCTGAAAACCTGTACATTAACATCCCCCGAAGATAATACAACAAATCCATTCACATCTTCACCCTGTAATTCTCTACTCTTATCACTAATCAATCAAATCGGCAAGATAAATGGTCGATAAGGACAAACGGACCGATCGTTTTTCCCCTCCATCGTCTTGAACACCGATTTGCCGCTGCCATCGGTGACCTCGTTCAGAACGTTCAACTGAAATTTTCATAGTCCTCGAAATTTCACGATCAAAAATCATTGATAAGGTATATAAAGGAGCATAGCCTATTTTCACAAAGGTCTCAAGACGAAAAGCCGTTTTAAATGCATTTTTTAAATGCATCAGATTTTGCAAGTATTCGAGAACTTTTAGGTCTCGAAAGCTCGGGATAAAACCTACTTCAAGACATACAGACTGTCCGAAAATCCTTCCTCAAGTTATTTAAAGGAGCATAGCCTGATTTTAAAAGGGTTTTCAAAGGAGCATAGGCGAATTTCACAAAGGTCTCGAGGCGAAAAGCCGTTTCCAGTGTTTTTTAAAGGTTTCCAAGCGCTTTAAAACATTCTAACTACGATTTTCCACAGACTTAATGAATTTCGAGCCTAAATTTCTTGAATATGCTGAAAATTCAGAGTAAAAAGGTTGCAAAATTCATGAATGCCTTTTTATCGAGTTAAAACCTTGTCAAAGTCAATATAATTCCTCAAATCGTATCGGGTTCCTTCCTGCGCCGTTCCGATCGCCTCAGCTTCATGAGAACAATCTCCGCTGTGCTTATGGTCACACATTCCGTAAAACAGCAGTTGAATAAACTTTTCAAAAATTAGATCAAGAAGAAACTTCAATTGGAACTGAAACCTACAGTGCAAAAGTACAGATTTTAAAGAGGATATGTTTATTGATTTCAGAGAAGAACAAAGGAACAGAAAAAAGTGGAAAAGTGTGACCATTTACTGATTTCATTGGGGAATAGCACAATCCAGGATTGGAAAAAGGACCCACAATTGACTCATGGTTGAATTCCTCGTAGTGGAAAAAGGGGGGTTAGGGGAAATTGTTTCTAATCTCGCTTTCAAGATACCCAATAAGTATGTAACAATATAATCAAGGTAATAAGTTAAGGAATTTTTTTAAGATCGTGACTAGGGGAAAAAAAGGACATTGAGTGAGATTGCGTGCATTATGCTTTCAGATTTTTGATGATAATATAAAGAATAACAGAGGATGAAATACAAGAAAGAAAGAAGGACGGTGATTATGGATACAGATAGGAGGGGAAAAACTAGAAAACAGTTAAGAAAGGACAGTTGGAGCCTTCTTTCCATTCAACAATCGTTCTGTTGAATAGCTTTTCCGGACGCCTGTTTGAACCTTGTCCTCGTAAACTCGGCTCAAAGCCTGAAAAAGTCCAATTCTTATTTTCTAGGCATAGGCAAAGTTGGGAGGACCCTTAAGGGGCCCTTTAAACGTCCGTTATGGATCAAAAGATCCCCATTAATTTTTCCTTTTTTTACGGTCTCCTTTTCACTGCCTTTTTCCGCCCTTTATCCACCTTTTTTGGACTCTTTGATAAACACAAAAAATTTTTTTAAATTTATAATAATCTTTACTAGTGACTGTGTATGGACCAAAATATACTACAGTATAAAAATGGGAAATAATCAATGGCCGAGACTTTTGACTTCATAGGCAAAGTCGGAAAGACCCTTCACGGGCCCTTTGAGCGTCCGTTACGGATCCGTCTGTTTCCATTAATTGTTCCTTAACGGGTGGCCGAGATTTCCTTTTTACTGCCTTTTTGCGTCCTTTCATCGGCCTTCATCCACCCTTTTTGGACCCTTTTGAGAAATACAATTTTTTTTAAAATTATGAGTAATCTTTACAAGTGACTGTGTATGAACCAAAATAAGCTACAGTAATAAAATCGAAAATCATCAATAACAGAGACTTTTAGAACCTTTTTGCATCCTCACTCTTTCTTCACCCTTATTGCGGCCTCTCCCTTTTTTCGCCTTTTTATGAGCTTTTTTAGCCCACCAAGAATGAAAGGCTCAAAAAAGGCCGTAAAAGGGGACCCTTTTAGCGGCCATTTTGCAGTCACTCCCTTTTTGCACCCGTTTTTCGCACTTCCGACTTTGGCAGTGTTTGGCAGTGGGCTCAAAGTTCATGGCCGCACTGGGAACGGCTCAAAAATTCTCACAGAATCGCGCCGAAAAGGCTGTTTCAAAATGGATGAACTCATTTTTCAGCCCCGACCTGCGCCCTTGAAAATCTATCATTGGGAGAATTTTCAATTTTTTATTCAGATTTGAAAACTATTGAGACAAAGTCGATCAAACTCTTTCGATGTTTTTATTTAAATAACGCTTTTTTATCGAATTTTCTGCATTGAAATGCTTCTTCATGATCGACTAGCATGTCCCCTATAGGGGCTAATTTTGCAAGCTTTAGTGGGCCTTATAGGGGGAGGTGAAGTGGTCCCTAGAAGGGAGCCTTCCACTTGAACTGTAAAAACTTGAGTCAATAATCTCCATGCCGCAAAAAAAATTCTATTTTATTTAGATAAAGCCCTTCTAAATCATCATATCCGCTTTCAAAAAATTCAGGAAAAGGAAAGATTTTTTCAATTTCCAAATGAAACTCGATTTATATAATAGGTACATAGGTAACACTGAAAAGTTCCTCTGAGGATCCTTAAAAGATCCTGAGAGGGAGATAAAAAGCTTCCTCTAAAAGCTCCTAAAATGATGTAAAAAAGCTTTTGAGCACCTTTTTCATAGCCTCAGAGGATCCTTTTTCTGAAATGATGTAAAAAAGATCTGTTGGGGACCCTTTCAAGATCTTTTTTTGAGAAAAGCTTTTGGGGAGCTTTTCAGTTTTGCCCGAGTACCTATTTCGTAGAACCCAATTTTTCTTCATTTTTATTATCAACTTCTCAGAAACTTGTCAAACTTCTAACAAGTTAAAAAAAAACTCTTCAAAATTGTTTAGAAAAAGAAGCTCAAAAAATGTATAACCTCAAGTTTCTTGGCCCGTTCATTGTACAATGGCCTCATGGGGAGTTGAAGATCATTTGCGATGGCCAGAGTTCGAAGGTCGAAATAATATTTCGCGTACACTGATGAAGGCACCTGGAAAAAACAGGAAATTACAGGGATTTAAAGAAAAAATTAACCTCAATATTGAAATCCAAGCATTCCAGGAAGCGTCTTTCAAGCTCGTTCCTGAAAATATGAACTTTAGGCTCGAAGAAAAGGTTTTTTTTCCGGAAAAATCCATATTTCCCAGATTTTACTGTAGTACAGAAAGCTATTATTTTCTTCCTATTTTCCTGTGTGTTTCTCCAGTTTCTTAAAAACCCCAGAGTGGTCTCCCAAAGCTTGCAAAGTAACCACTTCAGGGGTTTCGGCTAGCGGTCCCTACGGAGAAAAGGCTAATCTTTCATCTTTATGAGCTTTATGAGAACACGCAATTCGATGCGTATAACTCAAAAAGTTAACGTTTTTCCAATGAAAAAAAAATCGACAGAGGGCTAATTTATAAGTTCAAAAAATAGTAATTTTCCCCTTCAAACATGAACAAAAAAAAATAATAGGCCCTACAAGGACCGCTTAGGCTTTGAGGGTTTATGAGTCAAACTCCTATAGGGACCTCTCGAACTTACCCCTCTAGGTGACACTTTTTTTGTATTCCATAGCGACTGTTTTACCCTAACTCCCCTAGGGACCACTCTGCCGTTCTTAAGTGACGAATTATGAAGCTCCAGGAACTTAGGGGTCAGAATCTACACTCCTATAGGGACCAACTAGACTTTACCCCTATAGGGAGCTCTATTTTGTTGCTTAAAGGGACTTTAAGTTTCCCCTAACCCCTCTAGGGACCGCTCTACCGTTCCTTAGTGTGATTTATACAATAAAAAAATTGAACTAACATGTCATCAACATTGGTATCTTGAAGGATTTGGCAGTAATCGACGTTCCAGACGGCCTGATCGTCCCAAACTTTCGAGGAGAGCATTATCGAGCCGAGGACGACACGACGCCAATTCGAAGGACACAAATCCATTTCGGCGTAGTTCAAAAGCCGCTCAATGTATACCTGAAAACTTACGTTTCATTCAAAAAGTGCTTCCAGAAACTATTTTTGGATGGAATCTACATAGAAATGAACAATTTTTTGATAAAACTCTCATATTTTAATGATATTATAGATTCATTTTTTTCACAAGGAAAAAAACTGTCATTGAAAAAAATCGAAAGATAAGAGATGATGTCTGAAAAAAATTAGGATTTTTAATCGATATTTCTACAATTATACATGAGTACAAAGCTTTTTTTAGAACTAATTGAGTTTTTTTCGAAGATTTTTGTGTAGGTTCCCCCACTAAAACGGACCATTTAAATCTTTTTTAAACTTCTTTTTTTCGTAAAGTTACCGAGGGCCATTTTTAGGATGCAACAAACTTTATTAAATTTAAAAAAAAACTTGAGACAGAAATTTTTCGGCCAACTACAAAAAAATTTAAACCCAAGCTTATCCAAATTCAAAACTGGATATTGAGATTTACAAATTATGAAAATCGTGATTTTGAGAATTTTTACAGGCGAAAAAATCGTTTTTTTTTCCACATTTTCGTACGAAAAGCCTTCAATCTTCAGCTTTTTTTATTTTCTTTTCCGCTTAAAAAACTTCAGATTTTCCTAGTTTTCGCCAGATAAATCAACAGCCCACCCATGTAATGATAGTACATTTAGAAAAAATAATAATAAGAAAAAAAACCAGTTTGAGAAAAAAAAACTTCTGAACATTACTTACCAAAAGCCTTAAATCTTCAGATTTTCCTATTTTCTTTTTCGCTTTAGAAACTTCAGATTCTCCCAGTTTTTGACCAGATAAATTAACAGCACACTAATGTAACGATAGTACATTCAGAAAAAAAAACTATCAGCTAGTGAAAAACAAAATTTCTGATCATTAACATACGAAAAGCCAGAGGTGGAGAAATGGCGCCCCTAAGCGTTTTCAAACGTTTACATTTCTAAACCGATGTAGGCCGCCATGGCCATTTCTTGATAAGTCGCTGCCCAGGGCGCCCGGGGCCAAAACCGCGATGGCAAAAAAACGCCATTGGAAGAAAAAGAACGCGCAAAAATTGGAATCTTTTAAAACCTTGTAAAATCGTTGTTTTCGAAGCTTTTAAACAAGGTTTTTTGAATTTCCAATTGGGTGGCGACGGAAGTTTATTCTCTCACTAGTCAGCGGGTTCGGGACCATAAATCTGGAACATTTCGCCTAAAGAAAAGAACAAATATAACCGTACCTTACATAAAAAAATTCACTGGACATCATATCCACTGAAAAATTAAAAAAATTATTGAAAAAATTGCGAAATCCACGATTTGATGAAAAATGAACAAAAATGACTATTTTCGCCCTACTTTTGCAACGTGGTATTATACGCCATCGAAACATAATGACGCGGCTCATTTCTTCTCAGAGGCCTGATGGCTGAGGCGGGCATGTTGCGCCCTGGAGGGCCCCTCATTTCTTCCACCTCTGCGAAAAAGCCTTCATTTCTCAGCTTTTTTTCTAGCCTTTTTTTCTTTCAAATCTTTATAATTTTTTTAGATTTTTTTCATTTTTTTAGCCAGGTGAATCAATAACCCACCAATGTAATGATAGCACATTCAGCGGTGAGCCTCGCCGATTGGAACAAATTCCGAACGAATCGATAAATTTGCCGATGATCCGGATCTTGGGTCACCAACTCTGGGGCCATAGCTTTTCTCTTTAAAATCATTCTTGTGATTTTGGATTTTTCCAAAATTCTCACCGTTATTGGGTGTAGCCTCTCTTCGAAAATCTCCATTAGCCTCTCGTGACCACGATTTTTTCGGTTGGCTATGTGATAATAAATGGCCAGGGAGATACATTTCATGGCGTTTTTCAAGTTCGGCTGGGTTATTGTTGAGTCATCTGAAAATGGAACGTTTGGGGATTAGATTCCAAAAATCGGACAAAATTAGAAAATCTTTGTTTTTCCTTCTAATAAGGGGAATAACCTTTCATGGAAAAGTCAGAAATTCCTATCAAAAATTTTTCAGAAACTAGGAAACTAATTTACAACGTAGCTAAGCATGGCGTGTTCAAAGTAATTTCGAAAAAAAACTGAAAAAGATAACTGATTTTTGGAAAGTCAGAGAAAATTTCACTTTACTCTGACAGCTATTTTTTTATATCTGTAATTCCCTTTGATGACAAAAATTAGCTATGAAAGCATGGAAATTGAAAAAAAGAAGGTTGAAAAACTATTAAAAATTTTCCTTGGACCAAAAAAAAACTACTTAAACGTCTAAAACTCTCCTTTCAGCACACTATTTCGCTACCCGTGTCAAGACCATCATCAAATATTGTCTTAAGCCTGTCGTGAATGAATGAACTATGCGTTAAGGACGTTTATGCGTAATTTTAAAAAGAGATTTTACGATCCCAACTTATAAATAAAAAAATAAAAATATTACAAATTTAAACTAGGACTTTGAAACGGGAAAATGATTTTCAAACACATTTCAGTAAAAAAATCACAAGATCTCTGAAAAAGATAATGAGAACTCTAAATTTGATTTTTGAAGCTACGGGAAGCAAAAAAATTATAAGAAATGCTACATTTCCCGTATTTTACTTAAAATTGAAGGAAATAATCCCGTTGGTACTGAAAATATAGATGAGCGCGGAATTTTAGCAAGAGAAATGATTCAAAAGATAGGATTTCCGTCAGAAAAAAAAATGGAAATCATGAAAGCAAAATAAGGAAAGAAGCTTTCAATCTTCTCGAAAATAAAAACAAGCAAAAGTTATTAGAAAGACAAGAAATTTTTTTAAATTATTTCTCCAATAAAAATAAAGAAAAATAACCGTTTCTCATAAACTAACCGATAAAAATGGTACTACAACTGCTGGATTTCCTCAAACTCTTGAGAAGAAGCGAATGAGGCCCGCCATGATTCGCTAGTGCATCCAGTGCATAGCAAGATCTTCGATTGTCCTTGACTGAAAGTTAAAAAATTAAATTTATAATAAATTTTCCAAGGAAACGTTTCATTTCGCTCCGACTCCTCTCCATGAAAGTTGGCCGTGCTGTGGGGTGAGTTGATGGATCTTCTTCGTAGCCTCAATTTTCAATTATATAACAATATTTCATTATTTTTAAAACCTTCTGGAACATCCCGCTCGCTGATATGCGGCAAAAAGTTGGTGGAAGTCTCATCGCGCGGGAACGACTGATTCACATATTGGAACTAGGATGTTAGGATAATCGAACGAGAAAGTGAAGTAAAACCTCGAGTTGGTTAGTGCGGATGTACTGGCCGTCGTGCACGTGAGGCTTGTCTTCGCTGCTCGATGAGCTGTTCCGGAGACAACAGGACGAATTACCCATGATCAGAAATTTTCTATATTTTTCGCAGTTTTTCGATAATATTTCTAAATGATCACCTCAGACCAATTCACTAAAACATACGATTGAGCACATATCCTGAAATGGGATCATTAAACCGCGATAAAACGCAAAAGTCGAGTCAAATTTCAAGTGCCGGATTCAAACCGAAAATGAGGAAAACGAATTTTTTCAAACTAATCAATGTGCTTCAGACTACGCGTTAATTTAGAAACGGCATGAAAAGATTAGATAGGTAATAAGAAACAGAGCAAAATGAGAAAAAGTTGCAAAATTCGAGGAAAAATCCGATTGGTGGGCGGGGCTTCTCCGACTTGCAAATCGCGCGATGTTTTCTAGTGCTGACGCGGCATTGTTTCCATAGAAATTTTTTATTTCTTTTCATTTTTGATACAATTCTTATAAGGTCCATTTTGCTTCAACGTGTTTTTTAACTAATCAAAGACATTCAAATCGTTAGCTTCCAGACGTCAGATTCGTGACTTTTCGTAAAATTATTTTCTTTATGTATTTTTTTAAATCTTTAACATTATCTTTTTTATTTGAGGTTTTCATTATCCTTGTTTCACTCCAGATTGTGATAATTACACACTATCAAAGAAACTATGTTTTTCATTTTTCAGAAATGCAGTGGTTTGCCGGGAACGTAAATACTGCGATTCAAGTCTCGCGCAAGAATGGTGCCTTATTGATTGTTTACATCAACTCTGATGATGAAAAAGGCCGAAAAATGAACGATTTGTGGGATCAGGTGGATTCAACCATCCTGGCCTGCCCCGTTGTTGGCATTCGTTTGCAACAAGGCGATCAGTCCGCTCTGCAGTTTGCGGAAATTTGTGAGATCATATATAGTTGAAAAAAATGATGGAATGAGGTTAAGATCCAACTCCGATCGTGCCAGCCAGTTATATAATTGATCAAGAAGGAAAGCCACTGGAAATTATAACCTTGCTTCAAGATTTGTCCTACGATTCTTTCCGTTCCAAGATCAACAAAGCTGTTGAGGTGGTTTCAGAGGGAAGTCTTAACGAACTTTTTGATTTTTCAGAATTTCTCGAAGAAGAAGAGCTCCGCTGGCCCAGTTTCTCCTAAAAAGGAGGCTAAAGGACCTTCTGTTACAGTTCCTAGTCCGGCTCCGGTGGATCCAGATCTTGAAGAGAAGGTCAAAAGGTATAGTTCTCGAGAAAAATCACTTCTGACATGATAATTTAAGAGCCAAGGAGCTTCTGGAGCAGAAAAAGAAGGCCGAGGCTGAAAGGAAGTTCAAAGAGGACAAGGAGAAGGAACTACAGCGCATCAAGGACATGAAAGCGATGCAGGAAGCTGCGCAAAGTCGAAGGGATAAGGTTTAAAAAAAAACAATTCAGATCAAATTTTATAATATTCAGGAGCTTATTGATGCGGCGGCACAGCGACAAAAAGAAAAAATTGCAGCGGTGAAGGAAAAAGAACGCGTCATGGCGGCGATTAAAGCTGATCGGTTTGATTTTTGTGAAAATTATCCTATTCCAAAATATTTTCTTCGATTTTTTTTAGGTACATTATGCCGTGTTCAAAATAATTTTTCGGAATAAAATTTAGATCTTTTCACTCTCTGAACTCTTTGAAGCATGAGAGACAGCAGAAGTCAATTTTTTTTTTGAAAATTAAGAAATTTGAAGCGTTCTACTCGAATAAAAAGCATAAGGAAGACAAATAATTTCTTAGAATCTCAGAAATTTTCGTAGGAATCTCGTTTTTCTCACAAAAATCCATGTTTTGAATAAAAAAAATGCGGCTTTTTTCAGTGAAGATGCTGAATATCGTCGTCGAAGAGCCGTTGCCGGAGGTGTCGTTACACCGGTGGAAGAGCCGGCAAAGCCGGAACCACCGAAACCGGTTCCCTCAGATCGGTAACTTTCAAAACATTCCTTAGGCTTTTTCAAAAAGTTTTTTCTGATTCTACGACTTTTTTTGTACTTCTATTACTTCTGAATTTTTTTCAAGAGCTCTATTGTCAAGGAAAGTTTGTGAAAATATCGTCAAACAGCAATTTTTTATATACTCAGAAAGTCCAGAGTGGTCCCTATAGGAGCAACCTTAAGGCCCTTGAAGGTTTCCCTTCAGGGACCACTTCTCCTCACTCTATAGGGGCCCATAAAGCTTGCAAAAGTGACCTCTCTAGGGGGAAATTCTTGTCGATAGTTGTAAAAGAAGCATTTCCATGCGAAAGATAAATTAGCGTATTTTGAATAGAAAAAAAAAATCAAGTTCGTCTTTTTGATTTTAAAATCTGAACGAAAAATTGAAGGACCCCCATAGGGGCCATTTGAGCATTCCTAGCTTGGGACCAAAGCCTAAACTCCTATAGATACCACCAAATTTTTACCTTTTAAGATTTTTCCCCTCTGATCCCTATAGGGACCACTCGGCGGCTTTCAAGCTCAAATTTGAATTTCTAAAGAAAATCATGATTTTTTTTTTCGCACTTTTTTCACTCAGATCCAATATTTTATCAAATTTGAAGTTGCCGCGTTCAAGTACGCCTTCCTGAAGCCAGCCCCGTCGTCGAAGAATTCCCCTCCACCGATAATTTGCACTCTTTAGTGGAGATTTTGAAGCAGGTACTCGGAAATAATCTTCCAAAATATCGAAATTCCTAGAAGAACCACGTTTCGGGCAACTTCCAACTGGCTCAGCTCTATCCCAAGCGAGTTTTCACCGATGAGGAACTCAATAAATCGTTTTTGGACCTTGCCCTAACGCCCACATGTACCATGGTCATTGTTCAGGTTTGTCAGAAAATATTTTTTTGGAAAAAAATAATTTTTTTCAGGGTGATATTTAGAAAGGTTTAATCTTTGTCTTGACCTTGAATAGTGGTTTTATCGACATTTGAACCTATTTATTTAAAAAAGGTTGATTTTCTTGAGAATCTTGATTTTTTTAATGTTTATAGATCTCCAGAAATTGTAATTTTTTTAATTTCTATCACTTTTTAAATAATGAAAAAAAGTCTTTTAATTGACTTTTTTTTCTCCATTTTTTTCGCCAAAAAAATGACCCAAGTAATAATTTTTTTCTATTTTTTTAACAACCTTTTTCTTGCCCCCTGAGGGTCCAAATTTCATGAATATAGTAATTTTCGTTTTAAAATGCTTTGAAATCATAAAAAAACTTAAATTTATTCGTCAATAGAAGTATTTCTTCGAATTTCGAGACTTTTTTTAAATTTTTTTATAGAAAATCAGAGTGGTCCCTATAGGGGTGACCCTGAGGGTCCTTTTTAGTCTTCCAATCTGAAAAAAAATTACGAAGGTTCCTATAAGGACCATTTGAGCCTTAGGGTCCAGACTTGGAACCCCTGTAGAGGCTACCTACCATTTATCCCTATAGAGGGCGCTTTTTTGATTTCTGGAGGCCCCGTTTTCCCCCCTGGCGTTCATGAGTTTTCATCAGATTAAAAGTGTACAATATCTCCATATTTAAAACTTTTCAAGACTTGAATTTTTTCAGAAACGCTCTACGAACAGTGTGATGAAGTACCCGGGCAGTGGACTGATCACACTTTTGTCCATGTTCCTTTTGGCCCCGTTCCAATACGTTTGGAGTTACATTTCCCTGTTTCTCATCGGTGGAAAGAAGTCTGCCGCTGCGGAGGCCAAGAAAAACGACCAGCCGAGTACTTCTGCGGCCTCCGGAGATGCTCAAAGAACGAGGAGGATCCCTGGAGAAGCCACCGTCCGTAGGGTCAGCTTTAGTAGTCATTTAGGATATCAATAAGTTGAAAAAATTGTTTTTATTTATCCTCCAAGTTCTTTGGTTCTATTTGATTCAATAAAGTCAGGCTCTCAAGGGAAAAATGGATAAAGTCCTCTCGATTCGTGCAATTGAAGTAACTCCAAGGGAAAAAAATTTTTCTTGAAAATTGATTTTTGAGTAAAATTTACCCTCGGACAAAAAAATAATTTTTCAGAAAAAAAGTCAGCTTTAGTAATCATTTATTGTACTGTGAAAAATAAGAAATGTTTAATTTTTTTCTCTACTTTTTTTAGTTCAATAGCTTTTTATATAATCATTCTCGGAGAGAACGGAGATAATTTTAAAAAAATTCCACAAGAAAAAAAGATCTTTTAAACTTTTCATTTTACGCTCCCTTTGATAAAAAAATGTCTTGAAAAGATTCAGAAAAAGCTGAGAAAGATGTTTCTCCATTTTTTTTTTGGATTTTTTTTTTTCGCAGACCCTTTCAAATTTTCCCATGTTGCTTACAAGGGAGGTCGCTTCATTTCGGGTTTGGGATTTCTTGGAAAATTGGCCAGAATGCTTCTTGAAGTACCTGGTGATGGTCCTGAAAGATTCAACCTGCACAACTTTCTAGTTTTTGAGAAAGGAGATGTCGAAAAAACCTCAAAATTTATTAAATTAGGCTTTTTTGGGACTTTTTAGCCCTTATTTTTCGAAAACTGGGAAGTTGTGGAGGTTGGAACTTTCAGAAACTTTTTCTAGTATGCTAGGGATTTTTGAGAAAATTCCCAACCAAAAAGTGAAATTATCTTCCTTTTGTGAGAGCTCAGAAATTTTTTTATATTTTTAGATTTTTTTAATTAAAAGATCTTTTATATCTTTTTTTCTTGACCCTATTCTAATATTTTTCTTATCCAATTATTTCTTTTTTTCAGCGCGGAAACGTCAGCGGCCTCCACAACACGAACGGCGACGAACCCGAGGACGATGATAAAAACGCGAATTGGAATGGAAATTCCACTCAATTTTTCTAATTTACTTGTTGTTTTTCATGCTCTCTTTCCATGTGAATATTTCCAAAAAAAGTTATCTTCAAAAAAATGATAAAAAAAGACGTTCCTTTTTTGCCGCTGATGGGTATTTAGTGAAGATATTTATTGGAGGGTCCCTGAAGACTTTAATCAACTTTCTCTTATGCAAACTAGTCGAAATGTTTCGATTTTCCAGAAATATTTATTGATCCTATGCAAATGAAGTTTATTAATCTACATTTTAAAGAAGATTTGTTCAATCTTGTTTTAGCAGTTCTTTTATACTTTTTGACCTTTTCTGGATTTTGAAAATTTCAAGTTTTTCAAGATGAAAGTGAATCTTGAAATTTGCATCGATAGCTTCGAATCGGCCGTCAATGCAGTGGAAGGAGGTTTTCTATTCAAAATTCTGGCAGAAAATTAACTTATTATCCGTATTTTTTTCTTTTTCCAGTTTACAAGGACTTCTCAACAACGAGAATTCACTAAACCGAAGCAAAAATGAGTCGTTTCGAGAAAAAAACGCAAAATGTTCCGAAATAAGAGAAAAACTTCACCCTTTTGATAAAATTGACCAAATAAAGCAGAAGAAAGTAATATGAAAAAGCCTAGAAAAAAACAAAAAAATTTTTTTCAGAAAAATGTAGCTCATTTTTTTAGACAGAGAACTCAGCGAAAAAAAGCTTCGAAATCATCAAATTTTGAATACTTTTTCTTGGAACCGTTAGAAAAACATAAAATATTCATTTTTTTTTTTGAGAAAGTATCATTTTAACGTAAAAAACCGGAATTTTCGCCCCCAAAGTTTAAAGCCCAGGAGAAGAAGGACAATATTTGAATGAAGTACATAAAAATACTCTTTCAGCTGTTTTATAGTGTGTTAAATATTTTTTTAAGAACTGAAAATGTAGGATAGAAAAAAATATTTTTAATTTCAGATTGCGACCGTCTGGAAGTGTGCAGTTCCTTGGATTTCGGCGGTCTTACCCCGTCGATCGGTAAAAATAAACTGGAAAATATAAAATAATATCAGTCAACTATTAAAGGACTCCTTTTGCGTTTGAAAACGAATTTTCCGACGATTCCATTGATGGTTATGTTAAGGCCACGCCCAGGCAATTTTGTCTACACTACTGATGAATCATTGGTAATTTTTTTCTATTTTTTTAAAAATTTTTTTAGTGGTTTAAAAAGTTTTTTTCTCGGATTGTTAAAGGAACATCGATGAATCTGGAAAAACGTCTCAAGACGAAAAAGCATTTCACAGCGTTCTTTGCTAGAGCCTTTAAATTTCCCTGAGAGAGAAACTTTAAATCAATTACGACATTCTGCGCAAAAAAACGTTTTTTTGAGTGGAAATTTAAGTTCAAAAAAATTGTATTTATAGGTAATTTTGGAAGATTTGAAATGGCTCAAGAAAGCGGGAGCCGATGGATTCGTCTTTGGAGCGTTGACCAAGTGAGGAAAAAGGTTGATTACAAAAAATGAAATCAGTCTGATAATATTTTAAAAGTGATAAGAATTTTCAATATTTTCTGTTTATATTGAGAGGTTTATTAAAGGAAAAAAAATGTGACTGCCACTAAAATTTACTTCAAAGAACTTAAGAATATCACTAACAAAATGAGTACAAAAAATCAGTCTAGGAATTTGAATTTGGATGGAAAAGTTGCTTTGAGGGCCCTTATAAGGAGCGAAAAGGTTCCCTCAAATGACCCTAAAATTATGAAAAAAAGAAAATTTTGAGCACCTCTTTCATAGCCTCCGAGAATCTTGGAATCTTTTTAAAGCTTGTTTTTAGCATTTCCCCAGTGAAAGATGTAAAAAATTCACAAAATTAAAATAAAAAAATCTTCTGAAGTTCCCTAGAAGTTCTTTGTTTTTTTCGGAAAAAAACTTTTTTTCAGGAATTTTTTTCAGAAAAAAATAATTTTTTTGCTACTTTCACTGTAAAAAGTTTAAAAAAATAGTTCAAAAATAAGACCTTTGAAATCATCTCTAAATTAAATATTTTAGTGAAAAACACTTTGGACAAACACACAAGTGAGCTGGTGATAAAGGCGGCTGGCGACCTTCCAGTTACATTGAATAGAGCGTTCGACCTTTGTCCCGATTGGCAGGGAGCCATTGCTGACGCGGTTTCCTTAGGCTTCAGAACTATTCTTACAAGGTCAATAAATTAAAAATCAATACAAAAATCAATGAGGACGTTTTCAGTGGTCAGAAATACACGGCACTCCTAGGAGCCGAGAATTTGAAGCAAATATGCGCGGAGGCCAAAGGGAGGATTGATATAATGGCCGGTGAGTATAGCTGATTCACGGGTGGCATCGAAAAATCGGTCCTGACACGAGAAAAAAGGAGATGGTTCCTGGGTGGTGGAGAGCGTAGTCAGGTCACGCTTCCGAAGCTTAAATCGGCAATAAGAAATTTTTTTTTTGTAAAAAAAAATTATTAATTTGACCATTTTCAAGCTTGACTTCAAAGTTTTTTCTTATCAATTTTTGAAAATTTACAAAAAGAAAATAATTTGCTACAATTTTAGAACTTCCAAAAAAATAAGGAGCATTTATATTTTTTTGGGCTTTTTAGCATTTGAGAAGGAGTTCTAGTTATATTAAGAATTTTTCGTAATCAATAGGAAGGTTTTTTTATGTATTCAATCGCTATAATTAATAATCACAAGAGATTGTTCAGGTTCCGGTGTAAACAGCTCAAATCTCGCCGAAATCATCCAGAAAACTGGATGCGACTGGTATCACGGGTCCGCTTCTGTTATTATTCATGAAGAGGTGAAATTAGTTCAAGAACGGAAAAATCAATAATTTTTTCAGAAAAACGCAATTTCAATGGGATCTTCCAAAGCCTCCAGTCGACGTGTGACGAGCGCAGAGGAAGTTCGAAAAATGAAATCTCTGTAATTGAATTGAAATAAACTCTTTGTACATATTTGGAACACATTTGATTTACTGATAAGAAAGCAAGTTTCGCGTCTTCTGGCCCCTTATCTTTTGCTGTTTTATTATTGGGAAACATCGTTGTCCCGTTTCGCGGAAAATATATACTCAGCAGTTCCAGCGAGCGGGCGTCACCATGTGAGTTGCTCAAAAGAAGCTTATCATGACCGTTACAGTTTGATTTGAGTCGTTAAAATGAAAATCGACGTGTTTTTGACATTTCTAAATGCTTAGGTGGTGGTATATAAGGTAGTCGACTATAGTTTTTTCAAGTTTTGGTTTTTAAAAATTTTCTCTTTTATTATTTTTTAAAATGAAACACTTTTTCTGTCGTTTGATCTATTTTTGAGAGCTTATTCTGGTTCAATATCCTTGGTGATTCAAGACATGGAAACCAAATCATGTGTAGAACTGTTAAAATTGTCATTTTTAATCATGCAAAACTTTTGCGCCTTTGATCGAACTTGTACAAATTTTCTTTTGACAGTTCTGATTCATAATTTTTTTTCGCAAGTATTCAGTAACGTGATCGACGGTCGTCTCTTTTTTTTCTCTCTGATTAAAAAGAGCTGATCAGTTTCTCATTTTTCACCTTTGTAAAAGTTCTCGTAGTTTTTACAAGTTTTGACAAAGCAGCTTTATTTTTTGTTTGAGTTTTGTTTTTTCCATTTTCTGAACCTTATTCTATTCACTTACCTCGCTCACTGCTCCGTACTCATTTTCTGTTTTTATTCTGTTAATATGTTCTTAAGGGTTAAATGGCCCATTCACTGGTGGTTCGGGCTGGGGTGCAACGCCTGGCTGCGGACGGAAGTACCGCGGTTGTTCTAGTCGGTCAGCGACGTCATCTGGCTCCGCTCACCTATGACGGACCTTTGAAAGACGCCCTTCAAACCTTTGTTCGAGGTTTTAGATCAGCTTCATTCATGAAAGATATTTTGAAACCAAGAGAAAGAGGACAAAGCGGAAATGAAGTTATTGTTTAACGCAGGTTTTGAAAAATCCGATTTATTTTTTCTTCCTGAGCTTTCCGGGTTACCCGATAGTATTTAATTTTTCTTATAACCGTTTTCGCATTCAGCGATTTGAAAACTTCCCTTGTTCCATTGAACGCGCCACCAGTTTCGACAAAGTGGTCATTTTTCTCAAGATTAGCTCACCCTGACGTAATCTCCTTATCAGTGTTTCATAAATGCTGAATTTATCATCTTTTGATCTAACCGCAAATTTGCAGACGAGGAACACTGGAAAACGGCGATTTCCCGTCTGCCGAAAACTTCCGGCCGAATTCCGCTTCATTTCGACCTCGCCCACGTGGTTACGGTCCCGGATACGGCTTCTCGGTATAACTCGCCGTCGAATTCGGTTTCAGTCTTCAAAGAAGTCAAATCGATCGCTTTTCCGGAAGATGTCAAGGTAGAATCGAGGATTCATTGGATTTATTTCGCAACAGAATGTTTTGAACTGATTTTTTTTTTCGTTTTAATCATTTTTTAATATAGATTATCTATAGACAACTTGAAAAAACTGATTTTTAAAAATTTCCTATCCTTCTATTTATTATGGATTCCACTAAACTCAAAAAAATCCGTCAGAGAGTGAAAAAAAGATAACTGAATTTTAGAGATTCAAAGATAATTTCAAATTTCGCGAAGTTCGCGGAAATTACTCTGAACACGGCATTAGAAGAAATTTTTTTCTAAAAAAATAAATTTTTTTACGAAAAAAACTCTTCTCACGTTTTCGGAACACTCCGTTGCGTATCAATCCTTTTTCCAAAAACATTGAACAGATGAAATATATAATTTCAGAACATCCACTTCGTTCTATACGCTGAATATTCTCATGTTCTATCGAGTGTGGCGGCTGTGGCTCGTTGTTTCCCGAAATTTTCTCTGAAAACGGCCAAAAAGAACGTGGAAAATATCCATATCGATGTCGTTGTCCCCGGCGGGCCGGTATTGTTTTCTTTTTATTAATTTTCGAAAAAGTCAAAAATAACGGTCATGGGATTTAATTCAATTTTCAACGTTTTGGTCAAAAATTTTCGAAGTTTTAGAAAGAGAGGACGTGTTTGGGAATATTCTGAATAAGCTAAGAAGTTTTTATCGTAAGAAAATGTTGATCAAGTAAAAAAACTCATAAAGAGGCGAAAAAAATTATTGTCTCAAATTTTTTTCTAAAAACAGAGAGGTAAATGAAAAAAATTGTTCTTGAAAAAAATTTTGATCGCGTAAAAAAAGTAGACTGCTTTCATTTACGGAACTTGTCCAATAAGGTTTGGAAAGAAATCTCCAAAAAAATGAAAAATAAAAAAATTAAATTTTTTTAAAGCGATTTTACATGGAAGTTCGTAAGAAAAAAATCTTATGCAATCAAATCGAAATTTTGTTCATTTTCAGAACCTCAAAGAGAAAGACACCAAGTTCCTGAACGATCTTTGCGAGGCGATCCGCGAGACGGGCCGCCTGATTGATATACCCGCAAACATTCTCACCACTGATAAGCTCGTCGATGAAGCCGTGAGCGTGGGAAAATCGCTCGGCGCCAAGATTCATATCGTTCGGGTGAGAGATGCTCGTTTGATTGTTTGATCTTCGATATCGAAATCGATTTGAGTTCCTAGAAGAAAAACGCATGAATCAGAGAGCATGGAAAACTTAGAGAGACTAGACTCGTACTCTCCTCGTTCTACTCAGTTTCTAATGAGCTGCGCGCTTGCATGCATGATTCACGGCAAGCTTGGGACACTAAGGGGCGTGGTCTGTCTGCGCTCTCCACGAGCCAGGCACTATATCGTGCATTATCGTGGCAGGACCCTTTTTTTTCGACGGCTCATGTCAGACGTGAATCAGCTATACAGGAAACGGGGAGAGCACGATTCTGTTCTCTCCGAGTTATCTAAACTGATGTATGCGCGTTTTTTTTAAACCGTGAAATCGGCGCCTGCATACACGGCACTACACACGACGGCATATTGCAGACAAGCAAACGAAAAACCAGCGCGCATGAATCAGAGAACATGGGAAACGGAGAGACCAGACTCGTACTCTCCTCGTTCTACGTACTGTCTAGGGAGTTGCGCTGGCACGCAAATCTACCAGAAAACGGCGCGCGTAGGTCCTTAGACAGTATTTAGAACAAGGAGAGCTCGATTCTGGGCTCTCCAAGTTTGTCGTGCTCTCTTAAATGATGCTTAGATGCTTTTTCTTCAGATTTGTAGCATATTCCGTGCCAATTTTCATGATTCTCATTTCTCTGAGCTATGGAACTTTTCCTATTGGAGCGCGCGGTCTTCATGCGCCTTTTATTCGTTTTAAAGTTCTCATCATATTGAAGGCGCATACGCAGAGACAGGCCGCGCACATCGAAAAGAAGCGAGAAACATCAATGGGAGTCGTTTTCAAAGTTCAGGAAAATCGCAAAAGTTTTTCCGCTTTACTGAATTTAAGGTCTCATATCTTCGTTCGGAACTGAAGGCTTATAGAATTTTTTTAAGGCCTTACCTTCCATTATTCATTATCTCAAAGCCTCATTGACTTAAAATAGATTAATTTGTTCAGGGCGATGAGCTCCTCCAACAAGGCTTCGGAGGCATTTATCACGTCGGAAAGGCGGCTTTGACCCCACCAGCTTTCGTGGTCCTCTCCAAGGAAGTTTCCGGATCCGATGAATCATATGCCCTAGTTGGAAAAGGCGTCGTCTACGACACCGGCGGCATGCAAATCAAGGGAAAAACTGGAATGCCTAGTGAGGATGGAAATATTGGAAACTCTTCAAAACGATTTTGAGACATGAAACGGGACATGGGCGGCGCCGCCGGAATGCTTCACGCTTTCTCGACGCTGGTTCGGAACGGCTTCAACAAGACTCTTCATGCGTGTCTTTGCATCGTCGAGAACAATATCAGTCCTGTCGCCAAGTACGGTGGAGCTATACTTGAGTGGTCCCTATAGGGAAGAACAGAGGGATGAGATTTAGTAGTTCCTATAGGGGTTTCAGGTCTGGTCCGTGAGCCCTTACAGCTCAAGTGGTCCCTATAGGGTTTTTTTTAGTACAGATTTGAAGGAAAACTTGATTTAAACTCTGTGTTGAAATTTTCAATCCGAAAACTCTGATTTTTGAGTTTTTCGCATGAAAATGCTTCTTCTCATAGAGTTCTAATTGTCTAGCATGTCTTTGCAAGTTTTGGTGTGGAATTGAGCCCTAGAAGTGAACCTTCCCCTAAGGTTGCCCCTATAGGGGCTACTATAGAGTTTCTGAGAACGAAAAGATATTTTTTTCACGGAAAGGGGGAGAAAATATAGAAGTAAAATTGAAAAAAGAGCCATTTCTGTGAAAAAGTCTGTTCAAATTTTTAATTTCAAGCTGTTGCTCAAGCTCCGCCCTTGATGCCAGGATGAGCCAATCAGAGAGTGACGTCATCGACATTAAAAATATCAACAGATTATGCTATAAAGAAATTAATTTCACCGTTTCGCGATTTTTTCAAAAGCTAAGAAACTAGAAAAGATGATTTGAATTTTTTTCTCAACTGCAAAAAAATTTTCTGGTAATGAAGGAGAGGTGAATCTGAAAGATTACAAAAAATTGAACTTTTACCAAGAAAAAATTACAGATTCAATATTTATTTTTACATGAAATTGGCAGCTCTTTTTCACCAAATTTGTTTTTTCGACTTCTCGAAAATCTTCTGATTATCAGAAAATAAAATTTTCCAGCAAGCCCGATGACATTATCACGATGTTGAGCGGCAAAAGTGTCGAGATCAATAATACTGACGCTGAAGGTCGCCTGATCCTGGCTGATGGCGTTTTCTACGCCAAAGAAACCCTTAAGGTGCCACTTCAGCTTCTAACATGAGAAAATGATAGTTCCATGTCTTCAGGCAACGACAATCATCGACATGGCCACCTTGACCGGCGCCCAATCTTACCTCAGCGGTAAATTGCACGCCGCCGCCATGACCAACGATGAAGAACTGGAAAATAATGTTGGATTTGAAAAAAAAAATCCAAAGAAAATGATAAAGTTCTGTAGATCTTGACAGCCGGAAGAGCCTCCGGCGACTTGGTGGCGCCGATGATTTTCGCCCCGGACTTGTACAGTGCCGATTTGAAGTCACCCGTTGCTGATATGAGGAACAGCAACTTGGGCAAGATGGATGTGAGATTATTTCTAATGTGATAGTGGTTTTTACAATCACGTAGGCCAGGAATACTTATAAAATGACCTAAAAGTCCCGTTTTCATGCTAATTCAGTCGAATATTTGAATATAAGACTTCAAGTCTAGAAGGAAGTGTTTGTTAAATTTCGAAAGTTGACTGAACTTACAAAATCCAGAGTGATCCCTACAGGGGTCTTTCAACTTTTTTTTTCATATTTGAAAATAAAAGAAATTTTTTTAATTTGATCAATTTATCCATTGATTGTTTTTATTCGAAAAACGCCAACTTATTAAGTTTCTCGCAATTTTCTCATAACGATAATCGACTAGCATGACCCCTTTAGGGGCCACTTTTGTAAGCTCTAATGGTCTCAAGAGGGATGGTAAAGTGATCCCTAGAGGGGTATTTCTCTCATGTTGCTCCTGTAAGGATCACTCTGGCGTTTCTAAAGTCCCGATTTTGAGGAAACAAAAAAAAAATATTCTTTTTTTTGTTAGGAGGTCCTAGTAGACCAAAGTTATCTAAAACCGCTTTCTAATGTAGATTTACGATTGGCTTGAGCCATCTAGAAAAGGTCCTGAAACGATGAAAAGAAAGACTCGGACATTGGTAACGCGAAACGGACGTGCTCCGGACGTTTCTGGGCGATTCAAGGGATCACTTAAGAGCGTTAAGGCTACTAAAGTGGTCACTAGAAATGCCCCGACACGTCCGTTTCGCGTCCCGTTCGCGTTACCAAGGTCCGAGGAAACAGTGTCTGGTTGGCGGAGAGCGCAGACAGGCCACGCCCCTTGGTGTCCCAAGCTAACCCAGCTATAAGATTCCTACTATTTTGCTCCTTCTCAGCAAGTCCTTCAGCGTCCCAAGCTAGCCGTGAAACAGCTATAGGCTCTCTATCTTCGTGCTCCTCTTCAGCAAGTCCAAATTTCCAGGGACCACCATCGGCCGTCGCCGGACTGTTCATCGGGGCGCACATCAAGTACGGCCAGGGAATCCGCTGGCTTCACCTAGACATTGCGGCTCCGGCCGAGCACGCCGACCGCGGAACCGGTTTCGGTCCGGCGCTCTTCTCGTCCCTTCTGGGCAACCACACCGACGTGCCTCTCCTCCGTCATTGACCCCATTGCATAACTTCCTAATTATTCGTCTTGTAAATCATATTCAGTTCATTTCATCATTTTCAATAGCGATAAAAATACAAATTTCTTCCAAGACCCGACTCATTGCTCAGCCAATAGACATTGAATACAACACGCGAGCTGCTCGTAGGTTATCCGCGTCACTTTTTGGTCTGAAATTGGATTTTTATTCATTTCCTAATTAGGAAAAACCTGACCAATAGTATGAAAACCGGCGTGATTGGTTTGCGCCAACGCTGGACGATAATCTGAGAAGCCGAGGTCCAAATCGATGTCTTCTTGGGTTTCCGAGGCCAGCTGAAGAGGAAAATAAGCATTTATAAAAAAATCTTCAATTTTGGGCCCCTTTTAAATCCTGGGAGAAAAATCTTTCGCGAGCCATTCCATGTGCGGCATTTCTAATCACGTCAAACGAATTTTGAAGAGACCATTCTCAGATGCTTCTTGATCGTTTCAGGCGTGCTTTCCTTGCTGAAGACCTTCCGGCGGAACATCTCCACCAGACGACGTTGATGATTCAGAGTTCTCGAAGAATCTGAACGACGAAAACTCTTTCAAAGATATAGTTATGGGAACTAGTCCATTCACAGCTGACTTGAGGAAGTTTGTTTCACAGAGAGGATTAAAAAAAATTAAAGGAGCGTCAAAAACGCTTAAAAATACTTCCCGAAAAATTGCTCATTTCAATCCCAAGTCACCTCTGAACAGTATCAAACCAACTTCTATCCGTAACGACCATAATCCTCAAGATTTGCTCCAAAATGACGAGAACAGGGTCCCGAATCTCGCGCAGAGCCGCGCTTCTGAAATTCAAAAGATTCGTGACGTCGTCTGAAGGTCTCACCTGACGCTGAGGCCTTCCTGACGTCGGAGGTCGCTAGAAGACGTGCTTCTCGTCGGCTTATCACTGGCTACCGTTTGGACCCGACGTCGCTGAATTCAGGATTCTTAAAGGGGTGTTCTGAAGTCGTCAACCTGGCCACTGGAGTCGTTGATTCTCGGAAGAGAGAACGACAAATTCAGGGACTTTTTCCGGTCTTTCACATGGTCTCCAGCAGACAAGGGGTGATTTCTGGTGAGGTTCCGGGATTTTCTCTTCCGGACTGCCGCGTCGAGAATGGCTGGGAATGAGACCGTGTTCTGGGATTTTTTGGTCGTGAAGGAGCTTGTAGAGGAGTTCAACGACGATTCCTTGTCATCGGCGCGGAACACGTCATTATTGTTATTGTTGACGTTGTTGGTTGCCGAAGAAGCCTGGGCTCTGGAGAACTCGTCGAGCTGGAGAAGAAGCCGTGGCGCAATCGAAGAAGCCACTTGAAGGATGTCGAATCTCTTGGCGGAGTCGGCTTGGAGGCACGAGGTCACGAGCTGGTGGAGGTCGCTGAAACTTCATAAATGTATAGGAAGTAAGAACGTGAAACCTTTGCGTAACAGGGTACTCCGATAAAATGTTGTAGCGGTAGTATTTTTTTTTAAATTATGAATATAAGGGATCTCTCTAGGGCTGCTAAGTGTCATCTTATGACATTTTAAATATTATTTACCTCGACGTAGTTTTTTACGCGGCAAATGCGATTTTTTATCCATCATCTTTCCTGTGTGATTTATATACATAAAGAAATTCGAAAAGAGAACGTGGTAATTCGGTTCTTGCCCTGACATGATGCTCCACAGCAGAAAAAGGGTCTAAGTCGGAATCAAAAGTTAGCGTGTAATTATGACGTCATTTTATCCGAAGCGCGCACTTACTTTTTTTTTTTCTAAATTCAGAAACTTTGACGCCTCGCTCACCTTCCCTCACCCCATTAGGAATGCCGGGCAATCGTGGGAAGCTAGAGAGTGTTCAAAAATGAGAGGCCAGTCGTCTTTTTTTCTCTGAACTCTCTCTTGTTTTACCTGCTCTCTAACTTTCTAAGATTCGAACGTAGACTCCAGAAACAACATGGGCAGCGAAAATCGTGGAACGATTGTATTAAGAAGGCTTTTTATCGAAATACTCTGTCGCTCAAACAAGTTCAGGCTCATCAAAACCTCGACCAGACTTCCGCCATCGGTTCGAACTTGGCCTCGACGATTTGCGTCGCCAAGGCCAGCATGTTCGTCGAGCTGAACGCCGCTTGCAACTGGCAGATCTCATAGACGCAGCAGCCTATAAAAATCTTCATTTTCAGATTTCTGGTTTTTTTGTCTGTATAATCACAAAACATGTTTTCTGCTCTCCACTTCCTCGCATGGAGTTCAATTTTTTTGAAGCTCTACAAAACTGTTCTTTTTTTCTTCTGCAAGCTCAAATTCTACCAGATTTCTACAAAAAAAAACAGCCATAAGAGCTCCAGAACGTTCCAGAAAGTATAAACTCCATAAGATCGCCTTTTCTTGTCTTTTCAGAAGAAGCTGTATATAAATTCAAACCTAGCAGAGTGAAAACCCGAAAATGGCTTACCTCCAAGTGATCGAGAAGTCTAAACCGTCTCGGACCTTGGTAACCGCGAATCGGACATTTCTAGTGACCAATTTAGTAGCCCTCAGCACTTTTAAGTGATCCCTAGAATCGCTCAGAAATGTCCGGAGCAAGTCGGGAGAATTTTCTCTCTTCAGTGATCACTTAGAGACTCCAGCACTCAAAATTTTCCGAGAGATAAATTCGGTGAAACCACGTTAAAAATTAGAGTGGGTTTTGGCATTTTTATGAGAGGGGGGCCTTTTTTCAAAACCAATTTTTTCCTTCGGGATTCCGAACTTCTACCGCGGGAGAGAACTTTGAGTGCCTGAGGAGGCTGAATTTTCCGTTAAAATCCGTCTAAATTTCCCTTCTTCAGTAGTTTCTCCAGAGTACTTCGACAAGAAAAATGTTCTGAATTTCAGTCGAAAAAAATCTCTCGGAGATCTGTCAACTCAAAAATTCGAAAATCAGAAGTTTCTTTTTTTCCTGTTGATTCTCGGGACTGATAAAAGGCGCATTTGTGTTGAAATTTGACCAAAAACGCCAGGAATTCGTGATTAAAATAATCAAATTATTTCCCTTATAAACCCACCAAAAGACCAAATATCAGCCTTCTCGTTGTACGGTAGGTTCTGTACGATCTCTGGGCTGAAAAACCAAATTTCACTCCGTAATTTCGGAGACCCTACCAACTATAAATAATCGTCCCAGCCGCTGACTTGAGATAATCGGCTCCTTTTTGCTTGGCCAATCCAAAGTCCGCTGAATGGAGCATTTTTTTATTTTTTTGAAAAGCGCAAAAAACGAACTGACAACGACGCGGTCGTTCTCTCCGACCATAATATTGTTGGGTTTCAAATCGCGGTGGACAATCTTTTTCTCTTTGTGGAGGTAGCGAAGAGCCAGAACCAGCTGAAGAAAAAAGTAGAATTTATTATCAAGATACTGGGAATTTTCTAGTGGCCCCTATAGGGTTTTGACGTTTTAGTGGCCACTATAGCAGTTAAATTAGTGACCACTTAAGGGGTTAAAAATTAGTGGCCGCTATAGAAGTCTAAGTGCTACTACTAGACCATTAAAAATTTTAGTGGCCACTTTAGGGGTCGGTGGATGAACATAACTGGTCCAATCTGTTTGTTTTAAAATTATCAGAATTACTGGAAGGAATACTGGATGAAAAACTACTGAAGTGACCACTAAATAGAGAACCTCTATAGTGACCACTAGAACGGAAAATAGTGGCCACTATAGAGGTAGGTTAAGTGCCCACTTTAGTGTCCTCTCCAGGTAGTCCTTGGCGAGCCTCTATACTGGCCACTAAAAATTTTCCCAGTACTCTTTTTTTTTTTCAAAGCTGAACTGGTTGATTTAATTCCTTCTCCAACTTCAAAAACAGCAAATGGCGGAACAAGAAAATAAATTCGAATTTTTATTTTTTGGAAAACAACTCAGTGGAAGAAATTACACTGACTTTTCAGAAGCTTAAAGACACTAGAAACATTGTCCATTGAATTTAAAATAGTTTTCAATAGTTTTTCCTTTAGTCTCATTTGAAAAACTTTCATGATATTCTGTCAATGCAAAAAAAAAACCAAAAGCGCTCAAATTTAGCCAAACCTAAGTTGTGGCTAGGATTTCAACCTTCTAATTGTAACCGCGACGCAACCGCAACGCGTTGAGCCATTCTAGCGAGCATACCTGGACGACGACGTGCCAGACCCAGTCCTCCCTGAAGAGCTTTTTCCGTTCTTTCATCGTGACGATATGCTCTCGAAGGGAGGCGCCTTGCACAAGGTCCATCACAATGTAAAGACGATGATTTTCGACGAAAATCCGACGATAACGGACGATATTTGGATGCCGGAGTTGCTGCTTGATGATCTTCACCTCGTTGATCATGTCCCCGAAACTTTTGTCCGTTTCTCCTGGCGCCAGGGACGTCATGAAGATCTGAATGAATATCTTCATTCCCTAGCAAATGAGATCTTTCAAGGACCGACTAGCCAGCACACAAAAAGTACCGTAACTCAAGAAAACTCTACAGTAACCCATGATATCATGTACTGTGAAGGTTCTACAATCTGCATTAAATATTGATTGATACTTGGTTTCCTGCGCTCCGAGGGTACTTAGGAACGTCAGAGTAGCCACTTTAGGGGCAACGTTGGGGCTTTGTAGGTTCCCCTACAGGGACCGCTTTACCTGCCCCTATAGGGGACACTCTAGGAGAGCATGCTAGTCCGTTATTGCTATGAAAATTGATGAACTGTCTATTCAGTTTTGAAATCTTTACAAAAGTTTGAAGGCCCTATAGGGACTTCTTAATTTCTACCCTTATAGAGAGCACCTTTTCGTCTCAGGGGCTGTTTTTTCCTCTAACCCCTGTAGAGACTTCTCTGGCGTTCCTAATTAGTTTCCATGCGCCTTTAATAAGAGCACACTTTAAAAGCTTTTTTTTTCTTTTGCATCAACTTTCGGAATCGCCCGCTTTTGTCCCAAGCCAGCCCTGAATGGGCCATAACTACCTCCTTCAAGGCGAACAATCTCTGCGAGGCGTTCTCCGTGTTATCCTTCTTCCTGACGGTGTACACACATCCGAATGCTCCAGCTCCAAGTTGCTCCAACAGCTCATACTCGCCGACTTCCCCGAGAGCGGCTCTTCTCAAATTGACCGCGTCGAACTGTTTAGCCGCCTCGTCTTCGGTCAAAGAGTCCTGCAGAGTTTCATGTTTATTTTTAAAGGAGCATGGGGACGATTGAGCAAAAGGTTTCGACGAGAAAAGCTTTTTTGGAGAGGTCTGGTTGATTTTTAAGTTTTTTTTTGAGCCATGAAAGCCTTGGTTGAAAATTAAAGAAAGGAGAAAACCCTTCGACCCGATTTCTATGTAAAACTGAATTATTGCTCGGAAAATTAGAATTTTTAGCCCTAAATAAAAGTTATTTGAAGTCGTTACAATGTGAAATTTCTCATTTTTACAAATTTTTGAAAGACCCAAGATTTACCAAAAAGTCGGCATATTCAGCTCCCAGATCTTCATAGGCTCCAAGTTCGTGCTCATAATTGGCAATGTCGACAAATCGTTCAAGGATATGAGTTGGGAAAACTTTCTTGAACATCGCCCGGGACCTTTCGAACGCAAAGAGGAAGCGGAGAACTCGGAATATTGACAGCTTAAAGAATAATATTGAATTTATCCTTATATGAGCTTCAACCTAGCCTTCCTTAGAAACGCCAGAATGGTCCCTATAGGGGCAAGCTTATTGTCCTCAAGGGAGCACCTTACCTTCCCCTATAGGGTACACTAAATGTTGCAGAAGTAGCGGCTCTAGGGGATTCAGAACAAAAAAAAATGATAGAACCCTATAGGGGCCTCTTAAGCTCAAGGAGCTACCCTATGAGGAACCACTTAAATTTTAGCCCTCTAGGGAGCACTATAGGGACTGTTTTCTTTTTCACGGAAAGGCTAGGTAAAAACCCCTAATTTTTCATTTAAACCTGCAAATGACGCCAAGTTTCCCGAGTTTCAGGCCGATCCGCAAATCTTCGGACGGTCAGAAGTTTTCCAAGGAGGAAAATTCCATTACTGTTGATGATCAACTGCTGATTACTGGTGGTTTGTGATAATTGGGCCAGAAGGGCTGTTAATCCTAAAAAGAATTTTCCTAGAAAAATAAAAATTCGGATTCTGATTTCACTCCTATGAACGATTATTAACTATTCTTAATTTTTTTACCCTCGAAATAAAAATGTTTTCTAAAAGTTATATAGATATTCAACTGCAGATCACTTCAATATTTGAGCCAAAAAAAGCTCTGAAAAAAATGTCTCCCTATAAAAATCATACATAAAAATCTAACTTCAAATTTTTTTGTACAAAGATATATTATTATTCACCATTCTTAATGTTTTAATCTTGAAAAATTAAAAAAATTTCTAATGATACTCAACGGCTAATCAGTATAATGATTGGTCCAGTGGGACCCTGAAAAAAAGTAATTTTCTGATGAATCACCCACAAAAAAATCTTTAAATTCGAAATTCTGTTAAAGATTTCACTCTTATGAACGATTATTTACTATTCTTAATTTTGTAACCTTGAAATAAATTTTTTTTTTTCTGAATGTTCTATTGATGATCGACTGTTTTATACTGTGATAATTGAGCCAAAAACGCTCTGAAAAAAATAGATTTTCAAATAAATCGCTGAGAAAACTAAGAATTCGAAAATTTTCGATTCTATGAACCATTTATTCATCATTCTTAATTTTGTAACCGTGATTTGAAAAATTGAAATTTATTTTATTTCAATTCAAAAAGATGAGCACTGTTATAATTGGACCAGAAGGGCCGTTAATCCTGGAAAAAAAAAAATGAATTTTACTAGAAAATCACAAAATTCAATTCTGTACAAAGTTTAGCTCCTATGAAGCATCAATCATCATTCTTAATTTTTTAACCTTGAAATAAATTTTTTTCTAAATAAATCATTGATAAGCGACTGTTGTTTACTGTGATAATTGAGCCACAAAGGCTCTGAAAAAGGAATTTTTTTAATACGTCACACGGAAAAATCTCAAAATTCGAAGTTCTTTACAAAGATGTACGATTATTCCTCATTCCGTAACCCTAAAATAAAACTTTTTCAATATTCGATTTCTGGTAGCTTGTGATAATTCGGCCAGAACAGCTTTTTGAAGAAAAGATGTTTCCTAGAAAATTACTCAGAAATGTTTTAAATTCGAAGGTTTTTAATTTTTCAACGGTTAAAAATCAAATTAAAAGTTCGAAAGCTCAAAATTCAAGGCAAAAGTTCATTCACGGCTGGCTTGAGCCATTGAAAAACGGGTCCTGACAAGATAATGCACGAGATAGCGCCTGGCTCGTGGAGAGCGCAGACAGGACACGCCCCCTCAATGTCCCAAGCTGGCCGTTAATCAGCTATAGCCACTTTCAAAAAAAAAAAGCCCAAAAATCGGTTCAAGATCCTTTTTTTTTTGTTCCTTTATTCTTTCCTCAATGTACGCACCAATATGCATAGCAATCCAGTCGTTGATGGATCGGTCCGGAAGTTTCAAATTTGTCAATTCTGCAAAAACGAGGCCGACTCCACCCCGTTGGGCTATCTGGAAAAATTAACCTTTTAATCCTCACAGGCGAATTTTTCTGATCCCGGCTGAAATTTCGATGAAACTTTGCTGAAAAATACTTTGGCTTTTAGGATCTCCTAATTTCAGAAAAAAGGAGTAGATTTTTTTAAATGAAGCTTTAAATTCCTCAAACAGTACATTTTTTCCAAGTAGTAGGTCCTAAAATAAAATCTGTTCAGACTTTGAATGTCAAACTCAAGCTCCGCCCCTAATGACGCGATAAACCAATCAGAGAGCGAGCCATACACAGCGCTCTCGAATGACATCATTCTTCATGTCATTTTAACTCGGACATTGGTAACGCGAAACGGACGTGCTCCGGACGTTTCTGGGCGATTCTAGGGATCACTTAAGAGTGCTGAGGCTACTAAAGTGGTCACTAGAAATGCCCCGACACGTCCGATTCGCGTCCCGTTCGCGTTACCAAGGTCCGAGAAGTTTAAAGAAATGATACACTTCAGGCAAAGTTTATCAAAAAATCAACCGTGGCCTAGAAAAAACTCCCTTATAAATAAAAAAAACCTCGATGGCGGTTTCAACGAATTCGGCCAACTGGGCGAGGGTCCAGGCGATGTGCCATTGCAACCGTAAGTTTTTCACCGATAGAAGTCTAAAATTCGTTCTTTTTTGATATTTTCTGAGCATCCATCATCCCAAAGTTCAGTTAAAATTCACAAAAGGTACAAAAATCCTGGAAAAATCGTCAAATTTCTATAACAAGGGGCAATTAACTGATTTTGATTTTTTTGGATTTTCACAGGTTGAAGGGAAATATTCTTTATAGGAGCCACTTTTGCAAGCTTAAGTGGTTCCTATAGGGGGGATAGGGTGTCAAAAATGTCCCTAGAGGGAAAAATTCGAGGCCCCTATAGGGATCACTCTAGAGCGCCTAAGATCTTCAGTTAGACAAACCACTTAAAAGTGACTTTTGCTTCTAAAACTCCTTTAAGACTAAAATCAATTAAAATGTAAAAAGGTACAAAAATCCTGGAAAATGTTTCAAATTTCCTAAACTCATCAATTTACCCTTTTCGGATTTTGGAATTTCACACAGGTTCAAGTGACATAACTACCTTTTATAGGAGCCACTTTTGCAAGCTTCAATGATCACTATAGGCGAAAGTGAAGTGGTCCCTAGAGGGAAAAACTTTAAAGACCCCTATAGAGATCACTCTGGAATTTTTAAGATCTTCAGCTAGACCAGCCACTAAAAAGTGTCTTTTGCTTTTTTTAAAATTTCCTTCTAGAATCGAAAATTTTGATCGAATTCTACGCTTAGTTTGATAACATAAATTATGATGAAATTTTTTTTAATGAAGAGATTAAAAGCGGATAAAAAAACCCAAGCAAAGTCGGGACACCGTCGTAAATTCGGATTTGTTCGCGTGCTTGTGGCTCACAGGCCAGTATCCGCAGAAGACTTGCGCACAACCTTAAATTCAAGGTGATTCTAAAAATGAACAAGAACCGACTTCTGGGTGAGCAAATCTCCATCCGAAGCCAATTGCAAGCATAAGTCGATGGTATTTGTGTCACAAAGATCGAGACGACAGGAAGGGGACCAGTCGCTCAAACGGCCCAGGATCTTAAGGAAGGAAAACTCTGATTACATTTAGAAAATGATGATGGTTGAATTTTAACGCAGAAAACCAGAATTATCATGAAATTTGGTACACGGTGGGTCAAAATTGGTGGTATGAAAAAAACACCAGCGAAAATTCAAAAGGCGACTTTTCCGATTTTTTCATTTCGCTAGGGAACTTTCCGACGGCCACCTTTCCGACGAAACTTTTCCGACTTTTTTCCCTTATAGTTTTCAGTTTGCAAAACATCTAAAAAAATATTTTTTTCCCATTTCTTTGTGTTTTAATCATGAACCAACTACCTACATTATACAGGAAGATTTAAAACGAAGATTTTATCGAGAAAAAAAGTCGGAAAAAGTTTCGTCGGAAAGGTGTCCGTCGGAAAGTTTCCTAGTGATATGAAAAATTCGGAAAAGTCGCCGTTTGAATTTTCGCTGGTGTTTTTTTCATACCACCTCAAAATTAGCGCCGAAAAAGTGAAAAGAGGTATTAAAAAAATCTGAAGCCTGTTTTTCGCTCAATCCCGCTTTTCCAACAAAGAAAGGGATTTTTAGAACCAACATTTTCCAGTTTTAGGATTGTTATAACCAATGTTTCAGTTCCAGAAAATTCAAAAAAAAAACCCCCTGAGCTTTGAAAAAAAAGATGAATTCGACCCGAACATGATCAGACTTGGCTTTTTTTTTCAAGATGAGAGTTCAAAAAATGAAAATGAATTGTTTGAAGTGAAAATGCCGTTCTTATGCTCTAGATCAAAAACCATTTTCAGCTGCAAATCTCATTTGAAAATATTTTTGAGCCACTTTTTTTCATTTAAGACTTTTGAACCACACGAAGAACCCGGAATGAATATAGTCTGTTCAGATTTTGAATGTCAAGTACAATGACGTCATTCGAAAACGCTCTGTGGATGGCTCGCTCTCTGACTGGTTTATCGCACCATTAGGGGCGGAGCTTGAGCGACGACTTGACATTCAAAATCTGAACAGACTATAACCGAGTGGAGGAATAAAAAAAACTGCATAAAATTTTGAAAATGGAAAAAATCAGCTACAGTAACAAGATCGATATAAAATATTCCAAGCCCGTAAAATAGTGGAGAAAAATTATATTTTCAATGTATTTTTTTGAAGAAGGACTTACACATATATATCCACTATGAGGTCACTCTTAAAAAAATAAAATTATTCCTAACTCAATGCTCAAAATCCGTTTTTAAAAATCTATTTTTTTTCAAAGTCTAATCCTCATTACTTCTGTTCAGATTCTGAATGTCAAGCCGCGGCTCAAGCTCCGCCCCTACTGACGCGATAGGCCAATCAGAGAGCCAGCCATCCACAGAGCGTTTTCAAACTACTTCACTCTATTTTTGATTGTTTCCAAAATGATTCCGTGAAATTCAAAATGACCGTCAGAGAGTGAAGAAAATAACTACTTTTTGGAGTTTCAGAGATAATTTCCAGTATTGCGGAAATTACTTTGATTATCATTTTACTTGAAATTTAAGAGATGAAAAAACTACAATCATTTCTTATTTCTGAAGAAATAGGACTTCACAACGTCGAAAACCTCCAAAGAAAGCTGCAAAACGGCCATTTGGCAAGTCCCTAGCAGCGGAAGCAACGCATGATGCATCGAGTTTTCGACGAAAGTTTCGGCGTTTTCTCGGCTGTCGATCAATTTTTGGGTCACGTCTGGAAATAATATTCGAAATAGAACCTTATAAAGAGACTAACACAATAGTTGTGCCGTTACGGAGCTCCAATCAAGTTCATTGGCCAGAAAACGCGTGGCGATGAAGGTGGTTAACTGGAAAATCCTCGATTTTTCTCGAAAAACCTTCAGTGGCCACTTAAAAGGTTCCTCAAGAACCACTTGGAAAGGACACTAGAGTGACCACTATAACCGTCTTTATAGAAGTCACTATTTCGCGTCTTAGTGACCACTATAGTAGTTATCAGTACTCTGAAATCCTAAATAAGCCAAAAAATTTTAGCAAACACTTCGACTACTATAGTGGCCACTAGAACTTCAAAACCCTAAAGCGGCCAGTAAAAAAACTTTCTCAAAAATATTATATATATTTTTTTCTTTTTTTCAAACAAAAAAATTTCAAGCCTGAAACAGAAAAATCTGAAAAATAATTCCAGTCGATAATAATATACAATTTGATGTGCTGAAAAAAATCCACCCAATAAATATGAATTTTTTTATCATTTTTTTCGTTCACCTGAACATAAACGGCCTGAAGATTAGAGTCGTGAAACGTTTGACAGTTATTTTTGTCCCGAAAAAAATGGCTCTTCCAAGCCGCAAAAAGCAGAGAAATCCATTTTCGTGCTGGCCTTGTGCTCAGGAATTGACTAAGAAAAGAAAAATAACAAGAAAAACATACTAAAAGAGCCTCACCGACTGCAAATTCTATTGTGGATCAGGTTTTTGCATATTTTCGCTGCCAGATCTCCGCTCGGCGTTTCAGCATTTTCCTCTCTGTAAAATCATGGAAATATAAACGTTCGAGAGATACAATATAAACTTGAAGAAGAAATTGAAAGAAACGCAGAGAAAAGCTTTTTTTTGCGTTTTTTGGTTGATATTGATCATTTTTCTTTAGAAGTTTCACACAAATTTGAAAGGTTCCTAAAATTAAAAAAAAATTTTAAGCCGAATCAAAAAATACATCGAAATTGAGCTTCGGAGGCAAAGTATTTGAAAAAAACCCCTTTTTCAAAAACGTACAAATAAACAACGAGCAGATCGATCTCCTTCCTCGGCTGTACTTCATTCACGGACTTAGCGAGCGATTCGACAATTTGCCGGCCGACGTCTTCATCGGCCATCCGTCGTCGTCAGCGCCGACGACAGCCGCGGAAGATGTGATGGCGCGCAAAAAAAACTTCCCTTTGTTGCCCGGGGCAACATGCAACTTCGATTCTCTCGAACCCCTTGGGACCGAGGAAGAGGAAAAAAAAGGTGTCGCGCGACCTTTAATTCAATATAATTTTCTTGGGAGTTGGCGTTAGAGAGGTTTTTTTCAATCTTTGAGTTTCAAACAGACAAATTGAACGAACATCAACGCCAAAAAAATTAAGTTGAAAAAGAAAAGAGGGAGAAAAAAACAATTTCTTTATGTACTGGTTTTTTTAAAAATTCTAATTCCTCCAAGTCTATTATAAAAAAACTAATTTGAATTAAATTTTGATAAAATAAAAAGCAAAGTGAAACAGTTCAAAGAAATCGACTGAAGTTTTAAAGGAGCAGCTGCCCACGAAAACAAAAACACCGCTCCGAAGAGCTATTACGTTGGTTTTTAAGGATTTTTGAACATTTTCGCATGATTTTTCTTTTTTAGAAATTTTTATCTTGTTTCCGGTGACTGAGAGTTTGTCGTGTGTAATCTCCGCCTCGAGAAAGCTTCCAGGTCCACTCCAAACGCATGAAAAATTCCGAAGAAGGAGGACATCGCAAGTTGCGGGAAAAAGGAGATTTTTGCGGCAGATATAGCTTGTCAAGTACATCCGCTTAGTGTCAGTTTCTTTTTTTTCTGCTTTTTCGCTAGCTTGACATTTTTTTTTTAACTTTTTTCATTTGATTTCAAGTTTTTCTTCACTCGTTTTCCAACACTCTCACCTCGATCGAGGCTAAAAAGACCAAAAAATTGGCCAAAAAGTGGACCGGTTGATTTTAATTCAACAGTGTAAGGAGAACCAAAGTCACTGTCCACTTTAAGGGTTCTTTTTCATGTTTGTTGCTCCAAAAAAAAAATTTCAAAGCATAACAAGGTTGCATTTATTTTTATTTAATTAAAAAAAAACGAGTAAGTTGGGATAGTTGGGTTCCGATGGCGTGATTTATTCATTTTGCGCGGTTGTTTCCTCTTGGGTAGGACATATGTCCTCCAGTAACTCCTGAAAAAAGTTCTCAATTTGGATCAGGTAAAGGCGTAACTTACAGCGCGGCTCACGGGTTTTCGACGGCGAAGTTTGGTGGAACCATCCTTTTTAGTAGGCTCCACGCCTTCTTTTTCCTGTAGTGATAGAAGTTTATTTCTCGATGAAAAAAAAATACACACTCTTAAAAAAATTTTCAGGAAATTGAATTCTTTATTTGTTTTTCTAAAATTACTTTATTTCATCACCTTTCCGCAATCGATAAAAATCATAAATCATGGTTTTCCAGTTTCTCACCAAAGTTATCAGGTTGGGAATTCCGGAGTGGTCCCTAGAGGGGTAAGATGAAAGTGGTCCCTATAGAGGTCTCTCAATGTATTTGTTGAGTTTTTTTTTTTTCAGGGAAATGCTTCTCCGCCTAGAGTTCATAATAATTATCGACTAGCATGTTCCCTATAGGGAACACTTTTACAAGCTTCAATGGAGGTTGGTAAAGGGGTCCCTAAAGGGTATCCTACGGTTGCTCCTATAGGGACCCCTCTAGAGTTTCTGAAAAAAGAGCTTCGAAATGTTTTTGCAATTCTTGTTTTCGAGCTCGTTCAAACTCACAATGCTCGCTTCCGTATCTGTCTTCGGCGCCTTTTCAATCTGAAAAAGTATTTGAATCAGAAACTGATGCAGGCAGATGAACTGACCTTCTTGCATTCCTTGTAGAGGGCTTCAAGGAATTCCACAGTCTGAAAGTTGTCTTGAGACTCGATCAACTCGTCTTGAAAACCTTATCCATGTCCGTTCTATCCACCATAAGGTAGGCCCACAAATTCATTTCGACAAAATTACGAAGAGCCGGCGGAGCGCGAGTCTCTTCCAGATTGTTGATCTCCCCGTTTAAAATCTCAAATCAGAACTTTGTCTGAGGTTTACAGTTTTCTACACGTTTGCGCTATCACAAAGGTTAGATCTTGAGGAAATTGCCCTTTGGAAAAAGTTTCATGCTATCGAAAATGTGAGAAGCTTTCAAAAAGTGCAAGTTTTGTCTCGTGATTCTGCTTTCTCTCATCACTTAAAGCTAAAAGTGAACCAAAAAGAATAAGACCAACTTTTTCTCTGGCTTCGGCAGATTTCAACTCCTCGTATGGCATCATTCCCCCCGAAAAGATCTCGTACAAGAGATTCTGAAATAATCCATTTTCTCTTGTCCTGAGAAAGTCAACTCACTCCGAAACCGAAACAGTCAGAAACTTGAACGAATACGAAAATGGAAAGAGTTTCCGGGGACAAATACCGAGTCGGTAACTTCTCCGCAGTCCGCATAAAGTGCAATATGCCGGATGTTGCAAAGCCGAAACCCGAAAGTTTGAGCTAGAAAATATTTCTTCCTAGTTTCTGTCGATAATTTCGATCAAACCGTAAGATCTGAAGCGAGCAAACAGTTCCGGGCGGAGACATCGCGATGAAGCACGTCCATCTCGTGTAAGTAAGCAACTGCTTTTGCCGCTTCAAGGGCGAACTTAAGCAGACGGGAATTGTTGGATCCCTCGAAGTTCTCGATCAGAAAACTGTCTAGGGAGCCGCCTAGAAAATGCTGTTTCGTTAGGACTTGCTTTTCAATTTGAGCAGCTTTTATACAATTTCATTTTACTTCAGCTCTGACGAGGGAGGTAATTTTACTTTGTGGTCGGGATTTTCCAGCAAAATGACTAGAACGCTCCTTGATGTATCAGTAGAAGATTCTGAAAATCTCAAGCTGCAAAACTCCCTCGTTAGGAAAAGACGCCTCGAAGTCAAGGAAAATCCTAAAAACCCATAAAAATAGGCTATTTTGAGGCTTTAGAACCTTATTTCTCGAAAACTAGAAAGTTGGGCAAGTTGGGACTCTCAGAATCTTTTCCTGGTACATCAAGGAGTTGTCTGGCCGATTTCCAGTAAATCCCAAACGGTTAAGCGTTTTTATTTTCAAAAATATAATTGCTCACCCTCCATAAACTCCATTAAAACCATGAATGGCTTCTTATCGATAGCCCATCCGTAGATTTCGATGACATGCTCATGATCGAGTATGAGCAAGTGGCGAGCTTCGTCAAGCATCTTTTCGCCGAGCTCAAAAGCATTGGGACAATCTTTACGCAGCTGCAAGAAAAAAAGTTTTTTCCAAGAACACTTCTTTAATTGTACTCACCATTTTGACTGCGACATTCATTCCGTGAATCCCGAGGCAATTCACTTCGCCGAGGAAAACCTCGCTGTAGACGCCAGATCCAAGCGAAAAAGATGAATTTCATTATGGCGGTACAACAAAAAAAGACTTTTTAGTTTGAAATATTCCTTCAAAAAAGTTCGAATTGACGGTTAATTTCAGTGACGCAAGTGCTTTATTTGAATTCATTACACGGTGATTTTTTTTTACCATTTTCCGTAAAGTGTAGTGTGTCGTGTGCATGCACTGCGGAGCTCTAGCACATGCCGTGTTCAGTAATTTTTGCGAATTCAGTTATATTTCTTATGCCGTGTTCAAAGTAATTTCCGCGAAATGCAAAATGGTCTCTGACCCTCCAAAATTTAGTTATCTTTCTCTTTCTCTGACAGCTATTTTGAATTTCGCGGAATCACTTTGAACACGGCATTACTCTTAAGCGGCTATTCTGAATCTCGCGGAATCACTATGAACACGGCTGGTGCTTAAAAAAAATGAAACAAAAAATTGCGTTTTTTTGAATGAGAAACGGATTCGTCTCATTACCCATTGAACATGCGCCTTTAAAATTCCCTGTTGTTTACGCTCGTTTCTCATGACGTCACATGGGAACGGCGGAGGTTTTGACTCCGCCCCTTCATTTTTGGATTTGCATTTTCTTCCACTAAAAAAAAAGCCGGGATTGATGAATAAATGTGCTCAATTTACATTTATTATGTGTCGAGGGTTTATATCAGGTTGGTTAATCTGTTTTTGTTACTGGAAGAAAATGCAAATCCAAAAATTAAGAGGGCCTGGCCAAGCTCCGCCGCTCTCATGTGACGCCATGGGAAAAACACGTAAACAACAGAAAATATTAAAGGCGCATCAATAGGTCCCGAGACGAATCTATGTCTCCTTTTAAAAAAAAACGCAATTTTTCTGTTTCATTTTTTTTTTGAAACAGATGCCGTGTTGAAAATAATTTCGCGAAATTCAAGATAACCACCAGAGAGTGAAAATATAACTGAATTTCAGAAATTCAGATATGATTTCGAACTTCGCTAAAATTACTTTGAACATGACATGTGCGAGGGCGTCTAGGTGCATGCACACGACACACTACACTTTACGGGAAGTATATGGGCGGGGCGTCGCCAAAAAACGCCGTGTATTCCGTATGTTGTTGAATAAAATTTGATCTAACGGACAAAGCGAAAATCGCTCCAAAACAAAAATCAGTACTGTTTTGGAGTGGCTTTAGTGATGAACACGGCATTTTTGAACACGCCAGTTTTCGAAAAAGTCGAGATTTTCAAGATTAAGGATGACATATACATCATAACTCACTGTCTTTTTTCTTTCTATCTCATTGCCTCTGTATTGAAAGTAGCGCCTTGGGCAAGGGCGTTCCAATTTTATATCTAGCGACTTCTGAAATTATATATATTCTTCAGTGTTCAATACATTTCTTCACGGATGATTTAATGATTAAAACATTTCATTGTCAATACAAGCTAATTCAAATTTCAATTTTTCATTTCTCGGAACTTACTCCGAAGTCCTGATCATCTTCTTTATCAACAGCTTTTACCTTGTCCGGGTTCAGCAAGTAGTAGGCGAGAAGCCATTCCAACGAATCAAAACAAATCTCGAAGTCGATGAAATAGCCCTTTTCCTTGCGGCGAATAATGTGGTCCTTGATTATTACAGGTTCGTCTTTCCCATAGTTCTCGTCCAGGTCTGGATTTAGGTGAGATAAGAACTTTGATTGAAACTGTCAAAACTTGAAAAAAGCAGAAGAAAAAAAGAAAACCACATTGAAGAAGTTTACAATTATGAAAATTAACAATAACTCACAAGGAAGGTCATTTTACTTTGCGTTTGGGAACTTCCAAATTGGTCAAAACACTTCTTGATGTATCAGTAGAAGATCCGGAAAGTTTCAACCTGCACAACTCCCTAGTTTTTGAGAAATTGGGAAAGATTTTAGTGGCCACTATAGAGGCTCGAAACTACTTGGAGAGGACACTAAACCCACCTTTATAGTGGCCACTATTTTCCGTGATAGTGGCCACTATCGAGGTCTCTATTTAGTGGCCACTTCAGTAGTTTTTCACCCAGTATTCCTTCCAGTAACTCTGACAATTTTGAAACAAACAGATTGGACCAGTTATGTTGATATATTGACCCCAAAAGTGACCACTAAAATTTTTAGTGATCTAGTTACACTTACTAGGGAACGTTTTTTTACCCCCCGGTTGAACTTTTGCTGAAACTTTTCCCGAAGTGTACTTTAGAACCCCCTGATTCCAGAACAGGAAGAAAATTTCTCGCAAAAGATCTCGTTTTCGAGTTAGGACACTTCAAAAAGCCCGAAATAGCCCTTTTTTGGCCTAATTTGCGTATTTTGCACACTTTGAAGCTCCATAACTCGGAAACAAGATCTATTGCGAGAATTTTTTTTCTTGATCTGCAATCAGGGGGTCCTAAAGTACACTTCAGCAAAGTTTCAGCAAAAGTTCAACCGGGGGGTGAAAAACGTTCCCTGGTTAGACCTCTAAAGTGGCCACTAATTTGACTACTATGGTGGCCACTGAAACGTCAAAACCGTAAAGTGGCCACTAAAAATTTTTTGACTTTCTGAATTGGACACCTTCAAGTCGAAGATAACCCTGAAAATCTGTAAAAATGAGCCATTTTTGGATTTTGAGCCCGTATGTCTCGAAAACTAGAAAACTTTGCTGATTGAGGTTTCTAGAATCATCTCTTGGTACATCAAGGAGTCTTCTGGCCGAACTTCAAGATCGCCAAGTAAACAGACCTCCCATGTAAAAAAAAAAAATCACCCTCGGTACCATCCTTCGTGTATGCCAACGGGATGCCGACTGAAATCACCGTAAAATCTTCTCCTTCATCTGAATAACCTTATCAAGTAGTCTCAACTCCCATTTTGTTTCACCTTCCCATTTCCTCACCAAAAAATCGCCCCCTCTTCTGATAAACACTCGGCATTCCATCTGCGGTAGGTATCTGAACATGATCGATTCCGAGGTGGTATTCCATCAGAACCTTTACCCATGATAAAAGTAAAGTTTTTCCAAAAAAATGTCGTTCTCGTTTTGGACAACCTTCTCTTCTCTTTCCGGGACAAGAAACTGGTGTAAGTCATCTTCTGTAGAAATTGATAAATCTAAGAAATAATTTTGTGTGTTATAGTCCATCTATTTTTCAAAAATTTGGTTGAGCGGATGAAAAGTTCTTATATAGAACTGTAGCAAAATATTTTCCTCAAAAAGGTTTTAAAAAAATAATATATTGACTTGAAAAGTTATCACACGGTTTGCTCAGTTCCTACAAGCTTAAAGTGCAAAGCCCCGCCCCTTCACGCCACCAAAATGACGATTTTTTTGTTGCAAAAACGGTTTTGAGGCGTTTATACTAGCTAACGTTCCATTACAAGCTTACATGAATTCTTGAAAATATTCTAAATAGTTACTTGTATGCCTTTTTCGAATATCATCCTTTAAACTTCACGAATTGGAAATAGACCTTATTCTCAGAAATAATCGCTGGATGAAAATTTACCCACTTCTTTCAGAAATTTTTCAAAAACATTTAACTTCTTATAGTGTGTGTACCACGACTTGGAATTTCACCGAACGATATTCCGCTGTGCCGCTGCGCGCCTTTGCGAAAATTGATCGCGCTTTTAATTTAGATTTTTCTTTTCTTAAGGTACTCTACTTTCATGTGTTCCCACAGCAATAACAATCATTTGAAATCGTGACTTTGATTCGAAAGACGCTTCGCGAACGCACGCAGCGGAACAGCGGAATGTCGTTCCGTCAAATTTCAAGTCGTGGCACACGGACTATAAGAGGAATTATAATTTATTCACAAACCTCAAAAAGTTCATTTTAATTCGATATTTAATGAAGAACTGAATCTTTCCATCCTTCGATGATTTTTCTAATAATTACGCACAAATATTTTTCTATTTTTTCTTTTGTTGAATTTTCTTATAAGATGTCATATGGTCCTTAGAAAATATGTTAATTATTGCAAAATGGATATACTGTTGAGGGTGATAATGAATCGATACTGGAAATGATAATATGATAATAAAAATCTTAAATCATGAAAAAAAAAGCAACGCTTACGGTTTCTATTTGCCACGATCATTTTTCTGTCCTCCGCCGTCGTGTGGAGCCCCTCTTTGAGACCACCTTTTCCGGTAGCTTCCGCTGAGGTTATCTCCGATAGGATCTTGTCCATGTCTTCCTTTTTCTCCTCCGTTTTTTGAAAGGCTCCGCTGCCTTTGACTTGATCGCCAGGAGGCGCTACAATGATACAGAATTTGACTCAAAAGCAACTAGATCCTGAATTTCGAAATTGAAAAATATAAGTTCAATTTATTGTTTCTCATCGTTTTCCATTTCTTCAGTGAAAAATTGCCTTACTAGTATTAAAAAAATACAGATTTGTTCTAATTGATTGAAGATGATCTACCTTCTTCCGTCGGCTTCTGGACGCTGCCGTTGAGTTGGTTGGGGCTCGTGGGCTCACAGGCATTAGTTGGAAGGACTTCAGCTCCGCTTTTCAGCCGGAAAAGTCCTCCAAAAACCGAAACGAAGGCGTTCTCTTAAAATTTTTTCTATAAAAAACTGATTAACTGTAGAGTTGAAGGACGGAATAGTTCGAGGCTCGAGTTTACTCGGTTCTTGTGAGGTTATCACTTTTATCACATTTCTAGTTGCTTTACTGAACTCTTAGCTCTACCGATCAGTATTACATGATTCGAAACACAAAGGGTTTTTGCGCAGATCCACTCCCTCAAGGAGCAAATAAGGACTTCACCTCCTTTACGACCAACCATCATTTTTGAAAGGCTCATTCCTTTTTTTCAAACACATTTAACTAAAAACAAGAGTCCTTCGCATTAGGCAATGTTTCGTGTTTTTTGAAATTGATGAATTTTTCTTATTCCGATGATAGTTTAAAGAAATTTGAAACGAACTGGCTCGCTGGATGCCCCACACACTTGAACTTTCGCATTTTGCGTCGCCCTTGCCGTCTTCCAAAGACCCTAAAAATTCGATTGAGAAAAAGGTTTCTAAATGCAAATCAGAGAATATAAACACGTTTTTTTTATTAAAGAAAGTTTCTAAAAAGTGATATATGTCTTATCTTTCTGTTTTTTTCATGTAACTGGAAAAAGTTTTTGACGTCTATACTAATTTTATAAACTTATTAATAAAACGTGAAGAAAAAAATAGCTGCGTGTGCCACGTCGAAATGACGTCAGGGAGCAGCGATTTGCGATTAAACTCGGAGTCAAAATTATGTGAAAAAGTTGAGAAAACACATAAGCTACATGAAAACACTCAACAAGACTGAAAAAGTTGAGAAAATTACAATCAAAACTTGAAAATATGAAAAAACTAGTAATCTTTTGCCGTGTTCAATTTGATTCCGCGAAACGCAAAATTATCTATGACTCTCCAAAATTTAGTGATCTTTCCCTTTCTCTAACGGGTATTTTGCATTTCGCGTAATCAAATTGAACACGGCACGGCGTTTTAAAAAGGCTGGAGAGGGTGGCTAGTGGGCGCGGCTTAGCGCAACTGTCGCGCAGTTTTAGGAGACGTTTCTCCGCGTAGATTTACGTGCGCGTGTAAATGTTTTTGACTGTTAAACTCTGTAAAACTGTTCTTTCCTGAGAATATCGTACGTGGAAATGTTCATCTCATGACGGGGGACGAGAGGAAACCCAAAAAATTATAGAAGCTTATGAAGAGTGAAAAATGAGCGATTTTTCAAAAAATCTGTTTTTTGCTCCAGAATCTTGAAAACTCGCTTTTTTTCTGAAAAATTACTACGGTGAACTGTTGATCAAACAATGGAGAATAAGATAAAATCAAAGAGTTTTTCGAATAAAGATTGAAATAGAGAAATTAGAGCTTTTCTCGAAAAACCTGTTTTTCGTCATTAAATCACTGAAAAGTAGTCTTTTTTTGAAAATGTTTCACGGTGAACTATCAATCAAACGATGGAGAACAAGTTAAAAACACAAAACAAGTTGCAGTAAAAGACTAAGGTCCAAATTTTAGACGATTTGCGAAAACTGAAAACTTCGCGAAATCGGGAACAAGAAAAATCGTGTTCATCGAAAAATGTTCGTCTCAGTTATTAACAACTGTGGAAAAAAAAATGGAGCAAAAAGATCTAAAAACAACGAAATTAAGTGAAAAAAAAGAAAAAGTAAATTGAAAAATTAATAATTATCTGATAAGAAGTGTACGCTGGCGCGAACTTGCTTCCTCCTACCGTACTCCGCCGTTAGAACTTTTTCATCATTTTATCGCCTGCCAGTTTTTCTCTTCACGTCCACCCTTTTTAAAACGCCGTGCACGGCATCTATCATAGAAAGTCGATAATTCGATGGTACGACAAAATCTCAAGTCCGCAAATCTCGAGGACCGTAATCTTGTGTACGCAGATCTAAAGTCCCATAATCTTGGAGACCAAAATCTTGGAGACCAAAATCTTGGAAACCACAATCTTGGAAAGTAAAAATCAACGCTTTTGCCAATAGATTTTATCAGAAATTGTATTCGGTGATCCAAACAAGAGAATATAAGTAGATAAAGTGCAATAAAGAAGACTAAAAAGGAAGATGTTTGCTTTCCAAGATTGTGGTTTCCAAGATTTTGGTCTCCAAGATTTTGGTTTCCAAGATTATGGGACTTAAGATCTGCGTACACAAGATTACGGTCCTCGAGATTTGCGGACTTGAGATTTTGTCGTACCATCCGATAATTAAATCACGCCCACTTCATGCAGCGTCCGCACGCTTTTTGCAGCAGCGTCCGCACGCTTTTCGCAGCAGTAGGCGTGAACCCCGCTTTAGAACGCTGTGACGTTGACAAACAGGGTGAACAAAATAAATATATAAGCAAATATTTTTATTTCGCGTATTTATTGTGTTCTGAATGATCTCTCAAAGTGACGTCAGGGAGTATCGGTTTGCGATTGAACCAAACCTAGCGCCTACAGTTAGGGGGCGCAAAGCCCCACCCCTTCACGCCACCAAAATGACGATTTTTTTGTTGCAAAAACGGTTTTGAGGCGTTTATACTAGCTAAAGTCCCACTTTAAAAATGAACTGTTTCTGCTAATCTATGTAATCGACAACGCTCTACAAGACTGAATATTTTTAAAAAAACTATGTTTTTTTCAAAAAAATAAGCGAAAAAAAGTAAGATTTAACACGAAAAAAACTGACAAGTTTCACAAAAAAACGTCGCGTTTCAGAAAACCAAGTGAGGAACGCTTCTAAATTTTTAAGTATGTTATACATTTACACTTTCTTTATTTTTTTTGAGTGAAAATAAAAAAATCTACCGACGCGAAAAAAATATTAAAGCTTGTAAAGTGACACCAAACTTTGAAGCTGAAATGCGAAAAAAATTTCAGCGACATGGTATACTTTTTTTATTCGATTTAAAAAAACTAACAGTGTGTCCAAAAAAATAAAAAAATTCAAAATGAAAAATAATTATTGGGACAGCGAATCAAATTATATTTGAATTTTACCAAAACCTCCTTTTTTCGCCTGCCTCGTTGACGCATGAGAGAATAGGATCGCGTCTATACTTTTGATTATGTTATTAAGCGTTCAAAACTCTACCAATGAAAAAATTATGAAAAAAATCGATCGACGCGAAAAAAATAACGGCTTTGAAAACCTCGAAAAAATAGCAATTTTTTTTGAAATTTCGGAAGATTTCGTGCAAGTGTCCGTAGCAGTGTTTGCGTCAAACACACCGATGCGCCCTTTTAAATGTTGCAGGAGCCGTTTTTTTCGGAGTCAAATTGCACTTTTTCCTGTTTTATTTCGAAATAACATTATTTTTTTCATTTTTTTCTTTTTTTCCAAATCGAATGATAATAATTTTTTTCTGAGTAGAAAAAAAGAAAAAAATAAGCTGAAAAAAATCCCTTTGACCTTTTTTTCTAGGTAGTTTTTTTGATATTTTATCAAAAAAATTCTTATGAGGATTGTACAAAAAGATTCATACCAAAAACATGAGGCTCAGTTCGGACAACCTCTCAAAAACAGAAAACCGATTTAAAAAAACGGTCCAGAAACGCGCAAAAAAACATTTAAAAAGAAAGCGTGCGGCAGCGGGTAAACCGTGAGATTTTTGCCTCCAGTTGTACGCCGCGCGCGCTAGTTTTTTTGGCCATAACTTTTTTCTTAGTGGAGCTTTTTTCAAACACTAAACGGATTATGAAAATGGACAGTCTCCTCTATCGAACAATGTGAAAAACATATTTTTTGAATCGTTCTGAAGAAATGGCTTGCGGTCCCTACCTACAGTACCCTATCATACCTTCAATGCAATTCTCCATCGTCTTCTTGTCGCAGATCGTGTCCTCCATTGCTTGCTTCTTGGTGCTTCCACTAGTGGACTGGAGACACTCGAGATTTAAAAATGACCTTCTTTTGAACTTTACACGTCGCGTTGACTTTTATTCTTACACGTCGAAAATAATTATTTACTTTATTTTCCTTGCTTTTTTTAATTTTCTTCATCTTTCAGTGAATATTTTAAAATAGACACGCTTGCCATTTCAATCGAGTTACTGACTTTTCTTGTGACTGGAACTCGAGAACCAGGAAAAATATTAATTTTTTTGAAGAATTCTTGAGCGGATGTTGCTTTTTCATGGAAGTCAAGGCTTCTTTTTTTGAATTTTAAAAAAACACCTTTTTTTCTTTATCTGAAACACTTTCGAACGACTGGAATAGATCTTGAAAAAAAGTTTAAAAATTTAAGACAAAAAAATAGACAATCTCATTCATGAACGTATTATTAGTAACAAAACGGGTTTTTTTTTCCTTTTTTTGGGCGTTTTCAAGTAATTTTGGGTATCATGCACATTAATTTCAAATCATTGATAAAAAAAGGATCACTATCAAACAAGATTCAGATGCTTTGGATCAGATCGGAATTTTGATCTCATTATCATCTCAAATCTCTTTTAAAATATTGCTTATCGAAGCGTTAAAAGGCATGGAAAAGTCGAATTTTAGCGTATTTGTCTCATTCAAAATCTGTTTAACGTTTTTTTTTAAGTTTTCAAGGTAGGAAAAAAATTTGTGGGGTCTAAAAAGAGTCTTTTTAACTTTTTCTAATCATAGAACTTCTCGAACTCACTTGACATGTTTCAAAAATAGATGGTTTCGAAAAAAATTTTCGCTCAATTTTGCCTTGGATCGACCAGTTCATATACAGAAACTTTGAGGGTTCAAATTTTTTTAATCAGCTGATTTTTGAACTTACTTGACCATTGGCAGCCTTAAACTTCCAATAATTGAAGATTTTGAAAAAATTTTTCGCTTAATTTTGCCTTGGGTAGGTCATTTTTGACCTTATCGGCTCCTCCAAAGATTATTCTGGCGAAATTAAGTGAAATTCAAAATTGAATCACCTTTCTTCACGGCATTTTTGTTGGTGGAAGAAAATGCAAAATCAAAAATGTAAGGGGCGTGGTCGAAAGCTCTGCCGTTCCCATGTGACGTCATGAAAAAAATAACGTAAATAACGAGGAATATTAAAGGCACATGTTCAAAAGGTCATGAGACGAATCGGTTTCTCATTAAAAAAAAACGCAATTTTTCTGTTAAATTTTTTAAGGGCGAGAGCGCCGAAGTGCATGCACACGACACACTACACTTTACGGAAAAATATATGGGCGGGGCGTCGTCAAAAACACGCCGTGCCTTGTTAGGAAATAAGGCCATTTTGGCCATTATTGTTTTGAAATATACAGAATTTCGTAAATTTTTAGAAAATGACGCCATTCTTTTCTTTTATTCTTTTCTAAATAGATAGAACTTCCGCCCGAGACCCGAATGTCAGTTTTTTCTCAATTTTGTGACTCACTAAGACTGATAACGAGATGGCCGTGGCATTTTATCGCTTCTGACATGTGTTCCTATCTGTTCGCTTTCTCCCGTTTTCTTTCCCGCCCCTGGAGTGCTCACTTATTGGTTTTTTTCTGTTCCTCGACGTCCGTAGGTCGTTTCAATATTAGTGCCTTTGGGCCAGCTTCTCGGCACAAAAAATTCATGAACTTCTTCCCCTTGGTTTTCAGTTTTTTTTTCTTTAGTGCATTCCGCTCTCTTTTTTTCTTGGCGTTGGAATTTCGTAATCGAGGCTTTTTATTGGTTTCTCTGCTGTTTGAACTTCGAAGGGGGAGGTTTTGCTTGGAATAATGGAAAAATTAAAAATAGCATCTTATAACTTGAGTTTCATAGAAAAATTTATCAGAAAACCTGGAATTTTCTTCTTAAAATCATAGAACTACCTTTTATAGTTGTTTTTGAAAGTGCGGCAGTTCTCAGGCCTTCATTTTTTTGATCAAGTTTTTTTGCCAAGGTCACTTTCTCGAAACACTTTCTGAAATACTAAACTGGGAAGTTTCGGTTTTATTACTTCTTTTTGGTTTTTTTAAAGAATTTCTTTTAAATATATGACCCCAAAACTATGAAAAAAAGGCTGTCTAAAAATCAGTTCGAATTATTTTTTTAATAGTCATCAAAGCCATTAGTATTTTTTTTCAGAAAAATGTCGATTTTCCATTTTTTTCTGGTTTAGATTCCAAATCTAGACCTTTAATAAGTCAATTCAATTTTTTTGTAAATTCTAATCTTCTCCCAATTCGCATTTTGCAACATTTCCAAGCGGCTCGTTAATTTTGGGCTTTCCAGAAAAAAATATTTATGAAAAGGTCATATTTCGAGCGGATTTTCAGCAGATTACTTTGATAATATTGATAATTTATTTTCTCTTTTACACATTTTTTTATTATAGTCAATGTTTCCCGACTTGAAAGGCGAGGGAGGCGGGGCAAGGGGCGGGACGCGTAGCGTGTGCGTTCGCGGTTCTTGGCGCAAGTTCTATTCAATCGCCGCCGACTATTTAAAAAGCTCGGCAACCGCTCTTTTTTTCAATTTTTTCTACTATTTTTTGATGCACACATGAACATAATCAATAAATAATTTTAAAAAAGTAGTGGAAAGAGCGATAAATGAGCTCTCTGAATGCTCGCTAGCGGTTGAGTTGAACACGTGCCAAGAACCGCGTACGCACACGCTACGCGCCCCGCCCCCTGCCCCGCCTCCCTCGCCTTTCAAGTCGGGAAACATTGACTATAAATGAGTTTTCGATTCTAAAGGCTCAAAATAAAATTCCGTAAGGAAAAAAATGCAACTTCCTTTTATGGACTTTAATCATTATGAAACTTTCTGAAGTTGTCATGACTGTTATTTGTAAAACACTGGTGGAATCTGAGTTCCCAGAAAAAAAGCAGTTTTTTGGGGTTTCATTAAGATTAAGCTCCATACATAGGCAAAGTCGGAAGGACCCCTTAAGGACCTTTTGAGGGTTTTTTATGAATCAAAAGGTTCCCATTAATTGTTCCTAAACAAAGGTTTCCTTTTTATTGCCTTTTTCCGTCGTTTCATCGCCCTTTATCCACCCTTTTCGGACCCTTTTAAAAAGAAATCTTTTTAAATTAAGAATAATCTTTACGAGTGACTGTGTATGAACCAAAATCTTGTACAGAAGTGAAATCGGAAATCATCAATGGCCGGGACTTTCAGCCCCTTTTGCGGCCTCTCCTTTTTGCACCCTTTTTCACCCTTTTCACACCCTTTTTCCAACCTTTTTAGGCTTTTTAGTCCACCAAGAAAGAAAGGCTCAATAAAGGCCGCAAAACGGATCCCTTTCAGCGTACATTTTGCACCCGTTTTCCGCACTTCCGACTTTGGCAGTGTTATAGTTTGTTCAGATTTTCAATGTCAAGTGCAATGACGTCATCCAAAACACTCTGTGAATGGCTCCCATTCTGATTGGTTTATCGCACCATTAGGGGCGGAGCTTGAGTGATGACTTAAAATTCAAAATCTGGACCGCCTATACGAGCAAAAATTTGAAAAAAAAGTTTTTTTTTTGACGGAACTTCAGCTTGAGTTTAAGGCTGTTAAAAATCTGCAAATCGCAACATTTCCGAGCGGCCCATCAATTTCTGGGGTTCCCGAAAGAAGTTGTACAAACGAAAGGGCGTGCGATAATTCACGCGGATTGAGACATGTGTTAACACTCGCCGGTGGTGGAACCTTTTTTCTTTTTTTTTTCGGCTTTTGTGCCCTGCCGACATTTTACGATTCTCATTTCGTGTCCGTTGGTTCACTGCATTTTATTCTCATTTCGAGTCTTTCTTCGTTCGTTTTATGTCGAGAGGAGAGTAAAAAACGGGGAAGACTTAATTGCAGAGGTGTAGGTCCCAACGAGTGCAACTGCTCTTTTGAAATTGATATTTTCCAGTTTTTAGTTCTTTGAGTTTCTAGAGTCTCTCTTCATAATTGCTTTTTTTACTTTTTCCTTTTGAGATCCATGGAAGCTAATTTTTTTGAATATTTTTCATTAAAAATTTGAAAAAAATAAAAAAATTTTTTATAGGTGACTTTATATGGTAACTTATTAGTTGTCGATAGAAATTCGCTAAAAATTATTTTTTCAAAACGTTGTTTTAAGGTCATTTCTGATCGATTTTTCATAAGAAATTCGGTATTTTTCGTTTGAAATACTTCAGGTGTTTTTTTAAAAAAAGTTGATCGTAAGGTCATTTTTTTATCGGTTTTTTTCATTATAAAAAAACAACGTTTTTTTGTGGCGATTTTTGCTTTGAACGCGTAAGTGAACTTTATAGACCCTTTTTTGAAGACTTTTTAGACCTTGAAAATGGAAAAAGAAATATTTAATTTTTACAGCTGACTTTTTATATGGTATATGCTAACTCTCACGTGTCGATAGAAATTTTTGCTAAAAATAATTTTTTTCAAAAAGTTCTTCCAAGGCCATTTTGATAAAAAAATTGGCAAAAAAATGACTTTTTTTAAAAAGTTTTTTTGAAAATGATTTTGATCGATTTTCATAAGAAAGTCGGTATTTTCGTTTTGAAATCAATCAATAACTTGTAATGGAATTTCATAGACCTTTTTGAGGTTTTTTTGGACTTTAAAAATAAGAAAAAAATGTTTTGTAAACTGTCGTTCAAATTTTTTTGAGTGGGAAGAAATTTTTTTCTTTCCAGGTTAATTTTTGAATTTTTTTAGAAGGTTTGAATGAAGGCTTCTTCGAAATATTTTTTGTTGTAGAAAATTTTTTTGAATTTTTATATTACAGATATTTTTGAATCGTAAGATTTCCAGAACATTTTTGGATGGTAGGAAGAGATTTTGGGCCCGCGAATATCCGTGAGCGTGAATTGTGCATACACCCATCTTTGGGGCTCGAATAATTGCAAATTTGACTTTTGGAAAGTTCACAATTCACGCTCACGAACTTTCGCGGACCCGAAATTCTTTCCCACCATCCATTTTTGATTTTACAAAATTCCAAAAAAAGGAGATTTTTCGAAATGAATATCGTTGTCCCGAAATCGAACAAATTCGAAAAAAAAACCATTTTTTTTCTCACATAAAATGTGGTTCATTTCTTGCATTACTCTATTTGCACAACCGTGTGATTTCGGGGGTCGCTGAAAGAAAAAAAAAGGCGCCCTTCCAACGCAACTGTCCGTCCGGGCATCACCTTTTTTCCGATTCCACGCGTTTTTTTGCCTACTTTTTTCGGTTTCAAAGCGTCTTTACAGCCAAATCTTCTCTTTGGTGATGCTCTGAGGAATTTCGATTCACTTCCTTTTTTTGGCTCATGTTCGACGACGTCGAGCGGCTTTTTCATGAATATGTACAGAGGTTTGGTTTCTTCAAGTTTTTATGAGAGATTCTCAAGACTGAGGAGAATACGGTCATGTGTGCTCCAATGACAAAATGTGGAAAAAAAAAATTAAATTTTCTAATTCCATAGTCTGTTCCGATTTTGAATGTCAAGTAAATGATAAAAGGGATTTCCGCGAAAGGCAAAATTTTCTCTGACTCTCCGAAATTCAGTTATCTTTTTCAGTCTCTGACGACTGTTTTAAATTGTTTCAAGTGAAATGACGTCATTCGAAAACGCTCTGCGGATGACTCGCTCTCTGATTGGTTTATCGCGCCAAAAGGGGCGGAGCTTGAGCGACGACTTGAAATCCCAAATCTGAACAGACTACGGCCACGTTTCACAGCAGAAAAAAGCTACCGTAAACACAATTTTTGCACTTTTACTCTACAAAACTGCAAAAAAGGTCTCGAAGCGAATTTTGGGGGGTTTTTTTTGGCGGGGGCAAAAAGGATCAAAAAAATTTTTTGATCAGATTTTTTCAGTGCCGACCGAGCGCTGCTTCTTGCCGCCATTTTAATATTTTTCGTGATTCTCATCTTGATCCTCAATGCGTGTCTTTGTATACATCTACGGCGGAGAACGAAAAGAGAGGTTTTATTGACTTTTTTTTGTAAATTTTGGTCTCAATCTTTGCTAGAAAACTGATTACTTCGCTTAAATTTTGAAGGGTTGAGAGGCTATTTTTGTTGGTAAAGAGAGCTCTAGAGAAATTTTTTTTTTGGATTGTCTGGATTGTAAGCAACTTTGGCGGTTTATCATCCGTAGGGCACAATAGAATCGAATTTTTAGCCTTAACCGTTTTTTAAATTTTTTTTTTTTGAGTATGAAAAAATTTTTATTTAGACTGTGTAGGATAGAATTTATCATCTAGAATTCAAATTTATATCTTTACTGATTATTATCCACAGAGCGCAATTTGACTTTCACGCTAAGATCTACTGTTCATTGAAGGATGTATGGTCTTAGGAACGCTGGAGTGATCGCTAGAGGGGCGATCTCCTAGGAGCACTTTGAAGGTCTCCCTCTAGGGTCCATCTGACATGCCCCTATCGTGGGAATTGGAAAAAAAGTGACCACTCTAGGGGAGCATGCAAGTGGTCCCATGACGTCTTTTCAACGTTTGAATCAGAAAAAAAAATCTAAAGACCACTATAGGGGACCACTGACCTTCAGGGGATTCTGGATCAGACCTGAAACCCCTATAAGGATAACCTTTTATTTTTACCCCTCTAGGGAACACTTTCTCTCTTATAGGGACGGCTTTTTCCTAAACCCCTCTAGGGGCCACTAATCCTTAAGAACACGATTTTATTAACGACATAAAAATTGAAATTACAGCTTGTACACTACCCATCCGACACGCTGCAGTACATCCCATTCCCACGAAGATTGGGCCGAAACGGCGAATCCCAAAAAAACTAACGTCAGCCTAGCGAGAAACTCGAGCTTCACCCCCTTTTTTTCCGGATACCTCAATATTGCAATCATCATCAAATGAACAACGTTTCTTTTATTGATCGAAATTGTGGTTCCGCGACACTTCTTTTGTCATTTTTCCAATAGAAAAATGGAAAATTTCACACAACATATTAAAAAAGAAACAAAAAATGCGTGGAGGCCTTAGGTGGTGACTCAAAACGAATGAAAAGAAGGAAAATTTCGAATAAAAATGATAGGTTGGAAAATCAGGCAAATAGCTAGAGAGTATGGGAAACGTGGAGACGGCCAGACATCCAGGGAAATCCAAGCTCTCCACAATTTTCATGATATCTAGCTTGTTTTGAGCCTTGAAAAACCTTCACACGGGAAAAATTGATGTTCTTGGATCATTTTTGGCTATTCTCCATTCACCGCTGGCTTCGGCGAAATAGTGTGCGAAAATAAGAGATTTAGACGTCTATGTGGTCATTTTTTTGCGATGAATGGAGCACACAACGACGATTTTTTGGAGCAAAAATCGTCACTTCCCTTCAAAAATCCTATCCAAGACTGCTCAAAAATGATTTTTTTTTTCGCTTCGCACCTCAATTGCAACAATACTTTCATATATACAACAAAGACTGGAAGGAAAACGAAATTTCCTCCAAACGAGGCCAAGAAAAAGGAAATAACTAGCGTCCGAGAAAAAAAAAAACGAATTTCAAGAATATAGAGAAATAAGATACAGGAGTGTTGATACCTCGCCTTGTATGGTGGGATGGAAGAACGAACAAAAAAGGAAAATTGTGCGCTTCATTTCTAGTTCAAAAGGAGGGAGACATTTTTAATACGGGAAAGAGGAATATAATAGAAGAGACAAAATTAGGAGATAATTTGGCCGTGTTGAAGATCGTCGACGTGGACGTGGTGATGGAGGTCCGAGTGGTCGTCTTCGATGTCGATGCCCGGGATTTTCGGAATGATGGCGCTTTTGTAGTCGCGCATTTCCTGGAAAACCCGGACGTTTACAGCTGATTCACGGCGTTTTTTATTTTTGAAGACGCTCCGCCCATATTTTTCCGTAAAGTGAAGTGTGTTGTGTGCATGCACTGCGCCGTTCTCCCACATGCCGTGTTCAGTATTTTTTTTTTGCGAAATTCAGTTATATTTTTTACTCTTAAGCGGCTATTCTGAGTTTCGCGGAACCACTCTGAACACCGCATTTGATATTAAAAAAAAATAACACCGAAAAATTGCGTGTTTCAAATGTGAAGTCGATTCGTCTCAAGACCCATTGATGCCGCCTTTAATATTTCCTGTTGTTTACGCTTATTACTCATGACGTCATATGGGAATGGCAGAGGTTTTGACTCCGCCCCTTTTATTTTTGATTTTGCATTTTCTTCCACTAACAAAACGTGGCCATTGAAAAAGGTCCTGACGAGATTTTAGAAAAAAAAGCAGAGACAGTGCTTGGTTAGCGGAGAGCGCAGACAGGCCACGCCTCTTTTGGGTCTCAAGTTAACACGTTACAAAAAAATTTTGGCGATTTGAAAAATTCGTTTGATCTCGCGAAATAGGAGTTTAGAAAAAATTGGGTCTTACAACGAGATTTTTGCGATTTTTAGAACTATTTGGGGGGCTTTTTACGAAAATTTCGAATTCTACAACTTTCAGAGCAATTTCAGAGAAAAATAATATTTCAAGTTCAATTTTCAAGCTTTCTAAGATTCGATAGAAAATTTTAAGAAAAGTTAACCTATCCAAAAATTTTTTTGAAACCGTAAAGTGAAATTCGAACCTCTGCATATCGTTCCTTATCCATTTGCGCTTTTCTTTCGTACATATCCTTCTCTTCCTGGGGAACTGTTTTCCACAATCGGCCGAGTTCTTGGGCGACCTGTAAAATTGCTCTCTATGAAAATTCTTGGGCTTCAAGGACGGATTAAATATATAATATAAATAAAGCAACATTTTTAGCGAAATTTTCATCGAAATGTAAATTTTTCCAGTGCAGAAGAATTCATGGAGATGACAGGAAGGTAAAAAAATGAGCAAAAATTTGAAAAAGACAATCCTCTCGTTTCACGTTTCACGCTATGCTTTTTTTCACAAAAATGAATTTATAATTTTCCAAAAAAATACAGATTTTTTTGAGCTTTTTTTAAAAAGTATTTCTTTGACGAATAATAACAAAAGCTTGTGAAAAATGGCATTTTCCTTCAAAAAAATCATCCTTTTTACAATATTTCTTTGAAAAAAAGATCCAGTTGATTTGAACATTTGAAAACGGAAAAATCCACTGTTTAAAATTTAGCCGTTTTTCTCGAGTATATTGTGAATTTCTTGCGTAAAAAAGGTTTGAAAAACCACAGTATACAGAGCTTTTTGCGCGTTTCGCTTCAAGTCCTGTGGTCTTAAGGTATATGGTATTTTGGGCAGATAAACTTTTTCAAAAAATAGTTACAAGAAAGAGAAAAAATGCAGTTTTTTGCGTTTATAGTGATAACCGCGCGTTCATAATAATAAGGGAAAAATTACAGTAAACAGAGCTTTCGTTTCAAGACCTGTGATCTTAAGGTATACGGTATTTTGGACAGAAAAGCTTTTGTTGCAAAAAATAATCACAAGAAAATGAAAAGAAGACCTTTTTGTTGCGTATATAATGACACCCGCGCGAATTTTTTTCTCCTTTAAGAAAAAAGTAGGAAAACTACAGTAAACAGAGCTTTCGTTTCAAGACCTGGATCTAAAGGTATACGGCATGGGCAGAAAAACTTTTTCAAAAAATAATCATTAGAAAAAGAAAAAAGGCGGTTTTCGCGTATATAGTCATACCCGCGCGAATTATTTTCTCATTGAAAAATCAGGAAAACTACAGTAAACCGAGCTTTCGCTTCGAGACCTGTGATCATTAGGTATATGGTATTTTGGTCAGAAAAAAAAAACCAAAGAAACCTCAAAATTCTCGCGAAAAAATGATCAAAAGAAAAAGTTTTCCTGTGAATATGGTAATTTGGGCGCGAATATTTTTTCCTTCAAAAAGCAAAAAAAAACTACAGTAAACCGAGCTTTCGTTTCAAGACCAAAGAATTCAAGGTAAACGTTATTTTAATCATAAAAACACGTGAGAAGGTCTACTTCTCAAAAAAGTTGCAAAAAGGATCTTAACAATAAAAAAGAGGAAGGAACCTGTCCGACTTTCCACTCGGGATGCTGTCCTTGGACGGCGGGACGACGATCTTGGGAGAAAAAGAAGAAGGCCGACCTGAAATGCGTGCAAATGACGATAGGAATGCACTTTTTTGCGATCTTACAAGGCTCTTTTCGGCGCATTTGGATCCTTTTTGGCACGTTTGCGTTTTCGCATCGCGTCCTCGCCGCCGTAGGCTGCTACCTGCAAAAAAAAAATTATTTTTCATACTTTTTCTGAAGTAATTTTCGGCGTTTTCAAAATTGACGCGTTATTCGTTAAAGATTGTCTCGCGAAATACGCGAATTAATAGAGTCTTGAAAAAAAATTGGGTCCCACAACGAAATGGCAACTTTTGGAACCCCAAGTTTTGAGACTAATTTGAACATTTTTCAACCAAAATTCACGCCCAAAATTCGCCATATAGCGATATATATTATTGTTGTAGAGACCCAATTTTTAAAATAAAAATAAAAGTATAAAAAGAAAAAGCAATTGAAAAAAATCGATATTTAGCTTTTAATAGATTGAATATTTCTTCAAAAAAATTAAATTCTCTTCGATTTTTTTCATTAGAAAGAGCTCGGGGAAGTTATAAAGCTTGTATTAAGTTTAATAATCCTAATTTTTCCAATCCCAAAAAAAGTAATTAAGTTCGATTTTTCCTCCGAATTTCCTTCAGCGAACTAAATACTGAACAATTAGAGCCCTAATTTTCAAGCGAAAGAGGCCAAAAAATCGAAAATCGACTGTAGAAAGACAAAAATAATTCGAAAGACCTTGCATGTAAAAATTTTTTTTTCTCAAATTTTTGGTAATAATTCAAAATTTTAACGGCATTAATTATTCGAAGTTTCTTTACCAAAAAAAAAAAAACGCAAAAATGCTTCTTTACAACATTTCAATGATAAAAATAAACAATAAGAACGACAGGAATTGTTTTTGAAATATTCAATAAAAAGTACTTTTTTTACTTATGACTTCCCGTTAACGATTTCTTTTTTTCCTATCGGTTTTTCAGTTCGATCCCATTTTTCAATAAAATCTCAAGAAAGGTCGAAATTTCCCGACGAAAGACAATTTTTCATTTCAGAAGAAGGGAACGTCAACGTTCCCAGACATCGATCAATCATTTTGCCACTCTCTCTCTCAAAACTTTTCAAGATTCTTATCGTTCGGAATGATAAAGTGGTGGGGAAAAATGAAGAATTGAATGTTCCTGAAGCAGAAAAAAATCTCAAACTGCAAAAAAATTAAAAAAATTCTCTGAAAAGACAGATTTTCCATTAAAAAAACACTACAGAAATTTATTCTTAATGATAGTTTTTGCATCTTTAAAAAGTGAGATTCGTGAAAAATCTAATGAAAAAAATGGAGATTTCTAGCGAAAAAAATGGAGCGAATTGGGTAAAAAAAGAAAAAAATCAAGCAAGTTTTTTTATGAAGAAAAAAATGAGATTTAATCCGGATTTTTTTGGTCTAAAAACACAAATTAACGTTTCAAAAGTCATCAATTTTCGCTAAAAGATAATCCTTTTCAGAAGTTTTTTTCAATCTCAAACTGCAAAATTAATTAAATTCCTTTCCAGAAGAAAAGATTTTCCATAGGAAAAAAACCAGAAAAAAATTCATTTTTAATTACAGTTTTTGCATTTCAAAAACGTAAAAACTCTTCTGGAAAATGATGATTTCTAGTGTCAAACATAAGAAAATTATGAGAAAAAGTAAAAAAATAAAGCAATTTTTTTTATGAATAAAAAGATTTTTTTGAGCTTTAAACGCAAATTTACGTTTCAAAAATCCATCAATTTTCGCTAAAAAATAATCCTTTTCAGATTTTTGATCAATGACGTCATTCGAAAAACGCTCTGTGGATGGCTCGCTCTCTGATTGGCTTATAGCACAAAAAGGGGCGGAGCTTGAGCAACAAAATGACATTTTAAATGCGAACAGACTATAGTCTGTTCAGAAAAAACTAAAAAACAGCTTTTTTGCACTTTTGCTCTTTAAAACTGCAAAAAATGTCTCGAAGCGAAATTTGGTCAGAATAAATCAATAATTCACGAAAAAATAACCTCGGCTTGATATCTTTCCGCATCTTTCTGTGCCAGTTCATAAAAACGTCGTTTCTCCTCATCAACCATTGTCTAAATAATCATGTTTTTCATTTTGAAACCTCAAAAAAAAAAAAGAAACCTTCCACTTTTCGGAGCATTTCTTGGAGATTTCCGTCACTTGGACGTTCTCATTCGGATACTTCTTCTTGTGCTCCTCGTAGCACATTTTGACGAAAAATCCATACGGCGAGGTCTTGCCGCGAACCGGCGGCTTGCCCATGTCCCTCACAGACGTCGCTGTGAATGACATCGCCTGGGAGGGTTCCAGTCTGTCCTGCAAATGGTCAAAAAATGGTTTTGATCTAGCAAAGAAGGTCCTTTGTTCATTTGGCCGCCCAACTTCGCGGTTTCGGAATTTTGGTGGTGTGAAAAAAAGACCAGCGAAAATTCAAACGGCGATTTTTCCGATTTTTCAAATGGCTAGAGAACTTTCCGACGAATCTTTTTCCGACTTTTTTCTCGATAAAACCTTCGTTTTAAATCTTCCTATATAAAGCAGGTAGTTGGTTCATTATTAAAACACAACGAAATAGAAAAAAATCTTCATAAATGTTTTTATAAACCGAAAAACATAAGGAAAAAAGTCGGAAGAATATTCGTCGGAAAGGTGGCTGTCGGAAAGTTCCCTAGCGATATGAAAAAATCGAAAAGTCGCCGTTTGAATTTTCGCTGGTCTTTTTTTCATACCGCTGCATTTTGTCTTGTACACTTTTTATGCCGTGTGATTCCGCGAAATCCATTATACCCGTTAGAGAAAGGAAAAGATAACTAAATTTTGGAGAGTCAGAGATAATTTTGCATTTCGCGGAAATCTTAAACAAAGGCCTGATGCCGTGTACCAAATGCAAAGTTCCCTCTGATCCTCCAAAATTTAGTTTTTTTCTTCCTCTGACGGATATTTTGGATTTCGCGGAATCACTTTGAAAATAGCATTAGGAACGTTTTACAACCCCTATTTTTGATAAAACTTTGCTGAAGTGTACCCTAGGACCTCCGGATTCCGAAAAAAAAAATAATTGCTCGCAAAGAACCTAAGTTTCGATTTAAGACACTTCAAAAGCTGGAAATAGCGTCATACTTTTCGTGTTTTCTTAAATTTGAAGCTTCAGAAATCGGAAAAAAGATAATGCTCCTTTTTTTCTAAAGCCAGGAGGTCCCAAAGAATCCTCGAAATTTCAAACTGGGGCTAAAAAACGGTCCCCAGTGAGATAATGTAAAGATTAAATAAAGATTAATTTTTTTTTCGACTTCCATTATTTTCTTTGTTCCTCGACTCAATCTCAATATGTAACTTCAAAATCCTTTTTTTCAACCCTCCAAATTTTTCCATTCTCGAAACTTACGACGTACGACGACTGGGAAGCCGTCGTTGAACTACTTGGAAAAATGTTGGCGCTGAAAGTTGAATTCATAATCTTCGTGTCTCTCTCAAACTCTTCTAAATGTTCAAATTTGAGAATCAGCTGTTTCGTTTGCGGCGGAACAAAAAAGAGAGACGAAGGGAGGAGAACGGAGTGAAATGGGATAGACGGGGGAAGGAAACACACGGAGAAAGATTGCAACGACAGCGGACGGACGGACGCTCACCCAAACGCTCTCCACTTGAAGGGAAACACTCACGGGCGCCAAACCGCCTTCCTACTAACAACCTTCTCACTGAAAAAAAAACACACATTCGAAGCGAAATGCCAGGAAATGCCTCAAGTTGCCATCCTGCAACCGTTTTCTGATCTTATTGGCGCGATAGGCGTTTTACAGTGACGTAACAAGTTCCAAATGCTTCAGTTTTAAAGGAGCATAGGAGGACGTTAGTAGAGATTGTAACGTTATGCCGCGTTCAAAGTAATTTCCGCGAAATTTAAAAATAACCTCTGATTCTCCAAAATTAAGTTATTTGTTTCTTTTCCCGACGGCTATTTTGAACTTCACGAAATCCCTTTGAACATGGCAATTAATTGAAAAAAATAAATTTATTTTTTTCACTACAATTTATTTTTTTATTTTTGATTGAGCCTACGCTTCGAAACATTTTTTTTTCAAAAATCCACGCTGAAGAGTTTGAAGAAGTCTAAAAGGTCTTAATAAAGGCCTAAGGCGATTTTCACTATGAAAGACTTTGGGTCTTTGAACAAAGCTTTTTTTTGAAGATGCACACTTTGTACATTTGCAATACCTTTTTAAAAATTTAAAGGGACATGAGAACCTAAATGTTGAAAATAAAAGGAAAATAAATAAAGTATTCAGCCAGGTTTTTTTGAATGCCGCACCTTACCAAAATTATTTCCGATACTAATTTTCGAACGTTAAACAAAATATTACAGTAACCTTGACTAGCCCAACATAAATATGAAGTCAGAAATCTGAAATCACTTTTCGTTAATCCAAACTAGATACACAAATCAAACTTGGAAAACATAAAAGGAAATTTTGCCGAATGAAAATAGAACCGAAACTAAAATAAACTCATAAGTAACCCTTCAAATAATACAAATCCTCCTGAAAACACCATTTCAAAACTTGATTCACCAGCGTGGGATCACAGACTCCTTTTCACGTGAGTCTTTTCCATTCAAAATACACCTTTTTAGGCCCATCAACAGAATAATTCACGTTGGCGCGCTGGTGCGTTCAAACCATTGAAATGATATCCAAGTATGAAGAAAAAAAAAGAAGCAAAACAGCAGGCAAAATGCGATATAAGGAAAGAGGGCCATAATCGTAGAATGGGAAAAAATGGCTAGAGAGTTAGGCGAGGCCGGAGAGCGACGGCCGTGGGCCGATAGAGCGCAATGCAAGTCGGAGAATGGCCGCGGCGATGGGGCGAAACGAGAGAGCATGTGACGCGTCTGACAGAGGGGCACGCAGACACCCCAGAAGACGTCGGAGACGACAGACAGGGGCAGAAAACGCCGAGGCAGCGTGCACTCGTCTGTTGTCAACGTGCGAATCGATTGATGCGAGGGAGAGGAGCGGTTTTTGGCGCGCTATTGGTTCCGCAGCGAAGAGTCGTCTGGCGCGAAGCCAAGGGCGATTTAGTGAGAGCCCCGAGGGGTTTGAAATGCATTTTGATTTGTTTTTTTTTTCTTTTAGCAATATTTCAAAGAGATTTAGGCTCTTCATGATTTGGGTGGCCGAAAAAGTAGCTTGAAATATAAAAATAAACCTTTTTCAATAAAATTCTCCGTTGATTTTTTATGATTTTTTTTTGTTTTCCTTTTCGTCCTGAGATTTCTCTTCTCACATACAGCATTCGAAGAAGTTTTTTTCCTTGAAATCGAACAGAATTCGTCAATAAAAAAGCAAAGGAATCTTTTGAAAACACCCATTATTTTTTTATTTAGTTTTCTCGGCTTCGTTGATAATGTGATTCATTGTTTTTCATTACGTTGGAAAAATTTTATTGCGTTTGCCATAAAATTTGAACGACTTTGACAGCAAAAAGACGTTTTTTCTGTGAAAATTTTCCGAATATGACTTACTTTTCACATTATTTCACTGTAAATCTCGTTATTTTTTTAAAATTGTATTTTTCAAGCTTGAATCTTTGAAAAAAACGGAATGAATGTTCGTGTTTGTTTTTTTATTGGATAAAAATGATAAGAGGTCATAATTGTTTTTAAAGTCATTTTTGAGAAGTTTTTCTGCCTCATTTTGCTGAAAAGGACGATTATAAACGGTCATATATTTCATTCACGAAGAAATTTGCGTTTTTATTCTGAGTTCATCGTTCAAAACTTTGCTTCGTTTGCCCATTGACTATAAATCTCGACTCGGCGGATAATCTTACAGATGAGTTCAAAAGCCCAACGGGATTATCCGTTACACTGGGCCGTCTACGCCAATGATTTCCGCGGGCTTTCGAAATTGCTCAGCGGAGAAGAAGTCGAGTGTGAGAAATTGGACTGTCGGGGCAGGTTTCAGACGAAAATTTGGAGGATTTTTGATAAATATTGATGAATTAGGACACCATTGATGCTGGCAGTGACGATGGGACATACGGAATGTGCCATGAAGCTCTTGAAATACGGCGCAAATCCCGATGCTCACAATAAAGGTGAAGCGCATTTTTTTTTTGAAGCTTGGTAGGGTCTAAAAATACTAGATTTTGTGCTGATTCCAAAAATACCCTACTCGCCCGTTTTTATCCCGATTTCGACCCGAAAAAATCGGTTTGAAGTACCGAATTTCCGACCCAAGAACGCATAAGAAAAAAATTTTTTTCAGAACATCAATTTTTAAAAATCTTAAAAAAATACAAGATTTTTTTTGCTGATTCCAAAAACTACCCTATTCGCCCGTTTTTTTCTCCTGTTTTTTTGACCCGAAAAAAATTGGTTTGAAGTACCGAATTTTCGGCCCAAAACGCTTTAGGAAAAATTTTTCAAAACAACAAATTTTAAGATCTCAAAAAATACAGGATTTTTTTGCGGATTCCAAAATTACCCTATTCGCCCGTTTTTCTCCCGATTTTGACCCGGGAAAAATGGTTGGAAATACCGAATTTCCGGCCTTTCCTTCACGTCCCTCGACCTCAAAAACGCTTTGGGAAAGCTTTTTCAGAACATCAAATTTTAAGGTCTCAAAAAATACAGGATTTTTTTGCGGATTCCAAAGTTACCCTATTCGCCAGTTTTTCTCCCGATTTTGACCCGGAAAAAATGGTTGGAAATACCGAATTTCCGGCCTTTCCTTCACGTCCCTTGGCCTAAGAACGCATAAAGAAAATTTTTCAAAACATCAAACTTTTAGGTTTCAAAAAATACTAGATTTCTTGCTGATTCCGAAAATACCCTTTTTTTGCCCGCCATTTTCCCGATTTTGACTCAAAAAAAATGGTCTAAATTAGCCAATGGGAAAGGGGAACTGATCGATCTAAATATTTGAATGAATGGACAGATTTTAATCTTAGCTGATTTCAATTTTAATCAAACTATCATCTTTTCCTAGCATTCGAGACAAAATTTTTGCAGGAACGTGGTCAGTGAGCCATGAGGCGACCTCCTTGGGCGACCGTGAACTCCTTCGCGAAGTTGTTCATTATCGTGATCATCGCCGTTCCACACAAGGGGCACGGGCCATGAGGGACACTCTTAACAGACTCAAGGTCTATCAGTGTTGGAAAAATGGGAAAAAAGGAGTAAAATCTGCTTTTGAAGGGTAATTTTCGATTTTCCTATAGGAAAGCTCTGATAATCAGTTTTTTGCAACGGTTTTTCCAAATTTTTTTTTCGGGTAATCAAGTTTATTTCAGAGAGATACTGTCAACAGATATTCAGTCCATTTTTAAAAGGAAAAAGTCGGAAAATCAATTTTTCCAATTGATTTCAAACTATAATTGGGGAAAAAAAAAGAATAAAATTAAGTTTTCTTGGAAATTTTCATGCGATTTTTCAAAGCAAAAAAAGTCGAAAAAAATCGATTTTTTTCAACAATCTTAGCTTTTGGTATGATAACGAGATATGATAAAAATTTTTAAAATGAAGGAAAATTTTAGGACTCGGCGGATTTCTACTGTGAAATGAGCTGGGAATTCTCCAGCTGGGTCCCGTTTCTCAGTCAATCTTGCCCTTCTGACACTTATAAAGTCAGTTTTCAGTTTCTTCGGACTTCGGTTACTTTTCTGAGCATTTCTAGGGATCACTTAAGGGTTCTGAAGCCGCTAAAGTGGTCACTAGGAAGCTGTCTGATCTCGGTAATGCTAAACGGACGCGCCTCGAAAGTTCTTGGCAACTCTAGGGATCACTTAAGGGTACTTAGGCCGCTAAAGGGGTCACTAGAAGTTTAGAAACGTCCGGTTTGAGTTACTGAAATCGCCGCGGACATTTCAGAGCAGTTCTAGGGATCACTTAAGGGTTCTGACGTCGCTAAAATGGTCACTAGAAATGCTCAGAAACGTCCGGGGCGCGTCCGACTTGCGTTACCGAAAACTGAATCAAGCAAAAAATAAAAATTTGAACTTCTAGATCTACAAACAAGGATCAAACGTCCGGATCGACACGACTTTGGTCTCCTTCGAGGGTTCCCATTGGGTTCGCGGCAATCAATCGATAATTTTCCGGGTTTCCGAGGGTTACGCTCAGTATATCACCTTGGATCATATTGCCAGAACGGTGAGAGTCGGAAAAATGAGAAAAAGCTTAAATTTCAATTTTTTGTTTTGTTTTTTTTTGAACAGTTTCACATTTTCTATGACCACCAAAATATGAGAAAAATAGATTTTTGAAAAATTATGAGAAAATTAGTGAAAATCGCAGGAAAATTGAGCTATTGATTTTTCAGAAATATTTTATCCTGCGAAATTTTTTTTTTCATGTTGGGCAATCATTGTAGTTCATTAGACAGGAATTATTAAATATTTATTTTGAAACAGGGATCTAATTTAAATCATAAAAATTTCACTAGTTTCAAGTTTTTCGTGATCATTTTAATGGTTGAAAAGTTGGTATCGATGAATTTTTGATCATTTTTTTCGGGTTTCTGAGGATTTCGCTAAATATATCATCTTGGATCATATTGTCAGAACGGTGAAAATCGTTAAAAACAGAAAAAAAAAAGCTGAAAAAGTTCGAAAAAGGAGGAATTTTATCGAGGAAATAAAAAAAATTTTTTTTGGCTTTTTTTTTTAGGGTGTTTTACACTTTGTATGATCTTGCAATAATATAAAAATGTTGAAAAAAAATTATTTGAAAAAAAATGATGTAAAAATTAGTGAAAACCGCCGAAAAGTTGATTATTTCATAGTTAGGAACCACCAAGTGGTCCCTAGAGTGGTCATTGGAGTTTTCCTCTCTAGGGACCACTTTTCCTCCCTTGAAACTTGCAAGTGGGCATTCTAGGGGAGCTCTAGATGACCCTATATGTCTTTTTAACACGTGTTTTTTTTACCTTCCAAGTCAGAAAAAATTATTCAAAGAACCCTACAGGGACCACTCAAGCTTTAGGGGTTTAAGGTCAGACCCTGGACCCCTATAGGGACCTCCTAAACTTTACCTCTTCAGGGAGCACTTTTTTGTCTCCTATAGAGGTTTTTTTGTTCCATAAAACCTCTAGGGACCACTCTGGCGTTCCTAAGTAGCTTTCATTTTTCAAATATCTTAAAATTCTGACTTTTTGATTTTTCAGGCTATAACTTTGTATTGATTGACAGGATATTTATTTTTTTACAAGGTTAAAGTTCAATTCAAAAAATTATTCATAGGATTTTCGAGGGTTTTGTGATCAATTTAGTGTTAGAAAAATCTCTGAAATCGATGAATTTTGGAAAAAAAAAAAAAAAATAGCCAAAAAGCTCAAAGAAAGACGTTGAATATAGCATGTTAGTACTAAAATAAGCTTCGTTTATCGAACCTTTTCTAAATATTTACGCATTTTGAGAAATATATCAAACTACCTATACTCTATACTACGTTAGTTTGTCGAAAAATTCAAAAAATTAGTTGATTTCCGAAAAAAAAAGGCCTTGGCACGAATGGCGAGAGATTTTACAGTAACCTGGGCTTTTTTGAAAACCAATATTCAACGGTCAATATGAAATTACTTTTTTGGGAATCCTTGCTTCGGGCCTGAAATATCACTTTCTAAGAGAAGTAGCCCCTAGAGGGGCACTTGAAGGCTCCCCTATAGTGACCACTTTAAATCGCCCAGGAGGCACTGAAGTTTGAAAAAATGGTCACTTTAGGGGTTGTAGCAAGTGGCCAATCTAGGGGAACTCGGACATTTGAAAAAATTAAAAATTCCCCTTTAGGGACCACTTGAACTTCAAGGGCTCACAGGTCAAACCCTGAATCCCTATAGGGACCACTCAGAGTTTTCTCGTCTAAGACTCACTTTTTTGTCGCCTCGGGGGCTATTTTTTTTTCTCTAAACCCTCTAGGGACCACTCTGTGTTTCCTAAAAGTTGTTTGTCTTGAGACCTTTTTGATATTTTTTTCCATGCTCCTTTAAAAAAATTTTTTTGACCAAATCGTATGAATTTAAAAAAATTTAATTTTGGTAATAATGATTCTTAACATTCTGTATTAAAGCTATGATTTAAAAATAAAAAAATTGAAACTCGAAGAAATTTTTCACTAGGCATCTTCCCAAATCCTCCGCGACGACATTGAATTCTCAGAATTCCGTCCTTCGAGTTCCTCAATCGATTTTTAGGTTTTTTTATAGCAGAAAAAAATGATAATTCTTCATGATTTTAAGACTTTCCACCCCAATTTCGACGACTTTCATCGATGTCGACCAAATTGGCTTCGAAAGAACATCCAAGGGATTTCTGTCGTGGTTCGGCGCCGGCGGAAACAAGGAAAAAAAGTCGATAATTATCAGTGTCGGGTGCGTTTTTGGCCAAAAAAATCGATTGAAATCGAGAAATTCGGAATAATAATGTGAAAAACGATGTTCCTGCTTCATAGAGTTCATATAATGTGATATTAAAAAATTTTTTTTGTTGTTTTTTGGGTATATTGTCGGTCAGTTGATTGCTATTTTCTCAAGTTTTCGAATTTCGAAAAGGATTTTGGATTTTTTTGAGATTTTTAAAATGCACTTTTCTCTAAATAAGACCAGTTTCGAAGTTTGATTTTTGAAAATCTGGTCAGTAAAATTTCGAAAATTTCTTTTTCCCAGAATTTTGTTCAGTTTCACAAAAAAAAATGCTTATAGCTCTTTTTGAAAATTTTTTTGTATCTAAATTTCAATGAAAAACTACTGAAGTGGCAAGTAAAACGGAAAATAGTGGCCACTATAGAGGTGGTTTTTAGTGGCCACTTTAGTGTCATCTCCAAGTAGTCTTTGGCGGGCCTCTATAATGGCCACTTTCTCAGAATATTTCATTTTTTTGAATCTTCAAAACTAACTACATTCAGAAATTCACGCAATCTGAAGTCTCAAAAAAATTTTTGAACCAAAAAAAAAATAAAAATTAAAAAAACGACCCATTTTCCAGCATTCTAATTTTTCTTGATGATTTGTATGAATATACGGAATATGAATATATAGTCAATGTTTCCCGACTTGAAAGGCGAGGGAGGCGGGGCAGGGGCGGGACGCGTAGCGTGTGCGTTCGCGGTCCTTGGCACGTGTTCAATTCAACCGCCGCCGACTATTTAAAAAAGCTCGGCAACCGCTCTTTTTCAATGTTTTCTACTACTTTTTGATGAAAATATGAACATAATCAATAAATAAATGAAAAAGGAATGAAAAGAGCGATAAATAAGCTCTCTGAACGCTCGCTGGCTTTCGAATTGAACTCGTGCCAAGAACCGCGTACGCACACGCTACGCGTCCCGCCCCCTGCCCCGCCTCCCTCGCCTTTCAAGTCGGGAAACATTGACTATACGAAATAATGTTTTTCCAGGTTTTGAACGCCTCGAATGTACAGTTGGTGACAAAAAAACGGGTCGAACACCTTTCCGAGGAAGAAAAAACGCGATTGAAGCAGGTGATTTTTGATGGAAAATGATCGTTTTTTGAGTGAATTTCCGGTTTCAATGAGAAGATGAATAGAAATTCTCGAAAACGCGTTTATTATATGTCTTGTGAAATTCCGATTTTTAGCGGTCTTTTTTAAAAATATTTGAAGTCTGTTATTTCATTTTTCTACTGGAAACTGTACTGGAATGAATTTTAGGCCTAATTATTTTTATTTGACATGAAATTGAGACGTAAAAAATAGTGTTTAACAAGATTTGAGTGAATTTTTTGGCGAAATTTACAGAAAAAAGGGAATTTATGATCAATTGGTGATCATTTTTTTGAAAAATTAGACTTTGAAAATGATAAAATCATGAAGAAATATGCACTTTATAACCGTTAAAACTATAAAGTTTACCAAAAAACTGTTCAAAAAAATTGAAAAAAATAGGAAAAAAATATCCCCTTTATTATATGCTAAAAAGATGATTTATAAGCATTTTTTTGGCGTAAAATTGAAAAATTTTGGAGGAAAAAGTGATTTTTTTCGATTTTGGAGTTCTTTCCGTTAAATTTTTTTGGTTTAGATTTTTTTTTAGGTTGACTTGAAACTGGAATAATTTATAGTGTTGAGTAATATTTGAGATTATTTTTGGGAAGAAAAGAAATTTTAGAAAAAAATTTTATTGAAAATCAAGCTTTAAAATATTAATAAGTATGATTTTTGAAACTGGTAACTCCTTTAAAATTCTCCAAAAACTGTTAGGAAATTCAAAAAATCTGAAAGAAATAGTCATCACCTCATGTGCGAAATGGGATTTGAGAGCATTTTTGGTGAAAAATGGAAAATTTCAGGGATTTTTGGAACATTTAGCAGCTGAAATTTTTGAAAATTAGACTTTGAAACTTTTAAAATTCTGAAAAATATACTCTAAAACACCCTGGAAATTCCCAAAAGTCTGAAAAAAGCCATTTTGAAGAAACGTCCGACTTTTAAAACAGTCCAAAACCCCTCAATTTGAAGGAAGAAACGGCCTCGTCGAAGGCGATTTCAAGCCTTCTGAAAATGTTCCAATCGGAACGGACCGATGAGCGAACTACACACGATTTGCTCAAAGCCGGACTCACCGCCGACCAATATTTCGATCCCGATTACGAATTCGAAGCCGAGACGGATATTGGTTCGGAAAAACGGGAATGTAGTATAAATGAGGAATTTCAGGCCGCCCGAAAGATATCACGACAAAATCCAATGCTTTCAAGGCTTCCCTGTGGATGGCGGATGATTACCCACTGTCTTTACAGGTACCAGAGGGGTCCCTAGAGGGTTTAGGAGGCAAGCTATAGGGGCGTCCAGGGTTGCTTCAGGTGGCCTTTAGAGCAACCAAATAGTTCTGTCTGAAGCTTTAAGTTCGAAGTGGTCCCTATAGGGGCACAAGTTCGGACCCCGCAAGCTTCTAAAGCCCAAGTAGTCCCTAGAGGGTTTAGGAGGCAAGCAGTCCCTATAGGGGCGTCCAAGGTTGCTTTAGATGGCCTTTAGAGAGAAATAGTTCTGTCTGAAGCTTTAAGTTCGAAGTGGTCCCTATAGGGGTACAAGACGGACCTCGCAAGCTTCTAAAGCCTAAGTAGTCCCTAGAGAGTTTAGGAGGGAAGCAGTCCCTATAGGGGCGTCCAAGTTTGCTTTAGATGGCCTTTTAGAGAGACCAAATAGTTCTGTCTGAAGCTTTAAGTTCAAAGTGGTCCCTATAGGGGCACAAGTTCGGACCCCGCAAGCTTCTAAAGCCTAAGTAGTCCCTAGAGGGGCTAGGAGGGAAGCAGTCCCTATAGGGGCGTCCAGGATTGCTTCAGGTGGCCTTTAGAGCAACCAAATAGTTCTGTCTGAAGCTTTAAGTTCGAAGTGGTCCCTATAGGGATATAATCTCTAAAGCCCCTAAAGCCTGAGTAGTCCCTAGAGGGGCTAGGAGGGAAGCAGTCCCTATAGGGGCGTCCAGGACTGCTTCAGGTGGCCTTTAGAGCAACCAAATAGTTCTGTCTGAAGCTTTAAGTTCGAAGTGGTCCCTATAGGGGCACAAGTTCGGACCCCGCAAGCTTCTAAAGCCTAAGTAGTCCCTAGAGGGGCTAGGAGGGAAGCAGTCCCTATAGGGGCGTCCAGGATTGCTTCAGGTGGCCTTTAGAGCAACCAAATAGTTCTGTCTGAAGCTTTAAGTTCGAAGTGGTCCCTATAGGGATATAATCTCTAAAGCCCCTAAAGCCTGAGTAGTCCCTAGAGGGGCTAGGAGGGAAGCAGTCCCTATAGGGGCGTCCAGGACTGCTTCAGGTGGCCTTTAGAGCAACCAAATAGTTCTGTCTGAAGCTTTAAGTTCGAAGTGGTCCCTATAGGGGCACAAGTTCGGACCCCGCAAGCTTCTTAAGCCTAAGTAGTCCCTAGAGGGGCTAGGAGGGAAGCAGTCCCTATAGGGGCGTCCAGGATTGCTTCAGGTGGCCTTTAGAGCAACCAAATAGTTCTGTCTGAAGCTTTAAGTTCGAAGTGGTCCCTATAGGGATATAATCTCTAAAGCCCCTAAAGCCTGAGTAGTCCCTAGAGGGGCTAGGAGGGAAGCAGTCCCTATAGGGGCGTCCAGGGTTGCTTCAGGTGGCCTTTAGAGCAACCAAATAGTTCTGTCTGAAGCTTTAAGTTCGAAGTGGTCCCTATAGGGGCACAAGTTCGGACCCCGCAAGCTTCTTAAGCCTAAGTAGTCCCTAGAGGGGCTAGGAGGGAAGCAGTCCCTATAGGGGCGTCCAGGATTGCTTCAGGTGGCCTTTAGAGCAACCAAATAGTTCTGTCTGAAGCTTTAAGTTCGAAGTGGTCCCTATAGGGGATATAGATCTCTAAAGCCCCTAAAGCCTGAGTAGTCCCTAGAGGGGCTAGGAGGGAAGCAGTCCCTATAGGGGCGTCCAGGGACTGCTTCAGGTGGCCTTTAGAGCAACCAAATAGTTCTGTCTGAAGCTTTTAAGTTCGAAGTGGTCCCTATAGGGGTACAAGATCGGACCTCGCAAGCTTCTAAAGCCTAAGTAGTCCCTAGAGGGGTTTAGGGAGGGAAGCAGTCCCTATAGGGGCGTCCAAGTTTGCTTTAGATGGCCTTTAGAGAGACCAAATAGTTCTGTCTGAAGCTTTTAAGTTCGAAGTGGTCCCTATAGGGGCACAAGTTCGGACCCCGCAAGCTTCTAAAGCCTAAGTAGTCCCTAGAGGGGCTAGGAGGGAAGCAGTCCCTATAGGGGCGTCCAGGATTGCTTCAGGTGGCCTTTAGAGCAACCAAATAGTTCTGTCTGAAGCTTTAAGTTCGAAGTGGTCCCTATAGGGGTACAAGACGGACCTCGCAAGCTTCTAAAGCCTAAGTAGTCCCTAGAGAGTTTAGGAGGGAAGCAGTCCCTATAGGGCGTCCAAGTTTGCTTTAGATGGCCTTTAGAGAGACCAAATAGTTCTGTCTGAAGCTTTAAGTTCGAAGTGGTCCCTATAGGGGCACAAGTTCGGACCCCGCAAGCTTCTAAAGCCTAAGTAGTCCCTAGAGGGGCTAGGAGGGAAGCAGTCCCTATAGGGGCGTCCAGGATTGCTTCAGGTGGCCTTTAGAGCAACCAAATAGTTCTGTCTGAAGCTTTAAGTTCGAAGTGGTCCCTATAGGGATATAATCTCTAAAGCCCCTAAAGCCTGAGTAGTCCCTAGAGGGGCTAGGAGGGAAGCAGTCCCTATAGGGGCGTCCAGGGTTGCTTTAGGCGGCCTTTAGAGGACCAAATAGTTCTGTCTGAAGCTTTAAGTTTGAAGTTGTCCCTATAGGGGTACAAGACGGACCTCGCAAGCTTCTAAAGCCTAAGTAGTCCCTAGAGGGGCGTCCAAGATTGCTTTAGGTGGCCTTTAGAGGGACCGAATAGTTCTTTCTGAAGCTTTGAGTTTGAAGTGGTCCCTATAGGGATACAAGACGGACTCCCCAAGCTCCTCAAGCCTAAGTAGTCCCTATAGGGGTCTTCTAATTTTTTTTTCTTCTGGTTTGATAGTTGAAAAGACGTGTATGGAACTAGCATACTCCCCTTAGAGAGGCTACTAATTGAAACCCTGAAGTGGCCGCTTTAGGAAAGGTGAAGTGTTCCCGAAAGGGAAAACTTTGAGAGATTCCACTCCGGAGTTTTTAAGTTGAGAATTTGAAAAAACTTGCCTGATAATTTCATGTTTCAAAAAATCTAGATAATCTTTTTCTCGAAAATAATATCGTTTTACGAACATGTATAAAGCCCAAAAAAAAAAATAGGAAACAAAGTTCGGAACGCCAGAGTGGACACTAGAGCGGCCCCTGAAGATTACCCTTTAGGGGTCACTTTATCTAAAGCTTGCAAAACGCGCCACTTTAGAGAATTATTTTATAGTAACCAGACGCATTTTCATGCGAAAAGAAAATCAATAATTGGAGTTATCCGAATGAAAAATTCTAGAACCCTATAGGGAGCTCTTAATGTTCTCTATAGGATTATTTTGTTCCCCCCATCCCTCTAGGGACCACTCTAAACCAAAAAAGTCATCCCTATAGTAGATTTTTTTTTCCAGGAACAAGTGGTCCCTATAGTAGAATTTTTCCAGGAACAAGTGGTCCCTTTAGAATTTTAATAAGCAAGTGATCCCTAAAGTAAATTTTTTTTTCAGGAACAAGTGATCCCTATAGTAGAATTGATGGCGTCGAGCAATCCCCATTTTGCTCGTCTGCATAATTTCATCCGGCTTCAGTTGCCGGCCGGTTTTCCAGTCAAAATTGGTAGTTTTCTAGATTTTCTGGAACAGAAAATTAATAAATGATGTTCAGAAATCCCACTTTTCCATGTGATTAGCGCGAAAATCAGTTTTTTGAACGTGAACGAGCCGGGTCCGTACGTTGTTCCACTTGAAACGATGGTGGGTTTTCATTTTTTTGAAAATTTTCATATTTTGGATCTTGTAACAATCTAGAAGAGCTGATTTCCTATTTTTTATATTAAATTTAAAGCGTTTAATAATAGAAAAATATTTTGAAAAGTACTAGATCAAAAAAAAATCCCTGAAAAAGAAAAAATGGCGGGAAAATTTTTTGATAGATCAAATTTTACGGCCTTTTTTAAAGATAGGCTGTCTTTTTTATCATTATTTTTTTTTCATTTCTATAATTTATTTTGCCTGCTTTTTTGTACAAAGGCAAAGTCGGAAAAGGTGGAAAAGGGTCCTCAAAAATGTACCTTTTAAGGTAACAAAGGGTCCTTTTTTGGTGCCTTTTTGCTCCATTTTCTCGGCCCTTGTGCACCCTTTTTGCTGCTTTTCCCTCTCTTAAACCATTTCTCAAGCCTTTAAAATACCAGAAAAATGGATGGATCGATATAGGGACCCTTTTTGCTGCCTTTTTTGGCTTTTTTTGCGGCCTTTAAAATCACAGAAACTTTGTCCCCCTGTAAGGTGAGTTGAACTGGCGCCAAAACGCGTCGCGACCGCATCGCATGCGAACCGGAGAAAATTGGAATTTTGATACGTTCAGAGCGACTTCAAGACGGTTTCCGTGGCGATTGACGACGCGGTTTTCGAAATTCCCGCCGGATATAATATTGTCGACGACGAATCGGCTTTAAATATCACCTGGAATGATGATGAGCCTGGCCGATCCGGTGCTAGCCGAAGTTTGTTTCAATTTTATTCTCTTTAGGTTTTTTGAATGCTCTTCGAAAAACCTTTCTTTAAAAAAAAAAGTCCATTTCGTAGAGCTTTTTGTCGTTAAAAAAAATGCACAAAAGTCTTTTTTTTAAAACAAAAATTGAGTTCGATTTGGCGCCGAAACAGTTTGGTGCAAACACTTTTTGCTTACCGTAACCTATTTTTTTTCGCCAATTAATATTCCTTTTTTTCAAAATTTTTTCAATCGAAAGCTTTCATGACGGAGAGAAAATTTCAATCGGGGAAAAATAACAAAAAATAAGCTAATATAGACGCTTTATCCATAGAGCAACTTTGCTCGGGAAAAATAGTGAATTTCTCAAAATTTTAGGTAGTTTTTTGATGCAGAATAGAGAGATTTAAAGTAGATTTCAATAAATCAGGTCTCGATTTTTAAAAGCTTTTAAATGGAAGTGATTTCCTAGGTTTGGTACTGGGTAATGTTTGTAAGCTTTAAAAATATATAATTTTTTTGCCAGTCATGCCCGACGAGGATCGGCTCCTCCAGTTGGCGATAGAGCAAAGTTTGCGAGATTCCCGAGAGGCGGGTCCGTCGGCCTCCGTCACGGACGAAGAACTGGCCCGAGCCCTTCAGGAACAGTATAATCGGGCGGCGGCGGCTCCGGTCGACGTCCGGCAGCAGGTTGGGACTTTGGGGCTTATATTGATTTTTGGGGGAAAAAAGGCATTTTGGACGCTTTAGATGGCTTGAAGGCTGAATATAAGCAAAAATAGCTGCAAAGACTTGAAAAAATTGAGACTAGAAAATATATAAAATTGAGAAATGATTAGAAAAAATTTGATGGTTCATGTGAGATCTCGGAATGTTTATATAAGGAATCCTTTAAGAGTATTCCATTATTCGACTGTATTTCAATCTTTAAACGATTTGGTCGCACGTAGATTGACTCAAAAACGTCGCGGTCGCGTGGCGGTTCCCCTTGCTCAAGTCATAAGTCGCGCAAGTCGCTTTTAGTCGGACGCATTTTGAGAGTCGGAAATTCCAATGACGACCATAAGCATTTCTGAATGACGTCATTCAAGAACATCATTTTTCCCTGCCGCACTTGGAATGGCTCAACGATTATGATCTCGCTACTTTTCGGTAATTTCAACCGCTACGCAGCCGTTACGCGTTGAGCCATTTAATAGACGATCACAGGAAAAAATCCTTACTTTTACAAAGAAAAGATGTTCGGGTCTCACTTCTTTATGAACTAAAATACCTCTACAAGGAAATAATCTAAATTATCTACAGACAGTTCTGCAACGTAAAAAACATGTCTTGTCCTTCGTTTTGAAAGGCTAAATATATTGATTGAAGCCTTAGTAAGTCACCTTGTGGGAAAGAATCAAGTCCTGTTGAAGGAAGAAGAAGAGTTGCGAGAGGCGATCCGTCGCTCGGAAATGGATGCGGCCTTGGTTCGCGATGAGAACGGAGTGGACCGCGAACTTCAGCTCGTGCTGGAGATGAGCAAACTTTATCAGTAACTGTCAAATGTTGTCGGCATCCTACTAAGGGCTCGAAAGACTGGTTTTGAGATTTTGCTGAAATTTTTTTCAAGTTCATTGCATTTTAAGAAGATTGTAATGTTTGAAAGACGACAGAAACCTTGATTTTCTTCAATTCAAACCTTGGAAAAGTGTTTTTTGACTCGAAATCAGGGCATAGGTTTTACAAGGAAGATCATTTTAGTTTTTGGCCAGGAATTTTTCTGAAAATTGGCCAGGATATTCCTTGATGTAGATGTTCAGAAAGTTTCGATGTTCAGAAAGTTTCAGCCGGAAAAACTTGATTTTTCGAAAAAAAAAGAAGGTTAAAATTTAAAAAAACCGTCAAAATCGCTGAAAATGAGTCATTTTGAGCCCTTTTTTCTTGAAAAACAGAAATTTTTACTGGTTGATTTTTTTCCAGTACCTTTTTTTCTAGTACATCAAGGAGTATATAGAACAATTTTTACGAAATTCCTAATTTTAATTTCTCACAAAAAATTCAACTTCAAACCTTCCTTGTCAGTCAAATTTTTAAAAAATTTCTCAAAACTTGTAACTTTCAACGGCCCTTCAAAGAACCCTTGTAATATATCCAAACTCCTTTTTTTCTGTCTTTCCCAACGACTAAACTTGTGCTCCTTCTACCTAATCCAACTCAGTTATCTTCCCAACGATTCGCACTAGTTTTTGGATTTATTGTCTTGCTTCCTTTTTTGCGGGTTTTACGATACCAAATGCACGGTGAATAATATTTTATCTATAACGGTGTTTTTCAAAAAAAAAAGAAAAAAATAGGGGATTTTTTGAACTCGAACCGTATGCTGGAAAAGTCGGTCGGTCGCTTTGGAAAACTAGGCCACGCCGCAATTTTGCTCCATGGAACACTTCGAGTTTCAAACTATTTTTTCCTTTTTCTATTTTTTTCCTTCCTTTTTATCTGTTTTCCAGTATATGGGATACATGCTCCACACTTCAAACTAAACTGTTCCTTATTTATTATTGTTTTTTTCTAGGTAATATTTTAGCTTTTTGTTGGAGGTAATTTTGTTTCTTGCCTTTTTTTGTGTAGTTCACACATGATATCATTTTTCAATCACTTATGATTTTTTATTTCGCTCATTTTTTCATATGCAGTTCTTTTGGACCCAGAAAACTATTGAGAATTTTCGAAAATCGGATCATTTTATAATTTTTTTAATAAAAGTAGCCATCGTATTTTTGCTCACGAGAACGATAGAGTTGAAAAAAGAAAACGAAAACCTTTTCAAAATTAAAAAAGGAAAAAAAAATTCAGAAAGAAAAAAAAAGTTTGAATTTCGAAGTGTTCCATGAAGCAAAATTGCGGCGTGGCCTAGTTTTCCAAACCGACCGACCGATTTTTCCAGCCTGCTTTTGTTTTCTTGATGATTGCTGAATTGGTTTGTCAAAAATTTTCGACACCATCGAAAAAGGAGAAAAACATGAAAACGGTTTGAACCTGAATTTCCCGCCAAAAGCCGCGTCGCGTACGCAACGCGTCACCCTTGCCAATCTCGTTTTTCAAGTCGGAAAGGACAAATTATAATTCATTCACTATTTTCTTTTTCTTCTTGAGAATACTCATCGGAATCATATTCCATGTATTCACCGCTTCCTTCAAGATACGGAGAAGGATCCAAAGAATCCAGCCAGATATTATTTTCCGTAACATTGTTGACGTTATCGAAAAGGTTCAAGAAACTGTAGTTGAACGGACTTTTGACGAATTCCGTCCTGTTCCTGTCCTCTTCTTCTGGAGTGTGATGCATGACGCATCTGACGGATTCCGGGTCGGATTCGGTACAATTCTGAATCCTGTCGGGATATTCTCGCATCACGAAAAGTTTGGTCAGTTCGGCGATTTCCGGTATTGAAGTTCCGTCTATTGCCGCTTTCATCAGGTCGACCATACCCTGGAAAATCGGCTTGAGGGCTTGAAAAAGGTTTTTGAGGGGGAATATGTTTTACTCCTTCATGTACCACCTCTTTACTCCTTCATGTACCACCTCTCCGCGGTGATGGGGATCAACGACCATTTATGGCGGCAACGTCATAAATGGCGGCTAACGGTACACCGGTCACGCAGTTCGCCTTGCTTTATGCTAATAGAATGGGCGGTCCTCCTAGCCCTGGCAAGGCAACGAGGATAACCAGACCACAAAAAAGCTAAAACACGTTCAACAAGACGGCCCCAGTCCTCCGCCCGTCGGTCACGCGCCTCTCCGGTATCGGGGGCTGCCTCTGCCGACGAGGGGCGATCAAATCTCGGAGCAACAGGATACCACAGAAACGGACTACGGACGCGCCACGGTGACTGTCTACGTTTCGGAACCCTCAACTGCCGCTCGCTCGCCTCCGATGCAGCAAAAGAGCAATTGCTCGCGGCAAACCGAAACGCACTCATCGACATAGTGGCGCTCCAGGAAACAAAATCTCAAGACACCAGCTGTAAGACTTGGCCAAATGGTGAACTTCTCATCCTCGGCCACAAAGTCCCTGGGAAGAACGTCGGCGGCGTCGGTTTCCTCGTCAATCGCTCGGTCCAACACCTCGTCGACTCGCACGAAATCGTCAACGCCCGCCTCGGCATCCTCCGACTCAACCTAGGAAAACGAGGAAGACTCACCATCATCAACGTCTACTCGCCGACCTCACCAGAAGCCGAATCTAAGGCTAAAAGGGAAGAGAAGAAAAAGAAACTTGACGATTTCTACCGGAAGCTCGAGGAAACGATCCAACGAGAGAAGGCGTACTACATCTTCGTTCTGGGTGACTTCAACGCGAAGATGGGCAAGTGCGCCACTCCCTCGATTCGTCACGGGAAGCACGGACTCGGAATTCGGAGCGACAACGGAGAACGCCTAGCCGAACTTCTCGACTCCAGAAGGCTCTACCACGGCAACTCTCTCTTCGAGAAGCCTGATCAGAGACGCTGGACCTGGAAATCGCCCAACGGAGACACCACCAACGAGATCGACCACATTCTGGCCAACCGGAAATGGTCTCTCCTCGACGTTGCCGTACTACCCAGTTTCGACGTTGGATCCGACCATCGACTCGTTCGCGCCAAGGTCCGTCTGAACCAGAAGTTTCTGAAGAAAGACTACCACCAGCCATCGAGACCGAGAAGACCAACCTACGACATCACCACGTTGGAGGAGAAGATCTCGGAGCACGACTGGCAGCTTCTCGACGACCCGACAGCCGACTACGAATCCCTCTGCGATGGCCTCATCAGATGTGCAGAACCTGCAGCTCGACCAACCTCGTCTCTACCGCCGCGACTCGACCAACGAGCGAAAGATCTGCTGCGAAGAAGAGGAGAAGTCAAACGAGACCCGCAGGCCACGCACCTGGAACGTCTGACGATCGACAAAGCCTGCAGAATGGCCGTGCAAGAGTCTCTAGCCAACCGACGCAGGAGTGCACTCCTTCAGACAGCTGAGAAACGTCAAAGCCTCAAGAAGAAGAAGTTCGAGCTCGTCGACGAGCGAACGGTGATGACAGCACTGAAGGACGAGAACGGCCAGCTGAAGACGTCAAGGAACGAGATGGAGCGCCTGACGGTCGACTTCTACACGAAACTCTTCCGAAGCGACGTTCCCGTCCCCAGAACACCAACGCCGCCACCAGAAGATGAACCCCCGATCCTTCCCGAAGAAGTCAAGTACGCCATCAGGAAGCTGAAGGTCGGAACGGCCGCAGGACCCGACAACATCTCATCCGAACTGCTGAAGGCTGGAGGAGACTCGCTGTACCGACTACTTGCCCGGCACTTCTCCAAGTACCTGAACGAAGCCTCTATTCCTGAACAATGGAAAACGTCCAAGACGATCCTCATTCCGAAGAAGGGCGACCTCACCGACCTGAACAACTTCAGACCGATCTCCCTCTTATCGGTCGTCTACAAGTTGTTCACCAAGGTCATCGTCAACAGACTAGAGAAGCAACTCGACAACTTACAACCGCCTTCGCAGGCTGGCTTCCGACGCAACTACTCTTGCCTCGACCACATCCACGCCTTGACCCAGGTGGTGGAACGGCACCGGGAGCACCAGATGCCACTTGCGTTGGCCTTCGTCGACTACTACAAGGCATTCGACAGCGTGGAGATCAACGCCGTCTTGAATGCTCTTGCCTCCGCCGGAGTCGCCACGAAGTACGTCGAGCTGATCGCCAACAGCAACGAGGGAACGTCCACGACCATCCAGCTGTTCGACAAGAAGCTTTCGATCCCCATCAGGAAAGGTGTTCGCCAGGGAGATACCATCTCCCCCAAGTTGTTCTCAACGGCACTAGAAGACGCGATGCGCCAACTTGGATGGGACGAAGAGCACGACTGGGAAGACAGTACAGACATCAGAGGCATCAACATCGACGGCAAGGTCCTCACAAACCTCCGCTTCGCCGACGACATCGTACTCTTCTCAAGCTCCACCACCGAACTTTCCTCTATGCTGAACGATCTGGACGAAGTCGGCAAGAAGATCGGCCTTAAGATGAACGTCAAGAAGACGCAGTGGATGAAGAACCGCTTCTGCGACCAAGGCAAAGTCACCCTTGAGGGCCGCGACCTTCAGGAGGTCACATCCTACATCTACCTTGGCCGGGAAGTAAACATGGTGAACGACCTGCAAGCAGAGATCGGCAGACGCAAACGCGCTGGATGGGCCGCCTTCAACTCCATCAAAGAAGTCACCAGTCAGCTGAAAGACCCGAAACTGCGAGCTCACATCTTCGAAGCGTCGATAATCCCTGCCATCTCCTACGGTACCGAAGTTTGGCCTGACACGAAGAAAAAAATGCAACCGCCCTACGAACTTCCTACCGCGCACTGGAACGTGCTCTCATCGGCACCACTCGCTTCGAGCAGTGGAAAAAAGAACAGAGGAGCACAGACCTCCGTCAACTATCCCAAATCCGGGATCTAGAAGAGCACATACAACGCGGGAAACATCGTTGGGGCGGCCACGTCATCCGCAGACAAGACGACCGCTGGTCCACGAGAGTAACACACTGGATTCCGAGAAACATCAAGCGCCCACTCGGGCGCCCACCGACCAGATGGACGGACTACTTCCGCAAGAACATCAGTCAGCCAGGCCGCCACTGGATGACCGTCGCGCAAGACCGAGCCGCCTGGAGAACGTGTGGTCCACGCTGAGAACATCAGCGAAGATGGACCATCAAAGTATCAAAGTAAGTAAGTAAAGTAATATGTTTTAAAATTGGCCTTTTTTAGGTCTCCCACGGACATTGGTAACGCGAAAGGGAGGTTTCCGAGCATTTCTAGGGACCACTTTAGTAGTTTCAGCCGAAACGGACGTGCTCCGGACGCTTCTGAACGATTCTAGTGACCACTTGAGAGTTATGCAGTAGCGTAAAAACTCTCAAGTGATCCCTAGAAGTGTCTAGAAACGTCCGGAGCGCGCCCGTTTCGCGTTAAGAGAGCTGAAGTTACTAAAGTGGCCTCTAGAGTTGTTCAGAAACGCCCGTTTCGCGTCACCAATGTCCGAGTCCCTCTTTTAGAACTTTTTTGTCAAATTTTTGGTTACTGGGAAAATCCTAGGGACCACTATAGGGTTTTGACGTTTCAATGGCCACACAAATATTGAAGCTTCCATTTACTTTTGTTGATTTTAGTAATAAACAGAATTTTAAAGTTAAAAAAAAATATTTTTAGCTGTACTTTAGGTTACTGTAATACTATTTTATCTTGGGTTACTGTAGTACATCTTGTGTTACTTGAGTACTATTTTTCTAGGTTACTGTAGGAGCATTATCTTGGCTTACTGTACTGCATCTTCTATTCTAGGTTACTGTAGGAGCATTATCTTGGGTTACTGTATAGTCCGTCCAGCGCGATTTGACAGTTTTCACGTGTCTGGGTCTCTCTTTTCCCTCACCGGCGAGGTCAGAGAAATATGGAAATAGCGCGTAAACATGAGAGAGACGTCGGGAGATTAGGAGGGCGCAGAGAAGTCGCGAAAAACGGACTATATTCGTCGTAACTGGTCAGAAAGATTATTCCGAAACTCACGGCTATTTTTCTCCAGAATCCGCTGCTCGGAAGGACGTCTAGAAGGCTTTGAAGCCTGGTTTTTTGGGTTTTGATAAAGTCCCCGAGGGCGAACATGTTGGTTGCTGTCGGGACCTGGGAATTTATTATTTTCTTTGAAGTCAAGATAAGCTTACATCCACGACCTGCTCGACCATGTCGAAGGTTTCATCGACGAGAGTTTTTGAGACGTTTTTGAATTGTTCGCACGAGGGAATTGGAGGAAGAACTTTGGAGTCGGACTCAAGGAATGAAGGGTAGAGAGGCGGACCTTAAAAAAATTTATATCATTCGCCTGTTTTTTTGCGCGCCCTCCTTTTTACGAATTACTCTAATTTTTATATGACCCCCTCCCCTTCCAAGAGAGGGGGAGGGGGGAGTAGAAAAAATGATTTTAATCTTGAGCAATTTATATTTTTACTGAGTTTCGAACAGCCTGTTTTCTTTGAATTTTGGTTACGAACCATTTCTATTTTTCTATATAAAACTTCAAGATGTGGCGGATGGACTGTGGGAAATGAGAGGTAAAATAGGAAACAGGTGTTGGTCGCATTTGAAATGGCTAAACGCGTTGCGGTTCAAATAACAAACTCTTTTTGATTTTTTTTTTTCGCCGTCCGTCACATTATTGTAGTGACCGCTTTGCAGCCGCGACGCGTCGAGCCATTCTCTGTGCGGCCAACTATTTCTTCGAATGAAACGTGGGAAATGACGTGGAAAATAGTCGAAGAAAAAAGTTTTGGTCGCATTTGGAATGGCTCAACGCGTTGCATTCGCGTCGCGGTTCAAGTGAAAAGTTTGAAAATTAAACTTTTTGGATTAAAAGTGACCGCTGCGCAGCCGCGACGCGTTGCGCCATTCTTCGTGCGATCAAATTTTTCTTCGAATGGACTGTTGGTAGTGACAAGTGACTTAGTTGATGGCAAAAGTCTTGGTCGCATTTGGAATGGCTCACGGCGTTGCGGTCAGGGCTCAAGAAATTTTGTAGTAGGGTTATTTTTTTTCAACTGGAATTTTTTGCTGTTGGTCACAGTATCGCTGCCGCGACGCGTTGAGCCATTTAACATGCGACCAAATTTTTTTTTTGAAGGGGCGATAAAGCGAAATATTGAAAACATGTACAAATATACCAGGCTATTTTGATCCAATTTTCAAAATCTTTTTTTGATTGATTCAGATTTTCTAAGTTGGAAAAGCCCAATTTCAGTTTTAGTTTCATTGAAACCAATATCCAGGTGGATTTACCTGGATAACAGGCCATTTGAGAACGATAGTCTTCCGGAGAATTTGACCCATTTTGAGCGATTTTTTGGATCGATTCGGCCTCCCAGGAACGGTAGATCTTTGAAGGGAAAATTATTTTCAAACCTATTTTTTTTTGTGGATTCTAGTTTTTTGACTTCAAATCTTCGTCAGAACCTCAAAAAAATCTTTTTTTGGTAGGATTTAGTATAAACTATATCTCATACAAAATTTCACAGGAAAAAAAAATTTTTTTTTGGATTTTTTTGGTTCGATTTTCTCAAATTTCTCAAAAAATCACCAAAATCCGTACTTTTCAATGTACCAGAATCGAATTCTGAAGCTCTAAACTTGCAGAAATTAAGAAATTTTGGAATTTTTGGGAAAATATGTGAAAGAAACCATCAATTAGCCGTGAAAAAAAAGTGATTTTCCGAGCTTTTCTCGAAAATTTGGGTTTTTCGATGTTTTGGTTGAGATTTTATGAATTTTTTGCAATTTGAAACTTTCAGGATACTTATTCTGTACACCAAGATTTATTCAGTTCCATGAAAACCCCATAAATTTCTGGATTTTAAATGTTTCTCTTTACCTCAACTTTCTGCATCGGGGACAAGGCTTCCGAAAAGCTCCATTCGACAGAAAATAACGGTTCCAAAATATCTTCAATGATTCGACTCCGGTTTTCGTTTAGAAATACCCGGTAAGCCGGAAAAACCGGCAAGAACAGGAGGAATATTTTCCGCATTTAATGGCCCAAACTTTGTCTTTGCCCGCCGTTGCCCAGGGCCGTTTCCAAGGTGTTCTTCTTCCTTTTCCAGACATTTTTTGGAATTTCGGTTCAAATTCATGTTCAACATGTTTATTTGAGATTCGAGAACACTCACTCGGGGCGAAGAAACAGGAATAGTTTGGAAAAATCAAACGTTTTGGCAATGTGAAGTTGAAGAAAGGATAGGGTTGGTTGGGTGAAAAATTGAAATTTTTTCAAAATTTTTATGGGCTTGGATATTTTTTGGCTGATTTGAACAAAAAAGAAAACTTTGAAGATTGTTTTCCGCTCAAATTTTTGAAAAAATCTGGTTTTTTAAAGATTTTTCTAGTGATTTTTGAGCGCTCCGAGCTTCATCTTCAGAGAAAAATTCCAAAACGAACTTTTTTTGAGTAACCATTTCAAAAAATGAACTACTTATGAGCTTTTTGACCTCGTTTTTTTCATGACTTTTGAAACTTCTTACTCTCCCCCTCAAAAAGTCAGAGTAAGGGGGAATAATTTATGAGCATTATTTCAAACCTTCCAACCAATCCTACCCTTCGAGAAAAGCGAGAAAAAAACCGGGTTTGAAAAATGAACTGGCACAACGAGTCTTTGACTAAATATCATCAGGATCATCATCATTTGGTTAGACAAGTATTTACAAAAAAAAAAACAAGACTAGAAAAAATGAAATAAAATAAAAAAACGGGTTGAGATCAGTGGTACAATGGTGGTAAATAGAACATGAAAGCTAAGCAACAGAAACTATATGAGAAAATTGGGAATAAATATTGGTTCAACGAATTTTTCTTCACTCCGGGGATTACGGTATGTAAAAGTCCGTAAATGCACGTTACGTGTTTGCACAACTTAAATGAACACTTCTCCGAATTTTTTCATTTAAAAAAACCAGACAATTATTTTATTTTGTTGTTATCCATTTCGATAAAATGTAGATTCAAATGTGCAAAAACGTCGAATGCGGGCTTTTGCATACCGTAATCCTCAAAAAAGAAAATTCGCTCTTGTCCTAGGTAAAAAAAATATTGAGCACAGTTGGGCGAGCATTGCACGTGTAGCATTGGAGAGAGATTAAGTTACTAAATATGGAAATTAGGGAAGTATCGATTAGTTGGGCGGTGGGATGGCCCGAGCTGGTAGCCTTGGCGAATTATTGGCTGAAGATCCACGGCGGGGCGAGTTCGAGGAACCGAGTTCTTTGAAGAAACGGAAGCTGGAAATAGGTTTTTTTGTTCCTTGGTACTTGGAAAGGGGCCGCTTTAGGGTTTTGAAGTTTGAGTGGCCACTATAGCAGTCGAATTAGTGGCCACTTGAGTGGCTTAAACTAAGGGACCTCTTTAGAAGTCTAAGTGGTACTACTGGTCCACTAAAAACTACTACAGCGGCCGCTTAGAAGCAATATTTTGGCTTCTATAGAGGTAGCTTCAGTGGACACTTTAGTGTCCTTGAGGAACCTCTTAAGAGTCCACTAGAGTTTTCCCAGAGGGTAAACATCATTTTTTCTTTCACGAGTTTTTCTGATATCTAGGACGCGCTAAGGCGCAGAAGTTTGAAAAAAAACGGCTCTTCGCTTCGAGACCTTAATGAAATTTGAAGATGCTCCTTTAAGATCTTGCAAGCTTAACCTTCTATCTTGCCTCTCCTCTTGGCAAAAATCTATCGCCTCGAAAAAATTTGTCGATGTTGTTTATTTTGACTTTGCCAAGGCTTTTGATAAGGTTAATCATTCTCTGCTTGTTCATAAGCTCAAGAACTTTGGTCTTGACGACAACGTTGTTCGATGGTACAAAAACTTCTTATCTGAGCGTGTTTCTAATGTTCTGATCGATGGATCTCGTTCTTCTCTTACTTATCTCAATACTTCCGGTGTCCTTCAAGGAACTGTATCTGGTCCTTTGCTTTTTTTCTAATTTTTCATCAATGATATTGTTAACTACATTGACCATGAAACCTCAATCTCTCTGTTCGCTGATGATATAAAAATTTACAGTTCTAACCCTGAATCTCTCCAACGTAGTATTAATTCCATATTTGAATGGTCTTCCATTTGGGGCTTGCCTCTTGCTGCGCACAAAACTTTTGCTATCAACCTTGGTCCCCTCAATCCCAAAACAACTTATTTAATCAATGGTCTGTCTATTCCCAGAAAAACCATTATCCGCGATCTAGGTGTTCTTATCGATGATAAACTAACTCTCGCTCCTCACATTAACAATATCGTTTCTTTAGCAACCCTTCGTTCCAATCAGATACTCAACTGTTTTTCGTTCCAAATCACCTGATCTATTGTTCAAAAATTTTTTTAACACCTATGTAAGGCCTATTCTAGAATACTGCTCCGAAGTTTTTTTAACCCTCCCTTAACTCTGATCTCTGCTACAAACTGGAATCTCCTCTCAGAATTTTTTTCTCGTAAAAATTTTTTTATTAGGTCCAACTTATCCTTTGAATCTTACTCTGATCGCCTTGAACAATTTGATATCTCTCCACTTTACCTCAGACGAGCTATATCTGACATTCTGACCCTTCATAAAATTGTCTTCGGTATCGATCATTTTTCCCCAGTTCGAACTTTTTTTGCCCTCAGGTCCAATTTAAGGCGAAATCCACTTCGACTGCGTTCTCAAGGTCAGTTTTCTAATGATTTTTTTTCTTTAAAAACAATTCCTACTTGGAACAAACTCACTTCCAAATTTCAATTCAGCCACCACCCCAAGTCTTTAAAAAAACTTACTGGTCAATCTACCATTGCACGAGATCTTCTTGTCTATTCCTCCACGACTCAAATGATGTATAACTGTATAATGTATTCTCTCAAACTCTAGATCCAAGTGAACTCGTTAGGGTTCACGCTGATCTGTCAATAAATTAAGATAATATTTTGAAGAAATCGCTCAAAATCTCTCTATTTCACTACATAAGTTTTGTCTTTCAAGCCTTTCTTTAGACTTTTTTTGACTCCTGAATTTTGCATGATTTTTTTTAGTTCTATCCAGTTATCCCCTGATTTTCTAAAGGTTTTTCTATGGTTGATCAATTTTTTTTTGCTTGGAAGATCAAGATTTTCCGAATTTACATCTTTCCATTTCCTTCTATAAGATCTATCTAGCTGAAACTCGCTTTTTTTCTACAGTTGATCAATTTTTCTGGTAAAAATTCACAATTTCCTGACCCTAGATCTATCCACCTTTTCCTTCAACATCTAGCTAGTTTCTCGATTTTTTTTTCCAGAACTACTCAAAAACTCACAATTTCCGGACACCTGAATCCTTCCTCTCGTACTTCCACGGGTACAGCTTCTCGTCGGGTTCCCTGGGCATGGGCCCGTAAACCGGCAAGTCCTCGTCGTTGTCCGTCGTCGGGGTCTCAAGCAGCTCGGGCCGTTTCGTCTCGGGCTCCTCGAGCAGGAACGACTTGTTGGGCTTGGCGCCGGGACGCATCTGGTCCAGCTCCTCCTGGAGCTCCATGACTCGTCCCTTGAGCATGTTCTTCTCCTTGAGCACTTCCCGGAGCTCATTCAGTGTGAAGCGGGGCTCGTTGTCCTGGAAATTTCTGATGAATTTTGAATCGAAACGTGTAGAAATGAGCCATTTTTTTAGAGCTTTTTGCGCATTTTCGGAATTTCAAATTGCACAAAAATGATCCTAAAATTTCATACGTAGCCAGCTTTTCGTATTCATTTCCGTATTATTGATTCTCTTTCTCTGCATTTTCTCGGATCAGACAGAGACTCGTTCCCTTAAAAGTCAAAAAAATAAAAAGTCTTGAAACAGTCTGACCTGTCTGCGCTCTCTTTTCTCTCCCCGGAAAGGTAAAAAAAAGAAGTAAGAAGAGCATGTAAAATTGAGAGTGTCACCGAGGGAAGGAAGAGTGCAGAGGGATCAGAACTTTCAAGAATGGATTATACCGAGATTTTTAAAGAATACAGACTTTTTGTTCGGTTTCAGATGGACGGTTATGGAAAGGGTTTCAAGTAAAAAAAAACTCTTTTTTTTATGACTTTTCAATACGGGAAGCGTAGCGCAACGGTTGTGCGCCTCCTTACGGTACGAAGGGTCACAAGTTCGATCCCCGCGGCGACTTAACCAAGGGGTAATGAGAAACCACGGCTTCAGAATCCTGAGCCGTCACAAAGAAGGATAGGTCACTAGAGTCCACTGATTATCACTGATAACAGGACAGGACAGGACCTTGCACCATCTACTTGAGGCCGCTTAAGCTGTACGAAGGCGTAAAGAAGAACTTGATATTTTTGTTTCGTGCCGTAGCGCAACGGTTGTGTGCTTGTCTACGGTCCAAAGGGTCACAAGTCCAATCCCCGACGCGACCGAAAGTATTGGGAAACCGCGGCTTCAGAATTCCCAGCTGTAACAAGGACGGACACTAGAGTCTACTGATTATCACTGATATCAAAATAAGAATTTGTCTCATCTACTCGAGGCCGCTCAAGCTGTACAAAAGAAGAAGTTGGTATTTTTGTGGCATAGCGCAACAGGTTCAGTGCCTGTTTACGGTTCAAAGGGTCGCAGGTTCGATCCCATCCGCGACTTAACCAAGGGGTTAAAGAAGCGTTATCCCCAGCCGTCACAAGGACGGATAGATCACCAAAGACAGTAAATTGATTATTACTGATATTATGACCGCTCCGTAGCGCAACAGGTTCAGTGCCTGTCTATTCCGGGTTCGATCCCAGCCGCTACCTAACCAAGGCAGTCCACTGATTATCTTTGATATCAGGACTGGACCTTGTATCATCTACATGAGGCCGCTTAAGAAGTACAGAGAAGGACAAAAAGGATTTTTCCCTACCACGCTGGCCTGTTGGAGGTCCCGACAGGCGCGGTCCGTTTCGCAGAGCATTTTCTGGAGTTCGATGTTCGTTTCTTCCGTCTTTTCCAACCTGAAATTCTCAAGGACTGATGAATATTTCACGGGTTTTTCGTCAACCTCCGCACTATTTCCATCTTCTCCTCGACGATCATCCGTCCTTGCTTTTGCAATGATTTATTCTTGCGCAAGAGTTCCTCGTTCTGTCGTATCAGCTTCTCGATCGAGTTTTGCATCTGAAACTCTTAAGTCAACTCTGAAATTAGTCTGGATCGCTTGTTGTAACTGAAAAGTTATACAGTGGCGATAATCCTTGGATCTTTGCCCTAACAGACTTTTCTCAGTTCGATTTTAAATACTTTGATAAGCAGTAAGAACTTGGCGTTCAAAAAAGCGAAAATTCGCTTCAACATGATTAAAATGGTTTGATCGTTTTTAGAATAGGACCTTAAAAAATGGGGTTTCAGATGAATGTGCCCGTTCTTGAGCTGTTGGTTACGTGTGGAAAAGTTCAATTTCTTCCTTCCTACGTTTGAAGAGAAATCAATTTATGGAGGAAAAAAGTTTGAACTTCCGCCAAAACTCGCGTCTTGCGGCAAAGTTGCTCTATGGATAAAACGAATCGCCATTTTCTGGTTTTTTTTAAATGTTTAGGTACAAATGAAGTTGATACAAAAATTTCAGCAAGACCAGACTTTCGAACTTTTGAAAAAGTCTCATTGGCTAAGCTTCCTTTATTTTCAAGAACTTATAAAGCGGAAAACGCATTTCAAAAGCTAGAACTTGATATCAATGAATCTCACGTTTTCTAAACTTGATTTCGAAGTTCACATTCCTTTTATAGTTTTTCCATGGATCAAGCTTTTTTTCTGTAAGAAAACTTTTATTGACTTGAAACTCACATTATCCATCTGGCAGGCGTAATTGTCGACGTCCCTCTGTAACGCTTTGATTTCTTCCTTCTGTTGATGAGACATATTTTTCAATTCGAGCATCATCCGGACGTCTTCTTCTCTCACTTAAGTACAGAAAAAAATAACTAAAAAAAGGAGAAAAATCAACTGGAATTTGATAATTTACTTGTAGGATCAGAAAAAAATTGGTCTTGGGGACTTGTCTTTTTGAAAAAGTAGAGACACGACTTTAAGGCTTGGATTTTTTTAGAAAAAAAGATAAAAAAAGGACTTTGAGACTCGATTCTATAAAAAAATAAGACAATACTGGAATAGAGGACTTGAAGGACAAGGGGCAAAAAAAAGGACTTTAAGACTTGATTTTTGAAAAAAAAAAGTTAATAAAAAAGGATTTTTAGACTCAATTTGTCATAAAGACGATGAAACTGCATTTCGAAACTTTATTTTTAAAAAAGGAAACAAAAGAATAGCACTTCAAGCCTTAACTTTGTGAAAAAGAGAACCTGGACTCAAAAAAAAAAAATAATTTTCGAGTTTTCCATCCCGTTTTTCTGTCGAAAAATGAACAAGAATTCTATAACTCCCAACAAAAATATTCAAAAAAGCCAACTTTGTATAGTAGGGCTGTCCGTGGTGGGTAGTGAAGACACAGTTGACGAGAGCGATTTATTCTCACTAATCAGATTTTTGACCATCGATTGGAGCTCATCGATATCCTTACGGTAAGCCTTTTCGACCTGCTCCAGCTCCTAAAAATCATATAGTTATAAAAAAGTGCTCTGAATTTTATCGATAGAAAAGCTTGAAGAGAGCATTTTCTGATATTTTTTTGATTGGGTTCAAATTTTGATCTGATGGTCGCATTCGGAATGGTTCGACGCATAACGATTTCTTTTTTAAGTGCACCCGACCCAAAACGGCTTGCGCGATATAAATTTTTCAAAAGTAGGAAAAAGTGCATTTCTATCAATAAATGCTTGAACTTCTAAGCTTGAAAAACTTTGCGCTACTTTTTTGACTACTTTCCAAATTTTGGGCTGTTGGACGCATTTGGAATGGCTTAACGCGCATAACGGCTTTTTTTTCAAAGTGCACCCGACCCAAAACGGCTTGCGCAAAAAGGCATTCAAGTCCGTTATATAGTATATAGTGTATTTGTTGCTGACTTGAAAAAAGAGGAGCGAACAAGTGTGGAAAAAAGGAAAAATTCAGCCTTATCTAGTACTTTTTTTTTCATTTCTGTAAATTTGGCTGGAACCGCGACGCTTTGAGCCATTCCAAATGCGACCAAAAAAAGAATGAATTTCAGGTGAAAAAAAAAATTTTTGGATTATTTTTGTCATTTTTTTTCAGAAAGAATCGAAAATTTGTTCTAGGAAGTGTTTCAAAAACTCGAAAAATCGCCATAATTGAGGTCAAATATCTTTAAAATTGTACTCTTAAAGGCGTCAAAATCGATAACTTTCATTAGAAAAAAGCATGCGAAAGCGAATTTTTCGGGAAAAGACGCCTAAAAGTCGAAAAAAAAAATTCTAAAAACCTCAAAACTCAAAAATCGCTTTAACTGAGGTTAAGTAACTTCGAATTTCAACTCTTAAAGCCCATAAAAATCGATAATTTTGGCTAGAAATGAAAAGGCGAACTTTTTCGTGATAACAAACCACTGAATAAACAGGGAAAGGAGCTTTCTAATCGATAAGGTGTTCCTGATAAAGTTCAAAGTGACCTCCTCGAACTTGAGGTGCTGTTTGAGCCGCAGTTGCTTCTCATTGTCGAGCTTCTCGACGGTCCTTCTCAATTCGCTGATTTCTTCATTTTCCTTGTCGTTACTCGAGGCCAGCGATTCCAACGTTTCCAGGGCTGATATGACCTGCAAATTCGATCCAAATTTCTACCTTATTCAATAGAAATTTAGTTTAAGAGTATTTTCGAAGACTTTATAGGCTTTTTCAGCAAAATATAACTTCACCTTCGAAAAATCAATAGCTAATATGTACTTCTGGGACATTTTTTCCATGCCAGAAAAATCGAAAAAAGGGGTTTTTTCTGATTTGAAGGTTTTTTTTTCTATGTTTCTTGATTGTCTGTTTTTTTTTAAGTTTGATAAATTTTAATCCCTTATGACCAGCTTAACGTCACTTTCAAAAAGAAGCCCGTATATCGGTTAAAAATCTTCAAAATTGAACATGAATTTTGACAAATCCGAGAAAATAAAAAAAAAAAGAATGAAAAAACTAACTTGATTCGCATTTTTCAAAATTTTTCCATTAAAACTAGACCAAAAATTGAAATATTTTGAAAAAAAAAACAACAGAAAAACGGTGAATATCGAGAAAAAAATTGAAGTGTACTGCACCTTTTTCCGTGATATTTGATCTCAAAATTCGATTCAATAAGTGGATTTCTTAACGTGTTTTCCATTGAAAGAGCTTCAAGACTTTTATTTTTCTAAAAATCAACTATCGGCAGCTTTTATAATGATAAAAAAAGGCTCAAAAACTTTAATGTACCTGAGCTTTTTCAAATTTCCCGCGTTTTTGTGAAAAGTTACCTCGAAATTAAACATAATAAGTTAATTTCGTGACACTTTTCTATCAAAAAGAATCTTCAGAACTTGAATTTTACTACACTTTTCGAATTTCCTGTTTTTTTCTGTCTCAAGCTACCTCAAAATTCAAGCTAATAAGTAAATTTCTTAACATATTTTTTTCATTGAAGCTTTGAAATTTCAATTTCCCTCTATTCCCCTCAATTTTTTTCAAATTTCTACCACTAGCTAACTCAAATTTTAACCTATAAATTGAACTTCCCAGCATCTTTTTCATTGAAAAAAAGCTTCAAAAGTTCTATTTTTTTCTAAATTTTTTTCATTTTTACTGAATTCTTGTTACAAGCTACCACAAAATTTGAACTAAAAAGTGAATTTCTTTACATAATCTCCATTAAAAAAGCTTCAAAAGTTCAATTTTCCTCAATTTTTTATTTTTACTGAGTTTTTGTGACAAGCGACTTCAAATTTTAACCAAATGATTGAATTTCTTCTTTTCAAAAAGTTTCAAAACTCCAATTTTTCCCAAAAACCAACCTTGGGCATGATGCCACGGACGCAGTCATTGCCGTAGAGTTCGATGAGTCTCTCGAAGTCTTTTCCGATCGAAGCGGCCAAGTCGTAGACGTCGACCACCTGAAGCGACATCGTTGCGAGGTTTCCAACCGATATCTTTCTTTTCTTTTTCTCAAGCCGCGGTCATTTTTTTGCCTGGAAGACGGGGAATGGCTTCTTGAATGTTATGAGAACGGGATTTTGAGGGAAGAATTGAGAAAAATGGATTAAGAAGTTGAAAATTTCTCAAAAATATGGGTGATTTTCATAGCTTATCCAATTTAATGAGGCGGTTACAGGCTCAAGAAACTAATCGTTCCGATAAAACTCTTAAAATTGGTCTACGCTCCTTTAAAAATACCAGCAAAGGCTTTATTAAAAAAGTGGGAAAATTTTTAGTGGCCACTATAGAGGCTCGCCACGGACTATTTGGAGAGGACACCAAAGTGGCCACTAAACCCACCTCTATAGTGGCCCCTATTTTCCGTTTTAGTGGCGACTTCAGTAGTTTTTCATTCAGTATTCCCTCCAGTAACTCTGATAATTTTAAAACAAACGGATTGGGCCAGTTATGTTGATCCATTGACCCCTAAAGTGGCCACTAAAATTTTTAGTGGTCTAATAGTAGCACTTAGATCTCTATAGTGGCCACCAAAACCTCAAAACCCTATAGTGACCACTAAAAATTTCCCCAGAATGTTAAGAAATCACATTTAGTGATTCTGAGAAGAAAAGATTCTGAAGAGTCAGTTCAGAAATATTTTTTGAAGCCGTGTCCTGCGCCTTTAAATTTAGATCTTAAAAAATTGATAGATTGAAGTGAGAATTATGGATCTAAAAAGTTCGAATTTTAATGATTCGAGGTTTTTTGCTCACAGAGGCGATTTTTTTTTCCTTGCGAAAAGCGAAATTTTCAAAATCGTTAATGAAATCCCAATTACATAATAATCCGTTAGGCTACCGCAGAGAGCAATTAAAATTCCTTTAAAAAAGTAAACTTTAAGGAAACTTCCAGAAACGTAGGCAAACCTTGACAAATCGTCGTTTCTCCATTGAGAGAGAGACCAGAAAATCGCGTTTTTTTTTTCAAGAAAGCCGTCGAATGACCGAGAAAAAAAGAACGGATCTTGAGGCTTATCGGCCACACTCAGAGAATGACAGAAATGTCGGAAGTGGACCAACTAGCTCTTTGGGCATTCCGCCAAATAAATTTTGCCTTTTTTTTTGATTTGCTGGGAAACTTTTTAGTGGCCACTGTAAGGTTTTGACGTTTTAGTGGCCACTATAGTAGTCAAATTGGTGGTTCTTGAGGGGTTAAGAATTAGTGGCCACTATAGAGGTCTAAGTGCTACTACTAGACCACAAAAAATTTTAGTGGCCACTTTAGGGGTCAATGGATCAACATAGCTGGTCCAATCTGTTTGTTTTAAAATTATCAGAGTTAGTGAAAGGAATACTGGAAGAAAAATTACTGAAGTGGCCACTAAAACTGAAAATAGCGGCCACTATAGAGGTGGGTTTAGTGGCCACTTAAGTGTCCTTTCCAAGTAGTCCTTGGCAAGCCTCTATAGTGGCCACTAAAATTTTTTCCAAATATGAGATTTGGGAATGATATGGTAGCATATGGATGAACTTTCAGAAAAAAAAAATCAAAAAAAGCTCGAAAATTGTGGAAATTTGTATAATTTTCAGCTAAAATTTGAGATTTTTGAAATTTTCCCGGTCCTAATTCGTGCCCTCGAGAGTTCATTTCCACTTTTTTTTTGAAGCTATTCAAATTTGATGATTTTCCGAAAATACTCCAACTAACTTTAGAAAAAAAGGTCGCATTTGGATTGGCTCTACGGTAGCGGTTTGATTCCGTCCTACAACGCCGTCTCATGCTCTCAGGCGCAAGTCGTTTTGGGTCGGGCGCTTAGGAGAAAATAAGAATTTCGCGCCGAGCCATTCCACGTGCGACCATGACGTTCAAATTTTGACAAAAATCGAAAAATGCTAAGTTTTCCACATTTTTTATCGAATTTCAAGGACATTTTTAGAAAAATGACCTCTTTTTACCCACGAAATTTTGAATTTTCGCCGAAAATCACTCAATTTCGCCCAATTTTTCAAACCCACTTCCCAAAAAGCTCCTCCAACGACAAACATATCCCAGCAAAAACACGAAAAATAGGGCCGAAAATGGATAAAAAGAAAGCGGGAGGAAGGAGAGCCGCTTTTGCAGGGCTCATTTGTCTCTCCAAAAGCTGGCTCGAAAAGGCTAGCACAAAAACAAAAAATGCAACAAGGAAATTGAGCTTTTCCTTATTTTTTTTTTGAAGTCAGTAGGGTCTAAGTAAAGCAAGGGTGCTTGAAAAGTGGATTGAGTAAAAATTTATCAAGTTTTGAGCTTTTCACTAATATTTTAGTCAATAGGGTCTATATAAGGTGCTCGGAAAGGTGTAAAATAACCAAATTTTGAGCTTTTTCTCATTTTTCTATATAGTCCATAGGGCCTAAGGAAGGCAAAGGAGCTTGAAAAGTTAAAAATAATAAACTTTTGAGCTTTTCCTTACCTTTTTTTAAAATGAAAATCAATGAGAAAAAGGTGCTCGAAAAGTTGAAAAATAACTAAAATTTGAACTTTTCATATATTTTTCTTGAAAGTCCTGAAGGCCTAAGTATAGAAAAGGTACTCGAAAAGTTGTAAAATAACCAAATTTTGAGCTTTTCCCTACCTTTTTGTTCAAAGTCAATATGGTCTAAGTAAGGCAAGGGTGCTCGAAAAGTTGTAAAATAACCAAAGTTTAAGCTTTTTTTCGGTTTTTTTTAAGAGTCTATAGGGCCTGAGTAAGGCAAGAATTCTTGAAAAATGAAAAATGATCTAATTTTGAGCTTTTATTTACTTTTTCTTTAGAGTCCATAGAGCCTAAGTAAGGCAAAAGGGCTTGAGAAATAAAAATAAGCGAATTTGAGCTTTTTCCCTACCTTTTTCTCTAAAGTCAATGGGGTCTAGATAAGACAAAGGTGCTCGAAAAGTGGATTCAGAGAAAAATTATCAACTTTTGAGCTTTTCACTAATTTTTCAGAGTCAACAGGGTCTATATAAGGTGCCCGAAAAGTTGTAAAATAACCAAATTTTGAGCTTTTCTTTAATTTTTTTTAAAGTCTATAGGGCCTAAGTAAGGCAAGAATTTTTTTGAAAAAAATGAAAAAAATGATCTAATTTTTGAGCTTTTTCTCACCTTTTTATAAGACAAAAGGTGTTTGAAAAAGTTGATTAATTGAGAAAAAAATTAAATTTTTGAGATTTTTTTAGTGGAAGAGAAAGTAAAGTTTTGCGTTGAGAAGTACTTTAAAAAGAGTCCATCTTCAAAAAAATACCGATGAAAAATCAAAAAAATTAAGCTTATAATTAAAGAAGAAGTTCGGAATTTAACTGTTAAGATTTTGAAAAAAAGAAAAATATTTCAATTTTTCAGTTTTTTTAATGAATTTTAAGAAAAAAATAATATTTCAAACCTTCACTTTTCAATTTTTTTGTTTACTGTTCGAACTATAAAAATTTCATATTTTCCCTTTAAAAATCGATTTTGATTAAATTCTTTAAGAAATTATAGTACAGGCCTTTTATTTTTCCAACCTTTTTTTATTGCTTTATAATAATTTTAATTTTCATTATAACCATATATATCTTCAGATTCTATTTTTAACGATTCTGAATTTCGAAATAGCGAGAAACTAATTAGAACTGCCCTTTTTCTCCATAACAATCGTCGCAAACTCGATATTTTCAAGAACATTCTATTTCAAGCTCTTTTTTGTCCAAATTATAAACAAAAGGCACCCAGATGTTCTCAGAAATCTAATAAACTGGAGCTAATCGAATTTTCCCAGAACATAATTATGAATAGGAGGAAAAATCGATAACCTGTTCCATTTTCGAGATGTTCCACTTGTAGGAAAGTAGGAGAATAAACAGAGAAGCCAGTTTGTTTTGTCATCGATCGATATAAGTACAGGAAAAAAATGGATCATGTGATGTTTTTTTGAGTGGAAAAAAATAACGAGATACTGGAAAAAACACTAATAAAATTTTCGAAACTGAAAATCAGGCGATTTTCTCAAATTTTTTAGTTTTTAAAAAACTTTTTCAGACATTCCGCAAAGATTTAGCATAGTTCATGGCGTCAATAATCAATAAATAGCGTCTGAAAAATCTAATTTATAAAAAAATTACGATAAAAAAACGACATGGAAATACATTCAAAAAAATGGGAAATTTGCTGATTTTTCACAAGTATTTGTGAATTTTTTTAAACTTTGAAGCGTTTCTGCAGTAAATTTTGATCTCAATAATCAATTAAATGCCGTAAAAAAATAACAATGAAAAAAACGATAAAAAAAGACATGGAAGACGTTTAAATAAGAAAAAAATCTACCGACTTTCAGAAAGATTAGGGAATTTTAAACATCGCAGTATTTTTTAAGAGTTTTCAAGTAGTTTATGACCTCCAGAGTCAACTAATTTTTCTTCAAAAAAATGAATTTTTTTCAAAAAAATATGACAAGAAAAGACATGGACTACGTTCAAAGTATGATATTTTCCTAACATTTTTTTGAAAGTTTCCTACGATTTGTAGCATTTCTCAAGCCTTTTTCATATATTTTAAAAAGTCTTAAAAGTTCTGAAACGCTTCTAGAACCTTCAAAATCTATAAAGCAACCAAAATCTTTTCTCGGACGCCTAAAAATCCATTTTATTGTCCATGAAAGAGGTCACCGCGCTCTTTTGAATTTTATCAATCAAAGCATCTTGATAAATGATGGGAAAGAGTAAATTGAAGAAAATTAATGGTTTTGGGTTTCTTTTTAAGGCTGTAAAAGAAAAACGATTTATTACAAAAATTGAATTTTAACAAAAATGCTAATAAAAAAAGATTTTTTTGATCATTAAAGATATAAAATTCAAGAGTATCGCCAAACAAATTAATTAGATTTTTTTACACATCCCGATTAATTGCGATTTCACACGAAAATGAAAAAAATTTGACATCTTTTTTTATAGAAACTCAGCTTTTCCATAAAAAAACTAAAAAAATCTAGAAAGGTATAAAAAAAGAAACAAATATGAGGTTAGTCTTTGAACATTTTTAATATCTACGACAAAAATTACTTTTCAGAGAGCAAAAGAGCCCAGACAAGTCAGACAGAGAAAATGAAGTAATTGGACTGAAAAACGGAAAAAACTGGCCGCGTGTTTTTTGGAACATTGCAGGCCATCAAGGGACCAAAATGATGATTAAAAATTTTTTTTTGGAAATGACCAAGCCAAAAAAAACGCCTTGTTAGAGAGGAAGAGGGAATAGACAGGTCAGACAAAAATGAATAAAGTTATCGGACTCGAAAACAAAAAGAAGCAAAAAAATTTTAATTCAGAAAGTATCTTTAAAAATTTCAAGAACCTAGGCCGAAATAATCTTTCTTTTTAGAGAACTAGAGAGCCCAGACAGGCTAGACAATAAGAGAATGAAGTTATTGGATTAAAATACCCAAAATTCAAATCATACGGCAAAATAGCTTCTGTTTTCAGAGAGCAAGAGAGCCCAGACAGGCTAGACAAAAAGAGAATGAAAAAAAAAACCAACCGTAATGTGCTTGCTCGGGCTTTGCGGCGAGGCGGACCGTGTTTGGGCCGCGGCGGCCATGGCAGTGAACGAGACGCGCTTGGGCCGCTTGGTCGTCGACGCTTGGGACAAGGTCGAGCTGCAACTCTCAATGACGAACTCGTCGTAGTCGGCGACCAGCGGCAGTCGCATTTTCGAGCTCATTTTTCAGCGAATAACGGGAATAATCGCGACATAAATGGTTATATCGGGAAGGAAATATCAGTCAGTCAGTCTTTTTGGCAGGAGAAGAAGAATGAACACGAGTAGTTTCGGGGGGTTGCAAAGTGGAGAAATGACACAGAAAAAGAGAGAGAAACGAGAGAAAATGGGCGGGGCAACTCTATCGGTTGAAACGAAGGAACGACCGTCGGAGAACCCAGAAAAAAGAGAATCTTTAATGGAACACTTTTTAGGGTGCTTGACGTAATTGATGGCGGGAAATTTGAATTTAGAAAGAAAATTTTGGAACGTGACGTCATCAAGACGTTTGGTGACGTCATAAATTTTAATTTCAAGCGTTACGATCGGATAAAGTATAGTAGTATGAGAAGATTTGAACTAGGGCAGACATTTTTTGAGAAATGACGTCATTAAGTCAGGTGGATGACGTCATATCTCAATTTTTGGTAGAATAAATTCTGAAAAATCATTGAAAATGACTCCGAATCGATTTTTTAAGAACAATGACGTCATAGGACATTCAAAATTGTGTTTTAATAGAGGAAAACCAGAAAAAAGAATCATTACTGGAACACTTCCTAGACGTAATTGATGGCGGGAAATTTGAAATTAGACAGAAAATTTTAGGATATGACGTCATTAAGAAGAGCTTGTGACGTCATAGACGAGGGCTGAAGATCGAAGAAAATAGTTGGAAATCTTGGAAAACGGATCAGATTCCGATATTTTTGAAAAATGACGTCAATAGGAGGAATTAGTGACGTCATTACATACAGCTTTGAACGTGACAGATCACTGAGAATAATGTAGGAAACGGAGATTTTTCAATAAAGTCATTCAAAAAATTTTCAAGCACAGTATATCAAGAATAAGATTAGTTAGTAGGAGCAATATTGATTTCTGAAAAAATGACGTCACCATGAGGGTATTCTCTGACGTCATGGGCAAGATTTGAAAGTTTATACAATTGATATATAGGGACCATTCAAGCTTTAGGAGATTAGGGGCCAGATTCTAAACCTCTATAGGGACCACCTAACTTTTACCTCTATAGTTAACGCTTCCCCCACCCCCTAACCCCTACAGGGACCACTCTGGCCTCCCAATTTTCTTAAAGAAAAACTAAAAACTCCCGGAAAAAGAGCCCAAAGTCAAGAGACAGGACGTCACGAGTTGAAAATCGCTGTAAAGTTAAACTGACCCCACGTTTTTTCGATTAAAACTTTTTGAAAAACGCGCCATTTTTTTTTTCAAAGTGTATTTCTATTAGAAATCGATCAAACACGATCGAACATCGATGAGTCAACAGAGATTGCGAAAAGGGTTGTAAAAACAGGTTATTTTTTTTGTGGGGGGTGGTCGACAAAAAAATCTTTGTTTGATTTTTGGACAGTTTTGGTAAATAAAAAAATTTGGATTTTTTGGCTGTTTTTTGAGATGAATTCAGAGGCAAATCCTATTTTTCCGGAGCTTAAATTGTTATATTAAAAAAATCATTTTTGAAAACTTTCCAGGCGTTATGAGGCTATTTTCTGCTTATACCTTTTTTAAAAAGGTTTCCGGTTTTTTCAAAAAGATTTCTAGGCTTTTCAGGGTCTTTAAAGGATCTTAACAGGTCCTAGGAAGCTAAAAAAAATGTCCAAGTATTCCCAGGTTTTGTTAAGGCTTTTGAATAAGGCTGAAGAAATCTTTGAAAAAAGTCCAGAATGTCCAAAAAAGAATCTTTTGGGCTTTTCAGCGTTCCGGAAATCCAAAAAATCTTGCTAGGGAGTCGTAAAACAATATAAGAACTCTTAAAAAAGCCCAGAAAGGCTTTTCGGGGCGTCAAAAGCTTGAGAAGACCTTGCTAGGAAGCCCAGATATTTCTTAAAAATCTGGGAAGTCCTAAAGAAAGTTCTAAAGTAATACACATGTACTTTTTGTATTCTTCTGAGCAACCCACAACTATAAAAAGCCCCTAGATTCAGTAAGATCGACCCAAAAACGGCGAGAATGTCGCGTGGAATGAACGTCAACATGAGCGATGAAATAAATTGCCAGTGCTTAATGGCGGGCGGAGAAGCCCGGGTCATCTTGACGGCTTCTCCCTCTTGAAAATCTGGGTTCCACAATTGGATCAATAGAGAAAAGGTCCTTCTGGGCAACTAGTTGTTGTAGGAAATGTGAAGATTTTCATGGAATATTGAATTTTTTCTTTTTAGGTGACTTGGAAGGTCATTTCAAAACAATTTTTGCGTGTCAGAAAAACATTTTTGGAAATCTGAATTTTCTGGGAGATTTTTGTATGTTGAAGTAAGATCAATAGATTTTTTTATTCATGAAAAAATTCCTTTTAAAAAAAGTTCTTTTACTGGAAGTTGGAATATTAAAAAAATAGAAAAATGAATAATTTTGAATTTCGCGCCTAGATTTATTGATTTAAATATCGTCCTGGCAAGCTTAAAATTGGAATTTTTGAACGAAAAAGATATAGTAAAAAAATCAATTTTTGTTGAAAAAAACACTTCAAATGTGTCTAAAATAAAAATTATCAAGTTTTTTTCCAGGTAGTGTTCATTTTCAATTTTAGGCAAAAGCTAAAGCTTGCTTAAATTTTTTTTTTGGAATTTGTTCAAGTTTCCGGCTTCCCAACTGAAAACTCTTCATAAAATCTTCAAAAGAGCTTAAAATAAGAATAATTTTTGAATTTCAGACCAAAAAGTCCTCAAAAAAGACCTCTATGCTAACTGATCTACAAAATGCACGTAAATTAACTATTTTTTGCGTTAGCCGAAAAAAAAACAGGATATGATGTGACTAACCTTTTTTGGAAACGAACAACTGTGCAAATAATCGCCCGAATATTTGCTCAAAAACTAAAGAAAGCTGAAAAAAAACTGTTGCTCGGAAAAAAAAGGGTGCGACAAAGAGGCCATTTCGGGTGTGTTAAAAAGGTGACTAGCTCAAAAAAATTCAAAAAAGGCAGGTTAAAGATTTTTTCAATGGGATTTTGACAAGCTTTTCGAGTAGGAAAAAGCAAATTTTTTTAATTTCTTGAAATTCTGGAAAAAAATGATCCAGTTTTTTTGGAAAGTTTAATCAAATGTACTGTTAAAAAAATAGATTTTAAGGTTTTTTTCGAGCTTTTTCTCGTTCAAATTTGACTGGATTTGGGATATTTCTAATATTTCTTCCGTTAAAAAAAGATTATAGAGGACCAGTTTTTTTACTGTATAAAAAAATGAAAAAAAGAGGTCATTTCAGGTGTGTTAAAAAGGTGACTAGCTGAAAAAAATTTCAAAAACAGGTCAAAAATTTTTTTTTCAATGGAATTTTGACAAGCTTTTCGAGCAGAAAAAAAGCATTTTTCTAAATTTTTTTCTTGAAATTATGAAAAAAATGATCTAGTTTTTTTAGGATTTTAGGCAAAAACTTTTTAAAGTTATATTAAAAAAACTTTTTTTGACCAAATTCTCGTTGAAATTTGACTGGATTCGAAAGATTTCTTCTATTTATTCTGATCAGAAATATCGAGAAACGAAAAAAAGTTTTTACTACATAAAAAAAGAGATAATGAACGTCTCAAAGAGCTCACTGAAAAATTAAAAAATCGATCTGGGGGTGTTGGAAAAGCCAGACACAAAAATTCCCAAGTAAGGGGATTCCCGTAGGAATTCACACGAATTTTTGAAGGGCCATCATCAGTTGGAGCCCCATTTTTCCAAGTTTGGAGAAGCTTTCGAACACAAGAAAGAAGAGAAAAAAGTCGTTTTCCTTCACTTTTTTTGAGAAATTTATGGTTCTGTCGAGCGTGAATTGGAAAAGCTGGAAAATGAATGTAATTTTTTCGATTTACAGATATTTTTGAATCATGGAGAAGTTCATGATGTCTTGAAGTTCTATAATTTAACATTTTATTCGAAAAAAATATTTATTTGACAGCCTCAAACGGGTTTACCTATCCTAAACACTTAAAAAACGAAATTAGGTTCAATTTTACATGATTTTCCCTAGAAATTTCATAAAAATTTACTTAGAAAAACACAGTAAGGCGTTTGGAACCACTGGCGGTAGCTTTATTCCGAGACAAAAATGAACAAAAATCAAAAAATGCAAAATTTTCAAGACCATCATCAGGGACCACTTTATCCAAGTTTGTAGAAGTTTCGAACACAAGAAAGAAGAGAAAAAAGTCGTTTTCCTTCACTTTTTTTGAGAAATTTATGGTTCTGTCGAGCCTGAATAGGAAAAGCTGGAAAAATGAAGGTAGTTTTTTTGATTTAGAATAATTTTTGCATTAAACTTCAATCTTAAACATTTTTTTATTGGAGAAAAAAATTTAATTTGAAGGCCTCAAACTGGTTTTGCTTATTATGGAACACTTAAAAAAGCTGAATTAGGTGCAATTTTTTCGATTTTTTTCAAAATTTTGCTTTGAAAAACACTGTAAGGCATTTGGAACCATTGGCGGCAGCTTTATTACAAAAAGATTATCAAAATTAAGGATTTTTGCTTTTTTTCGATTGTAAATTTCTTGTTCTTTCCGTGATTTTCAGATTTTGAAAAAAGATTCAGGAACATACTTCTAACCTAAAATATTAATTAAAGTGAATAAATTTTGACTAATAACTGAGAAAACACGATAATAACGAAACTAGACTCCTGAAGCCTAATTAGGGCCTGAATGACATAAATAACTTTTCTTTTCATTACTTTCCTTACTGGGAAAATTTTTAGTGGCCCCTCTAGAGGCAAGCCAAGGACTACTTGGAGAGGACACTAAAGTGGCCACTAAACCCACCTCTATAGTGGACACTGTTTTCCGTTTTTGTGGTCACTATAGAGGTTATTTATTTAGTGGACAAGCTAGAAAGCTAGTTTTTTCAGAGTTTTAGAGATTTTAGGGACACACTTTCGACTTCTATCATTTTCCAAGCAAACAAATTTTAACTAATAACCAAGAAAAGCACGATAATAACGCAACTAGACGAGAAGCTGGACCCGTTTGCCCATTATGGAACACTTGAAAAGCCTAATTAGGAACGGGGCAGCCACAGAAACAAAAGGACGCTCGATTCTTCTTCGGAAAACGACGTCGTCCAGGGAAGGAACCGCGGCAAATTCGGTTTGGGATGCGCTTGATTCTCACATAAACGATTTCGCGCACTTTTCAGGCCTTCTTGAGTCTTGAAAGGAAGGTCATTTTTTTCTAAAAATTGGTTAGAACACTTCTTGATGTACCAAAAAAGAATTCTGGAAGTCTCAACCTGCAAAACTACCTAGTTTTCGAGAGAGAAAACACCTCAAAATCCTTAAAAATGAGCAATTTTGGGGCTTTATTTCTCGAAAACTGGGAACTTCTGCAGGTTGAGGCTTTCAGAATCTTTTTCTGGTACATCAAGGAATTTTCTGGCCCATTTTCAGGAACCGCAAAATGAAATGAGCTCCTTGTAAGAACGAAAATCAACTGAATTTCAAAAAAAGCCTATGAAATCAGAGGAGAAATATGCAAAAACCTGTAGAAAATCAAATGATTCCCTAGATCTTCCTAAATTAGATTATTTTATCGAGAAAAAATGGTACCATAATTAAAAACCAAAAATAGACACGAATCGAAGGATTTCCCCAAAAAAATCTCGATTTTTTTCAAAAAGATTTTGATTTTTCTCAACTAAAGGAGCCTAATCGCGACAATATTCAACCAAAAATTCCTGTAGAATTCTATTTTTTTCTTGTAAATTTGATAGATTTAATCAATATTCCGATATTTTCAATTTTTTTAACTCAAAAAAAGAAGCGTTTGAAAAAAATTTTTCCGAACTGAAAAAAAGTGAGAAAAAGTAGCTTTAAATGGGAGAAATTGGTTAAAAATCATATATTATATTCAATTCCACGTGAACGACTTTGCGCAAATCCGATAAATAACAATTAATCCGTAAAAAAGGGAAAAAAACAAAAAAATCTGGTCGAATTTTTGAGCTAGGAAAGGCTTTTCCGTAAAAAAATATGATCAAGTTTAAAAAAAGTAAAAAAATTTGGTTTTTTTCAACAGTTTCTGTATTCAAAAGATCAAAAGACAGGTAATTATCTTTCAAAAAAATTGTATTTTTCTTTTTTTCCAACTTTTTCTAGGTTCATATACTCATAAAAAAATAGAAAAAAATCTTGAAGCTATAGTTGGAAAAATTCCCTCAAAGCGAAAAGGAAGTGATCACTTAAGTGTTGCCAAAAAAAAAAAATGATAAAGAACACGAAAGATGAACATATGACACGAGAAAAAAAGAGCAAAAAAACAGAAACCCGATCTCTTTTTTTCAGACCCCTCATTTCCAAGATTGGAAAAAAAGGCACACGAAAAACATGACACCCATGAAAAAAATTGATGTTTAGAAATATAATATTATTTTTCAAGATTAGGAAATTTTTTTAACGAAAAAAGAATTTGAGCAAAAAAATTACGTGCTTCTAGAACTGCATGGGGAAGAAAAATTGGAACAAAAAAATTTTTTTCCAACCGTGAATTATCATAATTGAGGATATCTTATGCATTTAATTTTTTGAGATGAGGAAAATGAGAAATTTTTGAAAATTTGAAAAGAAAATCAGCGTCTTTCTCAGTTAAACTGACTAAAAAAATCAAGAAAAAAAGCGATTTTTTTAATTTTTTTCAAACCAAAAATGGAAAAATTTTTCACCGGTGAGCAAAGTTTATGTGTTTCTATGACTGTATGGAGAAGAAAAATTTGATGTTTTTTTGTTTTAAAAATTTTTTTTGGACTTCAAATCTCTATATTTGATTGCCTACTGTGAGAGTATCCCATAAAAATTTTTGATTTTTTTCACAGGAACTTTTTGAATTTTCAAAGCAAAAATTGGCTTTTTCTCAGTTAACATGGCTGAAAATTAGGAAAAAATAAGCAATTTTTGATTTTTTCAAACCGAAAATGGAAAATTTTCTCCAGTGAGCAGAGCTTACGTGCTTCTATGTCTGTATGGAGAAGAAAGTTTAAAATTTTTTTTTGGGACTTCAAATCTTTATATTTTATTGTTTAATGAGAATTTCTTATAAATATTGATTTTTTTCACAGGAATTTTTTGAAATGCCATAGTGAAAAATTAGCGTTCTCACCCTTAAAATGACTAAAAATCAAGAAAATAAGAAGAATTCCAAACAAAGTTCAAAACTTTGGGTTTCCAACTCTCAGATAATTTTTTATCAGTGGAAAGAATGATCTGACCATTTGGAAGGAAAACTGATAAGATCGCCGACGGAGCAAAGAAGCGCCATTCGTCTTGGGGTACACGGAAAAGCTCAAAGTCTTGAAGGAGATTAGACACGGAACATGAAGCCATCGAAATTTATGCATTGCAATGGAAATGCCCCATTTTCCCCCTCCGCTTCCGCTCTAGTTGGCTTTTAGAAGTCGGAGAACGGAGCGATAGCCAAATTTAAGATTAAAAAGGGAAAATTCCGTGATAAAATGACATTTTCTATAGCTTTTAATGATAGAAACTCGAAAACTGATCGAATTGTACAAGTCTAAAAAGTTTTCGGAGGCTAAAAAACCTTCTGAGAGTCTTTTTTCGAAGCTGCAGTTCGAAATAAATTACTTTTTGATGAAGTAAAAAAATTTAATAAAATGAGAAAATTGAAGAATAATCGAATTATACAAGCCTAAAAGTTCCTAAAAATCATTTTTGAAGAGAAAAGGTTAAAACTTCAGGCGAAAAAATCACTTTTAAGGTACAAGACTCAGAAAAAAGTCGCAAAATGTCCTTAATCCTGAAAATTTGGAAAAAATGAGCTCAGCAACGGAACCTTGTCCACTAAAACATATCTTATCTTTCCTTTTTTGAAGCCTTCAAAGGCTTTTCTTCCAAAAAATCTCTTTCTCATGAGATAAAAGGTCAGGGAAAAGTCACTACAAAGTCAAAAAAAGCCCTTAATTCTGAGAATTTGGAAAAAATGAGCGCAAAAAAAAAAACTTGCCTTCTAAAATTATAAAGAAACTTCTTTTTCCTCCTTTTTTTGAGCCTTAAAAAAGCTACTTTTACTTATTTTCTTTCAAAAATTTCGCGAAAAAGCCAAAATCAAGCGTCAAGCGTATCAAAACTTCGTAATGTCCAGGTGCGATAAGTCCGTCGGGAAAAGAAACAACGAAAGCGAGCCCACCGCACTTTTGTTCCATAGGAAAACAGTCGTTCGGCGCCGAAAAACGGGTCCAACAGAATTATGTTTGCGCTCATTGGGTTCCGAGATTCTCGGGCCTTATCAGGAACTGAGGGATCTTGAAAAAAGAAATCGAATTCACAAGACCAAAACCAGAGATGGAAACGAAAGAGAAGAACTGCTTTTTGGAACAAACCGAGCGGAATTCGGATGTCTCCGACGCAATACATATTTGCATGCGCAGAATGGTCAAGTTAACGACTTGAATGCACCGGAAAAAAGTATAGTTGTAGTGTAAAGCAAAGGAGAAGGCAGCCGGCTGCGTAAATCGACTGCAATTTCGTGACTTTTTTGCGGGACGACATTCCACTTACCCGTGGCGCGCGCTTTCAGTGGATAGGTTTTTTTTTTGAGAAAAGTTTTCGTTATTTTTCTTTTAATCTTTTAAATTGGTTTCAGATTTTCTATCTTGTCTTTTGTGTAGTGATATGCGGCGAGTGATGATGAAATGTTTAATTATTTCGAAATTTCGTGAAAAGCTTGAAAAAAAGGCTTGATACGGAAGGAAAAAAAAGAGTTTTTCATGTTGTTTCGTTGTTTTATCGTCTCGAATCAACTATCTCACTGATTAATTTGTTTTTTAAGTGCTTCTTTGCTTTAGGAAGTTTTCAGCAAAAGTATTCACGAATTTGGTCTTTCTTTAAAATTTTTTTAACTCCGAAAATACTTCATTTCTTTGTTTCTTATTAATGTTTCAAGTTTATATTTTATAGTATGTTTTGAGTTATTTCTTGAAAGTTCATTATATTTCTGATCTACTTTAATCATGTGCGATTTTTCTTGTCAATTTTTCGTCTTTTCAACTTTTTTTTTGAAAGTTTTACTGTTCAGAATGCTTCGGCGGTTCTGCTCGAGTTTGAACCGATTTAATAACAGTCGCAGATTTTTGAGCTCGACTGGAGATGGAGAAGACAAGAATGACGGAAATGGGGTTAAAATATATCATTTTTTTTGATTTTTTTCTTATAGTGAAATCTTGCAGAAAAAAAGCCTCAAAGCGTTAAGCAAGTTCTAGGAGAAGATATTCTGAAAGCAGTTGGCGATGTTGTAGATGATCTTCATGAGAAGGGCACCGTGGAGAATAAAAAGTTGAAAATGAAGAATAAAAATAGAGAAAATATTATTTAAGTTTAGAGCCAAAAGCACGTTGATAAATCGGCTCGTTTCTCATGAAAAGGCGACTTTTGACGCGGCTTCCGCTTCGGCCAGCAGTGAAATGCTCGACGATTCGTCCTTGTTGGGACTTTTGTCCGATATTGCCCAAGACGGACAGAAAACGGTCAAGAAAGTCGCGCCGAGGTGTGATTTTCGAAAAATCTTGGAAAAAAATGATCCTCCATGTTGTCCCTACCCTCATTGCCTTGAAAAGATCGGAAAAAAATTCAATTTTGAGCGCCATTTTCAGCTCAGTTTCCATTGATTTATGCATATTTTTTTGAAAAATTTTTCTCTATTATTCAAAAAGACAAGTTAACTATTTTCACCAGATATTAACAGTTTTCATAAGAAAAACATTTTTTTACTCGATTTTAGGAAGAAAAATTTTTCTTACTAGTCAGATTTTCATATAGAAATTCATTGCGCTTCATCCTTTTAATTTTGAAAATTCGTGTTTTTCAGATTTTTTTTCAACGAATTTTTCATTTTCCTGACTTTTCTACCTTTCATAAACGTACATAAAGTACAATTTTCGCATTTTCAAGATAAAAAAAGTCATTAAAACACCTAAATTCAGAGGAGCCCAGGCGAGACAAGAAAGACGAGGCCTTGTACTGCTCCGAAAGGAGATTTTCTACCAAGCCATTCAGGTGATTTATTTTTTCTTTTCGAGAAAAACCACATTTTTTGATTCCAGAGTGGCTACAAATCCGAAGAAGCCCGCCAAATGTCGGAAAAAGTGGTCGACGAGGCCCAAAATCGGCTGAGAGAACGGCGAAACGCCGTTCTGAAGGAGAATAAGGAGATTCTGGAGAAGGAGGCTGTAGATGAACAGGCCAAGGATGAAAGGGAGAGGAAGCTGTTCGAGCTGGCCACGCAAACGATCGAGTAATGGCTTTGGCTTAATTTTCGTGATTTTGAACGTTTTTGAAAGACATATAGCGCTATTTTTGAAGATTTTAGAATTTATACGACTTCAAAATTCGAAAAAAACGAGCAATCCTGACAAATATTTTTCTTAGTTTTCATATTTTGAAACTCAAAATGGCGATTTTCGGGAATTTCGGATATTTTTTTGAAGCGAATTTCGAGAGTTTACATATTTTTTTACGGCTTCTAACTATTCTTTGTTTCAAAAATAAGGACAATTTTTGACAAATATATTCTTAATTTTCATGTTTTTGAAACGTTTTTTTGAAAGACAAAAAAACTCAATTTTTCGGCTAATTTTGATACTTTTTAAGGCTTTTTCCAGAATTTAAAAAAAGTTTATACGGCTTCTAACCATTTTTTTTTTTTGCAAAATACGGACAATTTTGACAAATATACGCTTGGCTTTCCACATTTTGATACGTCTTGAAACCGCAAAAATGGCTCATCTTTCCGAAATTTTTGACAATTCGAGCTTAGTTTCAGAAATTCCGAAGTTTGTATGTCTTTCAATTGTTTTTTTGGCGTATTTTTAAGTAAGTTTTATTGGTTTTAAAATTTTTTTTATCAAAAATACGACCAAATCTGCTTAGTTTTCTTCATTGTGAAACACCTCAATATAAAAAAACAACGACTTTTTGGGAGATTGTGATAGTTTCTAAGGCTCTTTTCGTAATTTATCAAGTTTATAGGGCTTCTAACTGTTTTGTATTGCAAAATTACGAACTATTCTGACAAATTTGCGATTTATTTTCAAGATTTAGAACGTTTTGAATGACAAATCGCTCAATTTTTGGAATTTTTTGAGTTCATACGGCTTCAAAATTTGAAAAACGCGCAATCCTGACCAATATGTGCTCCATTTTCATGTTCCGGAACGCCCTAAAACCAAGAAATGGCTCAATTTTCGAATTTTTAGATAGTTTTTGAGCTTAGTTCCTGAAGTTTTGAAGTTTGTATGGCTTCAAATTATTTTTTGACGTATTGTCAGTGATTTTCCAGGTTCAAAGGTTTCAAAATGTTTTTTTGTATTGAAATTAAAACGAACAAATCTGATGAATAAGCTTAATTTTTCATTTTTGGAGCGCCTCGAAACAAGAGAAGACCATTTTTTGTGAAATTTTGATAGTTTTTGAGGCTTTTTTGGAACTTTCCAAGTTTATACGGCTTTTTCTAATTTTTTTTATTGAATTACGTAAAAATCCTGACGAATATATGCCTAATTTTCCACGATTTGGAGCGCGACAAAAACAAAAAAATAGCTCAATTTTTTTGGAAGTTTCCGAAATTTTTTTATGGTTTTTGAAGGTTTTCAAGTAGAAACAGCTTTTTTTCCGTTTTTTTCATTTTAATGAAATTTTGAAAAATTTAAAAAAATGATCTGAAATTCGAAACTACGAGAAAAAAATCGAAATTTGAGAATTTTTTTCTTTTTTTCTAGTTATTTTTTTTAAAAGTAAGAAGACAGGTATCTTTGAATTTTCGAAATATTCGTATTAAAAATAATCTTCTTTGGATTGATTTATGAAATCGCCCTTGATTTGAAACATTTTGAAACATTTTGTAGTGTGGAATTGTAATAATCTTGTCAATTTTAAAGTTTTTGGGTTCTGAAAAATAAAGAAAATTGATTTTCTTCCAGAAAAATCTATCAAGACGACTTGACAACGGGAACGAGTCGGCCCGTGGTGAACGTCGATGAAAATGCGCCGAAATTACTCGGCGGCCAGAAGAAATTGGGAATTTTCAAGACTTTGGAAGGGACCAGCGATAACAGCTTGGGATTCTGGACCGAGTGGGATCGGAGAGCTGCCTTGTGAGTTTTTGGAAGATTTAAAAGTAATTTTTCAGCTTAAGAAGTAACTTCTAGCTTCTGACTTTCACAGATAAAAGTTTAAAAAACCGAAAATTTATTATTTTTAAAATTATGTGAGGTTTCTCGTTCTTGAATGTTTGGAAACATTTTGAAAGATAGCGTTTTTTCAGGGCTATTTTGTTTTTAAAAATTCATATTTTTCGAAAATTAGTATAAAGGAAAAATTTATTAAAATTAGATTACAAAGAAAAAAATGCGATTTTCTGCTAGTTCTATGAAAAATTTTTCATCTTTTGTACCTTTTTATGACACGTTTTTTTTAAGAAGTGAAAAAAAGCCACTATAGGGGGTCAAAAAAATATAAAGATCTTTGATTTTTCTGATTTTTATAATACAAAAAAAGTATGCATAGGGACCACTAGAATGCTTCCCTAGAGTGGCCACTCTAGCAAGCTTTAGTGCCCCTCTAGGGAGAGGTTAAAAAAAAGTTGCCCGTGGAGCGCAAATGTACGCAAAATGTCGATTTTTTGTTTTCCTTGCGAAAAGCGAAATTTTCAAAACCGCTAATGAAATCCCAATTACATAATAATCCGTTAGGCTACCGCAGAGAGCAATTAAAATTCCTTTAAAAAAGTAAACTTTAAAGAAACTTCCAGAAACGTAGGCAAACCTTGACAAATCGTCGTTTCTCCATTGAGAGAGAGAGACCAGAAAATCGCGTTTTTTTTTTCAAGAAAGCCGTCGAATGACCGAGAAAAAAAGAAAGAATTATTTTGAAACGCCACAGTGGTCCCTAGAGGGGAACCTTCAAGGGTTCATAAGGTCACCCCTCTAGGGACCACTTGGGCTTTCATTCGTATGACGATTTTCAAAGATTTTAAGATTTATTTATATGATTATTGATTTTTTCAATTAACCATCCTGCAGATTAACCAATAAATCGTTCGGCCCGACGAATTCCTTCGAAGAACAAATCCAGTGGACAGAGCAAGGGAAACAGTGGCCCTATCCGATCGATAACGAATATTTGATGGGCGAAGAAGAAAATGTAGCACTTTTGAATGATTATTATCAATAAATGAGATTTTTAGGTTTCCTTCATCGACCATATATTCTTGGAGCGGCATCTTCCAGCCCTGGGAATCCCGAAAACCGGCCCGATTGCTCATTTTATGCATCTGGTGGGTTTATATAGCCCCTTTTAGGGAGTTGAGAACATTTTGGAGTGGCCCCTATAGGGATTTTGATAAGGCACAACAGGGGCCCCTACGCTCCCTAAAGTTTTAGTGGAGAAAGCACTAAAGGGTCCACTAAGATTTTGACCCCTCTAGGGGTCCCCAAAGCCTAGGACCTCTCCAAAGGAAGCACTATAGGGGCCACTAAGATTTTGACCCCTCTAGTGGTCCCTAAAACCTAGGACCTTTCCAAAAAAAAGCACTATAGGGACTCCCTAATTTTGACCCCTCTAGGGGTCCCTAAAGCCTAGGACCTCTTCAAAGGAAGCACTATAGGGGCCACTAAGATTTTGACCCCTCTAGTGGTCCCTAGGACGACAAAGCCCTAAGACCACTCTGAAGAAAGCACTGTAGGGACCCCTGAAATTCGGGCCATTCTAGAGGTCCCTAAAGCAACAAAGCGCTGAGACCTCTCCAAAGAAAGCACTATAGGGACCCCTTAATTTTGACCCCTCTAAAGGTCCCTAAAGCCTAGGACCTCTCCAAAGGAAGCACTATAGGGGCCACTAATCCCTATGAAGGTCCCTACGGCAAAGCCCTAAGAGGACCCCTCCGAACTTTCCCAGAAAGGCGGGACTTCTCTGCGCTTTCTCATTTTGACGAGCTATTTTTCTGCCGGTGAGAGAACAGAGAGACGCAGACACTCTATCTTTTTTGAAGATGACTTGAAAAATCTTTATATGAACAAAATCTCAATGAAAAACTTTGCAGGTTTGCGTCGGCTTGTCGAAAAATCCCTATATGACGGCCAAAAAGAAGCGAGAACACTTGGAATGGTTCGCCAACTATTTCAACGCCGAAAAACAGAAAGTCGTCGAGAAATTACACGAACAGGAGCAAATCGCCGCCCAAAATGCTCAATAATGAATTTTTCAGTGTAGGATATTGTATCTTTTGTCAAATAGTTGGTTCCGCGCGACACAGCAGAAAAAAGCGACCGTAATCACAGCGTTTGCTTTACAAAACTGCAAAAAGACAGTGAAAAGCAAAGGTCTTGAAACAAAATTTGATATTTTTCGAAGAAAAGAGCTGGCGCGGAATAAACTTTATTTAATTTATAGAGTAGTTTTGAACGTTATTGTTGTTGTTTTTCATTTTTTTGTTATCCTTTTTTTTCCTGTATTAAAAAAAAAATTATATGCTTCTGAAGTTCTAGTAGAGTGAAAGAAGAATTGTTAACACATGTTTTCAGCAAAAAAAAGAAGTTCAAATAACAGATTTTTGTAGCTTTTTTCATAAAGTGGCAGAAGTTTCTGATTTTAGAAGGGTAAATTTCATCTTTGAACTGGGTTGTCAGATAAAAATTCGGCAAAAGTCTCAGGCACTGACGGCGCGTGTTTGTTGCCAAAAGTGCGCATGCGCGCCGCCTTCTGCGCGCACGCGCGGGGTGTCTGTTTTGTTTTTTTAGCTTTTTTTAACTTATTGAAAAGTTATAAATTTTATATTTTTTTCATGTCTGTTCATCTCTTATCATTGCTCTGCACCAGTTTATAACAATTAGATTGCACAAAAATTTGAAATATCAAAATTTCAATTGGCTTTTTGTTTTCATAAATTTGTTCGAAAGTGCTCGGAACAACTTTAAAACGTGAGCAGGGGCACTGGGTAGAATCACAAAAAAATATAAAAAAATATTTTTTTGAAAAACCGTATTTCAGTGTAAAAGGCGAAAAAAGAATCAGTACCCCCGCGCGTGCGCGCACCAGTGCCTGAGGTGGGAAAATTTCAAAGAAAATTATTTTGCGCGTAATTTCTGAAGAATTCTGCGGTTACAGCACGATACGGCCAAAACACCGAACGCTACGCGCAAAGCGTTTTTTGCGCCCTAAAATTGTGAAATTTTTATATTTATGGCGTGTTCATCGGACAAAACGAAAATTGTCCCGAAACGCGAAAAAATTGCTTCAAAACAAAAATTAGTACTGTTTTGAAGCAACTTTGGCGCGCCAATGAACACGATTTTTCGTTTCGAAGCATGTTTCGTTTCTCCAATGAATACGCCATTAAATTTTTTAATGTTAAAATGAACGTTCAACGTAATTCAACCCAAGTGGTCACTTGAGGGGAAGCTACCCGCCTGAAGTAAGTTTCAGCGGTCCCTTAAGGTTTTTGTTTTGTCTATATAGTCTGTTCCGATTTTTCGATGTTCAATCCACTGCCATCGTCGACACAGAACCTTTTCGCGTCGAATTTTTCATGCTACATTTTTTTTGAAATTTTTTTTTGCTGTTGGTTAATTTTAAATCTGAACAGACTGTAATTTCCATTCATGTTTTGCGCTCATGCAAGACTTCTGCGCCTTTGGAAAGGCAGCAAAGATTTTTGAACAGATTATGTTTTAAAAAAATTTGTAACTTTTCGTTGGTAACATTCGATGGAAATTTTTCATTTAAATGTTCATTTTTGAGGTATTTCAGCAGGCGAGATGGATCCTCTACCTGAAGTTATTATCAAAGGTTTTGATAAAAAGTTATTCTAAAAATTTTTTTATTATGGAATTCAAGAGGAAGAGGAAGATGTCGTAGATTATAGTCAAGAACTGGTATCGCCGAGAAGAAAGCGTCGGAATGTCTGCCGTCTCGTACTTGACGTTTGAGATAAATAAAAAAAAATAAAAAATTAAATTTGAAGGGACCCCAGAAAAGAAAGACCCGTCGAGAAAAAAGTGTTGTGGCGCCAACGAATCTTTTTCCAACGCCTTCTGTGTCCCCTTCTCAGGTATCTGGTTCCTGAAAGTCTGAAAATGCACTTTTTCGAGGAAGTAGGCTCGAACTTTTGAAAAATCAGAGAGTTTTTTTTTCCATGAAATAAACATTTTTGGAGGTTGACAACTTTATTCGGTATATCAATGAGTTCTGTTAATAGTTTTTACAGAGTACTGAAAAAAACTAGTGGCCACTTAAAAGGTTGCGTACCCCAGGGGTTTGCGTAGCCCAGGGGTCGGTTAGCGTACCCCAGGGGTCGGTCATCGGACCCCTTCTGTTTCTACTTTTTATTAACGACATTACGGATAACTTTCGCTCTGCGCCCCTTCTCTATGCTGACGATTTAAAAATTTTTTCTTCGCTCACAAAAACCTCTAGTTCTACTGTCATCGAAGAAGACCTCAAATTACTTGAAAACTGGTGTTCAACATGGCAAATGGCTATAGCTCCAACTAAATGCTATTCTATTCATTTCGGAAAACGTAACCCAAATATTTCTTATAAAATTTCAAACATGGCTTTACAGCCTAAACTTTTAGTTCGAGATCTTGGTGTAGTTTTCTCAAATAACCTTAAGTTCAATGATCATATATCTGAAATCTGCAGACGGTGTAAATGTCGCATAAATGTTATGTTTAACGTGTTTCGATCCACTGAGCTCTCATTGTATTTAAAATGCTTTGAAGTGTATATTCGTCCTATTATTGATTATTGTTCTGTAGTCTATGCTCCAATTGACTCTCACAATATTTGTTTGATTGAAGGTGTTCAGAAAAGTTTCCTTTTCCGAGCTTACCATCGTTGTGGCTTGCCCTACCACTCTTATTTCACTTGTTTATCTGAAAATAGTCTCAAAACTCTTGAGACAAGACGCCTCATCTTTGACATGTCTCTTGTTTATAAAATTGTACTTAGAGGAGTCCCCATTGATTTCGATAGTCTCTTCTTTTTCCCCCGTGTCCGTGCGCTGCGTCGCCATCGCTATTATCAAATATAAGACATAATAGTAACATCGTTGCCTCGTTTTTTAGTATCAGAATAATTAATGTTTGGAACTCCCTTCCCGATGTTGTATTTGATCTATGTAATGATTCTATGCGATTCAAAAATCTATTTAGAAAACAACCCCCATCTTCTCGCTGACTTTCTTAAAAATATCTTCTAACTTTTTAAACGGTTTGTTACTGTTTTTCAATTTTTTTAAATTTCCCTTTTTTTGAAAATTGGTTCTGTTAGAGGTCTTTTTCGGCCCTTGAACTGTATTATTATTCGTATTGAATAAATGAATAAATTATGGTTTCTCAAGGACTACTTGGAGAGTACACTGAAGTGGTCAAAAAAAAAGCCATTTTTTTGCGACTTAGTGACCCCTAAGTAGCTCCTAGTGGTCTAGTAGTACCACTTAGACTTCTGAAGAGGCCACTAAATTTCAGCCAATCAAGTAGCCACCAATTCGACGACTATAGTGGCTAATAAAAAGTCAAAACCTTAAAGTGGCCATATCAACGGGAATTTGATTCTTGCAGATGAGCTCGGAAGCAGAAGAAGAAGATAGAAATCTGCAAATTTCGAATATTGAAAGTCCGACGCTTTCAATAACTGAGGGACAAGGAAGCGGCCACAGAGGAAAGTTTCGCAGAGCCGACATCCCGAAATTCCAAAAAGAAACGGCTGAATGCGAAGTTCAAGTGTTGCTTAATGTCAGTTCTTCAACTCTCAGAAGGTGCTGAAAAAGTTTCGTTAAAAGCTCCAAAAGTTATGGGAAAAAGCTTTTGAGCATCTTTTTCATAGCCTCAGAGGATCCTTTTGAATTCCGTAGAAAGTTTTCTAGTTGCTTTTTAACATCTTTTCATCAGAGAATCTGGAAAAGATACAAAAGAAAAATAAATAGGATTGTTGGGGACTCTTGGAAAATCTTTTTTTGAAATGGAAGACTCGATAAAGGGACTCTTCCTTCTGCCTTTTTGCTGCTTTGTTTTAAATCTCTCCCTTTTAGCGATCATTATCCATAATTCCGACTTTGCCCAAGTATATAGTTTACTCTGAAATTAGGTTTTTGTTCCATTACTATCATTTTCAGTCGTCGCAAAACGATGATTGGGTGTTTATCTTGTGGAAAGGTTGGGATCCGTCGACCGGCGAGTTTCAGAATATGGCGGAAATCGGATCGGGAACACGGGATGCAGTTTGTCGTTCTTTTTCTTAAAATTTGAAACGAGTTTTCGTACGAAAATCGAGTTTTAGTGTCGTTTTTTGGGTTATTTTTGAAGGGAAATCAAATTTCAATAATTTTGTCGAGGATTTTTGGACGAAAAATCAAGTCTCAGAATTATTTTTCAACAAAATCTGGTGGTATGAAAAAAACACCAGCGAAAATTCAAACGGCGACTTTTTCCGATTTTTTTTAATATCGCTAGGGAACTTTCCGACGGCCACCTTTCCGACGAAACTTTTTTTCCGACTTTTTTTCCCTTGTGCTTTTCGGTTTATAAAACGTCTATGAACATTTTTTTCCCTATTTCTTTGTGTTTTAATTATGAACAAACTACCTACTTTATATAGGAAGATGTAAAACGAAGAGTTTATCGAGAAAAAAAAGTCGGAAAAAGTTTCGTCGGAAAGGTGGCCGTCGGAAAGTTCCCTAGCGATATGAAAAAATCGGAAAAGTCGCCGTTTGAATTTTCGCTGGTGTTTTTTTCATACCACCCAAAATCTAATTTCAAAGTGGATTTTTAGAGATTTTTCGGACAAAAATCTTGTTTTCCAGCTTTTCCACCTCTATCAGCGAAACGTGGTGTATGACGCCATCGAGAAGGATTTGAAGAAAAAGGGCATCTGGGCAAATTATCAACGAGAAGGCGTTAACCTGAAGAAGAGGCTGCCGGTGAATAACATAAAAAAATTTATTTGGAATAATTTTTTTATTTTATTTTATTTTTTTGCTTGAAATTCGAAAAGTCAAGAAAAAAAGTCGAAGCTCCTCAAGAACGGAAAAAAATGGTCTCTGGAGGGGTCAGCGAGAAAGAAGCCCCTTTAATGGATAAAATTGGCTTCCTAGAAGCTTGAGTGAAGCTGGAGTGGTCCCTATAGTGATATTTTTATTTTTTTATCAAAAAATTTAAAAAAAGACTTGCAGGGATGTCCCCCGAAAATGGTCAACACTTTTTTAGGTGGTCCCTTGAGGGGTCCCTTGAATCACAAAAGCCCCTGAGGTGGCTTCTCTAGTGACCACTTTGGCGTTCCTGATTCAGAAGAAATACGGTCTTCAAAAAGAACGTTCAAAAAATGATAAAGAGTGAAAAGATTGAAAAGGGTTCTCAAAAAAGGCTTAAAATTTCCGATTTTCAGCCATCAACTTCATTTTTTTGGACCTTGCTGGATCTGGAGGACGAGCATATGCAGATGTCAGTTTATAAGATAAAATATTTTTTTTTCACGGATTTTCGAAAACTTTTGTTTTTTCCTCTCATTTAGCACATTCAAATAAGACCAAGTTAAAAAAAAAGACGAGAGAACAGTGGCCATCCGAAGAGACGCCAGAGAAAGAGAGATTTCCACTTTTTTCGAGTCTTTTCTGACTCGCCTCGTTTTCTTTCCACATTTAGTTGAAAATTATACCTTTTCAAAGTTTTCTTTTCAAAAGGGAATTTTTTTATAGCCACGCACAAAAAAATGCCGGCCTTTTATTCTACGCGACTTGGTTGAAGGAGAGATTCCGATCGAACCAAAGAATGCTGAAATCTCTTTCTTTCGAGGTTTTTCTTCACAAGGAAGGTTTTTGCGGTTGGGATTTTCCTCGAAACTCGTAGATGTGCCAGGAAAAGACTCTGGAATTATCAATCTCCAAAACTTCCTCAAAGTCAAAAGGAGCCCTCAAAAACCGTTAACCTAGGCCATTTTTGGGCTTTTAATTTTCGAAAACTAGAGAGTTTTGCACTTTTTGGTACATCAAGGAATTCCCAAACGCAATGTAAAATGACCTCCTCATACGTCGGCTGGATCCCACCCCGGGGTGCGGCCTTCCCCTTCTAAAAATTGCGGCCTATTTCAGTACAGCTTTGAACTTTTTTTTCGCGCGCCAATAGTTGGAGTGGGATCCAGCCGATTCATGGACTTTCCTTCTCAGTTTGCAGTATTTTTGGTTTAATTAATGTATTTCAGTACTTGAACGAAAATGTCTTGAGTGCACAGATGGCGAAGAATGCGCCGCAATTGATCTCTGACTTTGGACAAAAGGTTAGATGGGTTATGGGATGATTAGATCAATAAATGTAACAAAATTAAGTTTTTAAGGTTGACAAGAAAAAAGGACATATTCAAAATCTTCTTTTTTTTTTCCAAAATAGGAATTTCTGTTCAATTTCAAGTTCATCGGTCGTGAGGCTATGAAGAGTTTTAAAAAAATGGCACATTTATCTCAAAAATCCGTTTCAACTGTCCCTTTGTCTTTAATAAGGGAAGGTCCCCCTTTGGAGTTAATTGAAATAGCGCTTTTTTTAGTCACATTTTGTGGACTTCATAACTCGGAAACAAGATCTGTTGCGAGGAATTTTTTTCCTTGTTCTGGATTCAGGAGGTGCCAAAGTAGACTTCAGCGAAATTTCATCAAAAAGTTCAACGAGAGGGGGGTGGGAGTAATAAAGTAAAAGATCTTTGCTCTTGCGAGCTAAAAATCCTTTGTTGGAAGAAGCTTCATTTAAATGCGGTACGCGGAACAAGGATTGAAAGTCAGAATATTCATTGAATTGATCAAAACAAGCAAAGTTATAAAATGGTAGATGAGAGCAGAGGTGGAGAATTGGGAAGGCAGCCCTTGGCTTGGCGGCCAAGCCAAGCCAAGAAGCCAAACGATAGAAATGAGCCATTAATTTACGTGGTCTTTGGCAACTAGGTCATGTACGTGGCGATAACGCCCTGTACTAATCATTATCAATTTTGTAAATTTTGAATTTTTTTTTTTCGCAACTCGTGTTAACGTTTTTAATCTACTGTAAAAGTTATTTCAGCAGGGAATTGTCACTGAAACGGGTCAAAAGGCTACCTTTTCAATCTCACTAGAGAACTATTTTGACAAAAAAATTTTGAGATGCTATGAAATTGATGCAAAAGTATTTCTCTTGATTCATTTAGTTTCCAAAAAAGTCAAATGGCTGAAAAATCCTATTACGCCAGGCCACCTCGTTAACAGTGGAAGGCTTACAGTTCTCTACCTGGATTTTTCCGGTGGTATAAAAAAAACCAGCGAATTTTCGAATGGCGACTTTTTCCGATTTGTTCAAATCGCCAGGGAACTTTCCGACGGTCACCTTTCCGAGGGACCACTTCCCGAATTTTTTCCCTTTTATTTTTCGGTTCATAAAACATTTTTTTGTCTACTTTTTTTTGTTTTATTCATGAATCAACTACCTACTTTATATGGGAGGATTCAAAACGAAGAGTTTATTTAGCAAAAAAGTTGAAAAGGATTAGTCGGAAAGTTCTCCGTCGGAAAGCTCCCAAGCGATATGAAAAAATCAGAAAAATCGCCGTTCGAGTTTTTGCTGATCTTTTTTTTCATACCACCATTTTTTCGTGTTTTTGTGTTTTTGTAAATGCTAGGGCGATATCGCCATACAAATGACCGTCGCGCCACGCTGACTTTTGAAAAAGTCATTTCTGCCTTTTGGGCGTTTATGGCTTGGCAGGCAGGGCGGCCAGAGGGCAGCCATCCTCCACCTCTGGATGAGAGAAAGAGGACGGCAGCGCGTCCGCGGCCGGATGGATCTTGTCTTTGGCTCCGTGTCGCTTGGTTTTATAGGGGCTGGATGGCGACGTCTGAAAGCTTTACAGTTAGAACGTTCGAAATAACTGCGTAGGAGGTGGTAAGAGATTGTACAGAAGCGGAGGCTCAGAGAGGAGCCTTCGCTCGAGGCTTTTACCGGTCGCGTCTGGTGATGCGGCGCGCGGTATTGAAAGGCTTTTAGCGTGAGTGCTTTTAGATGACGCTTTGATAAGGAGCCGATTTCAACGAAATCGAAGTTGTTTCTTTGATCGTTCCATTCTATTTTCCATTTCTGTCTGTTCTCCGATTAACCACACATCATCCGTTCGAAAGCTCAATTTAAAAAAATGTAATTTTTCTAGAGTTAACGACTTAATTTCTTCTTTCAACTGGGATCGGCAGTTCAGCTACTTTTCCTCTGTTGAGAGTAAATTTTCTCATTTTTTAAAAATTTTTAATGAAATTGTTCGTGATTCCTGTTCTAGTCTTCTAACTCCCCCCCTCAGTCGTCGCCCATTCAACCATGACAATCGTATTCGCCGGCTAAATATTAAAAGAGCCAGTCTCATTCGTGCTAATCTTTTCAATAATTCTACCCGCCTCCAATTCAATCTACTGTATAAAAAAATCAAAGCTTGTGCCTCCTCCATCTCCCTGGCACAGGAAACTTACATTGCTAACAATTTCAACCATGTTCAACTTTCCAAATATATCTCCAAAAAACTCAAATGTTGTTCTTCCATCCCCAACATTACTTACAACAATTCCCTTATTTCTGAAAGCTCCTCAAAAGCAGATGTTTTTGCTCAAATTTTTAGCACAAATTTTTCTGATGAAGTTTACGATTTGATGCCCATTTTCCCTTCCCCGAAAGCCACTAACTGCTCTATTTCGTTCACTCCTGAATTTGTTTATAAAACTCTGATAGCTTTACCTCCCAAATGCGGTTTTTCGCCTGACTTAATCAATCAACTTGTTTTAAAAAGGTGCTCTACATCTATTTCTATTCCTCTGTCTATTCTGTTTAACGAATCATTTTATTCCGGTTTCATTCCACCCTCCTGGAAATCTACCACGGTAATTCCTATTTTCAAACGTGGAAACTTCAGATCCGTCAAACTACCGCCCTATATCCTTGACACATCCTTTGTCCCGGGTCTTTGAAAGGATTATTTGTGATATGATTCGCCGGAGATTCTCCTCATTGTTTTCTGAATCTCAGTTTGGTTTTTTAAACAAACGATCTTGCAAAGCTTAACCTTCTATCTTGCCTCTCCTCTTGGCAAAAAAATCTATCGCCTCGAAAAAAATTTGTCGATGTTGTTTATTTTGACTTTGCCAAGGCTTTTTGATAAGGTAAATCATTCTCTGCTTGTTCATAAGCTCAAGAACTTTGGTCTTGACGAAAACGTTGTTCGATGGTACAAAAAAACTTCTTATCTGAGCGTGTTTCTAATGTTCTGATCGATGGATCTCGTTCTTCTCTTACTTATCTCAATACTTCCGGTGTCCTTCAAGGAACTGTATCTGGTCCTTTGCTTTTTTTCTAATTTTTCATCAATGATATTGTTAACTACATTGACCATGAAACCTCAATCTCTCTGTTCGCTGATGATATAAAAAAATTTACAGTTCTAACCCTGAATCTCTCCAACGTAGTATTAATTCCATATTTGAATGGTCTTCCATTTTGGGGCTTGCCTCTTGCTGCGCACAAAAACTTTTTGCTATCAACCTTGGTCCCCTCAATCCCAAAACAACTTATTTAATCAATGGTCTGTCTATTCCCAGAAAAAAACCATTATCCGTGATCTAGGTGTTTCTTATCGATGATAAACTAACTCTCGCTCCTCACATTAACAATATCGTTTCTTTAGCAACCCTTCGTTCCAATCAGATACTCAACTGTTTTTCGTTCCAAATCACCTGATCTATTGTTCAAAAATTTTTTTAACACCTATGTAAGGCCTATTCTAGAATACTGCTCCGAAGTTTTTTTAACCCTCCCCTTAACTCTGATCTCTGCTACAAACTGGAATCTCCTCTCAGAATTTTTTCTCGTAAAATTTTTATTAGGTCCAACTTATCCTTTGAATCTTACTCTGATCGCCTTGAACAATTTGATATCTCTCCACTTTACCTCAGACGAGCTATATCTGACATTCTGACCCTTCATAAAATTGTCTTCGGTATCGATCATTTTCCCCAGTTCGAACTTTTTGCCCTCAGGTCCAATTTAAGGCGAAATCCACTTCGACTGCGTTCTCAAGGTCAGTTTTCTAATGATTTTTTCTTTAAAACAATTCCTACTTGGAACAAACTCACTTCCAAATTTCAATTCAGCCACCACCCCAAGTCTTTAAAAAATTTACTGGTCAATCTACCATTGCACGAGATCTTCTTGTCTATTCCTCCACGACTCAAATGATGCATAACTGTATAATTTATTTTCTCAATTTCTAGATCCAAGTGAACTCGTTAGGGTTCACGCTGATCTGTCAATAAATTATTATTATTTAAGAGATTATTCCTTACAATAAACGTCCCCTGGTGTCGTGAAACGTCACGAGATTCTTTATGACATTTGCCCCGGCTGCCCCTGTTTTTCCCATGAATCGATTTGAATACTTAATGCCTGGGAAAGCCACGTGTAACTGTTTCGCTATATAACGGCACCGATATTGTATTGTTTTGTCGGCATAACACCACCCTGAATAAAGAAGCAACCAGGCTGTTCGTGACACCTGGTAGGTTGAATCCCCCCCCCCCCCTTTTGCCAAAATATTTTTTTGACATCTGACGATGAAAGACTGTAAATTCATCATTCTTTCAGAACAGTCATGGGGGGAGGGGGGTAACAAACGTTCTCTGGTAAGTTGGAACGCCCCCCGCGCGCCTTTTTGCAAAAAAACGTTTTTTTATTTTTTTTGCGGCTGTAAATTCATCATTCTTTCAGAACAATCCTTCTGTAAACGCGAAAGTGCTTTCATTCCACCCCGATGGGACCCTAATTTTGCCCGAGATTTTCCCGCGGCTGACCTGTGTCACGTACCAGTGCGATCACATTGGCGGATGCCATCAGAAGTGCGGCAGTCGATTCATTGACGTTGGTTTTGGGATTTTTAAAAAGGGGGTGGAATTTTATTTTTTTGAAATTTTTTTTTGCAAGCTTTTCAAAAATGAAGCCTTTCGGTATGAATTTATTTTCAGTTTTTAGAAAAATTGTGCTTATCGCTTTATTTTTACGCTATATTTTATATGAAAAAAAGAGAATCGCATGAGTTTTTTTATTAAAGGCGCATAGACAGTAAAAAAACAATAATTTCAAGCAGAGATATGTTTTTTTAATGGTTATGGTAGTTTTCTTGGAATAAACTTTGAAAAATCGGGTGATTTTTTTTGTTAATTTTTTTATTTTCAAGTTTGGGTCTTCGAAATCGCTCTGTCTTTTTCTTCAAAAGCAGAGAGAAAGGCTGGGGCGTCCATGCGGGAAGCATGATCAAACGAGGACAGTTTGTCATCGAATACACCGGAAAAAGTAGGTTCAAAAATAATTATTTATGGAACTAGAATGATATGTCACGAATAAACTCTTTCAAAAAGTCCTCTTTTCGCATCTTGAAGGGGCTTTTTTTTTCTCTGCGACGCTCTCATCTTTACGTGCTATTTTCATGTTTCTCTGACCTCGCGAGGGAACAGAGAGACGCAGACACTCGAAAAGTGTCAAGTCGCGGTGAATGGGCTATAGCTGATAATGGTTGGATTGAGCCATCGAAAAATAGGTCCTGACACGAAAAAGAGAGACAGTGTCTGGTTGATGGAGAGCAGACAGTTCTACGCCTCCTTAGCGCTTGAAAGCCGTGAATCGGCTATTTTTATAACTAGTTTTTCCCCCGCAAGATGCCGCGTCGCGTCACCCTTACCAATCTACCCATCTCACCTTTCAATTCGCAGAAAAATTGACTATATTTAGCCGATCTGTCTTTTTTCCAACGTGTCAGGACCCTTTTTTTGGGTGCTTTAAAAAAAAAAGATTTTTTCTTTTCCGATGGGTACGGTATAAGAAAGTCCGCAATTTGCGTATGCACTTTGCGTATTTGCACTTTCTGAGCGGTCCACCCCTGCTTTTTTCCATTTTCATTGGAAATTTGATCGAAATTGATTACAACAACAGGAAATAGTTGAAAGACACGATTTAGCCATCATTTTCTGAAAAAAAAACGATTCAAGTAGTAAAAGTGGAACACTGAAAAAGTGCAAACACACGAAATGCATATGAAGAATGTGGACTTTCACATACCGTAATCTTCAAAAATGGAAAACTTTCTATTCGAAATTGAATGCTTGCTAGTCCTAGAAAAACATTACTCTTAAAAAAACTTTAAGGAAAATCTCAAAATAAGGGGATACTTTAACTTTAAAGTCATTTTTTTAAGTTCAAAAAGTTATATCTTTGGCTATAGGAGCCCTAAATTTATGTTTCAGGTAAGAAACAATTCAGAATTATGTGCTTGATAATCTTGAAGTAGCACCTTTTGCGATGACTCAAGCTAGCTTTTTAAGATTTTTATTTTTTTTAAATTTCAATTGTCTAGATAATATCACTGAATGAAGCAAAGTGCGCAAACCCAAAGTACGCATTCGACATTTTGACGGCGAAATCCGTCATCGACGCCTCCGAAAGCGGGTCTGACAGCCTTTTTTAAAGGATTTTGGCAAAATTTAGTTGTTCAGCAACATTTCGAGGTTCATCAATCACGCCTGTGAGCCCAATATGATTTCCGTCGAGATCAACAAGAGAGGAAAATTCCCGCGTTTGGGCTTTTTCGCCTGGAAAGATATACAGATTGGTTCGTTGGAAAGTTCTTTGAAAAGGGAAAAAAATTATGAGAATTTTGAGTTTTTTAGGATTTTCATCATCAATTTCGGAAAAATAGCTACGGAACATGAAAAATTCTGATTTTAACTATAACGAAAGAAAAAATTTCATGAAATAACGTTATTTTTTGGCTTTTTTTCCCTTTTTTTTTGTTTTCAGAGGGAAATTTTATATCGTCTTTTAGCTTGGAAATTACTAATTATTTAAAAATATGCTATTCTAACCCTTATTTTTATTAGTGTTGTTCAAAATCACATATTCCAACTTTTGCACGAGCTCTATCATTTTATAGTCAACCGCAGTACAGTTATTAACTCCTTGAAACCGAAAAATTCAGGCGAAGAATTGTCGATTTGCTATTGGCCGCATTTGATTGGCAAAGCGGTTGAGAGGGATCCGACCGGCGTGAAATGCCTGTCAGTTTGTTGCGATTTCATTTTTTGGGATGTCGAAATTTGTATTTCTCCTCCAATTTTGAATATCAAGGCTGAATGATTCGTCCCATACTCTAGCAAAAAATTGAGGTGTACCCCCCTACCTCGTTTTTTGGTGCACCCCGCGTTTGACCTGGATGGTGCGCACCCCTGGGGCAACCGGTCGAAAAAGATTGTCTTCTTTGAGCTACAGTAACAGCCTAGGAGGATACTCTAGAAAATTCTCCAATAAAAAAGCGGTGCACCCGGCGTCGAACTCTCGGTGCACCCGTAACCAGTGGTTTACTCCCTTTAGCTTCAAATGCCTGCCAAGATACTCATCCTGTTAAACACATTCTTCTACAGTTTTTTCCTAACCTGTTACTGTAGCTCAAAGATGACTTTCTTTTTCGACCGGTTCTCCCGGGGGGTGCACCGAGAATATCAACAAGAAGTTCACTTTTATCAGGGTTCACCCTCGTTTTTGTTAGAGTGGTGGTATTGGGAAACAAACCACTTTGAAGTCGTTTACGGAATAACCACCTTAATTTGCGTTTAAAACTAAACGGGGTACACCCCTGGCCTAAAGGAGAATTTTAAAAAAATAAAAAAATAAATAAATAGATAAAAAGGATACTCGAGAAGTTTCTTCTGGAGTTAAAAAGAGTATACGCCTCTTTGATTTAAATAGATATTTTCTTTTTTTCGGAAATCCAAATTTTTTTAGCTGTTCTTCGCAACGTTGTTGGAAGTTCCTGCCCGCCCACAAGTCCTCGCCGCGGCGCCCAATTCGTCAAAAAAATCAACGATCGTCAAACGCGAAGAATAATTGGAAAAATCTCTTTTTTTCTTTTTTTTCGCTTCATATTTTTTTATGCATTTCCTCATTCCACTAACTCAATTTCCTATGAATGCTTTTTGTTGAAAAAAATTTTTCCCCATGTTTTTTTAGGTGTTTTTTTCTTTGTTAAAAATCTTTTGCCATATCAACTTTTTTTTAAATTTTATACATGATTTTTTTCGCATTTTTCACGCTTCACATTTTATGCACTGCCTTATTTCACTTGCTTGGTCCGCTTTTTCCAAGTGTTTCTAGGCGGATTTTTTGATGACGGGTCGCCCTGGGCCGGCCCGGCCCGCAAAGCGGTCACATTGTTAGCAAAAGAGTCATTTTTCCATTCATTGTCAACTTTATGCGGGTCGGGTCACCCTAGGGCGACTTTTTCGATCTGCGGGTCACCCGAGGGCGTCCCGTCGGCAGCTCTGTTTCTATAGTATGTTCACTCGGGCCTTGGTGACGCGAACGGGACGCGAATCGGACGTGTCGGGGCATTTCGAGTGGCTACTTTAGTAGCATCAGCGCTCTTAAGTGATCCCTAGAATTGCCCAGACACGTGCGGAGCACGTCCGTTTCGCGTTACCAATGTCCGAGCAGATTCTGCAGCAGCTAGCTCCGCCTTTGAAGCTAGAAATCTTTTTCGCGGCGATTTTTTATCTTGACAGAGAGGATGATCCTTTAATAGTGCTGCATTTTTGATCTTTTTTGAGCAGCGGAAAACAAGGTCAATAAATGGAGCGCTATCAAATGATCAGGCGCGAGAACAACTGTAAAGATAGGGGCGGAGTTTGCTGCTTGACAATCAAAATCTGAACGGACTATAGGCGCCGTTCTATGCTTGGTTATATATATTTTTCTTTTTGAAATTTTTCCATTCAATTTTTTAAACTCTCATTTCAAATATTATTTTTTTTCACATTTTCATGCATCTTCTCTCTTTACGAGCCCGATATGGTTTCAAGTTTAAAAGGTTCCCTTTTTGAAATTTTTTTTTTGCGGTTTTTCTGTGTACCTTTTTGTATGCTCAATCACTCCTTTTTTCATTTATGAGAAATTTTTGAATTTGGAGATAGAAAGGGAGATTTTCCACGTTCAAATGTTAATTTTTGCCCTTTTTTGTCGAACTTGTGAGTTTTTGGATTTTTTTCGTAGACAAAAATAACGTTCCAATTTTTTCTAACGACTCAAACTCTCCCATTTAAGCTTAAAATTTAAATTTTCGACACAGATCAAACGGAAAACTCCCACTTTATTTGTGAATATGGTGCCTCTTCATGATTTTTTAAACCGCTGTGCTATCACAACTTGAAATTTTTATTTATTTTTTTCAAGATTTTTTTCTATTTTTTTACATTTTTTTATGCATTCTCTTTGTAGATGAATTGTATATTTTTTTTGATTTTTTTGCATCTTTTTCTGACAATTCTCATCACTTTTTTTCGTAAGTTTTCTGGTGTTTCCAAATATTTCTTCTATGAATTTTCAATTTACACAGTAAAACTGTCATTCTATTGAAAATGTTGTTGTTGAAATTTTTTACTTGCCCGTTTATGTATAGACTGAAATCAATTCAATCTCTAACTTTTTTTTTCGCAAAGATCTTTGCTTTAAAAATATAAAAAAAGTATGCTATTTTTTTAAGCTTTGTTGGATTATTGTAAGTTTTGAAAGAAAAAATAGCGTTTTCTGCGCAATTCCTGGTTTACTTCACGAGTAGTGGAAAAGGGCTAAATTATAAATTGGATCTAAATATTTAAAAGTTGTATAAGTGATAATAAAAATAAGAGATTAGTGGAAAAAAATGTGGAAAAATCCTACAAGTATTTCAGTTTTTTTAAGGAGTCAAAGTTCATAAATTACTGAGATATTTGGAAAAAAATTTTTCCTCGCGATTTTTTTCTTGGAAATTTTTGAAAAAAATCTTCAAAAAAACCACAGCTTTTTTTCATGAAAAATATCAAAACTTAGAATTTGCCTTTTTTTAAGGTTTTGTAAGAAATCCAAGGACTTTTCCAATGTTCAAAAAGTGGTATTTTTTTGAAAAAAATTCAAGTTTGAAGATTTTAAAAATTCGATTTCTGCGTTGTTTTAAGGCGCAAAAGTCTCGGAAGACCTGAAAAAGTCTTTAAGGTCCGAAACTCGTTTATGAATTTAGCTTTGCTCCTTTAAATTCCGCAAAAAAATAATTTTTGGAACGGCGTTTTATGTTCATAACTTGCATTAGAATAAAAAAATTGGTCAACCGTTTCACAAAAATCGAAGGCTTAATTTTTGTTCAGAACGGCGCATTTTGGGTCCTGACGCATTTTAAAGGTTTCAAAATCGAAATTTCATGAAAAATGAGCATTTTTGAGGGCTTCAAAATGACATTTTACCTTAAATTGGTGCCGATGAAGCCGATTTCAATGCGGGAACTGACGCCAATTAGGTGCGCTCCTTTTTTTTTCCATTTTTTTTTAAATTTTTCTTTTTCTAATTGTTTCAGGCTTTGACTTGTCGAGATTTGGAGGACGTCGAGTTTGAAAAAAATCAATAAAAAAATTAGGAAAAAGTATTTAAAAAAATGAAATTGTAATGGGAAGAAATGTGTTATTTAATGGAAATGAAGCTAAAAATTTATTCATTTTAAAAATAAAATTACGGCTTTTGAGTGAAAAATTGGACTTTAGAAATACTAAAATGACCATTTTTGGAATATATTTTTTTCAGTGATTTTTTTAAAAAAATAACTGAATTTTATTTTTTTAAATATGAAAAATTAGGGAAAGAGAAGAAAAAAATGACAATGAGTGTCTTTTTAATTGATAATAAGGAGATTTCTATAAGAAAAACCGGAAAAAAATCCGAAAAAAATTTTTTTTTCGAATGTTCCCCGTTTCACCTCCTGGATAATTAATTTTTTTCTTTGCATATATTGAGATTTCAACGGTATATAATCTTGTCTTTTTCTGTCGTATGGTGGAAAAAATGGCGATTTTTTCAATTTTGAGAGAAAATGTGTGAAAAAAAAACTCTTCAAGTAAATTTTTTTCGAAATTACAACTTTACCTGTATCAATTTTTGATTTAACAAGCTTTTTTCGAGGCACAGGACCATTTTTCTTCGTTTTTTTTGGATTTTTTTAAAATCCAAATTCGAATTTTGAATTTTCCCGGAGCTTCCTTTGATTTACGGGACCATTTCATTTTCCTCCGTATACAAATAAATAGAAATGACTTTTTTTCCTTGGTGAAAAATACGTTTTAGAAATGATTTATATGAAAAACTTATTATCTCGAGACACTTTTTTTGAGATTTCTGTGTGGATCTTGATAATTTCTCTTTTTTTTTTCAAAATCGATAAAAATGACTTTTTTTTTTGCAAAAAAAGTATTGTGAGTTATTATTAGAAAAATTTTTCCAATTTTTTTTTTTTTTGAAACTTTTCAGCCATATTCTCCTCGGGCAAGGTAGGAATGGTAGAAAATGGCCGTTGAAAGATCGAAAAAGGCAGAAAAAAGGTCGCAAAAAGACAGCGGAAAGGCTGCAAAAAGGCGGTGAAAAGGCAGAAGAAAGGCAGCAATAAGTAAGCCTTTTTCCATCCTTTTCATTTCTATGGTTCGGGACTTTTTTGATATACCTTCTACACTACATATATAGTGGAAAACATGGTTTTTTCTTGATTTTGAATGGGAATTTGATGAGAAAAACTGTTCAAAAAACGTTTTCTTTTCAAAATTTGAACTTAATTCGTTTCATTTCAAATTTCCTTTTCGAAACTCAAATATTTTAGTCAACCTCCTCTCTTTTGAAACTGCTTTTTTGTCGTTTTTATGACCGAATTTCTTTCGCTTTTCCTATTTTTCCGTATTTTTGAATTTACTGTTTCCTAAAGACAATATAAAAGCGTCCATCTTTTCGTAATAATGGAGGTTTTAGACCCATCATTTCCATCTCGCACTCGTTGATCTTGAGCATTTCCTAGAGACCGCAGAGCCACGCCCCTTTTTGCGATGGTGAAATGCACTGGTTTTTTAGATTTCGTGTTCGTTGTTTTCGTACAAACGCAATACTGAACCGAAAACCGAGAAATTTGGTGGAAACATAGAGAAAACTTTCCTCTTCAATCTGATATACTTTTCACCCGATTTTCGTCGCGTTTTAGCGGAGTGTCGTACAAAAAACCAAAACTACTTTTTTTCTTCGGGTTTTTAACCTAGTTCCATGTCGTTGGCGCCTTTTTTTATTTTTGAATTTGCTTTTTAATTGAAAAAAAATCTTTTTAGACAAAAAAAATTGAAATTTCCACGATGCCTAATCTTCGTTAGGCCGCGCAAAGTTGAAAAATGTTGTACTCGATTTCGAGAGCGGGTAAGTAAAAAAATTTTTTTATTTCAACTTGTGGATTAAATTGTAACTAAAATTTTATTAATATAAAAACTTATTCCAAAAAAATTTGTTTCCTGAGAAAAAAATAGGCAGTGAAAAATTTCGAAATTCATTTTAACATGGTCAGATGCCGTTGGTGCCTTTTTTTATTTCTTAAATATTAGCGTATCTCAATTTTCAATCAATTAAAAAAATAAAATAAAAAAATTTTTAACGATGCCTAAAAAGTTTAATTACTTTTTAATTTGAAGCCAGTGTTAAAAAAATAACAAAAAAACACCGAAAAACGGAAGCATTTTTGAACTGAATCTCTATGAATAAATTGTTTTTTTAGGTGGTCCGAACACACGTGACTAATAATTGTTCAACTATCATAACTTTTTTTAAAAACAAAACAGACGGAAAAATGCTGTACTTTGAGGTGAAGTGGTGTATAGGGCGAGCGCCTCCAATCTCCGAGGGATGGACGTGGAGCAGCGCAAGTGCGCTTGCATACAGTTTTGATATCGCGAGTTCGATCCTCGCAGCGGCCATTTTTTTTTATTTTTCAAGAAAAAATAGCTTTTCTCTTCAAACTTGTGGTTTTATACTGTTTTAATAACTAATTATGACTTTGAAAACCGAACTAAACTACTGAAAAATTTAAATCCGATATGAAAACAAAATGAACGACCAAAAAATCTAAACTTTCAGTACTAAATTTCGCGACTTTTTTCACTACTGTTTTGGCCATAACTTTTTTTTGTTTTCAACTTTTTTTGATAAACTAAACCGTTTTGAATAGTAAATTGGAGCAGCTATCCAACCATAGTAATACTGAAGCTCGAAAATGTTTTTGAAAATTTGGTTGCGGTCCCTAGCTTTTCCTTCTTTTTTTTTTGCATTCTCGGAGCCAAATGAGCCGAGGGCTCGTTTGGCATAATGTCACGGCCTCGGAGACAAATCCTTTGGCCCAATCTCCTCAAATCGCTGTTTTCTCGGAACCTCGAATACTTGAAAAGTACGATAGTCAGATTTTTCCCGACTTGACACTGAGAAAAACTCTAGTGGCCACTTAAGAGGTTCCTCAAGGGCTACTTGGAAAGGACACTAAAGTGGCCACTGAAACCACCTCTTAAGAAGACACAACTTCGCGTCTTAGTGGTCTAGTAGCACCACTAAACCTTCTAAAAAGCTTACTAATTTCCAGCCCCTAAAGAGGCCACTGAAAAGTTCCCCAGAACCTCTCAAACTGCCCCAACGGGCCTAACCGTATTATTCCCGTTTTTTTTTTTCGAGGCTTTTCGTTTCTCAGTCGGGCTGAAAACGGGCAGAAAACGGGCGCAAAAATAATTTTTTCGAAACTTTCAACCGTGCTGAAACGGGGCCTCAGCAGTGTAGAAAATGTCGAAAGTTTCACCCGCTATGCTTCAAACGGGCTCAGTACGGGCACGCCTGCTAAAGTCCCATGTAAGCCTTTATCAGTATGAGAGTACTGTAGTGACTTGTTGCGGTCGCGACGCGGTTTTCGGCGCGAAACAGAAATTCAAACGTGAACGGCAAGAAATGAACGACCTTCCTAGGAACGCCAGAGTGGTCCTTTTTTATGGGGGCAACCTTAGGACCAATGCTTGCAAAAATGGTCCCTTTAGGGGTGTATTTGTCGTTGACTAGACGATTTTGAAGCCACTAAAGCTTTAGAGGCTTGCAAGTCAGACTTCAACCCCTATAGGGACCACTTCAATTTAACCCCCCTAGGGACCTTTTTTTTTGTCCTCTACAGGCACTGTTTTTTGCCCTAACCCCTATAGGAACCGCATATTATCTAATTTGTAGTATGGCGCACAAACTAAAAAAAAACTAAAAAAATATTTAAAACAATTGATTGAAACAGTTTAGTTTCTTTGAAATCAAATTTCGATCTTCGAAAGTTTTTAACTTCTAAATTAACCCTGATTACCATTGTATCCTTGAAAATTCCTCGTTTTCTCTGCGAAATTAATTTTTCCGATTTTTGTTTTGCGCAAGGAAAAGCTTTTCCTGGCGATTTTCAAGACGATAACAACCTGCTGTTTTCCCCAAAAAAAAACTTCCTCGCATTTCGTCATTTGCCCAACACTCGAGGAACTAGAAAAAATAAGTATTCATGGAAAAATGAGCTTAAAAATAGAAGAATTCAGGTTTTTGTTTTGAGAAATTCGAAAAATTCGGAAAAAGCTGAATTTTGTCCGTTTTTGATACGTTTTCCTCTGTTGATCTCGACTCGGTATAGATCATTTAAGCTTAAAAAATGCCCTCTGGCGAAAGCCGTCTAAAGTCGGGACATAGGCTGGATTAAGTTTGCAAAGCTTCATCCGATCATCTACTTTGAGCTCGATTTTGAGATTTTTTTTGAGCTTCTACTTGAAGCTTAAGGTTTCAATGACCTATCTGAACTATACATCATGAAATCAGGCGAAAGCCGGTTTAAGTCGGGACATAAGCTACCTGCCAAAATGATAGGGAACAAGCATAATTGATCGATGATTAACGCTTTTTTTTTCCTGTCCAATAAGGTTTTCTATAAAATTGGGACGGAAGTTGAAGGTTTTAAAACCAACTTTAGCTCGGGACTTTTCAGTCGGATTGGGACTTTTATTTTGAAAATCCCATAACGTCACTTATTCGTCATTCAAGTTTTCGTTCCTCTGAATTTGTTTTTTTCTCAACCTGTATATGAGTGTAGATCTATCTAAACTCAAGCCATAGTCCTTGGCGAAAGTCGGTTCGAGTCGGGACATGAGCTGAATGCCACCGAAAATGATGAAGCTTAATTTGTGCTGTTCATTTGAATATAATTCATTATCTTTCAAGCTTCGAAGTTTAGATCTATCAGACCTAGCGTTATAGCCTCCGGCGAAAGCCGGATCCGGTCGGGAAATGATATGAATGACACTGGAATAAAGTGCACTCTCCACTTAAGCGACCTTGATGTGGTATAATCTGGCGCGTCTGTGCTCTCTTTTCCCTCATCGGTGAGATATGATAACATGAGAGAACATGTAAAAACTGGAGGGTCTAGAGAAAATACAGCTGAGATAAATCGGTCTTTGAGTAGCTTCATCCGACTTGAAGTTCAATTTTTCATTTTTTTTTTTGAATTTTTTTTTGAAGCTTAAGATTTCAAAGATCTACCTGTAATATGGATCATGAGCTTCAGCGGAAGCCGGATCTGGTCGGGACATACGCCGGATTCAGTTTGCAAAGCTTCATCCGATCATCTACTTGGAGCTCGATTCTACGAATTTTTCTTTGAGCTTCTACCTGAAGCTTAAGGTTTCAATGACCTTCCTGAACTATAAATCATGACGTCAGGCGAGAGCCGGTTTGGGTCGGGACATAAGATAATTATCAAAGATGTGCTAGGAATAAGTTGATCATTGATAAAGCTTATTTTAGATTTTATCGGTTTTAATCAATTTCTTTATCTTTCAAGCTTCAAATGAGTAGATCTAGCGTTATAGCTTCCGGCGAAAGCTGGATCCGGTCGGGACATAAGCTGACTGAAAAAAAAGTGCAAACGACTCACTCTCCACATAAGCGACCTTGATGTGTTCCTCCCGCCGCCATTTCTTTTTTTTCCGTTTTCCCCGCTAGCCACTGCTATTTTATATGTCGACTCTTGTTGATTTCTATATTTGGCTGTCTCTTTTCTCTCTCTTTCTCACCTTTTTTGACTCAATTTCACCTTGACAATTTGAAGAGATGAGATTTTTTCGCTCCACACCTTTCCGATCGTATTTTGAACCGTTTTGTCGATTTTATGTTGAATTTTCAAATTTTGAGGTCGCTTTTTCAACTTCACTTTTTTTTCCAACAGAACATTTTCTGCTGCAAAAAATGATTTTGACGAAAATTATATAAATTTTTACCGAACTTTACTGTTTCTCTCTATGATTTTCTAATAGGAATGATAAAAGTATACAGTTCGTCGAATGCATTTAAATCTTCCACTTGAAAGTAAAGCCTAGATTTTCTGGGAAATTTAGCAATGATTATTTAAATTATCGATAGAGCGCATTTGTACTGAAAAATTTATTTTTTTGAATTTTAAGAAAAATTGTTCAGTTTTGATCTTAAATAAGGCTGATTTGGAATTTTACTTCTAAACACAAAAACGTCTTTCTAGCCGCGTTTAGAATGGCTCGAAGCGTCGCGGTTGTGCTGCGGTTCAAGTTTAGGCTTTGAAACTTTCGCTAACCCAAGATTTCCGATAGAAGCTTGCGTAAGTCGTTCTGCGGTCCGGAGCGGCCAACCGCGACGCGTCGAGCCATTTCCAATGCGACCAATCTTTCAAAAGAAGAAATTAAGTTTCGAAAATACTTCAAAAAGTTCGCAAACCCAAGGTTTCCGATAGAAGCTTGCGTAAGTCGTTCTGCGGTCCGGAGCGGCCAACCGCGACGCGTCGAGCCATTTCCAATGCGACCAATCTTTCAAAAGAAGAAATTAAGTTTCGAAAATACTTCAAAAAGTTCGCAAACCCAAGGTTTCCGATAGAAGCTTGCGTAAGTCGTTCTGCGGTCCGGAGCGGCCAACCGCGACGCGTCGAGCCATTCCCAATGCGACCAATTTTTCAAAAGAAGAAATAAAGTTTTGAAAAGACTTTAAAAGTATTGCTAACCCAAGGTTTTCCATAGGAGCTTGCGTAAGTCGCTTTGCGGTCCGCTGCAACAAACCGCGGCGCGTCGAGCCATTCCAAACGCGACTAATTTTTTTTTTCTATAATGAAGCTTTGAAAAAACTCTAAAAGTGTCAGTGATATTTTCAATAAGAATTCGCGTAAGTCGCTTTGAGGTCCGGGGCAACCAACCGCGACGCGTTGAGCCATTCCCAATGCGACCACCTTTTTTAATACTGAAAACAAAAATTCCCCCCCCCCCCATTCACTTCTTCGAAATCTTTTCAGAAAAAAACAAATAACATTCCGTTGTTATTGGGCCAAAAGAGGGGAATTAGCCTATTTTGGAAGAGTTGGTTGTTTTTCCATCCCAAGATTTTTCCGTCTCTTGCCAATTTTCGTCTTGCCTATGCCTTGTGAAAAATCAAAAGAATAATATTTTTGTGAAGGTTTAGTGTAAGGAAGAAGAAGCCGCTATTTCCCGGGAGATTCTGCGCTCCATTGATAACTTTTTTTTTGAGAAAACAGTTTTTTTTAGCTTTAGTTTCCCGCCAAAAAGTTTTTTTTCATCAGAACCTTCCAAAAATATTTCAAAAATGGCTTAGCAACTCTAAAGTGTTCCCTATAGGGGCTACTTTAGGGGCCCTGGAAGGTTCTGCTTTGGAGACTACCTGACCTCCCCCTATAGGGGGCGAAGTTTCTTAAGTTCCGCGGCTTTTTCTTCCAATAAAGCTTGCAAAAGTGGCCCCTATTAGGTTCTTAGTAAGTGGCCATTTTAGGGGAACATGCTAGTGGTCCCTATCCGGCTTTTTGATTATAATAAACTTGAAGGATCCTATAGGGACTACTTGATCTTTAGAGTCAGACCCTGAACCACCTAAATTCGACCCCTTAACGGCGGCACTTTTCCCCTTTAGTGACCACTCGGGCGATCCAAAGAACGGATCTTCTAGTAATTGGGAAAATTTTTAGTGGCCACTATAGAGGCTCGCCAAGGACTACTTGGAGAGGACACTAAAGTAGCCACTAAACCCACTTCGATAGTGGCCACTATTTTCCGTTTTAGTGGCCACTTCAGTAGTTTTTCACCCAGTAACTCTGATAATTTTAAAACAAATAGGTTGGACCAGTTATGTCGATCCTTTGACCCCTAAAGTGGCCACCAAAATGTTTAGTAGTCTAGTAGTATCACTTAGACCCCTATAGTGGCCACTATATTTTTAACCCCTTAAGTGGCCACTAAAACTTCAAAACCCTATAGTGGCCACTGAAAATTTTCACAGTTCTGCTCCAAGAATGCTATTTTTTCGTGAAAACCTTTCGAACCTAGGAAAAGCGAATCGGACGGGTCGTTTAGTGACCACTTTAGTAGCGTGAGCCTTCTTAAGTGATCCCTAGAAGTGCTCAAAATCGTGTGGAGCGCGTCCGGTTTTCATTATTAAGTTCCGAGATTTGAAAACCTTGTTTTGAGTGTTTTAAATGGAATTTTTGATTATATCATCGCGTCTAGTAACAGCTGCCAAGACTACAAAGCTCCAGGAGCATATCAAAAATCAAAAAAACCATAGAAAAATGGAAAATTTGCTTTTCCTTGTCCCCAAGTAGTTTTCCGACTCCTTCACCCCGCTAGTATAATGAATTACCGTGCGGCTCCGCGGCTTTCAGTGTCAATTGCTTATTTTTATGAGGCCCCCGGACGTCGATTTTCGTTCCGACGTCGGCTCCCGCTCGGCAGATTTATGACCACCGCGGCTCTTTTCAACTTTTTCGAAAATTTGTACCTTCCTGTTGTTTTTCGGAGCGTTTTGGAGTGATTAATTGATTAATTAATGAGGGAATCTAAATTTTAATTCATTCATGAGGCTTTGTAAGTTTTGGGTACTCAGATTCCTATTTTGAAACTTCGAAAAGCTCATATTCCATTCCAAAGTGGCCCCTATAGGGACTTGCTAGTCGTATAGTTTTATAAGGAGAAGAAGCATTTGGATTTTATTGATCTTGAATTTTCAACCCCTTTAGGGACCACTTAACATTCAGAAGTTTTGAGGTCAGCCCAATAGACCCCTTTAGGGACAATTGGAATTTGATCCTTAAAGGGAGCCCTTTCTGCCCCCCCCCCCTTTTTTTTTCGAACCATTTCCAAACCATCAAGCCCTTAACTGACCTCCTCAACTTGACACTAAAATTCAAAAGCTGGCTATTCTGTGAAAATTTTTAGTGGTCACCATAGGGTTTTGAAGTTTTAGTGGCCACTATAGTAGTCAATTCAGTGGCCACTAAAGAGGTTAAAAATTAGTGGCCACTATAGAGGTCTAAGTGCTACTACTAGACCATTAAAAATTTTAGTGGCCACTTTAGGGGTCAATGGATCAACATAACTGGTCCCATCTGTTTGTATTGAAATTATCAGAGTTACTGGAAGGAGTACTGGATGAAAAACTACTGAAGTGGCCACTATAAAGGTTGGTTTAGTGGCCACTAAAGTGTCCTCTCCAAGTAGTCCTTGGCAAGCCTCTATAGTGGCCACTAGAAATGTTCCCAGTTTTTTCACTAGTGCGCATCCTGGTAGGCATTGTTTCGTGGGTTTGGGACGCCTTCATTCAGAGACGTCTCACTTAATCCCGGTGGCTCATTGATTCCTCCGGCCCCCCGGGTGAGTTCCTTCTTTTTCTTGGATGGGAGCTGGAGCAGCAGGAGAAGGAGCCTTCCTCACGTGTGAGAAGCAAGAGAGAGAGTGCGCCCCGAGGACAACCTTCCAATTTCCAGAAGGCCTTGTCCGCCTCTTTTTGTTGTTTGTTGTTTTTCCGTTGAGCAATTTGTTGGCTTCTCGACGTCAGTGGCTTTTGGAGTAGCTTGAGGGGTCACTTAAGGGGTCTAGGGACATAGAGGAGTTCTGAAAGGGATTCGAAAATTTCAAGTTTCAACTGATTTTTCAAATTTTTTTGTTCCTGGGTTTCTGCGAGCTCTCATTCACTTCTTTCACGAAATTTTGCCAATTTTGACTCTTTGAGAAGTTTGAGAGGTCACTCAAGGGGTTTGAGGTCTTCGCGAAAAAGTTTAAACTGCGTAAAATGGAAATTTTCGAGTTTCAGCTCAAATGCGCCCCAAGGACAACCTTCTAATTTTCCGTTAAGGAATTCGTTGGTTTCTCGACGTCAGCGGCTTTTGGAGAAGCTTGAGGGTTCACTTAAGGGTTTTGGGGTCATAAGGAGAGGAGTTCTGGAAGAAATTCAGAAATTTTGGGTTTCGACTTGATTTTTGAAATTTTTTTTGTTCCTAGGTTTCTGCGAGCTCTCATTCTCTTCTTATCCAAAATTTTGCTATTTTTGACTTTTTTAAGAGTTTGAGGGGTCACTTAAGGGTTTTGACATTTTTCCGTTGACTAATATGTTGGCTTCTCGACGACAGAGACTTTTCGAGGAGCTTAAGAGGTCACTTTAGGGATTTGGATCATTGAAAGGTCAACCTTGCGATTTTCAGAAGCCCTTTCAAATTTTCGGCTTTTTGTTGTTTCGCTGAGGAGCTTGTTGACGTCTCGATGTCAGAGGACTTTTGAAAAGCTTGAGGGACCACTTGAGGGGTTCGGGGTCATGGAAAAGGAAATAAGGAAGGGCTCTGAAAGGAATTCGAAATTTTAAGATTTTTCGAATGTTTTGTTCTCAGATCTCACCTTATTTCACTTCGTTTTTGTAATTTTGACCTGTTTTGACTTTTTGAAGAGTTTGAGGGGCCACTTGAGGGTTCCGACGTCATGGAAAAGGAGGATGAAGCTCTGGAAGAAGATTTTGAACTTAAGTCCCAATTTTCTGTCCCTTTTCGTTGAGGAGTGTGTTGGTTTCTCGACGTCAGCGGCTTCTCGAGAAGCTGGAGGGGTCACTTAAGGGTTAGTCGACTTCAGCGACTTTTTGAAAAGATGTCCCTTTAGGGTTTTAAGGTCATAGAAAGGAGAACTTCCAATTTTTCCGCGTTCATTCGATTTTTTGTTTTTTCTCGAGGAGTTTGTTGGTTTTCTGACGTCAAGCTCGAGGGGTCACTTAAGGGTTGGTCGACTTTATTGGGTTTTTGAAAAGAGGTCACTTGAGGGTTTTGAGGTTGAAAAATGACCTCTTTTCGTTTTTTTTTTTGACAGGTCTTTGTTGGTTTCTTGATCTCAGTTTGAAATTTTAAAAAGTAAAAGAAAAATTCTAATTGCAGATTTTTTGATCTTTGGAGAGCTCAAGAGGTCACTAGAGGGCTCTTAGTTTTCTGACTCACTTCGGACCTTTTTCTCCCTCTCACACAATTAGATCCTTTCTCTTCATGTGCTCTGTGCTTTGAACACGTTGGTTCTACGCTTTTTATCCACAGAGCACTTATTCCTTGCAAAAGACAGCGCTGGTGATGTAATTATAGGCTTAATTTCCTGCAAAGTTATTTCCGAGTGTTCAGAAGCTTCTAGGTGTTTTTTGTGATCATACTTTTAAAAATTGAAAAAAAAAGGTGTTTTTGGTCGCATGAAGAATGGCTTTTTTCCGATGGTTTTGAAGCGATTCAGACGCTCGAAATTTGAGAAATACCTCATTTTCCAAAGTAGGAAAAAATGGTATTTTTGGTGAAAATCCAGTTTGGTCGCACAGGGAGTGGCTAATTTTCTGTGCCCGACTCATAGCGGTTTTCGTAACCCGATTCTGAAAAGTCCTAAAATTGACGGCATGCGAATCTAACCGAGCCGCAGCGCGACCGCAACGCGTCAAACTGAAACTGTCCGACTTGTCTGCGTCTCTTCTCTCTCTCGCTGGCGTTAGCACATGAAAAGAGTATTTGAAAAGGAGAGAGTCCTAGGGGCAAAAGAGAAAAAGAAGACACAAGCCTGACATTTTTTCTTTCAAATATTAGGACTGCATGATTTTCTTGACAGCCGCAACGCGCACGCGTCGCATTGCTTCATTCATTCCAAAAATAAAAAAATAAGAAATATTTTGTCCAAAACTGAGGTTGTCCCATGAGTCATCATCATCATCATCAGTTTATTCATTTTACCATAAATAAAACATTTGAAGCGTAGGGTTGACGGCTTAACACAGAGGTTTTTCATTGATAAAAAAAAAAGTGAAAAACAAGAATTATTTTGTCCATAAACAAGGATTTTTATGCATTGTGTGTCGAATCGTGTGAGTTGAGTTGAGATTGAAAAATTATCGATTGATTTATCGATTTTTCAATCCACTCCAACTGCGACGCGCACGCGACGCATGGCTTCATCCATTCCAAAAATTGAAAATAAGGAACATTTTTTCCATGAACGGGGCTGTTTATGCATTGTATGTCGAGTCGCGTGAGTGGAGTTGATATTGAAAAATTATCGATTGATTTTTGGATCTAATACAGCCGCAACGCGCACGCGACGCGTCGCTTCAACCATTCCAAAAATGGAAAAATACGGAATATATCGTCCATAAACGGTGCTGTTCATGCAATGTGTGTTGATTCGTAAAAAGCGTAGTTGTGTTTGAAAGATTATCGATTGATTTTTTTTGATCGATAGATCTATTGAAGCCGCAACGCGCACGCGACGCATCGCTTCAACCATTCCAAAAATGGAAAATAAGGAATATTTTGTCCATAAACGGGGCTGTTTATGCAGTGTGTATGAGTGAGTTGAGTTGAGATGAGAAACGCGTTTTTGGTGTCGTCCCGTTGTTTTTGCGGGCGGCGCTTTTTTTTTTGCGAGTTGGCCGTGTTCCAGGGCTTGTTGACTGTTGACGACGACGAAGACGGGCAGGATTAGGCGCAATTTGGTGATCGTTCCATCGCCCAACATCGTGTTCCCTTTTCCATTTCCACTCCTCTTGGTGCCATTCATTTCGTTTCTGATGGTTTCTTGGGTTTCTATACCATTTTTGTGATAGAAAGGTGCAGAACCCTACTTTTCTTGAATTTCAAGGCTTAGAAACCTTTGAAGGCCTTCGAGAACCATGGAGGAGGCTCTTCGTCTCGAGACCTTTTCAAAATTAGGCCCTGACCCTTTCCTTTCACTACTCCTTTTGCCCTACATTTCTGCTGATTTCTTGGATTTCAATCTTATTTTTGGGATGAATCGTAAGATTTCAAAGGCGCAGAGGTTTTAAGATGACAATTTTAAAGGCGCAGAGGTTATAAAAAGGACGATTTTAAAGGCGCAGGGGTTATAGAATTATAACTTTAAAGGCGCAGGGATTATAAAATGACAATTTTAAAGGCGCAGAGGTTATAAAAAGACATTTCTAAAGGCGCAGGGGTTATAAAAAGACATTTTTAAAGGCGCAGAGTTTATAAAAAGGGCGATTTTAAAGGCGCAGAACCTTCGTATGACTTGGATAACCCTAAAAATTGCTCTTTACCCTAAGGCTCTCATAAATATCCTCCCTCTTTCTTTGATTTTCGAGGTTTCAATAACCTTTGAAAACCATGGAAACGGTTTTTCGCTTCGAGACCTTTTTAAAATGAAAACCTGCTTCTCGCTTCCAAACGCTGAAAAATGATTTTTAACTCTTTAATTTTTTTTTCCTTCCAAAACAGTTGTCTGATTCTTTCTTTTTCCTACAATTTTATCAAAATCTGACCTTTTTGCATTATTTACTGTTTAAATGTCATTGAGCAGTGCATTCTACCTTTTTTCCATTGTTTATTTTACTTTCCCGCTGCGCTCAGCATATATAAACACGTCCTCTTGTTGTTATTTTTCTCGCGTTTGAGGCATTATTTTCCTTTTTTTGCACTTTTGCAAAAGTTTGTAGGGCTATGAAATATATTTATGGGGTTGCTGGCAAATTTTAGATGAATATGTAGGCTTCAAAATCATTAGGACAATTTTGTATGTTAAATATGTGATAAGAAGGCTTTTTCAAGATGCGCCTGACCCAAAACTACTTCACCTTGAGGGCATCGGATAGCGTTGTAAACACTTTTAGCCATTCCAAATGCGACCAGGACATTTGAACCATTTAAAACATGACTGCGAAGCTTCGATCCATTCCAAATGCGACCACAGACGCCTCAAGCCATTCCTAATGCCACCGCGACGTTTCAAGTCATTCCAAATGCGTCCAGGATGCTTTGAGCCATTCGAAACCGCGCCGCTTTGAGCCATTCAAAGTGTGACCGTGACGCTTTGAGCCATTCCAAATGCGACCGGGAACTTTTGAGTCATTCCGAATGCGACCGCGATGTCTCAAGCCATTCCAAATGCGACCAGGATGCTTAGAGACATTCCAAATGCGACCGCGACGCTTACAACCATTCCAAATGCTACCGGGACGTTCTGAGCTATTCCAAATGCGTCCAGGAAGCTCAGAGTCATTCCAAATGCGATCGCGATGCTTTGAGCCATTCCAAATGCGACCACGATGCTTAGAGCCATTCCAAATGCGACCGTAACCTTTCGAATCATTCCTAATGCGTCCAGGATGCTTTGAGCCATTCCCAATGCGTCCTGGATGCTTTGAGCCATTACAAATGCGGCCTCGAGTCATTCCAAATGCGACCGAAACGCTTTGAGCCATTCCAAATGCGGCCTCAAGCCATTCAAAATGCTACCGTAACCTTTCGAATAGTTCCAAATGCGATCGCGATGCTTTGAGCCATTCCAAATGCGACCACGATGCTTAGAGCCATTCCAAATGCGACCGCAACTTTTAAGTCATTCCAAGTGCGGCCTCAAGCCATTCCAAATGCGACCGTAACCTTTCGAATCATTCCTAATGCGTCCAGGATGCTTTGAGCCTTTCCAAATGCGACCACAATGCTTAGTGTCATTCCAAATGCGACTGCGAAGCTTCGATCCATTCCAAATTCGGCCACAAGCCATTCCAAATGCGGCCAAGGGGTTGCAAATTTCAACATTTTCATGAAACAGAACTGTTATTCCAGCCGTTTTTCCTTCTTGTTTATGCTCAATATTTTATGATTTTGATGCCTTAAACCTCCCCGGCGGCTATTTTTCTCTCTCTTTTTCCGTCTCTTTTTGTTTATTTCGTGTTGATCGTTCGGAAAGAGTCGCCCCATGACTTTTTCCAGCGGTTTTTTCAGGATCCAATTACTTAGGAACGCCAGAGTGGTCCCTATAGGGTTAAGGAGAAAAACAGCCCCTGTATAAAGGTAAAATTCAAGTGGTTCATATAGGGATTTCTACTTACAAAAACCCTCCAGAGGCCGCTTTAGTGGCCCCTACAGAGGAGGTGAAGTGACTCCTAAAGGGGATCCTTCAATAGCCTCTAAGGAACCACTTTAGGGTTCTTAGTACATTTTCTTTTTTTTTTGTTTTTGTAGGTTGAAAAATGAATATTTTTAGGCTTGAAATTTTAATTTCGAAGGTTTTTTTCAGTGTTACAGAAGAGTTTCACTAGTGAATAAAAATTTTTCAAACTTGCAGCTTTATTTTTTTTAAACTTTAATAGAAAAAAATTAAAGATAAGTTAAAGTTCTTATAAGTATCTTGACGAGTTCAGGGGCCCCTTTTTTAAAAAATAAAAAAATAGCAAAAATTTTTTTTCAATAAAGTTTTGTCCATTTTTAAGGCGGAAGGGCAAATATAAGTTTTTTTGGAAGAAATGGGGCTTTACTGTTTCCATTAAAATATAAAATAAACGCACTTTTCGAAAAAATAATGTGTACAGGTACATATGATAATTGGTCAAAATATGAATGCGAAAAATTTTTTTTCATGGTAAAGATATTTTTGGTCGCAGAAGTAAGAACGCCAGAGTGGTCCCTATAGGGGTGAGGGGGAAAATGGTCTCTAAAAGGGACCAAAAGTGCTCGCTTTAGGGATCATTTTTAGGGGGTCCTATAATTCAGGGTCCGGAAGATAAAGTGGTCCCTATAGGGGAAACTTCAAGGATTTCTTATGTTCCCCTATAGGGGCCACTCTGGGATTCCTGATGATCAAAAAAAGCTTCAAAAAAATATTTGAATTTAAACAAAGAAATCTAAAAAAATTATAAAAAAATTTTTAAAATTATAAATATTAAGATTTCAATTTAAGAAATCCATTTTTTTATTAAATGATTTAATTTTAAAGTTTTTTTCCAGTAATTCTCGTTTTTGGAGAGAGCTCAGAAATGTACTTTATAAGTACACACATCTTTTTTTTTTGCTCCCAATTTTTTCTCATCCGTTGGAAATTTCTTAGTCTCACTCAAATAGTCATTTCTCGGCCCGAGATGGCTTTGGAAGAGAAACAAAGAAGAGAAAAAAGAAAAAGTCAAACATCAGACTCCAGGCGGCTTCATTAGCCATTGGAAGAGCAGGAAAATGTTCAATTTTCAATAGTCCAAAAGCCTCTTTTTTGCCCTTTTTCTGCGGAAAATTGGACAGCTTTCGAATTTTTTCAGTATTTTACCTTAAATTAGCACTTTTTTATCATTTTTTTTGGCTGAAAAATGCTTCAAATTCCGAGTTTCAAGTACAATGAAGTATTGGTTCCTTGGAGGCGCAAATGTAAGTGAAAAACCCTTAAGTGGTCACTAGAGTCTTCCTGAGATCTTCGCTGAAGTTTCCACTTGAGCGTTCCATTGAATTTTCTCAACGTTTAGGGCCCACTTAAGAGGTCACTTCTTGGTTTTTTGAAGGCGCTATTATAAGTGAAAATCCCTTAAGTGGCCACTAGAGTCTTCCTGAGACCCTAGCTGAAGTTTTCACTTAAGCGTTCCATTGAAGTTTCTCCGAATTGCCCACTTAAGAAGTCACTTTTTCTTTTCTTGAAGGCGCTATCATAAGTGGAAAACCTCTTAAGTTGCCACTAGAGTCTTTCTCAGGCCCTTGCTGAAATTCCTCCGAAGTATTCACTTGAGTGTTCTTCGGTTTTTGCTGAAACTCCTTTGAACTTCAAAAAAATGTCTAGGAACACTCAAGCAACGCCATCTTCAATAAGTACCCCTAAAGTGGTCACTTAGGTCTTCCTTGGGTTTCGGCTAGAACTCCATTTGAAGGATACTTAAGAGACTCTGTTTAATTTTTTAAAACACCATTTTTGAATGTGATCCCTTGAGGGGTCACTTAAGTCTAAACTTTTCTGAACTTTCTTAATTTTTCGCAAACTCAAGGGATCACTCTAGGGGGTTTCTTCGCTCCTCGTATCCCTTGAGTGGTCCCTTGAGCCTTTCTTAGATTCTCAATAAAAATCCCCTGAGTTTTCTGAAATTTCTGCGAGCTTAAGGGATCACTCTAGGGAATTTCTTCGCTCCTCGAATCCCTTGAGTGAACTCTTGAGCCTTCCTCAGATTCTCGCTGAAAAATCCTTAGAACTATCTTCTCAAACTCAAGGGATCGCTCTAGGGGGTTTCTTTACCCCTCAGATCCCTTAAGTGGCCACTTAAGCCTTCCTCAGATTTTCGATAAAAACCCCTTTAATTTTCTAGAATTCTCGCAAGCTCAAGGGATCACTCTAGGGGTTTTCTTCGCTCATCGAAATAGAGTTCGAATCCCTTGAGGGGCCACTTAAGCTTTCTTCAGATTATTACTGATATCCCCCCAAGTGTTCACTTAAGCAGTCTTCCTCCGAATTTCAAGACACATGTCTGCATGTTACCAATTGAAACGGGGGGTCTAGGAAAAGAAACGAAGTGGCTCCTGGCCTCCAAACAGCTCGATTTTTCCGCCTCGCCCCGCGGCCAGAGCATGAGCATGAGCAGGAGGAGGAGGAGTTTTGCTCATGCTCAAGGAGCCGTTTTTCCTTCTCTTCTTCTTCTTTTTCCTTTTTTTGGAAAGACCGATCTACACGTTTTCTTCGGAGGGAAAAAACGAGAGAAAAACGAGGTTTTATCCATTTTTTTGTGTTTCAGTTTGTGTATTTATTTCTTTTTCTTTTACTTTTCAGATTTTTCCAAGAAAGGAGGACTTTTCCGAAAGGTCGTATTTCACAAATGGTGGCCTAAATTTCCAAAACGAATTTTTTTCGAATTTTTTTCTACCAGTTTTTTTAACTCATTTAATAGAAATTTTGTCATTTTTTTCGAAAAATGAAAAATAACTCTCATTTTTTTGAGATTCCTACCAAAAAGGTTTACATGAATATTGAGGAAAATCTGACCTTTTGAAGGAATTTGAAGAAATTTTTTCCAAAGGAAAATGGGGAAAAAAACGTTTTCATATCTTATCTGTGTTTTTTTGTTTCAGTTTTGGTATTTAGTTATTTAATTTTATTTATTTCTTGATTTTTTTCTTTTTTTCACAATGGAGGGAATTTTAAAAAGTTCCGAAAGTTTTTTTGAAAAAAACGGATAAAAAAATTTTTCACTTTTTTTGAAACTTTTTTTCAAAAAGGTTTTCATGAAAAAAATGAACTTCGGGTGAAGTTTGATGAAAAAAATCTCAAGTTTTCTTGCTCTAATTCCAAATTTTCCATCGGAAAATAGAAAGACTGGCTTTTTTAAAACCATTTTTGATAGGAGGTTTAGGAAAAATTCACACTTAGTTCTAGTTTTACATCATTTTTTTGGAATTTGGAGTTATTTTTTTAGAAAAATAAGGTTTTGAAGATGATTTCTATGATTTTTCCAAAGCACGAAATAAACAAAATTGACTTGCGAAAAAAAGTTCTAGGGGTTCGAAATAGATTGTAGAAAAAAAGTTCACGGGTTTTATAGTCTTTTTGAAGTTTAAATTTTTTTTGAGTTCTGAGTTCGGTCAGGCACCTTTTTACTGCTGTTTTTCTGTTTCAATTTGGGTATTTATCGGTTTTTTTAATAAAATAATTTTCGATGCTTCAACGGCGATGGTAACTAATCATAAAGTTCCTCATAAAATTAAGATTTTCGAGATTTTTTTCTTTCAAACAAGGAAGTTTTTTTGAAGACAATTTCTTTGACTTTTTCCAAAACTTTCAAGCAAAAAAATTGGCCCAAATCAGCTTTCTGAAAAGTTCTAGGGGACAGATATTGCGTTAAAAAAATTCATGATTTTTTTATAGAATTTTTTTGACGTGTTATTGCTGTTTTCTGTTTTAAATCGTTAACTTTCCAAATTTTTTTATTTTTTTATTTTTTTAATGAGCCTGCTATTGCCAAGAGAGAAAAAAAGGTGAATTTTTCTGGAAATTCAGGCCGTCATTTGTGAAATACGACCTTCACAATAATTAGAGTTTCGATTTTTTTTTTTCATTTTTTTTTTCGTTTTTTAATGATTTTTGCTTTCTTTTTGACATTCAATTTTTGGTTCACTAATTGTTGAAAATGACTCGATTCTATTTATTTTTTTCTTAAAAAAATCAGAAAAACCGAATTTTTGGAATTTCTAAAGTTTTTTTCTGAGCTCAGTTAGCCGAGAATTGTGAAACTCCATGGATAATTTCGTATTTGAAAGATTTTACTCATTTTTTTGAACTGTTTATGAAAAAAATTTACCGTAGCTTAAGCTATCAACAGAGATTCGGGATAATAAAAACTGAAAAAAACCAAAAAAAGAAACTTAAAAAAATTGAACTTTTGAGAATATATGATTTTACGCTTTCGGAATTTTCATATAAATATTATAATGTCCATCGCTTTTTATTGATCCTCTGTTCATCATACAAAAAAATGATTATTTTTCAGCTTTTTCTGAAATTTCATGACGTCTCGTATTTTTTATCCTTCAAAGATTATGTTAAAACTTTGATTTTTGAATATTTCATCGTC